TCATCGCTTTTGGGGGATGGGGGAGGGGCAAGGAGATCAGTACTCTTTTCGAAATTGAAGCCGACATTTTTGCTTTTATTTATAAATTATATTTTTTGAAGCCGTTGGACTTGCGAGTCACGACCAGAAAGAAAGGGAAAATAATAAAGACAAGAATAGGAAATCTTGTCAGCGAGTGTTCTCGGACCCCTTCGACTCGGTAGATATCCCCGGTTCATACTGAGAGATACCAAAGAATAGAGAAGTCTTCAGGGATGAAGGGCCAAAGGCGATGCTTTACCGGGGTGGTTTCTTTGATCGTGGTCTCCCTCGTGGCAGCCACGGCTTGGGCGATCCAACCCCAATCTATTGATGCGCCAGATGCCAAATACGGTATCACCCGCATTAATCTGTATGTTACTATCGGTGTCGCTTACCGGTTGACCCAGACTTGAGCCTTTGACTTAGTGTGATAATGGCATCTCAACAATATCAAATCGCCAGTCTATCCACCAACATGAACCGGGCCCGGAATTGTACAAACCGGTCGAGTGTTGATCGATGGCAACATCCACTAAACCCGAGATCCACACACCACCGCGCCAGGATCGGCGTTACTAGGTGTAATTTTGGGCTCGCCCAGATCCTAGTAAGTATACTGTCGTCTACATGTAGGTAGCGGTACTGTAAGGATGTGCTAATGGTCAATTGGCCCCTGACTAGTTTACTCGGTGGCGGATTGACAGCGGGCGGAGTGCGCTGAGGAAATCCCGCATGTACAGGCAGCTTGAACCAGTTCTTCTTATCTTCATGCTGGAATCTTCTCGGCTATACCCTCGCTTGTTGTCGATCCCCCCATACCAGGATTTCGAACCAACTTCAAGTCCCACCATCCTAGAGTTTACAATACTTCATTCCCAAATATCACAACCATATATCTTGAAACGAGATACCTTTAGAAGTTCGCCGGGTTTGGTACAAGAACAATAGTGGTGTTTGAGAATGAAAGTGAACCGTGAAAAGGGTGATCTGTGCTCTCTCCATCAGTGTCGGCAAAGCCATTACAGGAAATCCATGTCAGCGAATCCCGTCAGCAGGCCACTTTGACTAGGGTCAAACTCCGGTTCAAGTCCATATTAGTGAATTGCCCAGACATTTTGAGGTTGCATATGCAAGAAATGGCTTGGTCTCCGAAATACGTAGGATGAGTTGAAGGGCAATAAAAGCGAGGCAGGGCTTGAGCGGGGGCAATCCTTGCCGTCAATCTCATTCTGAGTTGACGAACTTGTAGGGATTGACTGGTACGACGGCGAACGAGGATTTGATTGCTCGGAGGTCTGAGCCCCTGGATTCTATGGCTATCCATTAAGGTATGGACTTGTCTATTAGTGATGGAAAAGGGAAATTCGGAATTATTCCTAAAGCTTGATCTATACTTCGTACCAATATCATTGAAATCCATGGTTGTCGAGATTAATCAAATCGTCTCTCGCCAAGTCTGTATAGAGACCGATATTTCTTAAAAAAGATTACTATCAAACGTCGTTGCGGCTTGTGCAGTCCAGACTGAAATACGCCCGCGAACAGTAAAGCAAAGTTCTCACGTTATACGTTTACTACAATGAACATTCCCGGGTGTGGTAAAAATATCATCCAGGTCCCAGGACTTGAGAGAAGCCACCTGCATCGCCCGGTTGCTCTGACCACCCCGAACTACTCAGAGTTCTAAGTTTGTGCTTCTAAGTTTGACAACCACATGGCATTTTGCGCAGCCACCAAAGTCTAGTTATAGGGCAATCAATGGCCAAAGAGCTGAATTTCTGCGCCCGGCTGTATTGATCAACAAAGAGATCCGTGCAGTGATCACCCTGAAAAAACGTGGTTGAAGGGGTTCCTGCGCAAAGTAGCGGGACACCGGGGACATGCAGTGGACTCCCCTCGAACTCCAGTTCGTCCTGGGCCTACACCGCAATGGAAAATGGGGGCTTGATCTGTGAGACGGTCTTATGGACAAGGAACTTCATGAAAGAAAAAAAAAGATGTGGTTGAGCTAAACTTGATCCGGATGAGGCTGACAAGTTCCCTGTAAGCGCGAGCCGCGAGGCGTTTCATCCTGGAATACAATGTGAAAATCCGGATGCGGCGGCGAATGCTCGGAAATTGCCACATATATTACAGGTTTTACTAGAGCACTTTGAGTTCTGGGAGGGAGAAAAGGGAATTCGACTCCAGTGTCCATCATCTGTCATGTCTCCCCGAAATTGACAAATCTCGTGCTTTAGGGCACAGAGTGTCGATCCCATGCAAGTCAGTGGGGCTACACGTGATATAGAAATCGGAATAAGAAGGAACCTGGGGGAGGGAAGGTGCGATGCGGAGATTTGATTGGTGAGAGTCAGATGATTTGACGTCCATGTATTGGATGCATTTACTGTGATCTTTTAGGGAGACGGATTACCGAATGCGGTATAGGGCTGCCCAATGCGGCTAAGTACAGAGTTGGGCTGTCCAGTCCAGACCCGCCGGAGAAACTAGCCTGTCCAATTAAATGTATTGTGGCGTACATAGATGAGGTGGACTATTATTTGGACCAGCCTCAAATTTACTTGTACAATACCATAACAGTTGAGGGGGGCCGGCGGTACAGCCCGACTCCACTGGGTGAAGCTGTCAGGCCTGTCGCGCGTCGATCATTAAGATTGGCGCTCCACCAGAATCGCTTAGCCGAGATAAACGGCATGATTCCGCATGAATCTATTACAATTGGAGGATCTTGAGGTCGTATCATCATTTCGAAGCTCTTCCCCTCTTGCCCTCCCCCCAACATCCCAGGCGATTTCCATAGTAGCCACCATTCTAACTAGCTAGCCCCTCTCTTTCCAACCCCCTCTTATACGCAGGGATTGTACGAATTATAGCCAGCTGGAGCCCATTTTAAGATCGAAGTCCGACTTGAACCATGGTTTGATAAGCCATGTCCCACTCGCTCGATGTCACCTCCAAGAGGGCAACAATTCTTTCTTTAATTCTAGAAAGTGGCCAGGGATAAACAACCCAGGGCGAGGCCTAGAGGAATGGGGAATTAATCCCAGTACTAGTATCACAGCCGATACCGATGTGGATCTGGATCGCCCTCGACACGGACTTTGATACTTTGGGGATTACTGAAATAGGTTAACAGTCGAATATCTTGGTTTGATAAGCCCGCTTATTGTAATTTCATGCAGACATTAGTGGCAGTGTTCAATGCTGGGGCAGAAAAGAAAGTTACAAACGTTTAGCAGGGGATCGTCGGTGTTAATACCAATCTCTGGTCCATCACCGAACGGTTCATGGTGCCCAGGTAATTATAGAGACGATTCGCGTTTTGAAGCTCGATTGAGATAGTTGCATCATTAAACTTAAAATTTCGTCGAGCCTATGACTGTTGATATCGTCTTTGCTTTTTTACTATAATCATTCTTGTTAGTATTTTTTCTCCTCCGCGGCAAACCGTCAGCATAAGCGATTCTTGTTTACCATTACCCCCTGGCCCGTATTTTCTACGATGGGGATTTCAATCTGGCCGATTTCATCCCCGGATGCTGTGCAAATGCCCAGGCATCGGATAATTCCTAGAGGTCCATGGTCTCCCCCCTGCTCGTCAGATCCAGAGTTTAGATCCAAACCCCGGGTCCATTTTTGGGATCGCTTTGCTATCCTTCTTTCTTGTGCAGTATCTACCATGATTAGATTTTTTTTTTTTATCTGCTTATTCTTTGAATTGCCTCGGGTCACAAAGAGAATATATCGGCGAACATTGAAGTGTGAGGAGCCCGATGGCAAGTATGGGGGAAGCTGGGGACCGTGCAGAGGAAATAATACCTGAAGTGGCCAAGAGGTATCATAATGAAAGAACAAGCGATTTAAAATGGCATGCGGGATACAGGGCAGACCAATAGGTGGAAGCGGGCGAAGTGCATTTTTTACAAGACACAAAGCCAGTAAGAAGAGTCCAGCCCCCACAAGTTGCCATCAAGAATCACTGAATCAGTGACAGGGGAAGAAATAAAATAAAGATTTTTTTGGGAAGAATTAAAAAAAAAAGAAAGAATATAGCGAGATCGAGAGAGTGGAAATCCATAGAAAATCACAATTTAAAATCAAATAAAATAAAATAAAATAATATCATTAAATCCACACCAGATCCTCCCCCCGATTCCCCCCAATGCCAATTAACCCCCAGATCCACCAGAAATTAAATTCAGAAAATTATGATATTGAAAATTAAAACAATGAAAATAAATAGCGTGATCTTCTTTTTCTAAAAAAAATCATTAAATATTAAATAAAGAAAAAAAAACATAAATCGTAAAATCGTTGGAAAATAATGATTCAAGAGATAAAATACTGAATTTCAAGCTAAAGATCGTTCGTAGACGCCATCAAAATAGATCTAACGTCTTGGTACTGTATTGTAGTCCCTCTGCTCCAGTGCATGAGTCAGTTTCAGCCTCCCAACTGGTTCGTTGCCGGCAATCACTTCTACTCGTCGCTCTACTACTTCTACCTCACCTCCACCCTGCTTCTCTTCCCTTCAACCCAACCTTGATTTCTTATTTATTCAAGACCCGCCCCAGGTCCACTTGTCTCCTCAACCTATTCTTTTGAATATCTGCCTTCTTCTCTACACTTTGTGGATCTCTAAGACAGACTTGCTACCTCTTCCCGTCTATCCAATTAAGTCTTATTGTCTCTCTGTTTGTCTCACTCCATCTCCCGTGTCGAACAAACCTCTTTCGGCCGTCTTCTTATGCAAGACTGCTTGCCACATTGCTAAGAAGCTGCAAGGCAACCTGCCTGCCTTTCTTCTTCTTCTTCTTCTTCTTCTTCTTCTTCTTCTTCTACATCTTCCCTCCTTCTTCTGGAATCTTTCTAGATTAGTTCTCTATCAGATTGAACTAGCCGTTGTTTAGGCACTCTCCTCCCTTCTTTTTTTGATTCTCCAAGATCAAAAGCCTTCTCTATCATCGAGAGCAAATATGTCTGCAGTTTCTTCTCCAGAGTTTCCTCCGTCCCCTCCAATGGACGGCGGATTGCCAGGACTTGGTCCCTCAGACGCTCCTCCTTCGCCCCCAAGTGAGCGGATTGTTCAGCGGTCTCTCCGAGAGGCTGGCCATGGCCAGTTTCCATGCTCTAGTTATATCCCTGGTGCTGGTATCTATGGCTCCCAAGCCCATGAAGTATTCCAGCAGCCGCTCCCTTCTGTTGAGGTAAGCTCCATCAATGTTTCAACTTGACAACCGTACTTGGATTTTGCAGCTGACAGCTTCTAGATGTATAATTCTCCCCCCGCCCGCCTTCTACCAACAGGATGCCCCTCGATCTTACCCTGTAAGTATCCTCATGTCCATCGAAGTCGCAACGTATAACTGACAGTCATAGACTCAAATGTCACCAGGTCAAGAAGTGAGCACACCTGCATCTAGTACGCCTGATGATGACTCCAGCCCAAGCTGGACATCGTCACCGCGTTCAAAGCAGCAACGCCGTCGCCTGCCACCCCGAGCAAAGGCACCCCGCTCACCCCGTGGACGGAAGAGTCGCCCCCAAAAGGATTCTTCATGTTCTATTCACCTCAGTGCTCCCTTCAGTCAATCAACTGCACACCTTGCCGATGTTCCTCTTAAGGACATGCATGCTTGGGCTACTAGACCTGATCAGCAACGCTATGATGAAGTAAAGAGAAGGAGAAAGGTTGCCCGTCCTATGAATGCTTTCATGATGTACAAGTCGGCCTACTCAGAGCGAGCCAAAGCTTTCTTGAAGATGAAAAACTTCCAGGATGTCAACAAAGCTCTTGGTAAGAGCTGGAAAATGGAGCTTGAGGAAGTTGCGAGTTACTATATTGAAATGTCCAAACTTGAACACAAGAATCATGCCACCGCACACCCTGATTACCAGTTCAAGCCCAAGAAGGGCCCGGCGATGGCAACTCGTCCTATGACACCGACTCCAAGCCACACCACAGCAGCTTTGATGGACTACGGCAGCCCATCCTCTCAATGGACCGGTGACCTTGACTTCAGTTCTCCCCCTCCTTCGTATAATCATGGGCGATCCCAGAGCATGGAGTTCGGCGATATGCACGTTATGCGATCGCACTCCAACACTCCCTTCGAACATCCAGAGATGACATCTAGCTATCCATCATGGAACGGCTTCCCCTCTTCCGCTCCTACCATTCAGCCAAGTGCTTTACAAGGAAACATGGCATCTAAATCCGAGGACATGCGGCACTTCAAGTGCTCAACTCCATTGCCCGAGGAGATTCATTATGGCGTGCCTAGCGGCCTTAACGGAATCCCCGGTGAAGCTCATCATGATCTGATGCAGCCTCAGCACATGCAATCCAGTGGAATTAATCCTCAGATGCTCGGATACACTCAGGCCAACGGCGTGTCGATGGAAATGACTCCTACTTTTAATACGATTCCAAACCCTTACCCTGTTTGGGATAACTCACCTGCCACTCACGGCTTTCTGACTGCACCGCCTTCAACGCCAGTTTCTTATCATGTTGGAGTGTCGGCTACTGCTTTTTCTCCGGAGTTGCATCGCAACCCCTCATGGGACCCTAGCCACCATAGCTCCCACGACCTGGATGACTCCTGGATCGAGCTTTAAGTGGCCCTTAACTTTGGGTATCTCTGGAGAGTGATAACTCGTAAATCTGCATACGAGGACGAGGAATGATTTAAACTGCGGAGGACTTTTCATTTATTCAGCGGAACGAGGCATGGTGGGCTGGCTCATACACCGCCGCTCGGTTTCCTCGTCAAGATGACGAGCAAGCCGAGGAGCGGGTGGCTACCCCGATAGGTTTTGTGGAACGAAATCCAAGAGAGGAATTGGGAATCTACGATATTTTCATTTTTACTCTATCCCTTTTGTTTCCTTTGTCTATCGGACTCTTGATTTCTATTTCTTTGTTCCATTTCAAGATCTTTTGGGTATTTTGTCGGAGTTGGAGTGTGTGTTATTTGGAGTGTGGCGTCCTACCATTTAGGTGACTCTTATTTTTGTCAAGAGACTATTCCAAAGAGACTGATATGGAAAAAAGGTTACTTTTCAGGGGCTTTTTGGAATTGAGGATACATGTTTTGGCGTTGTTGGCTGAGTTAGGGTGTCTATTATGCTAGGAAATTTGGACAAAATTGACCATTTGCTCATGTTCATGTTCATGCAATGTACTATTCTTGAAAACAGAATCAGAAAAAGCCAAAAAAAAAACCAAACGAAGGCATTCGGTGTTTCGGTAAATCTTTCTGTCTGTACTACATAATTCCTGCATCTTCCCTGGAAGCCCTAAATCCGGTCAAACTCCCTCACCGCCCGCTGCGCCGTTCGCCGTTTGTCACCGCCTCCATCATCCAAGTGCCAGGGTGAATAGCATCGTCAACATTTAATTCTACGTCATTCCAGTGAGAGGAAAACAGAAAAGTCCACATCGCCAGCAAACATTGTAGCTGACGACCCACCTGATCAACCTCCGGGCTTCAAACATATAGTCGGGATTTTCTCCGCTACCCCACCACTCAACCCCTCCTTTCCACGACACGCAAACACATACCGACTCCCTAATCACAATGTCGATCCCACCCGAAGCTTTGCAGAAGGTAAAGCCCATTGCCTTAACTACTTGAAGCTCTATGTAGATTTACGGTTACCCGAGATGAAACCACTAACAACTCGCTTCACAGCTCCTGCAAGAGATTGAAACCCGTGCCATCGCCTCACAACAGCAAATCGGCATCACCAAGGCCCAACTCACTGCCAAGCAACGTGATATCCGCATGCTACAACTGACATCGAAGGAACTGTCAGAGCTTCCCTCCGAGACCAGAGTGTACGAGGGTGTAGGCAAGATGTAATTCTCTATCTAGCATGTTCAATTTGTTTCCCAGCTAATAATCCTAGGTTCGTCAATGTGCCCATCAACACCGTTAACAAACGTCTTACCCGCGAGAGCGCCGAGTCTACATCCGATATCTCCAATCTGGAGAAGAAACTGCACTACCACGAGACTACGCATAAGAACAGCCGGGAGAACTTTGAGCAGATCCTCAAGTCTGGAGGGAGGTCGTGAGATGGATTGAATATAATATGATACCATAATGGAGTTTCGTGCGATGGGGATGTTCATATTTCCTGGTCCCTGGGGAGGATCTTCTGCGGACTCGCAGCCCCTTGCTTTGACGCAGATGTCAAAATGCATGAGTTTTACCTTCGGAAATTCTCGAGTTCTCTATGCGGAGACTGCGGACTGCGTTGAGGAGAATAAAGGTAGCCGGTCCCTGCTCACGGGTTGAACTGATTCCTAGTTTGGAGCTACGGAAACCATGCGATTTGCCGACCTTGGATACCCAAAAAATGACTGGAAAAGAATTGAAAATCTAGCAGATGACAGTCATGCTTGCCTATCTATGTATGAAAATGAATACTTGCTTGTCGCCACACACATATGCCTCTCTTGTCTACTCCAGAGTTAAGAGCTAGGCCGATGGACCTGTCGACGCTCATGTCTACCACTATCTCAATATATGGAGAGACTACCTACACAAAGTGATTGTAAAGCCCCATAGCATGTAGTAATAGTATACCTCTGGCATGGAGCTTCTTCCTTCTTCCATCTCTCGATGCAGAGAGTTTCAGCAAACATCAATACCAATACCGGGCCTGTGATCTCCACACAATCTCCATGTCTTTGTCTCGCTTCCTTCTTTCCCCCTTCTCTTTTGAGTTGTCACTATCCATCAAATGCCGCTCAACCCTGGATTCCAAAGATGCCTTGAACTCTCGCGTAATGTGGATAATCGGGGTCACTCAGGCCCAGCTGCGGAGACGGTATCAAGTTATACCGACACCTATCACAGAAATCGAGCTTCGGTTCTGCTTGACGCTCTATAATCTCTGGCTTTTTTCATGCCCCTATGATGCAATATAATGAACCTGGGGATACTGGAACATCCATAAAAACCTTGGAATCACCACCTTCAATCTCGTACATACTTCTCTCAGGAGTATTAAAGGAAGGATCTATTCTCGAAGAACGTCAAATAGCTCGTCATTAAAAGAATATCACTCTCTATGGCTACCGAGAAGCCAATCCCAAAACTAAAGAAACGTTTGTCTAGGCAGTGAATGATAACCATAACCTCGAATATTTCCTCTAATTAACACGTCACAGCTATAAGAGCGCATCCTTTTCTATTTTTCACTGAGATTCCTCGTCGCCTTCCGTTACAACAGCTTCTTCTGAGGTCTAACACGAACATATCTCTACCCCGAACAAGTCTCTACTACGAACGGATCTCTACTACAACAGTCTTGGAGCCATCATAATGACAAAGCTCCACGCAAACTTGGGAGAGCTGCCCGTCGAACTGATCAATGAGATAGTTCAACATTCAGGCGTGATAGATGTGATCTGCTTGGCGCTATGCAATAAATGGCTTTCTAGTATCATCTCTGTATAATGTAACGTGAATTTTCAATTGCAATAAGCTTCAAAATAGAAGTTTATCCATCGGATCCCCACCGCATAGCTTCAATGTTGATCAAAAACATTTGAATATAGTTGTTATGTATGCAGCGTTTAGTCTACACCTGGTGACACCAGTTGACAGGCGTCAGCCCTTGGCCCCTTACATAATCCACAATCAGGATTGAATAAACCAAGTAAACTCCATTTGTGAAAGATGCAAATAATCAAAATTGATGTGGCTAATATTCCTGGTGATGTGACACGAACCCGACAGGGCGCCATTGTCGTCATTGTTGCGCATTATCTTGACCGTTTTTCTCTTCTTCTCATCTGACGGTGACGGATCGTCGCGCCCGATATTAAATATGACGTCTTTCTGCTGCGTGTATAACAGGCTAGATCCCTGCTTGGCTTGCTGGTTGGTATTATGTATCAGAAGTTTATTATCTATTATCTGTTTAATTTGTTGAGCTGGTATTCGATATTGATGGTGGTGGGGTGCTAGTATTTCTGGTGGGTCCTGTCTACTATGATCTTGTTGATTTGGTTCTTGATTTGGTTCTTGTAGTACTAGATTGATGTGTATTTTGTACGGGTTGCAGATTAGATGATATTGACTCGGAGGGTTTTGAAAAGTCTATTTCTATTTCATATCCAACTGGATCGGTGGATTACTGCTTTGAAAAAAAAACCATAATCCCTATAGATGGATGTAGTGTGCTGCGCTTCGAGTTTGCCTGATCTACTTGCGCTATAATTTGGCGAAATCTAGGACTAATATTTTTTTGAGAAAAGAATTCCATAAGCACAAGTAGAAAATTGAGGATCTTGCTTTCTTGTAATGTTGTGTAGTCAATGGACTTTGTTCATGTAGTCGCGCGCCAGAATCCTTTCTTTATCTCGAGATGTACCTATACTCATACGAAGGCAAAGAACAGAAAAGAACAGAAAAGCCATCCGAACGAACCACGCTCTGTCCAAAGCCGGAAAAAGTACCCTAGTAGCCCCAGGCTGGACCTTTCCATGAATCCTGCCCGAATTAGCAGCCACATCTCCCAAAGCATGCACATAGTCATCCTTAGCGCCGAGATGAAGAGCCGCCGACTAGTAGGTACAGTAGTTCAAACTCCGCGAATCGCCCATGAACCAGGGGTGCATACAGATACTGAAGTTGCCATTCCCCCTCTATTCTAAGAAGCGACGAAGGCCAACGAAGTGGAGAGATCGACAATAGCGCGATCCTATGCATCGTGCCTTGATCATGTGTTCTATTCTTGACCGTGGGTTCGACATTCTAGTGCTTTTACATACTCCGTAGATGAATGACCCGGCCGATGAGCGCTTGGAATGTGAACCATGTGCGAAAGTCACGCGTTTCCCTGGATCATTCGCGGGAACACCCGACCGTGCCTTGGTTCAGCTATGAAGTTCTATCAGATTCCAGATGAGATTCGAGATTCGAGACTGCCTCAAGAACTCGGCCCAAGCTCCATCTTCAGGCTATCTTTGTGCCCAAATGCCCTTTCTAAGTGCATTTTCATAGTTCAACTCGTACTCCATTCAGCCCATATTAAAACATGAAGGCTCAGAACCAGTGCCTAATGTTAATTTTGAACATTTGTACCTATTTCTTTTACTCGATTCTAACAAGATCAACATGATCTTGGGCTTCACGTCTGAGATCCGTTTCAAGAGACGCTGCCCCGCTTCTTAGCGCTGGCCCTATACTAGTTCGTATCCAGAAGACATGGATAGTATAGTAAATATAGCACAGTGATGATCTTAGAAACTCAAATCCAACGAAAAAGAGGAAGAAGAATAAGGATAAGAATAGCCGCTTAGGACTGTATTGTTTTCTATCGCTGATTCTGATTCGCATGCATGGATGTGATGGTGGGGTATCCACGGGGAATTTGTAACGCCCTAATGTATCTGAAGGCTACGGAAACCGGAGGACGGAGTAAGGAGACAATAGATTGGGTGCATTGGACTGCCAGGAAGTGGGGCAGTCCGTGGCTGGTGACGATGATGCTATCCCGCGCGAAACCTTGGAAGAGAGGGAACACAGGATTACTTTTATGATTGGAGTAACTGGTATAGAGATTGTTTTTGCAACTATAATTTTTGATTTTTAACTATAGAAGAATATATAGAAAATAAAGGCGTATTTTGAAGAAGTTCGAGGGTTAATGCGGGCTTAACAGGGCTGGAATCTTGCATGAAGCATAGAGTCTGACATGGACCCATGAGGCTGAAAGGAAGGGAATTGACGAGCAGAAGAAGAAGAAGAAGAAGAAGAAGAAAAATTAAAAGAAAAATCGAAAATTGAAAATCGAATTTCCCATTTAAATCTTTCTGATCAAGCCTTTTCCTCACCAATAAATAGTTAAACGGTGCTTCCCCCCTCCCTCTTGTCTTCTTCTCTTTTAACCCAATCCCAGCCCCTCCACCCCTCAGCTGAGCGGCGATCCCGATAGCCTCGTGTTCACACACAATCTCTGCTGACATTTGACTTTAATTATTATTTCTCTTCTTTCTCGTTTCTTTTTTCCTCTCTTAAACTCTCCCGCTATTTACTATCCCCGCTCTTCAGCCCTCTGATCGAGTCTCGAGTGTGCTTAGGCCCTCATCACACTCCCCCCTCCACCAGGGTCCCGAATACATACATCAGCGCTATCTTCACTCATATTTAAATTCAACTACCTCAACCACCCAAAATGCCCCTCGAATATATTTATTCCTCGGATGAATCTGAGATCTCCGAGACAGACATCTCGCTCCGCGGTCGAAATGGCCACGCCCATACCCGCCGTCGCTCTGTTTCCCGCCACCAGCAGCGCCGCCCCGAGGTAGTAAAAGAATACCTAGCACCTGCCCCGCAAACCCGCGTCTACCGCTCACACTCCACGGGCGGAAATCGTCGCCGCGAGCGCGACAATGGCCCATCCGTGATGATTGTCAACGAGCAAGCTACCCGCGCCAGTGGTAGTGGCAGTGGTGGCAGCGGTGGTACCGCTGCTAATAGCAACAAGCCCAAGACACGCATGCAACAGAAGTACTACGACGAGTCGGAGGAGGAAGAGTTCGAACCAGTGCGCAAACATAGCCACTCCCGACACCGTGCTGCGAGTGGCTTATCGGCCAATGTGAACGTTGGGTCGTCGAGAACTCCTTCGCCGCTTCATCGAGACTACGAGCTTGTCATGGGACAACGGATTCTTGAGAGGTCCGATTTGAAGCAGGATATGGATATTTGGAAGCATCAGCAGGAGATCGAGAGATTGGAGCGAGAGCTGGAGAAGCATCGCGAGATACCTGAGCCGCCGCGGGAAGGGAAGGAAATGAGACGATTCCGGGAAGAGGAGCAGTTATATGAAGATGAAATTAGTGAGCGGCTGCGTAGGTTGCAGCGTATTGAGCGGAAGTCGAGAGAGGAAGAGGGAGCTAAGAAGGCCGAGAAGGCCTGGCGATTGCAGCATCTTGAGGATGCCGAGAGAGAAGAGGAGACTGCTCGGAAGGCCGAGAAGTCATGGCGCCTAAGGAAGTTGGAGGAGACTGAGAAGGCCGAGGAGGCGCAGCGCAAGGCAGAGAGAGCGTGGCGTATGAAGAAGTTGGAGGATGCCGAGAGGGAAGCTGCTGAGAAAGAGGAAATGCAGGAGAGAATCAAGAAGGAGAAGCTCGAGGAGATCGCTCGTCAGCAAGAAGAGGATGCCGAGAGGGAGAAGCTGAAGAAGCAGTTCCTTGAGGAGGAACGGCAGAAGGCCTTTGAGGCAGATGAGAAGAGAAAGAAGGAAATGATGCTCAAAGCTGCTGCTGTTGAAGAGTGGAAGCTTGAACAAGAACGTATGAGGCAGCGACAATTCGAGGAGGCTGCGAAGAGAGATCGTGAATTCCGGGAGCGACTACGGAACGATCTTGGATATAATGAAGATGAAATTGCGCATATCCTCAGTAAGAAGAAGCGCGACGAGGAAAAGAAAGAAAAAGATGGAAAGGAAAAGAAAGATAAGGAAAAAGAGACTAAGGAGGTTGAGGAGCGAAAGACCACTTGGATCAAGGTATGTGCTTCCCTTAATGGAGTGTCTGTGTTCGTGTCAGCTAACTCAATACTAGGTTCACCGGAAGCATCTCCTTCCAGAGACCTTGCTGGCATACAATCTTCCCTGGGACTGGGACGAGGTAAGCTATACATTTAGCATGTCCCTCCATATCCCAGAACACCATGTACTAACTCCTTCCAGCATGACAGCAACTATATCATTATCAAGCGATGGGTCACCGAGGACTTCCAAGAAGAGCTCTTCGGCCACACCAAGCGCATTCGCGACGGCAAAATTCTCACCGAGACCTCCCACTCGCAAACCGAGCTCAAGGTTAACGACGACCGCAAAGACAGAATGTACCTTGTGCGCAAGAAGGGCCCTAAGCACAAAATTCACTTCTACGCTAAATAAGCTACTGACGGCTTTCCGCTATTCCGCCTGCACTCAACCCTAAATACATTCTGACAGCTATGGACGGATCTGTTATTGGTTTGGTTTATTTCATCTATTGATGTGTCTGGTCTTCTTTTCTCTCTGACATATCTTGATTTTTATTGGTTGTTTTTTATTTACCTCGCTTGCTACGAGACCCAGACCATATGCTTTGTGAGATTTTGTTTTGGAGTTGAGATTTCTTTCTATTTTTTTGGAGCTGGCTGTTTCACAAGTGGTACAGTAACGAGACACGAGTTGATGACATTCTCTTTTTTTCATGATATTGTTTTTATGATGCCAATCGCATCATACTCCGCTCCATTCTATCTATGTATCCAGCCATTTTCGCCCAAGTTTTATATTTCTTCTTTCTTCACAAAATAGGCCCATTTTATAGATCGGAGATCCACAATCGTGCATTATAGCCCCAGTTCACAGACTGAATGGAGTAAGGGGTAGAGCTTCCAACGGTAGATAGACATACATAGTCAAGTTCGATCTGCAGATAGATGCAGAACGCAAGGCACACCGCGGGTTGACCGAACGTAGTACCCACAAAATGCGCAGAGCTATTTTCACAGAAATCGTACATATAATAATACAACTGACCAAGGTATCAGGTCATAACGGAATGATTTCAGGTACTCAACGGCAACTGGTGATTCGTCGCCCACCTATTTTCAGCCTGAAGGATAAGTTCCTCGTACACTGTCCAAGCCAGTGCCGAACTGAGCGCTTTCCGCGTCATACGGAGACCCAGTCCGCCGAAGAGACTGCGCATACCATCCTCGTGCACCATCAGCCGGACAGCGCGGAGCATATTCCCATACTTTGCCGGCATGAGCTGTAACCGGGTCTTCACCGCATCGAAAGGATTCGTAATAGCAGTAGCCAAACCAGCCGAAAAAGCCCCGGATGCGAAATGGATATACGACGATGATACACCAGACGTCTCATTGTTACCGGCTGTCATGGAACCAAGTCTGCGCTTGAGCTGCTCGTAGATAAGCACGTATAGACCTGCGTACGGAGCATCACGAGCTGCCGTCGCTCCAAAACCAGCAAAGAGTCCGCGAAAGCCTTCCGTCCTGACGATATCTCGGCCAGCGCCTATGAGACTGCGATAGGCGTAGTAGTCTGATTCATAGCGGACTTTTAGAACGGTAACGGGCATCATGACGAAGCCTGCTGCGACTCTGGCGACGGCACCCGTGGCGAGATTAGCGGTGTTGGAGAGTTTGGGGAGCGCGGAGGAGGATTTAGCTGGGGTTGCGTTTGTGAGGAGGGGGGCGTTGGTTTGGGCAACTGTTTGGCGGAGGGCGTTGAGACTGGTGAAGTAGAGGGCTGAACCGAAGCCGGTGCGGAGTGCCGAGGGGAGTGTGCCACGCCATAGTCCACGGACTGGATTTGGGGATGAAAGGATGACTTTTAATGTTGGGAGGAGAGCTTGTTGGGATTGTTGGACGCGGGTTTTGAGAAGGTCGGCGGGTTGAAGGAGGATGGAGGATGTGAGGCCTGAACAGAGGCCGGCTGTGAAATGGAAGATGGTTTTAGAGGCTTTGAAGAAGTTAGTCTTGTGGGCTTCTTGAATTGACCGAAGAGGTGTTAGGATTGCAATTGTTGACTTACATTTTGACGTCCCTGTTTTTACCGGCGCGCCATTGTTCGACATAGCTTCGGTGCCTGCACCGTACTAATTACCGGGCGATTAGTATCTTTGTATAGCGCAATATGATCGAGGATCAGAAGTTGAGGATAGGACGAATGTTCCTATATGATTTGTGCAATTATGGCGGGATGGAAGGGTTTGAAAACGTTGCTGTCGCCGCGGGCAAGCGGGAAAAGAAAAAACACCGGAACTGAGGTTTGTTGAGGTCGATAATGAAAGAGCAAAGTTATTCCGGTGGGACAACAACAGATTATCAAGGACAAGAATACTCAACCCCTCAGAGGATGCCTTGGACACCCTGGGATGTTGTTGAAGAGCAAAATGGTGTAAGATTGAGGTGAAGTCATCGGGATCCGCGGTCAGAGCCTCGGTATCGATAAGAATCGGGTGCGCTAGTATGATCGGCCTTACATGTTATGATAAACTCAGTTAGAAATGCCATCCCTTGTATTGGACCAGGAGAATTCAGATAGCGTATAGAGACTCTCGGGTTGTATAGTACTTTTCACATATCTCATTCTATCCGTTAAATACTCAAGATTTTTTACTTACTACCTGGATAATCTCATGCTTTACCTATTCTACTAAGTAGGAACCTCCGTAGTGTCCCGTTGCTTTAGGGAGCGTTCTTCGACCACTTTAAACCCCCCCCATTTTATAAGCTCAAATTAAAAAATATCTGAGTGGCAGCATCAACTACATGTCCACGAATATCATACATTGATGCGTTTTGTACTTTGATACCGCAAACCGGCATCTCGCGGAACCCAATCAGATCCCGCTGAGGTTGCAGGTGCAATCGACGTCATGTGCAGCAGGCGAAGTAAGGCTAACTTTGTGGCCAACGCCGCATCTTTTTCTTTACTGTCATGAACTCTTACCTTTTTCCACACCACAACCATGCCGTGGTCTATTCCCCATATCCCATACCCGTCGTCTAAGCCTGGGTTTTGGAGTCCCGTCACCTCTACTCTCAACTGGTGCGAAGAGGTAGATCAATCATCCCACTTCGCCGAATATTGAGCTTCTAGGACCTCGGCTAATAGCTTTCTCTAGGATTACTATGCCACCGTTTATGCCGCTGAGATCGTTAACACCTTGACCAACCTCCTCTTCATGTGGTTAGGTATCAAGGGTATAATGAGCTGTCGGCGCAACCAGCATGCGCAGGTCTTCCAGGTAGCCTTGGTGGGATACTTGGTGGTAGGAACGGGCAGTTTTTTGTTCCACTCCACGCTGAAATGTCAGTACCATCTCTAGTCCAGCCATCAAATGTCTTGCTATTTCAAATTGCTATCCCTGCATTGCTTAAAACATTGTTTTGAATTCTAGCTGACCGCTATATGCCGCTCAGACCCCATGCAACTAGTGGATGAGCTATCAATGATTTATACGACATGTTTGATGGCCTACGCGAGCTTCTCCTATACTCGCCCGCTGAGTGTGCGCGTTGTTCTAGCTGTCTCGCTCACATTCCTATCCGTCTTTATTACCCTATATTATCACTATCTTCAGGATCCAGTTTTCCACCAGAATGCATATGCAATTCTCACAACAGTTGTCGTCCTGCGCAGCATGCATACGATGGAAGTTACCCTTCGACCCCGGTGGCGTAAGTCGCGGGAGGAAGACCGACTGTATAGACAGAAGCAAGGACTCCCAGTACCCAGCAAAGAACGCCAACACTACGAGAATGTACGAGATATGAAAACCCTCAAGACAATGTGGTTCATGGTGGTTTATGGCCTCACCATGTTTCTCGGCGGATTCGCAATCTGGAACCTGGATAATGTTTACTGCTCCAACATTCGCCGGTGGAGGCGGCAAGTGGGCCTACCGTGGGGTATCTTTTTGGAAGGCCATGGTTGGTGGTATGTAGTCTTTTTGCTTCTTCTATCCTTGCTCCAAGCCTTGCACTTGCCAGGAGTCATAGATGTCTGACGTTACATTTCTCATATGATATGATTACTAACTCGACTTTCTAGGCATATTATGACTGGTATCGGCGCATATCTCTACATTGTCTGGGGTATCTGGCTACGACACTGTCTCAACGGACACCAAGACGACTATCATCTGCGTTGGGCGCATTTTTGGCAAATCCCAGAAGTTATTCGTACCACACCTGCAACAGAGACCAGCGTATCCCGAGACAAAAAGTCTACCTAAAACTTTACTGGATTGGGCGCAGGTGATCGGGTCTGAGTGGCTTTGTTATTGCCCAATTGCCTTTCGCATCATCCCTTGCAAATGACGACTAGCTACGAAAAAGATCGCAATATGGACCATGCATTAAGAGTAAAAAGCTTTGGTGTTTTTCTCGCTCCGTCGCTTTCGGATGTTTACCCCTGGACCTACTTACTACCCTCTTTGGACGATGGATGAAACCCTCTGCAGCTCATTGTTGCACATGTCTTGTACTAGACGCAAAAAACCCCCCAAAACAATACAAAACAGGAATTTGCTGATCATAGATATATGTTCTTCCTCCGGCTTGTGGGTTTCACTGGCTTTTGAGAGAAGATTTTGGCGCGAGGTCATTGTTATAGAAGGGAGTTGGGCTTCTTGTATTCGCCTTTCTGCTTCTTTGCATGCTTTGACTTTACTAGTTTCGATGTTCCAGATTACCCACTTAGTTAGGAAACATATCCAATAGAAATATCGATACCCTTTGCATGATCCTAAAGCATAAGGTCTTGCGAGCAAACGATGAAGAGGCCGCTGCCCTTATAATAATTGTCTACTGCGTAGTGGGGTTACGAGCAAAGGGCACATAAGCCTTACCCAGGTCTAGTGTCTGCATGTAGGTATGAAGGCAATATCCATTACTTGTAGATTTCCCAAGTGAGAAATTACAAAGAGATAGCATGAATTCAATAATTTTACACATACGTCGCATATGATCTTTGTCTAGAATATGCTCGTCTCAGAGCAAGATATGTTATTGACATTTCAAATGCTATTCTTTAGTTCCAAAGCCCCACCTGCAAGGCGTACTCCAGGGCCGTACACTTCCGTTCGATCTCTCGTGTGCCTCCTCAACTCAAAACTAAAAAAAATTGAAACAGATCGAGCCAACAAATGCAACAACTGCAAGTGAAACATTCGAAAAATGACCTATCTGTTTGTTCTCTCATCACTTGAAACTTCGGTATGATACATCCGCTGTTTATACAGTCGTTTGTACCCCGGCCTTCACGTGACCAGGCGTCGGGGAGTTCACGCGCGGCGCGTTTCTTTTTTGCGATCCGATTTCCCCCAAACTCCAAAGCAACATCAGAGAGGCATCGCCAATCATGCCACAGTCAGCGGAGGAGCCCAAGCTCTTCGACCAGTGTAACGTATGCATTGTATGCACAGATTCGTTGCCCCTCGAGGCTGCTGAACAGGTATGTTTAACGCCGATGATCTGTCGCACGCGCATTTCAAGATGCTCACATTCAGATCAAACGCGCAGCTAGCAGCAGTCATCGAAGAATACGGAGGCGAACCATCCATTCATCACTCGACGCCGACAAAAGACGATACAACCGCATGCTCGCATATCATCTCTAACACGATAAATTTCGAGACCTATGACCTTGCCTCCAAGGCGTTGATCCCAGTGGTAAAGCCCTCATGGGTTCATACTTCTCTACAAAAACGAAAGCTCGCCAACCCTCGGCAGCACAGTCCAGACCCCCGTCTTTTCCTGAATGATGTGGTGGTTACCTGCGGTGACATCCCCGAGGGCGACAAAGATGCCATCATCGGTGGAGTTGTGGCTAAGGGCGGGTTGTACAGCTCTCGCATGTCAGCTTTAGTCACCCATTTGGTTGACTTGACAGTCACGTCGGATAAGGCGCGCCTGGCTCAGACTAAGAAGTTGCGTATTAAGATCATCTTACCTCATTGGTTAGTTCGTCCCATATGGCTTTGAAGAAAGACTTTGCTGATCCAAACTAGGTTTGATGACTGTCTGAAACTTGGCCAGCGGATAGATGAGCGCCCATACATCCTTCCGGATCCCGAGATCTTGCGCGCCGATCCAGATGACCCTATTCGGGGATTCGGAAACAAGGGTCTGGCTGGTGCATCAACACCCGAACCGGCCGCTTTGCCTACCCAGAGTAACGGCGTCGAGGGTACCAACCAACGCAATGTGTTTGATGGGAAATGCATAATGTTGTCTCCTGACTTAAGCATTGGCACGCATTTGCTAGAATCCATTGAAGCAGTGGTCAAGCGAGGCGGCGCAACGATGACGGGCAACGTGGCTGAGGCAGATTGGATTATTTGCCGCTTTCGCGAGGGGTTCGTCTATCGAACTGCGTCGCGTTTGGGGAAAGAAGTTGGCAATTTGGCGTGGCTGTATTCGCTCATGACTTTCAACGAGTACACCCGGCCCCTAAGCAGAATGCTTCACTACCCTGTATCACGCGCGCCAATTCCTGGTTTTAAAGGTCTGAAGATAAGTCTGTCAAACTATGTCGGCGAAGCTCGCATTTATCTTGAGAACTTGATCGCTGCGGCTGGTGGTGAGTGCACAAAGACACTGAAGCAGGAAAACACTCATCTCATTACGGCCCACGGGTCGAGCGAGAAGTGCACTGCAGCCAGGGAATGGGGTTTGCAAGTTGTGAACCATCTATGGCTGGAAGATAGCTACGCCAACTGGAAGATGCAGCCCGTATCTGACCCGCGGTATAATCACTTCCCTTCTCGAACAAACTTGGGTGATGTGGCTGGCCAGAAAATGCTGGATAGGGATGTCTTGGAGAAAAACTTTTTCCCATCCGAAGACACTGAACAATCAAGCTCTCCTCCACCGGTCTTGCAAGATCACCCCAGCAATGTACCGACAATGCCGCCCCCTGAAAAAAAGCAGAAGGCTGGTAAGAAGGCTTTGGAGGCCGACCAAGGCACCCCAAAAGCTACTGCCAAGGGTCGTCAGGCCGTGGACAAGAATGCGCAAACTCCTGCCGGTTCCCGGCTCATTCCAGATGAGATGGACATTGATACGCCATCGTCCACCAACAGTCGCAAGTCCAAAGAGGCAGCAATTGCGCATCTGCACGAACTCGCCCCAGATATCGCCTTGTATGAAAAGGAGAAGAAGCGTGTCGGGGGCGTCATTCATGGCGGTCGACGGAAGTCTGATGAAGACCGCGTGCGCGAAAACCCCAAGAAGCGCCGCTCGGTTGAGTCAGAGGCAGAAAGTGAAGGAGAACAAGTCAACGATGCCAAACGACCAAAAAAATCTCGACCGGCGATTTCAATGCATTTACTAATCACTGGCTACCAAAAATGGGTTGGAAAGGGCAACGAGAAGAAGGAAGATGCAGACAGGGTATGTGAATATTTCTTATATTACATTGAAAGGGGAAAGGCTGACAATACGATAGCGACATCTCCGAGACCTGGGTATCATGGTTGTTCAGGATGCCCGCCGCTGCACCCACATGGCTGCTCCATCTATTCTGCGGACTACCAAATTTGTTAATGCCTTGGCATATGCTCCTCTCATTATCAGCACGGATTTTATCACAAGCTGTCTTGAGGAAGACGAGTTGCTAAATCCCGCCGATTTCAAATTAAACGATAAAGCAGCAGAGGCTAAATTCGGGTTCTCTTTGGCCAAGGCCACAAATAAAGCGAAAGACAATAAGAACAAAATGTTACACGGTTTCCGCATCTACTGCGTGGAAGACGTGCGTGGGGGCTTCGATGCGTTTAAATCCATTGTGGAGGCTAATGGAGGAGAATGCTTGCTCTTCCGTGGTCGCCTTGCTTTGACAAATCCTCCCCGGCGGGAGGAAAGCGACGACGAAGAGGAGATGGATGACTACACACCCGGCCGACACGACGTCTTCCTGCTCAGCAGTGCTGAAACTAAACATGCTCGTCTTTGGCCTCGCTTCCGCCAGGTTGCCGGTGATATCAAGCGCGCCCCAAAGATTGTCCGAGTCGACTGGTTACTTGACATGGCCATGTCACAAGAGCTGAAGAGTGCGGATGAGTACGAGCTGACGGAGGATATGGTTGGCAAGGATGACCAATAGAGATACCTCTTCTCAGATCATATCGGTTGAGACTTTGCGATTATGCAGAGATCATGTAAATGTTAGGCGCAAGGTCCGGCGTTGGCCCGCACACATTGTGAATATTTTGAGCGTTTTTTTATCACGAATAGCCACGTCCTTCAGAAGAACTTGACACCTTCCTGTCCCTCACTTCCGAATACTTGCGCCTTGCCGCGCTTAACTAGGATATTCAACGTCTTCATCATAGCTTCGTTGTCCATGCCGTAGAACTCTGTAAACAGAATATTAGTATATAATATCCCAAAGAAGAATGATTGATCGCACCTTGAGACTCAGTTGCTTCTCCTTGCAAAAGTTCATAAACCGTCAACACTGCTCCCTTCTGGCCAGTCCCTTCCACCCAATCTACTACAACATCCGCCCATTCCTCCGGTCGTCGCCACCAAATCCATGCTACAGCCTTCGGGCCTTGACTTCCACTGGAACCATCAATCCATTCCGCACGCCGACCTCCGCCTCCTTCCTCTTCACTCTTAGTCATCCAGTCTATCACATTGCGAGCTTCGCGGAGATCTAGACGCTTGCGCAGAGAGGCATTATGAAAAAGCGGACTATCCACAGCTTCAACGAGAGAGAGCCGGTATTGTTTATGGTGTCGGCACCAAGCTTGAATCAACGAGGACCATTTTTGGAGTTGAGCTTCACGGGTATTGGTGTTTGGTTGCGGGGTGAAGAAGGGGGGGAAGTTATAGGTTGGAGGGAATTGAAATGGCGCTGCTGCTGGTGTAGCCATCTTCAAATGATAGATCTGGGGTATATGAAAGAGTAGAAAATGAATCTATGTATGAAAAGCGAAAAGAAGAGAAAAGAAGAAACACTTGAATGAGATAAGAAGAGGAGAGGTCGCAGCTGTCAATCAAGGTGTTGGAACCAATCGGAGTACGTAGTGGGGCACTTCCTCTTCCGCAAATTATTCCTCCTCCACTTCTTAACTTCTTCTTCTCGAACGCCTAACCTCCCTCTGCCTCTCAACACACCCATTGAATCTAGGATTCAATCACCACAATGACGGATACCGTCCCAGTCAAGCGCCAAAAGCGCGCTGAATACCTCAGCCGGATGAAAGAGCAAGAAGTCCCCAGCGAGCACATCAGTATGCCACAGAAGAAATTCTTCCGACAGCGCGCACATGCGAATGTCTTCTCAGACCACAATCTCCGCTAGTTCGTTTAAACCATCATAATCCCTACATATCACTCATTCAGCTAACACCCTTCTAGCCCCCTCTCACCCGCACACATGGACTGGTCCCCGCATTACCCAGCCTACATAAACCCAGACCCCACCCAGAAAACCCTAAGCGGCACTCCCAAGCTCCTCAAAGATGTTGAAGTCGTCGATATAGGCTGCGGATTCGGTGGTCTTCTCGCCGGACTTAGCCCCATTCTCCCAGATACATTAATGGTCGGTATGGAAATCCGCGTATCAGTCCTCGACTATGTGCGCACAAGAATTCACGTTCTCCGCGTCCGCCAGCAACAACTCAAGCTCGGAATCACACCCGAAGCTGCAGAAGAAATAAAAACACCTACCGAATCAGCGCCTGAAGAAGAATCGGGTACCACTACAGCGCTTGTACCAGGGAACTACGAGAATATCACTGGAATCCGCGCAAACACGATGAAGTTCCTTCCCAATTTCTTCGCACGCGGTCAGCTTTCGAAGATTTTTATCTGTTTTCCCGATCCGCACTTTAAGGCAAGGAAGCACAAGGCGCGAATTATTTCCGAAACGCTGAATGCGGAGTATGCATATGTGATGCGGCCTGGTGGAAAGTTATATTCTATTACTGATGTGGAGGAGTATCATCATTGGATTCTGAGACATTTTATCGTGCAGGATGGGGAGGATATTTCGGCTGGATCGTCGAAGTTGCTTTGGGAGAGGGTTGAGGGTGAGGAGCTCGAGCAGGATCCTTGTGTTAAGTTGATGGCTTCTGAGACGGAGGAGTCGAAGAAGGTCACGAGGAATAATGGAAATAAGTATGTGGCTGTTTTCAGGAGGAAGGAGGACCCTGAGTGGTGATTGTGTGGGTTCGAGTTGATTATATGAAGTATGTTGAGCTTTATAAAAGAAAAGATGATTCAGGTGTATAGGCGTTCATTCCCAATGTCTTTATCATGCATTGTCAATACCATGACCAATTCTAAGAACAATAGTAACATTCTGCGCTTGCTAATGCCCGAAGCCCCGAATATAATGAAATAAAAAAAAACTGTAAAAAGAAGTAATCCCAGGGAAATAAACCCCTTGACAAGCATGAACAAAAATTTTGAAGCATGCGCTCAATATCCGAGAGTGAAAAATCAGTAAATCATCACGCAGTTGAAATCATTAAATGGCGTTCGATGTGGGAAGCAAAGTCCATATCTCAACACATTCCGGGTGCTTTCAGACGAATACCCTCACATCGCTCACAGACAGCTAGCTGGACAGGCCCACCAATGATACGACCCTTGGCCGTACGTCTGGGTTCACCCTCACGGACAAAGAAACGGCCATCGGGCCCGAATCCATCTCCACATTCATGACAGACGAAGCAGTGCTCATGCCACTGCCCGCCAATAGCATTAATAACAACATCATCGAGAACATGTTGCTTACAGCCCTGGCAGCGGGAAGAAGTACGCTTAGAATGACAATTGAGACACCAGGCAAAGCCATCGCGTTCAACAAACGGAGTAGTCGAATTAAAGGGCTGAAAAAGGGTTAGAAAGGTGATATTCTGAAGAAAGAAATGGGATACTTACGTCTCCGCATTCGGCACAGAAGAAGTGGCCGACATGCCATTCTGCACCACAAGCAACCACTACCTCGCCCTCAATTGGAGTCTTGCAACTCTTACAACGAGGACTGAAGAGCTCGTGGAAATCTAAATGGCAATAGAACCGGGGTAAACGGTCTTCATCTGGTGAGCTGGCAAGGCGTTCGTCTCGGCTGGCGTTAGGCTCTTCGTAGAATGCAACACACTCCAGCGCTGTCTGGCAATGATAGCAAACGAAACACTCTGAATGGAATCGACAACCTCCGGCTGTGACGATTTTTCCGGAGATTCCCATGGAGCAGGACTCGCAGCGTGCAGTCGGCACCCCAGATCGGCTGTATGGGGTGTAGCACCGATCATGTGGCTCGGTAGCATGTCGTCTTAATGGAGCCGTCGGGACTGGACGACCTGTGGACGGGGGTGCTTGTCTAGAGGGCATGCTTTGTTGCCTTGTAGGGGGGCTCACCTCCGCAATAGAGGGCTCTTTGATATCCGGTACGTTGATAACAGGAATAGGAGGCGGTGCGGTCACTTCAACGCTGGGTGTCACCTCAATACTAGGTGCTACCTCGATTGTAGGGATAGGGGGTGTAGAGACTGGAGATGCTGTCTGCTGGCCCCCGTCGGACTGGCGGTTGGTCTTTGGCTGGCTACCTACTTGCCACTTTGGATCAAAGCTCACAATTGGGCGTCCGACACGATCGCTGACAGCAGAGGGCATGGGAAGGTTCACACTCCGGTCACTGACCCTCTTGCTGGTGGCTGCCCGGATATCATCGCTGCGAATCTCGATACCATCCTTTGTAGGAATTTCTTCTTTGCTTGACGGCTCTGGAGGCGGGGTTGGTTCGTTTCTTATATATCCCGCGTTCCGAGACTGGGTGGGTGGGTTCTTGTGAATATCAAATCGAGAAATTTTGTCGCGCACGCTGCCATTACTATTTCGATCCCGCAGCCAGGGAAGAGGCTTTGAGGTGCGGGCAAACGCGTTGCGGGGTTTACTTTCAGATGCTGCTGCGGAGTCAGGCCTCGAGAACTCGGGTCGGGTATCGGTAGGTACTTTATTAGGACTGGCGGGCTCTTCATAAATGTGGTCATTGGGGTTTCTGAAAACTCCCTTTGAGGAATCCCCACTGACAGTGCGAGGTTTGGGAGCCGGTGCCGGAGGCTCTTCTGGGAGAGCGAAATTGACCTTGAGGTTCTTTTTGGGGTTTCCAGCTAGTGACGATCGTCTTCTCGTGGAAGAACTGGAATCCGCAAATTCTGGGCTTGACGGGTTACTGGAAGAGCCACTGGAGCCAATTGAATGGCGATGCTTGGAGGAGGAGCCCGAGCTCTTTCTCACGGGATTTCGTCTGGTGGAATCTGGGTTGCGATACGGCGCGTAGGGATTCTTCTGGGCCATTCCCGGGTTTTGATGCATCCAGACCAGTTGTGTTGCCTCATCTTGAGCTGCGTCGTGAATGCGGGTATCATCCTCCAAGTCCATTCCCTGCAGTGCATCGCGTAGCGAACGCGCCTCTTCTTTTTCCTGGGTTCGCTGCCCATTCTCACGATAAGACGGCACTGGCGAAGCAGCAATCGGGACCGAGCGTGAAAACACTTGCGATGGGAAAACATTCTTACGAACAGAGACCGAGCGGGGTTCTTGGGCTAATGGACGTCCTCCGGCGGGGCCATTTTGCTGAGTATGAGAGGAAGTTCGACGATGTGAGAGCGCACTGCCAGCGCGAGGGGGGTCTTCGACATCATCGTCAGGCATATTGTGCATCGAGAAAGCAGAAGCTGCGCGCGGAGGAAGATCTTCTTGGACAATGCTTGTTGATGTTGCTGCTGCTGCTTTACCCGGGTATGGACGAGAGCCCGTAGGACGAGTTGGGCGATTGCTTCGAAGATCTTTCAAATAGTTTGCTATCGATACGCATCAGCTTTCCTGGAGCCTTCCGTGAAGAATGTTGAAGCGCGTCCGAGTCCAAGTCCGAGTTCGAGTTCAAAGGATGAGAGAATGAGTCAGGCGCGCAACTTACCAACTTGATCGCTAGACATGAAAGTCGGACCGGGAGGAGAGACCTTCCGTTGGCCAGTCTTGGTATGGTTGTGCATGATGATGGCGTGTAGTCTGGAATACTTCAGGGCTATGATTCCAACAATGTATCAAGGGAGAAGACGCGACGTCAGGATCAACGGAGGCATGGGCCTAATTAAACTCTTGGGCAAGCGGGTCGCGATCGTATCTCCGCTCCTCCAATGTACCCAACTGCGGGCCCAAACAAACACCGCCAGGGCAACCAGATAGGGTCATTATCTTGCCTATTTGGGTTAGGGCTTAGGGCTTGTGCGCCTTATCTACGCTTATCTATGCTTATCAGCTTATCAACAGCCATCCATCATACATTCCGTTATTGGCTGCAGATTACTATGTATTGTTGACCTCGGCAATAGATATATACAATCTAGGTAATCATATAGAAAGACTTACTAGTAAAAGGATAGTTACAAACTAGCAGTAAAGTAAACATGCACCACTGCGCACCACTGTCATTGATTTTTGGTGCATGTTATTGCATTAAAATCAAATCCATTCCACTGCTTTCGAATATACATCATTCCTTTTTGCTCCCTGGTATTACTTCTGGCGTATGACCCTCAAAATCCACTTCAATTTGTTTGCTTTGTATTTTGAAGCCTTTGGGGCTTAGAAAAGCGTCTTTATCTCAGTATTTGATATTGTTATCCATAAACGTTAGCTCTCATAAACATACAGACCTAAGCCTTGGCAAGTTTCTGACAAAACCCGGCTCAGAATGTCGATTATTTTGAATTTTTTTCATTCCTTATGATACTATGCTATTTGAAAACACTTTTACTTGCCGAGAGAAAAGTGCCTGATTGCCTAAATTTGAGATGTAATACTCCGGACTGCAGCATTGGAATAATCTCCGCATCGGCTGTTCGGCACCGCAATTCTCCACTTAAAAGGAGCGAGCCACTGATCCCCACCTCACTCCCCCCAGACATCCCCAACGTGAACCCTTGTTTTTTTTTGATCTTGCAGCTCAGTCCCATAATTACCCCGCTATTGGCTCGAACTCGCCGAATATCTGAAGCTTGGGCTTCAGACCCAATGAAGAGCTGCTACCTCCACCGCATCGACACCTCGGATATGCCCCCGCCGAGTAAATGAGTAAACGAGTAAACGATCAAACGCCGGGCTCAAGTCCGACCCATAGAGACCCCACAAGAGTAGTTTTGAGACTAGCACAGACTAAGAAATGACAGTCATCTTTCGTGTCTTATTCTTCTGATCCTTGTACTTCTTTTTCTTCCTCCATACTAGCTGCTTCCATGTCGAGACGAAAACGGTAAAAACTTAACGGGTCCCGGATTAGACTCGTCGCCACCATAGAATCCCTAAGAGACCTCACTGGCCGTTTATTTTTGTTAACTAGTCATTTCGAGAACTATTTTGCCAGGATATGGCAGACAACTTGCCTATCGATGTTATCCGATCACATCAAGAGGATCAAGAATCCATAGCGAGCTCTACACATAATCGCAGCAACTCGCAATCGCAAACAACTCGGCCCGAAGCCAACGATGACGCAGAAGAGAAATACAAGCACGACGTGCCCCCAGACGGCGGCTATGGGTGGGTCTGCATTGCCTGTGTCTTTTGGATAAATGCCCATACTTGGGGTATCAACAGCGTGAGTGACACATTCCCCATATTCCCAGATATCGTCATTCCACCAATAATAAAAGCGGCACAGACTGATAATTTTCATCTCAGAGCTACGGCGTTTTTCTCAGCTATTATCTTTCGCATGATGTTTTCCCTGGCGCAAATTCCCTCTCATATGCATTCACTGGTGGTCTTAGCATTTCCTGTGCACTCCTAGTCGCTCCTCTAGCAACATATTTAATTCATCTCTACGGCATTCGCCTCGTCCTCAACCTGGGCGTGTTTTTCGAGACACTGTCTCTGGTCGGCTCCTCCTTCGCCACTCAAAAATGGCATATCTTCCTTAGCCAAGGCGTATGTTTCGGCTGGGGAATGGGTTTCTTGTTTGTTGGCAGTGTAGGAATCGCACCACAGTGGTTCCAGAAACGTCGCGGCGTTGCGATGGGTATCACGGCTTCTGGATCCGGACTCGGTGGACTAATGTATTCGCTTGCTGTCGGAGCCATTATTCCTCGATACGGACTAGGTTGGGCATTCCGAATTCTCGGCATAATCTCGTGCGTGGTGAATGTCGTGTGTGCGAATCTCCTTCGAGATCGAAATAAGCTAGTTGGAAGTCGCTTTTCGCCCTTCCACGCGCCGTTGCTGCGGAAGCCGGAATTCATTCTTTTTCTCGGCTGGGGATTCTTCAGTATGCTGGGGTATGTAGCTCTGCTGTTCAGCGTGGCTAATTTTGCGCTTTCGGTTGGCCTATCGGCTCATCAGGGGAGTGTTGTTTCTGCGCTTTTGAATCTTGGACAAGGTCTTGGACGACCATTTGTCGGGATGTTCAGTGATACATTTGGACGGATAAATATAGCCACATTTTTATCATTTATATGTGGGCTGTTTTGTCTGGTTATCTGGGTTTTTGCTGATAGTATGGGTGTTGTTTGCTTCTTTGCTGTTTTGGTTGGTACTGTCTCGGGCACGTACTGGGCGACTGTCTCGCCGGTGCTGGTGGAGATTATTGGGCTGAGAGATCTTCCTTCTGGTCTAAGTATTAACTGGCTATGGCTTGTTGCGCCTTGTACCGTCTCAGAGGCTATTGCGTTGGAGCTGCGTCGCCCTACTTCCAGTGGTGGGACTTCGTATCTTCATGTACAGCTGTTTACTGGGTTCATGTATGTGGCTGGTTCCATTTGTTTGTGGATTGTTCGGGGCTGGAAGATCGGGGAGTTGCAGCGGGCTGAGCAGAAACAACAGTCTGCCGTGCGCCGGGAGCCTTTGACTGGAACTGGGGACGACCGCCAAAAGGAGGGCTCCCCTGCAGCTTTTCCGGCTACTCTGCAATCTGGAGAAGACATGCAGACGAGTTCAGTGTGGACTCCATTTAACTTAACTCGACAAATGTTTGCCTTGGAGAGGGTGTAACAATTGCAAAGGGCTAGATCTACGCATATATTAGTAGAGACCTCAACATGTATTTTGAGGAAAAGATTTAGGCTCAAGCAAAGCATTGTAGATAATCGAGACGATTTATATTCATGAAAACGCTTTATTTAAAACTAGGATATTTTTTTCAGACAACGGCATGATCTATTCGTCAGATGAGCCAGTAATGAGGACCCGAACCCTTCTCTTGCCAGCGCCACGGCCTTCTTCCTTGACCGAGCTGACATTCACTTTGACCTTCTGGAAGAGTTCAACAAGAACTCCCCGTTCCTTCTCCGAGTGGCCCTTTTCTTCCACACGAAGGGTGTACTCCTCAGGATCGAAGTCCGTTGTGCGATGGGGCGCGAGTTCCCGTCTCTGGGTAACGGACCAAGCACCGGATTCACCAGGAAGGACGAAATCCTCCAATCGAACAACACCTTCGATACCAAAGCGAGGAACAAAAACCACGGCACCATTCTCAAAGACGCGCATCACGTAGCCCTCCTCATCCACTCCCTTATCAGTGCCGCCAGCGGCCATCTTCTCTCCGCGGGCCTTGAGCGCCTGGCCAACATAGTATTCAATACTGGCGCGGCCAGCGAATTGTGCGTTGCGATGTCTGTAGTTGATGTTGCGGCAGATATCATCCAGCTTGCTGCGCGTAGCAACACCTTCAAGTCCGGCATGGCCGTCTTCACCCTCGTAGCCGATGGCGGAAGCTAATTGTCGGTGTACAAGCAGATCGGCGTATCGACGGATGGGTGAAGTAAAGTGAGTATAGATGGGGGACGCAAGACCATAATGACGGAACTCAGACTCAGCATGAGCACCGGCACAGAAGTATTCGGCTGACGTCATGCATCGAGTTGCGAGAATACGAACAAGGGTATTGAAGAACGGGTTCTTTGGGTCAATACACTTGTCCAAGGAACTAGCAAGGGCACCGGAGCTGGAGACATCCAGTTCCATGTTGCGCTTCTTGGATAGTTGGTTGATGAGGTCTTCGAAGTTCTGTGGTGGAGGTGTGGCGTGTCGTCGCAGTAAAGCGGTTTGAGAGAATGATTGGAAAACCTTTGAGGCAACGGTAATGTTGGCGAGAAGCATGAACTCTTCAACCAAGCTGTTGGTTGCAAGGGATGCTTTGGTCTTAACATCTGCCAGGGGATCACCAACTTCATCGGCATCAGCCTCAATGCGAACTTCGGGAGATGCGAGATTCAGAGCACCGGCGTCGTAACGCTTTTGACGAAGGATTTTCGAAAATTTCAATAGGTTTCGCATACTTTCAGTTAACTCGTCTTTTTGAGATGCATCGTCGATGCGGAGCTGGGCCTGTTCGTAACTAAATGCTTCTCGAGAACGAATGACAGACTTGGTGAAATCCGAAGAAACAATCTCAGCATTTGGAGTTACTTCCCAGATAACGGAAAAGGCATATCGCTCAACATAGGGTTTCAGGGAACACAAATCTGTTCCTAGGAGATGGGGAAGCATATCAATACGCTTGTCGACCAGATACACGGTACTTCCGCGAACACTGGCTTCCAGGTCCATAGGGTTGTTGGGCTTGACAAAGTGTGATACATCTGCAATGTGCACACCAACTTCGTAGTTCCCATTGGGCAAGAGACGTGCATGAAGGGCATCGTCGATATCCTGACATCCAGGTGGATCGATACTGCAAATAAGCAAATCACGAAGGTCGCGTCGGCCATTCCAGCCCTTGTCTTCCTTTGATACGGGGACCTTCCAGTCATGTCCTTCTGATGGCAGGCAATCCAGGACAGACTTGGGGAAAGGCTTGTACTGCACATCGTACTCCAAAAGAAGAGCTTCTGTCTCTGCGCCCTTGGTTTCGAGCTCACCTAGGGAACGAATGAAATGACCAGAAGGGTAGCGTGAATCCCGATCCCAGGCGTCAATGGTTACGAGAATGCGGTGGCCGAGCAGATCAGCAGCCTGTCGTGTGCGAACCCGAATCTTGGGAACCTTCTTGTCCATGGGTAGCACAAACACAGTTTGCTGTCGGCGACCCGACGCAACCTGAGAGCCAGTAGAGCCCGAATCCACATGTCCCACATACTGGCGCCAATTGCGCTTAATCACACCCACGACCTTCGCAGTAGGCTGTGGCTTTCCTTCTGAGTGCTTGCCATGGGCCTTCTTGACCTCCTCTTGGAGAGCCTTGCGCTCTCGGTCTGTGACGACAGCCTCGGTTTCTTCTGTGTCGGGGTTATCATTTCGGGTCACCGCTTCTTCGTCAACAATCTTTGTTGAAGGAGACTTCCATTGATCTTGAGGAAGCACTTCGATGACAACAATATCTCCTGCGATCGCACGGTTGCTGTTATCACGTCCGAGGATTAGGAGCGGTTTGTCAAAGGCTGGAACGTTGACAGATCCCTCTAAATAGTTGTAAGGCGAAACATTGTAAACACCTTGATGCAAGTTTGCGGCGCGCAAGCCCGTCTGAATTTTTGACATGGTGTAGTATTCAGGGTAGAACATCTGCCCGCGAACAGAGCCCTTTGCATCCCGCGCTTCCCTGGCTTCACTGATCATGTCCAGCAGCTTCGCCGAGTCCTCTAGACCGGTCACGTAATCCGAAAGCGATAATGCGGAGACATTCTCTTCTTTAGCCTTGCGAAGATTGTCCTTGTCGTCTGTGATAACAACGATTGCGGGGATTGATTTCTCTTTCTTGCTTTTCTGGAAGGACGCTTTGAGATGCTCACTGTACCAGCTTGCCACAATGCGAACGGCTCGGTCGTTTCGGTCATTGATGGATTCTTCTGGGCCTCTCCGCACGTGGGTCTCAAGGCGGAACTCGTTGAAAAAAAGGTAGAATCGTTTCTCATCGGTCTTGATCAGAGAAAGAAGACGGTTGTAGAGGGGCAACGACTGGTTTCGGAGTTCTTCAAGGACGGTCTGCAGGATAATGACATCGTAGAATGCTCCGGTGTGCTCGAAAAGATCCATTCCATTCAACAGCGCATTGGTGTCGGGAACAAGGTAATGGCCGCGCGGGAAGGCTTTCGTACCGGCGGGACGGTCGGAGAGAACGAACGGCGCAACTGCTACGCGTTAGCTGTAAATTCGATATAGGTGTCACTTGAGGTCATACTATTTCCATTGGCATCCGCTGGGGCGATCGAGGGGCATAGTGAACAAAGCTTGGAGGAGCAAGGAATGTCCTGTCGCAGATAGAGCTCGCGGACAATCTTTTGCACCTTACCACTTTTCGTGGACCTCACGAAAACTTTGCTGGTGACATTGGCAGCTTGTGGGTTGGAGGAAACGTCCCTCCTTAAACTCTTCATGATGATTGTTGAAGATCTGCAAGCAGCTTAGCAGGTCTACCGCAACTGGAAGCAAAGTGAGAAATTGATCTTTGCGGGAATCGTTATCGTATCGCGATAGATGAGTAATCACTTATCGGGGTCCACTGGGGAGGTGGGCTTGACGTGAGGCAAGCAGGTTATTGTGCAATTCAACACATTATTTTATTCTTCTCTTTTTACCAAAGCCTCCTCTACAAACTCATAACACGATGGTACTCGCAGTAAGTGTTGAGGCAACTATGAATGTGGAAAATCGAACGCTGATCGCCATCTGTGTCGATACAGGCCGTAGGACAGCTGTGCGCGACAGCAAACATATCTTCCAACCTAGCTCAATGTCAAACTTTGATTCAGAAAGCAGCAGCAGCGGGGGCTAAGGTTAATATTTTACCTGATAACCTCTTTATCTCGTCTAGTGCCTTCTGTGGCTCATGGTTTAATAGGTTCTCTTCCTGCCCGAGGCCTCGGACTACATAGCCTCGTCAGCCGATGAGTCTCTTGCTCTTGCGCATTCAGCGGATCAAAAGGACTTTGTTTCAGCTTTGCAAACCTCAGCCAAGCGCGAGAGCATACATATTAATGTCGGAATACATGAAGTAGCCTCGGAACGGAGACTCAAGAACTCTCTTGTTTGGATTAACGCCGAGGGCCATATCACTCAGAATTATCAGAAGATACATCTCTTTGATGTTGATATTAAGAATGGTCCTGTTCTGAAAGAGAGCGCGTAAGTCAAACGAAATCTGTGAGCGCAACGTGTTAATTGACGAACTTCACTTGTAATGGCCGTGCTAAACAATGACCACAGAAGCGTACAACCTGGACAAGAGATTGTCCCGCCCTTTGAAACACCCGTAGGACGTGTGGGCCTGGCGATTTGCTTTGATGTGCGTTTGATACATTCTTGCTAGAGATTTAGACATTCTGCTTACCCTTCTATCTTATTTAGTTACGGTTTCCAGAAATCAGTTTAGCACTGAGACGTCAGAAAGCTGATATCATTACATATCCGTCCGCGTTCACGGTGCCAACGGGTAAAGCCCATTGGGAGGTCCTCCTTCGCGCAAGAGCTATTGAGACACAATCCTACGTCATAGCAGCCGCTCAGGCTGGCCCGCATAATGAGAAAAGAAGAAGCTATGGTCATTCGATGATTGTTGATCCATGGGGAGAAGTCGTGGCAGAACTAGGGGACGGGGAGCCACAGATTGCTACGGCAGATATTGATCTTGAGCTGGTGTCCAGGATCAGGCGAGAAATTCCTCTTCTCCGAAGGACTGATCTCTATCCCGAAGTTTAAAACCGAGCCTCGAAAATGACTCATGATCTACATGCCAAGGATAGCCTTGCTAAATATATCAAAGACTGGTGATTAGTTTAAGCAAGCGACAGAATAAACAAACGAGAGCATCGCTCTCGATCTTTGGACCCCATGTTTGTGGGGGTACTTCAACAGCTCACATTTATCTATGATAACTAATAGGTGGTGTCTCGCAGAACGATGACAGTTATGTGTTAATTGTAATAGTCAGCCATGATGATTCTGTCATTGATAAAAAGGCTACGCTGCTCAAAAAGGGGAACGTGTTTTGTCAGTTTGTTCATGAAGTGATCGTCGATCACCTCCGGGGTAGCAAGGCCCGGGGAGCGAATGAAGATCCCTTTGAGAACTTCGCACTACACAGCCTTGTTTAAATTTGCGCGCCTATTTTTTGTGGCTACCCTTTTGTATTCTCCTTAATTTTGGTCAATATCGACGAAATTCCACTCTCTTGGCTGACTCTCTGACCCATATCTATGTGGTATAAAGTTTGCGTACGACTCAGTGATTGACCTACCGGAGAGCCGTCATGAGCTCTTCTGCACCTTACACGTGCCAAAAACCGTGGCCCAAAGCAATATCTGATGACCCTGAAATAACTGGCTATGGGTTACATTTGAGAAAAAACCCAGCTCATTTAATTGATTTTAAGGAATGTTAATTGTTGGTCCCAGGTGGTTACAAGCTATATGGCAACGGCTGGAATTGCAGTATCTCTCATTCTTCTGTACGTTTTGGTCATCTATGACCCGGCTCATGATCCATTTAGCAAGCATGGCGACCAGGTTTCAAGCCCTTGGTTCCGTTCAAATCCAGTGAACAGGATATTTCTCCAGACAGTGCGATACGCACCTAAACGTTTCATGGGAAGCCTGAATGTATCTTACAGCAAAACTGAGCTTATATTGATAAAAGTGAGTACGTGTAATACTTTATAGCCCAGGATAAACTGACTAGATGCCCTTCCAGTGCCTTCTTCCAGTGAGTGACGCCCAGCTCATAACTGGTCTATCAATCATGATTAGTGGATTTGTACAACTTCCTCAAGGATTACCATCCTACAACTGGATGGCTATAATTGACCTAGCTTGCTTGACAATACTACGAGGTTACCTCCACCATCATTCCGTCGAGCATATGTTGTGTGTTATAGCCATGGCTTGCCTTGCTACACTCCTTGTTATAGCTCTATCCTTCACGAGCAGCTACGCGTGGGCCAATGGAGCTACCTTGGAAGGCGATACTTTTTCTTATGAGGATATTACTCCTACTCATGCTGCAATTTGCCATATGGGTGTTGCAGAATACCAGGCGAATCCTTTAGGATACCTTCCAATGATCTTTTCGATCATAATGATAGTTTGGGGATTTTTTCCCGGCTAATCAAACTGTACAAGACCATCTCAGTCGGTCTTTTGGGTCACACTAAAGTCTGGCTTGGTACTCGAGCGAGGCATCTGTTATGCGCCGTATTCAAGTGGTGTTGCACTGGTTTGGGCCAAGGCCTAAAGCGAAGGCTTCTATATCGGCCTCCACTGACAGTGTACCTTGCAGCTCGTCTAACTTTGGACACATGGTCTTCTATGATGCTAGAAGTAAGACTTTTATATCCTCATACCGGTCCTACCTCATAGCTGATGGTCGATATTATCAGGTTGCATGGTAATTAGCCGGATTCGTACGGGGAAGCTTACATCTTATGTCACTCTTACTTGACGTTCGACAAATTATGCCCAATTCCTCGATGATAACAGACACCGATAATGAAAATATGAGCTGGGGGTATGAGCAAGTGGTGTCTATCGTTCTCTTATTCGCACCGTTCATCACATTCGCTGGCTTCTTGAACGACGGTACTCCCCCCCAAATCATCTATATCTATTCTGCGGTTTCGGATCTAACCAGACGCCATATGAATGTCATTAATAAAAGACAGAAGACCTCAAATCAGGCAGGAAGGCAGAAAATAGTTACGATAATCTGCTGCATGAATCTTTCCCTCTTGAGAGCTAATCTTCCGACCTGATGGAAGTTCCCCTGATGAGTCCATGCAATGCTAACCCCAAGGATTGAGAAGATCCCGACAATGACTGGGATGATCATAAAGAGCTCCTTGGTGCGGCGGTGACATACCTCACCATCATGAGTCTTGCTCTGTCCGTCTGTACGTTCGCATTTAGCGACTCAGATTCAATTGTGCTGGGACTATTGGATGTCCGAATGCCTATATCAATTGCTCTGTTAAGCTTCTTTGGGGTCATGATTTTCTCATTAACGATTGAAGTGGATCTTCTTGGACTATCTTCCTGCGGACGAAAGGCTCTCCATCTTGTGAACATCTTCCTATTTGTGGCGAGCCCTTTTCCCATGCTTGCCTAAAGGTGTCAAACCCTCAATATCTTCCTTCCGAAACTGGCTTTTCTTGGGTTGGCAATTACTGGTTTATGATTCTTGCTGCATGCTTTTATGTATTGTTCACGATTACCGGCTCCCTTGTTGCTAGATCGGGCTATGCACAAACTAGTCACTTCCTGCGTCCACGGGTTTGACGTCCTCCAACTTCGGTAGATTCTTAGGGAGACGGGACGATTAAGTTTACTTATGGTGTGCTCTATTCCAAGTGACAAGATAGAGCCACTGGAACATTGCGGGCTAGTCCCAATATTCCGAACAGGTAAAATGACTAATATCATTTCGTTTTAGTCCATCTGTATTCATGTGATGGAGGCAAGGTATGGAAAGTAGTACAATAGGTAATCGGCGAAAGTAGAAATGGAACATGCGAAAAACCCCCATCTAACAAAAGAATCGGAACATCATACCTGCCATGGCAGGTGGTACAGGCGTCAACCGAGATAATAGCTTTCCGATCTCTCTATGTACATTGTACAGATTAGGCTCAAAAGGAAGTAACTTATTTCTTGGGTTCCTCCAAGATACCCTCAGCCTCCAGTCGTCGACGGGCTTCCTCGAGAGCCCAGGTTTGTATGCTAGGTGATAGTCAGTAATCATGATTCGGATTTTATCCAATGGTGTAGTCCGCAATATTCAGCCCAATGCTAACAGATCGAGTGAATATGGAAGCCAGATAGTACATACGAGGTATCCGGCTTGAAAACATATGCGACACCAGCAACAAGGAAGCTGCCAATGAATCCGTAGTACCAAATGTTCTCCCAACCCTCCTTCACGTACTTCTGGCCGGGCTTGACACCGAACAGCCAGCCGGTCGGAGGGTCGTAGTGGTCGCCATGGTCAGCAGCACGGAGGTTGCTGCGGGTAGAGAAGCCCTGGACGTTTTGCGGCTTGCGGAGGAGGCAGCGCGAGCGCAGGATATGCGACACTGGCCGGGCAGTCATCTTGAGGACGGGGGCGGATATGAGGTGGCTGTGAAGTCGGAAAGGGTCCAGCGAAGGAGTTGTATTTTTCAAAGGCAAGGCCGACAGTTGCCTTGTCCAAGGTGACAGCACAATCTCAATTGCTTGTTGCGGTTTGGAGGCAAAGGGAGGGGTTTCAATGGTTGATGTTGAATCCGCAAGAGGCCGACGGGGAGCTGGCTGGTCATCGCACTAGGCCACTTTAGGCAATTTTCCCTTGGCCGCCTTTGACTACCTTGGTGCCTCAGGCAACAAAGCGTTATCGTGTTGCTGCCGGATATATGAGGCATCACATAACGCGACAGCGCGTCGCGTCCATTATCGTCCGAATCAATCAACCCCAAATTCGTCAACAAGACCTAAGCGCCGACTAACTTGGGAATCGTTCCACCGTATTCCATATTCCAGCATAATTTTTACTCGATTACACTGGTATGTCCCTTAAGATCGCATTTATTGGAGGTGCGCTACGTTCCATTGCTCACATTGTTGACCCGATAGCTCGATAATGTATTGTTACCCTTTTTGAAAAATAAGTCTGTTATAAGGCCAGACCGCGATCATGGCACCACACGACAGTACAGCATACCCGATATCTTCGAATTCTCGCAATAAATTAAAAACTTTTCGCTATCAGGACGACGAGGTGGCTTCGGACACAACGACCTCGAAACATGGGGACAAAAGGGCCCACCGGAATAAGGAGAACCAAAGCTCATGGCTAAACGGCGTGGTTGAACCGATGCAGACATCACCCGATAAAGCAGAAAGAGCAGAAGCTTCAACTTCAGACGTGTCCGACAAAGAGCAGAAGCCCGTAAAGGATTGCCCCCAAACACCTGGAAACCGAATACCTCTAGCAGATCTCATCAGCAATGCCGAAGACTCGTTTAACCCCGCGCCAGGTCCGGAAATAACCCCTGTTGACCATGTCATTTGGCAACATATTCCAGCCAGCTCGAATCCGGATTCATCATCCCAAACCCCCGCGGGACGTCGGAGGAAACGACGCCATAGCTCATCTCCTCCTGGATCTCCATCAAAAGATGGTTCGAATACCGCAAAAGAACCCCTGGATCTACAATCCATCCAAGCGCTTTTCAAGACCCCTCAACATGATCTGGCCACGGAGTTATGGAACAATTACATGGACAAGAACATGGTCGAGAACTCCGAAGACCTTCCGCCTCCTCGTCTCGGCAACCTTCTCTCCTCGTCACCCCATACACCAGTCTCAGGACGAACGAGTCGTGATTCCTCTGGATTAAGGCGATCCATTAGCTGCGCTGCTGAATGGCCAACCTCCAATGCGAAAAGGAGACGAGTCAACAGACCAGGCCAGGGGATGTTTTCACGCGCAAATAGCAATGTGCTTGACTCTGGGAAGAATAAATCATCAAGAATCAACTTTCTTCTTGAGAAAATCGAAAGGAGTCTTCAGCCAGCTCAGCCAGCAAACTCGACGGGACCGCCAAATTCTTCGCCTTTACGCCAACGCGTGGACGCTGAACGGTGTCGCTCATCCTCTCCGATTGCGGACAGGAAGGGTTTAGGGAATTCGACGGAAGCCCAAGAAGCCCCTGCGGGGAGGAATAAGATTCGTGCTCTTCCGGCGCCAATTATTGAAGAATCTTCATCCGACTTTGGGGATGATGATCTCGACCAGGACTTTATGGACCTGGCAGCCGTCTCGGAAGATCCATTTGTTACGGCTCCGGCTAGCCGTACAAGTCATAATGAGTTTGGATGTCTAGGGTCTTCTGGGTGGTCAAATGTCATACAAGAAAAGCCACATTCTAGCCATCCCAAACAACCACCTACTGCCGATACTAAGCCGCCAATTGTGCATACAATCACGAATAACGAAACCAAACCTGACGACTCAGAGGATTTTGACGACGACTTCGGTGACTTTGACGATGATATCCTTGCGGCATGTGATGCAAAGTCGAATGAAATTGATTATACCAAACCAGCCACCGAGAATAAACAGGCTGTGAAAGGGCTGGACCCGTCCCCTGTTGCCCCGATGGCGGGAATTCGCAGCGGAAAGACGGAAGGTTCGACAGGGGAATTCTCTGACGACGATTTTGATGATGATTTTGATTTTGATGCCATCGAACAGACCATGAATCAGACAGGTGCAGATGGACCTTACGTTTGTCGCTCTTAACGGGTTGATATACTAGTATATTTGCTAAGAAAATCAAATGATAGAATCTCTCAAATCGCCAAGCTATCAAACGTTATACAGTTTTGGACACCGCTGAAGGCACCTATTTTAATGCAAAAGGACGTAAGCAGCCTGAACAGGTTCGTCAGCAAATCAACACAGTTCTTTCATTACTCGCCAGTCGCTGACGAAAAGCCAGGTTCTGTCCGTTGAGGATCAAAGAACCAGTGTCCGCAAGGTCATTGTTTTGCGTGAGACCTGGTTTGATACGCCATGCAGTAAAGATTCGTCCATTCATTTGGTTGGAGATTTTGACCCGTCCGGGCTCTGTGTCGTGGATAATGCAAGTCATATGATCATCCTCCACCCTGATCATCTGATATCCGCTACAGTCGTGGCGGACTCAATTGACTGTCAACGACGAGCTGTCTTACAAGATCGTATCAAAGCATTCTCCCAGCTTGAGCGACCACAGGTCTTCGGAACCATATTCCATGAGGTCTTCCAAGAGGCTTTGAAAGCAAATCTCTGGGATACTAAATCACTCAGATCTTTAGTGGACACCGTTCTCAAAAGGCATATAGAAGATCTGTACGCTATCCAGATGACCGTGCCAGAAGCCACCGAGAATGTGATGAGCAAAATCCCTACAGTGCAAGCCTGGGCAGACGTGTTTCTGCATGCTAAGCCACAGGTACGAATACCGCTAACTATTTGCCATGGACTTTGATCAGGGCTAACTATCTCTAGTCCAACTCCATGGTCGAGGATCGTGGCAACACAAAACTCAACTTGAGCATTAGTAAACTGCTCGAGGTAGAGGAACACGTCTGGTCCCCCATGTATGGGTTGAAAGGTAATATTGATGCCACTGTCCAAGCCGTCTGCCGCGACGAGGACGGAGAAAAGAACGTTTTAGTTCCACTTGAACTCAAAACAGGAAAACGGGACACCAATCAAGGACACAGAGCACAGACGGCTCTATACACTCTGCTGCTCTCTGATCGTTACGGTTCGTATCCATCCACGAAACCGATATTTTAATTTTTTTGCTGAACGTGATGGCAGATATTGATGTGAAATTTGGCTTACTATACTATCTTGAGCTCAACAAGACGTTTAGTATCCGCGGTATCCGACATGAGATTCTTCAGATGGTTCAAGTACGGAATCGTTTGGCGGTCTTTATCCGAGAGAAATTACAGCTTCCTCCGATGCTCAAAAGAGCCCGCATGTGTAATAGATGCTACGCCAAAACTCCTTGTCTAATTTATCACAAATTGTTAGAGGGTGGCGATGGCGAGACTAGCGCCCTGGGAGACGATTTCGATGCAGCCACAGGTCATTTGACCCAAAAGGATCGTGACTTTTTTACCAAATGGGATGAACTGCTTAACAAAGAAGAAGGCAATCTGTCAAAATTCCGACGAGAGCTTTGGACGCTTCTCAGTAGTGAACGCGAGTCTCTCGGCCGTTGCTTTGGCGATGTTGTTATCGACCCTCACTCCGCTTTTGAAGACACTAACGGGTCGCGGATTAACCGGTTTCGATATACTTTTACTAAAAAGCAAGCTCCGCCTAGCTTCACATTTGCCGAATCTCAAATTACCGTGGGTGAGCCGATTGTCGTTTCCGACGAAAAGGGACATTTCGCTCTAGCCAATGGCTATGTGCTTAGTGTGAGCAGGTCAAATATCACTGTTGGCGTGGATCGGAGATTGCTCAACACTAGAGCGCGTACTGCGGGATTCCACCCTGTGAACAATCAGTCATTCACAGGCATTATGGAGGTTGAAAAAGATGGAGACACGGCCCTTGCCGACCCGCTTGACGAACGAGTCATTTACCGCATTGACAAAGATGAGTTCAGTAATGGTATGGCCAATATTCGAAACAATCTCGTCTGTACTATGGACAAAGACCTAGCCCAAGCAAGACATCTCCGGCGACTCATCATTGAGGGTGAACCGCCTGTGTTCAAACCTTCGGCTTCTGCATATACTATCGCCGACTCGGACAGCCTCAATGTCGACCAAAAGCACGCTATCGAGAAAGTCATGACAGCCCAGGACTACGCCCTTATCTTGGGAATGCCTGGCACTGGTAAAACGACAACTATTGCACACCTCATCAGGGCACTTGTCAAACAAGGCAAGAGTGTTCTACTAACATCTTACACCCACACGGCGGTAGACAATATCTTACTCAAAATTCGTGACGATGATATCCGTATTCTTCGTCTTGGTGCGGCCACTAAGGTTCATCCAGAAGTCCAAGAATTTGCCGATTTGGCAGCAAACCCCAAAGCCACCATTGAAGAACTGAAAGACTCCTACGAAAAACCCCAAGTCGTGGCATCAACATGTCTAGGTGTGAATCATCAAATCTTCAACCAGCGAATGTTTGATTATTGTATTGTTGACGAGGCATCGCAAATCACGCTTCCTGTCTGCTTAGGACCGATCCGCATGGCGAGGTCTTTCGTCCTTGTCGGAGACCATTTCCAACTCCCACCTTTGGTTCAAAGCAAAGCTGCACAGGAAGGCGGGCTTGATGTTAGCCTTTTCAAGTTGCTTTCGGACACTCATCCCGATTCTGTCGTCAATCTAGAACACCAGTACCGCATGTGTGAAGATGTTATGCTCCTCTCCAACACTCTCATCTACTCCGGCCGCCTCAAATGCGGCACACCGGAAGTAGCAGCCCGTGAGCTGGTTGTTCCTGACATCTCTGCGCTGAAGCAATTCCACTCCGATATCGTTGATGTCTTTCAATCAAATCATCAGAAGGAAATGTGTCAAGGGCCAGGCCACAGTCACTGCTGGCTGAATGACTTGCTGGCACCATCTGCAAAGGCATTGTTAGTAAACACTGATCCCTTAGGCCCAGCAGCTCTCGAAACCGTCCAAGGGCAACGGGTTGTCAACTCCATGGAGACAATACTGTGCTCTCAGCTCGTTGAATCACTTATCGCTTGTGGTATTCAAGCCCGCAACATTGGCGTCATTACTTTTTACCGCAGCCAGCTCGCTCTGCTCCGTCACAGCCTTTGTCGTTATGCCCCAGACCTCGAGATGCACACCACCGACAAATTCCAAGGTCGCGATAAAGAGATTGTTATCCTTAGCTGTGTCCGCAGCAACTCTGACAACCACGTCGGTGAGCTCATGCGCGACTGGCGCCGTGTCAACGTTGCGTTCACTCGAGCTCGTACGAAGCTCCTCGTTGTCGGCAGCAGGTCGACTATGCGCAATGGCAATGAACTCCTTCGCAAATATGTTAATCTCGTGGAAAGCAGGGACTGGGTTTACAACTTGCCACCAAACGCAGCGGACAGCCACGTTTTCCAGTCCTCCACACTTGATACATCCCGGCTGCCGCTTCCCTCCCCTAGTGCATCGAAGCGTTCTGGTTCGACGAAGAAGAAGGAAAGTCCCACCATTAAAAACGAAGGTCGGACTCGGGATCCACTCAGTCCCCTTGGTCATCGACAACCTACCTCTGGGCTTCGAGAGCCCGCAAAACGAGGTGCAAAGGTGTTAAATGGCCATACAGTCCTGGGCAACAGACCCATTCTCCAGGATATTGTGAATGACATTGTCGGCTGATAACAAATAAATCACCTTTTTTGGTTTACTGTATTATGATCAGCATGTCTTGGCGCTTTGGTATTATAATAGGAACAATGAAAAAATAATGAGCTGGGTTTCTTCCACTCTACACGCATAATTACTTGCTCGAGCAACTTGGTGTCACTACGAGAAACGGTCTAAGTTTCAATGCTATTCGAGCAGTCGATCATATAGTGAGTGGCATGCCAATAAAATGAAAAGGTTGTTCAAGAAGATTGATAGTAGATGCTGCCTATTGTAACACTATTTAGTATGTATAGATCTTCCTCGAGGTATCCTTTCAATGCTTATAGTACTCCGCCACCCAAGCCTTGATCTGAGCAACTTCAGTCTCAACTACCTTCTTCACGCCAGCGTTTACATCGGCGTTCTTCAATAGTAGATCTGAGCAGTGGAATCCGCCTGGGATAATGTTGACAGGAGCTGAAGGACGAGAGGAAAGAGGACCTCCAGGGCGGAATTCAGAAGAAACAGTAGATTCTCTCCAAGGATCGAATTGTCTACCATCCCATGTTAGAACCATACAATTCAGACAGAAATAAATGTTGAGTCTTACCCATTGGTCCAGGTCAAGCGAGTAGTGTCAGTTAAATCCCAGCCCTTGGTCCATTTGTTCACATCAGCTGCAGTCTTACCCTTGGCACTACCGAAGGTGTAACCATTAACTGTTGGGAAGAACAGAGGGCATTGTCTCTCCCAGTACGCTCCATTGACTGTTCGAGAGACAATCGAGGGAACATTAGAAGGAGCACCGCTATTCAAATTTATTAGAATGGATTGCTGCTTTCAGATACTATCGATCGACATTAACTTACTCTTGCCAGTAAAAGAATGGCTCGTTGCAAAGAAGCCATTGCCATTGCCTGTCGATCGTGTTGTTGACGGCCAAATCTGTGAATATAGGACTCGAGGCATCATAAGTGTCATAACAGGCGGTAGTGGTGTTGCTATTCCAATAGCCATAGTTTGCACATGCTAAATTTTCTTAGTCTCAGTCGTATCCAACTTTTTGGGGATGTGATAGATGAACTTACATTCCGGGAAGTAAACAGTTTTGAACCATTTCGCATATCCACGAAGCGCCTGCTTCAGGCCAACGCCCTCTGGTCCAGGGACGACGCTTGCTCCTGGTTGAACGCCCTAAATCAAGTTAGTTACTGAGGCTCCATGTCAATTTAACATATTGAGTTACCTCGACATAGTCACAGAACTGGTAGTACTCGGAATATCCGGTATAGAAAGCGTTTGACTGCCACAACCATGGGCCATTCTCGAGCGCACTTTTGAATGTTAGCTATTGCGTTGGTCTACATTAGGTTCGGCTTCCGGGCACATACGCGGCAAAATCATCGAAATGCTCTAGATCGCCGAGTCCAAACAGCTCTTTGAGTTTTTGCTGCTGCTCCTTGGTACCAGCAGTAGCAACGCGATCCACATAGTCCACCACCCGAGAGACATCTCGACTGCAGTTCTTCGCCATGCCTTCCTGGACGGGCTTGAAGTATTGCCACTAAGCCAGTGTTAGATGATTGTGAGATACAAAGGAGTAAAAAAAGGTCTTTCGTGTGCATACGTAGTCATAAATGGCTTCCACGGGGGCACTGGAGGCATGATAAGCCCAGAATGTTCCTGGAGAAGTCGACTCTGTCCAGGCAGTCAAAGCTCCACTGTAAGAGCCTCCACTGAGCACCCAAGGCTTCATAAAAATACACTGATTAGCCTCATTTCCATTAGACTTTCGCTACCATACCGAAGGATACTCACGGCATTTTGAGCGTTGCTGCTACCGTTCTTGTCGAACGGCAATTTCACGTTCTTAGCGAAGTAGACAAGGTCGGCAATACTGTTTTCCAGAGTCAAATATTGCAAGTTCTCGGTAGTCAGCTCAGCATATGGTGAGGATTCACCCCAATATCGGTCTATTGGAAAATAAGTATTAACTTCTTGGTAATCTCCCGTCGTGACAAAGGGATACTCTACGCTCAATTAGAACCACAGCTCCTTCGATTTCCTGCCCATAGAGACCAGTGATAGTTTGATTATTCAGATATCCCTGATATCCATCGGCTGACTCCTCACCGGGTGTAAAAAGCACCACCTAGAATTCCCATAGTTAGTTTTTTATTCCAAGCTCAAATATTGTTTAGCACAAGGCATTTACTGGGGATCCTGGACCCGCCCACCATTCTGCATTGTACCAATATCGCTGAGAAAATGTTCCAAGACTTGGATTCTTATGATCAAGCAACTGCTGGAATGTTGCCTCCTGGATGCTCGCAGTTGATGCTGCGGCTGCTGGGGGTGGAGAAGGTCTTTTCGGACCTGCCTGTACGAAAGGCGCGGCAAGCAAAGACAAGGCAATGCTTCGTAGGATGTACATTGCGGCAGTTGGGGATAAAGATTTCCAGGTCACTTTTTCGAAGAACTGCCAGGTAAACTTCTTTATAAAGCGTGGTCTGCAGGACAGCTGCTTCTGCAGCTAAGACTGTAGCGCATGGCTTAGTCCACTCACGGCTAATCAAGTTTCAAAGTTTAAGACGTTCATAGTGGAGACGTTATCAACATAGCCCTGGATTTTTGTAGTCACTCTGTCTACCCTATCAAAGGATGACCAGAGCGTGGGACTTCGGTTTTTAGGAAAGAGTCCCCAAATACATCTATCTATTGAAGGCAAGAAAAAAGGATCTATGGGACGGACTATTCAGTACTCGATAATAATTCTCACAACATCGACGTTCAAGATAAACGCATAAAAAGATGGCACTGTGAATTGGTACGATTCAAATTCCGCGGCGGGGGCGTCGCTGGATCTCACTGCGGAGTCCTGTCTTGTAAGTACAACAATGCTATCGCAGCCCCTCTATGGCACGCCCGTCGGGGTCCGGGATTGCAACCTGTGGGGCATAGAGCACGGGGTCAAACTTCAAGCCAGGAAATGACCTTTGACTGGCCACCGATAAGATTACTTGAAGCTAGCGTGTCTTGATAATAAAACAAGCCCCAGTGGAGTCCGAGTATAGATGGGCAGAGAAGCCAGGGGTAATTCAGGGGAATCCGGAGGTAACCATGAACTTGAATGAATTCCCCCCGCATCTACTATCGAACAATATCTTCAGCAATCTGAATTCCACACCCCGGCGGATGACCGGCTGATACAGTGCTTAATTATTTAATAATTTGATCTTGGATGGTCTCCCCAATCCACGATGCTTAGAGGTTTACGAAGATGTGCATCGTTTATAACATATATTCTTTAGCGAACACGCGCTAAGGTCATTTTGGTTTCACTATCACGCTATCAGACAGATGGAACGTTGGGATTACCCCTCACGCGATCTTATTATGGCTGGATAAAGTCATCAATCTATTGTTCCCATGATTTATGAATCATTTTGTCCAAAGCCCCACATTTTGTATACTGTCTAGACAGCATTTTGCGACAGAGAGCAATGGCGGTATAATAAAACATGTCAAAACGGTAATAATTTACCATCGCAAATTACAAGACTGTCTAAATAGTGTAGATTCTAACCAAGGTTGGTTCAAACCTTGAAGGTACCAAGAAAATGATTCTATTTAGACCCATGGACAGCATTCTGCGATAGTAAGTCACGGCGTCCTACCCAATGGCGATATAATAAAACACGTCAAACACGTCAAAACCGTAATAAATGGATTTCAGCTATACAGTATCACATTTTGGTAACAAAATGACAGGCACCAAGGCCGAGAGTGGTAAATCCTCCTTTGTCGCGAAATACAGTCTAGTAGACAGTGTAAGAGAGATCATATTTTTTCTGAGCCCTAACTCAATAACTTGGAAGTCAGTCCATTTGAAAATACATACACCCAGATCTTGCCGACGTTCCTTTTGAATACTAAATGAGCTACAGCCATGATCATCCGGGGCTCATCGTATGTACTTCTCTGTTCCAATATAACTAGTATAACAACCTTGAGTCGTAGTACAATCGTCGTCTTTCCCGTCCCCGGAACTTAACTACAAACTTTTGGATCTTGTCATACATTCCCGTGTATTCTCAGGGGCCCAACAGAGAGGGTCGCCACAGACCTCAACTGCACAACTTTAGGGATGTTAGATGATTTGAATGACATTAGATCAAGTGGAGAAGGCAGATCAATGCATCACTATAACCTCGAAGCTCAATACAGACGATACTATAGAACATTGAAACCCTTATGCTGTTGTAGACCTTCATCTCTATTATGATATGTAAGAATGGAAAAGATTTTTGAAGATAATTATATTCATGTGTCCATGATCAACTTGGGGGAAACCAAGGATAATGTCACAGAGAGGAAAAGAAAACTTGAAATGTAAACACATACATTTGTGTTTAGTACAGGATGCATATATAGTACAGAGATAAGGAAGGACCCAGGCCTTCCGAGCAATATTGGATCACGAACTGATATACACAAAGATGCCTCAGCATAATACAAAAAGTCAGTCCATATCCACAAACGCCTCATACATGCGAAAGAATAAGAAGAGAAAATAACCCTTGGGGACCCATATGGTCATGAGTATCAACAGGAAAAAATTGAGAGACAAGTAAAAGAAAACATAAGACAAAAAATAAATTTCTGAGAAGACAAATCAAGAATGAGCAAGCAGAGTTTTCAGGAGACACAAGAAGTTTATCAATCATACAGGTCATAGGGTCTCCCCAATACTTCTCTCCCCAATACATCAACGCCGAGCAGCCGGTGCATTCAGATAATGTCGGCTGCCATCCTTATCTACCTCCCATCGCGCATGGTTGTTAGGATTGGCCACAAATTTGTCAGGCACAGTCGGATTGACGAATTCAAAGACTTTTGGAGGTTTTGTCGGCTGAGGACGGGGCTGTGGGCGATGCATAGGCGGCGCCATCTGAACGGGATACAGCGGCATCATATAGGGATATGGATTATAACCCATTGGATGAATGGGCGCAGTGGCGTATACCGGCTGAGTAAAGGGAGGTGCCGCGCTCGGTGGGTACATTAGCTGATTGTACGCAGGCTGAGGCGGCAAGTATGGCTGGCTGTAGTAGGGCTGACTAAACGGCTGTTGATTGTAAGAGGGTAGTGGACAGCGCCTCTGTTTCTCCAAAATGATTTGTCGCACAGTGTCGAGATTGTCGACCATGGTACTGGGAATGATGTTGCCAACTGTGTCGGGCATGGTTTCGGAGAACGGGTTGAAAACCGTTTCGAAAGACGTGTTGGAAACCATGTCGGGAACTGTGTTGGGACTCATGTCGACAACTATGTTGGATGCTATGTGGGATACCATGTCGGAGACTGCGTTGGGTACCGTGTCGACAAATGTGTGGGCAACTGGTTCCACAACCATGTCGGATACCATATTGGACGATTGAGTACTGTCGTTACCATTGGAAGATGATGAGACAGGAGACTCTAATATGTCATCCAATACAGCCAAATCGACAGGGGCTGGAGGAAGCAGCGCAGATAATTCGTCGGGCTTTGATGGAAGCTCCAACAGAGAAGGGTCCACGGTCAGAGAGGGCTCAAATGAGGGAGGTTGAGCCCATCTTGAATCTTCAAGTTGTTCGAAGATACTGCAGTCGTCGTGGCTATATGCAGAAAGCAGTTGAAAAAGTGTCTCATCATCGACATGAGAATGCAGGGCGTAATCTTGGAAGGCGTTGGCCATTGGCTCGGCCCCCCCAGTTGGGTTCACGGGTATAAAGGTAGAAGAGAGCATTTCAGAGGTATTTCGCAGATTATGAGTAAATATTGGGTCGGTATGAAGAAAAAGGAAGAATAAAGGTGAAGGGTTGAGCAAAGTTGAAGCAAGTCAGCAATGAGAGAAAAATGGCTGAGTTTGAGAAAGGGGATGGGGTGGAAGGAAGGAAAGAAAAAAAAGGAAGAGGGTGGTTGCGATGCCATTTTACCCCATACTCCGGGGCCTGTTTAGGTAGGACGCCTTCATGGCTCAACTGGGGTAGCTGCAACATGGTATATTCATGGTTCAACTATGGATGCTTCAACTGTGGTAGCTCCTACGTATTCCCAACAAATTGAATAGTAGCTGTTAGATACTTCGATGCCACGATCTTTCGTATCAGTCTGGACAGAAGAGCAGATATCTGGAGCAGCTACGATGGTGAACCCGTCCCTTCCTTCTACGGCTTGTTTATCAAGTGCAGAAGCAGAAAGAACGAACCACGACGAGGACTTTCCGATTTGTGATCTAGCACCGGTGCCCATTTAGGGCACGGCAGTTAGCTTCAGCCGGCCGAGACATGGAAACCAGTACTTAGGGCATTCAACTTACAACAAGGACGAAATAAGGTTTATGGTCCACTGTGGGGAAATAAACGCATGCCATCTTAGGCTAATCAAATCCTGAGCGCTTGCTTCCTCTACACCAGGGACGCTGTAGCGACTCAGAAAGGGGTCAACGTCATCGTCGACAGAAACACGGGGTGATCGCAGTTGAGTCATAGCAATCCATTCTGATACGGAACCGCAGGCGTCTTGCAGCTCAACCTCGGGCATGTCAGTTGAGACTAAGCCCTTTAGCGACGGCACCAGGACTCGGCCGAAGCTATTCTGGAGCGGCGCGCATTCAATCCACTGGGGAAAATGACGCTCAATCGGTTGGGATTCTGCAAATTGTATCAGTAAGTTTGCTTTGTTTTTTTCCAAGTTTGAAAATAAAACAAACCATTCTTTTTTTCTGATGTAGAACCTAGATCACTAAACAACCACGATATGGATTGGTTGAGAACGTTCTTGAATGCCCACACTATCCGATCAAACCCCTTTTTCCCATGCAACATTGACGGAAGTCGGAGGTTTAACTCAATCACTGTTCATATAGTTAATCATTGACTGTCTCGCTAGTTGCGATACGAGATTTTTCAGGCATACCGAATCTTTCTTTGGCATGTTTTCGACCTCCACTGCGCACCGGTTTACCCACAAGCCCTGTTCGCTCGTAAATCTCTTTCCCAAGTTCTACCTTGAGAAGGCCTATCATAGATAGTATCAAGTTAGTCTCGCTGTTCATCACCAGCCGGTCACATTCCAGATCCACATCTGCACTGACCATCAGAAAGAGCAAATACAGTATCCGAGCCGGCACGACCTTCGGATATCATGATAATGTTTCCTAAAATAAGGTCGTTAGGTATCTCGTTGGTTTTAAAGCAATAAAGCAGGGGTTGCGGTCTGGTCATGATATTGCCTCGCATCCCATCTTTTGGATTATACTAAATATTACTCACCAGATTTGATGTATTTGTTGAAAAAGTCATGTTCAAGAATATCCGATGGATACATGAAGACTCGAGCGCTTTGTATTTTCTGGAGTTTGGTCTCTAAAGGTCCCTTGATACTGGAGTAGGTATCTTCGGGGAGGATCACCTCAACCTGCCAATGCTTGTCAGCTCATGGCTCCAAAATATGTCCTCATCATTCAGAGGCCTATATATTGATAGGGACATATTACCGTATGCACAAATGGGTGGTTCAGTATGGCAGAAAAAGGTGACTTTCTACTTGGAGTCTGCTTCGGGTCAATAAATGTGGGGAGCTGGGCGACCGTGGTGAAGCATTTTTCGCGCCTCGACGCGTCATCCTCGATGTCAAGCATAGTGTAAGATATCTCCGTATTCGATTATCATAAGAATCAAGAATTGAACTGATCAAGGCGTGTTGATGGCAAGTAAGCCAAAGGATACGTGCGGCCACGAATATTTTAAGGTGAAAAAATCGAAGTTGGATTAAGCTCGGCGGCTTAGTTATCGATACGGACTGTAATGAGCTCAGTATCACGCCCACGACTTCAACTTCCGGCCTAGCTCAGCCCTAAAGAAACCACATGATACATGAATTGTGTTAAAGAAAAGATAGCATGAAGGAAATATTAGGGCTCGTAACTTGGTTATGAGTCATGATCATAGAGATTCTCGAAACGATATACATATAGTGTTGATGATCTAGATCGAAGTATCCGACGGGATACTAGTATACATCCATTTATGCATGCGTTCTGCGTGGACTGTGTACTCAAACCATGAAATATCACAGTATGGTTCCTATAGAAGCATCTGGTCAAAATTTGGAAGCGCTAGATAACTAGATACAACCCGAATAAACGAACTTGATCAACCATTTGAACATTGGCTCACTACTTGGAGAGAACATTGAAATCCCCATTTCTTAGTGGGAGCTTAAAGATAGACAGACCGATATCCACAAAAGAGGGTGTTGTATAAATTGAAATGTGAATATTACATCAAACATGAGTTTTACTCTGAATAGCTTTGTGACAACTGACACATAAGTGCAAGTGTAGACCTTGGACTTTGATGAACAGAGCCTCTCTCACTGGCCACTACTACTCACTTAGGTTTTGAATACAAAGAACCCTACAACATACACAAACTCCAAAGTAACAAGCGCTTCCCTTTATAAATCCATCGTCTATCGCTTCTTTTATTCTCATACTCACCATTTCACAGCGCGCATATTGAACCTTCCAGCTGCGGCTAAGTTCTGCCTGAGGCACCAATATGCTCTCTCCGCCCGAAAGCGATTCCGGCCTGCGTATCGCCAACGCCTCCAAATTCCCCACGCGCCATGAGGTAGAGCTTCTTGTACTCGTCAACTCACCAGTATCCTATAGAGACACTGCACCTGATGCAGATGGGCCTGCGCTAGGCCATCAATTGCAGAAGCCAAAGGCGTGACTACAAGGGAAGCTGCCAATCATGGCACCAGCTCCACGCGTGGATATGCTCGCCAAAGAAGCATTCGCATCTGTCTTCGGGGGAGCTAAAACACAAAGTTATAATGATTCCGGCGCGAAGGGACCAGGATCGCATACGTGAGCGACTTTCAACTACCTTACTACACATGCGAAACTAACAGAGCCTTATTGGGGATGCTAGACTTCGGACACTGGCATGGAATCCTGCCGGCCAGCTGATTGCAACCGGCTCCGCTGATAGAACGCTGCGCATCTGGAACCCGGAGCGTACTTTGATAAGATACTCGACTGAACTTCGAGGGCATTCTGGTGCCGTGGAGAGTGTTCTTTTTAATCCGGTCCGCGATGCAGAGTTGGCTAGCTGCTCTGCAGATGGCACGGTGCGCTTCTGGGATGTTCGCTCTAAGACGTGCGTTAGCCGTCTAGATGTTGGAGGCGAGGCATTTACTCTATCCTGGTCTGCTGATGGAAGTAACATGCTCGTGGGAAGAAAGGTTAGGAACCTCCAAAGCCCTCTACATTGATGACCTGCAGCTCACTCATAACCTTCCATTAGGACGACACCTTGGTCCCTATCTCTGTTCAGTCGCCATCCACACCGACATTGCTCTCCAACAGAACTGGGCCATTCGATGGTGCTACAATGGACTTCGCCTCCAAACCTGACTCGCCGACCTATACTGCCCTCCCTTCTCACCCGCAGTCCGTACAAACGAACGCAACAACCTTCTCGCACCACATAGCCTCCCCTACCTCTCCAGATCTACACCTCTTCCTTACAACCGGCGAGGGTCGTGTCAAGATCGTCTCTTATCCTTCCTTCGAAACCATACACACCTTGAACGCCCATACATCCTCTTGTAATGCTATATCTCTCGCGCCCAATGGCCGTTATCTTGCTGTAGGTGGAAGCGACGCTTTGATATCGCTGTGGGATACAACGGACTGGATATGTCGTCGCACATGCTCTAGTGAGAATGGTGGCGCCATCCGAGGTGTGAGTTGGAGCTTTGATGGGCGCTACGTCTGTGGTGCGTCGGATGAGCCTGAAACACCCTCGAGCGGGCTGGACATTTTCCACGCCGAGACTGGGGAACGTGTTTATACCGTTCCAACTTCTGGCCCCAGGGTTGGAATCCCGGCTGTTGCATGGCATCCGTCGAGGTATTGGTTGGCTTACTCGACTATTAATGATCACCCGGGTGGCTCTGGGCTGAAGATTGTGGGCGCTGGTGGTGGTGGTGGCGGTGGTGGTATGACAATATAAGCGTCTTCTGGTTGATATCGAGTTAATTTGAAGGAATTTGGAATTGCACACAGCTATGTGGGATTGGCTCTGTTTTGGGAGAACATGCAAAGATTTGGTCATAATTTGAGGCTTTGGGAGTATAAAGGATTATCATTTATCATGGGTAGAGTTCAGCATTGCTAGCTATCCTTCTAGAACGTGAAAAATTGAAAAGTTTGGAAAAAATTATGATCAAATATGACCAAGAATCAAAATCTGAGAGGGGAGATGTACATTGATCAAAGTTGAAGTTGTTCGTTCATCATAAGGTCGTTCCATAAGAGCACAAAAATGCCCAGGCCAACAGCCAAAAATCCTGCTAATGCGCCGGTGGTATGAGAATTACGTTCCTAAGATCCCTGGCCCATTTGTAGTAATTGGATGGAAGTCATCGACCGGGTTGGGATGGAAGGAAAATAAGATGAGAAGTGAGTCAGAGTAGATGAGTATACACCCGGCCGGTTCCTAGCAATTGTGACATATTGCTAGAATAGTTATCCTATGATAATGGGGCCCTTTTTGGACTGAGATGAGGGACTCTAGCAGATGGTTGGAAAGTCGTCTTGATATCGAAGAGGGATTCCGGGGTTTCATTGGTGGAAGATACAGCACGAAAGTCGAAGCTGGCACATCCGATGCATCCGTTATGGCTTATCGTTTATTCACATCGTCATGATGGACGCCAGTTTTCCCATCCAGCCGCAGTTCCATTATTACTGAATATCTGTGCCCATTGAGACTCGCTCAGCGAGTCAACATTTAAATTCAAGTCCATAGTGTTCATGTCGGAACTGGGTGTTGGTACTTCCCACCCGGGTGGGAATGAGAACCCACTGGCAGGTCCAGTAGTTCCAGATGAGCCGTTGGTACTAGCTGAATATGACTGTCCAGGCATTGTGGTCATACCAGGAATTGGTGGCGAGTCTGTCTTCGTCGAAGAAATATGAGCAGACTGGATATTCTCAAAAGAGGTACTATTTAAGCCGGTGTGAGCTGGTCCTGAATTTTGTTGCTTCTTGCCAGGCGATGGATTCTCAGTCCCCGATATCGAGTAAGACGTATTTGAAGATGAGTTCATCGTGGACGGTGTTGGATGATCAGAAGGTGGGTTTCGCTCCCCAAGGCCAAAGTCTGGTGAGTGTTCCATCTCTATATCGACAACAGCTCCCTGGGTATTTGGTTGGGAATTGCCATCTGGGGCTCGCATAGAGTGGGAGTAGTAGTGAAGCTGGTCAATACTCATCGGAGGTTGCGCAGCGTCACCTTTTGAATGATCCCTGTCCCGAGTGGGAAGAGATGTAGTCATACCAGGCTGATTTCGAGTGGGAATGTTGGAATTCGCAGAATCCCGCCCAGGCGTGGGAATATTCCTCTGCTGGGATTCTCGAATATTGTAGATAGGTACACATTCAAGATTATCACCATAATAAGTTTTCTACATCGACCCAAGTTAGCTAAACGGGGCGTAAGAAAGCTCGGGGTAAATAAAGAGGACCAACCATTGTTTGATGAATGTACGCTGGACTTGATTTGGAAATTTCAGTTCGGAGACCAGTTCCTTCAAGATCGACATCTAACTGAATGAGGAAGGATTCAGTCAAAGGGTTCTTCGATTTCATAGCGTTCAATGCCCCGACAACAAATTGAAGTGATGAGAAAACGCTTGAGTCATCGGGTCGTGATTTCATGTACTGGACGAAAACCCTCGCTGAGATATAGAGACAAAAGGACATGAAAGGATTTAACTATATTCAAGTCAGCTTCGAATGAGCAAATAAGAATATTAGCTTCAGACGTACAATAGACAGGTCAACGTGGCTGACCATCTTCATGATGCTGGATATTTGGTTCGCCGCTACAAGACATCGCCGTTTGCTTTCAGTAATAATCTGGTTGGGCATTCGATTTTTCTCGGCTTTGAAGATAGCTGCCTGGTGAAGACAGATTGTGGAGGTGTGAATATTCATGTTAGCAAATATGACATTTACATCATCCAGTCCGGACGGAAGCCGAAGATGCTCAGGTAATGATAGTGCAATATGAAGTAGGATGTTGTCATGACTACGATGTCTTTTCCAAAACTCGCCGTTGAGATCATGGTCGTTGTCCGATGGTTGAGATCGATGGATGTGCGTAAGGTTTCTGCCAAAGAGATTTGCTAGAACCACTACACACGCAAATGGAGCTAACGTCGAGACACCCTCACCGCCGATGATGTCGGAAAGTCGTAATGTTCGCTGCGGTTTGCTCTTCATGAATGATTCTTCAGAGGCTGGTAGGTTTGTCATGATCTGTTCTGTGTTAGCTCCCATACGACGAATCCGAAGTACCAGCTTTCATATTACTTACATCACGTTCATCGATTACGAGGGGCCATCCAGTTCCAATACTTGCATATCTATCTGTGCAGAAAGCCATCCAGAATACCCTTCGCCTTTCTTCCCGTTCTGTCCAGTCTTTCGGTGGAAGCATAGATTGTTTTACATCCATTCCTGAGCCGTCAAGGCGATTTAGACTCATCATAAGGGCCAATCTAGTTGCCTTGCCAACACTGAGCCAGGCTCGCGGGAAGTAGATCATTCGGAACTCATAGCTGCCGACCAGAATCCAAGTTTGACAATGCGCCAAGGTGACGATGGATTCTCCAAATCCCTTCATTTCATCTTGCTCGGCGTACTTGCGAGACCTTTGGTAAAAATGATCATGCAAGAAGAAATATTTGTCGGAAACAGAAGCTGCATGGCACCACATCATGTAGCGCAAGCAGATGGGTGGCCGTGCGTTAGGACCAAGACTGAGACTTGCAAAGTATCGCGGGCGATGTATGATAGGCATCATTGGGTATATTTTGTCAAAGAATATCGTTTCACTTTAGAGGAACGTCAGTATATTGTATTCAATATGCTTATAGCTCTTTCAACTCACAGTTCATCAATTACGTCTTGGGCCGGGAGGGGCTCTTCCAAACCCAGGCTTATCATCTCCCATTGAGGGTCGGTTGTAACATTGACAGGTTCCGGGAAGAATGATTGGCTGGGCTGGGATGTATCCATGCCTCTCGCTGGCGGAGGGATCGCATTGCTTAGTTCAGGTACAAGTCCACTAATATCTGGTAGGTCGAGAACGGAGTCGTCTGGGAATGGGCCGGTAAATGAGAGATTTTGTGGCTGCGGGGGCGATGTACGCGGGACATTGTCTGGATCCTGGCCTTTGAGGAGAGTCTCGACCTGAGCTAAGATTTGAAGTCCCGGTCAGCACTATCTTGAAGAAAGAGAAAGGGTTCAGCACTCGCGATGAACGGGGCTCCATACCTAATCGAGCCTCCAGCTGCTTCACATATCCCCGCTTCGGCCCACTCTTTTTGCGCACTTCATCGTAGGCGCATTCGTGACCTAAGCGTGAGCAGGTCCCACAGCTTGGTCGTCTCCCATCGCATCTGAGTTTCCTCCGCCGACAGACAACACATGCGATGCGCTTCGGGCGGGGAACGTAGTTGCTATCACCTGTAGCAACACCGTCGGTATGGGCGCCGTTTTCTGTAATTGAAGATTCGTTTAGAGAAGATCCAGGCACAGAGGAGTACTGCGACGAGTCATGCGAGTATGCGGAGGAAGGAAAGTTGTCCATGGCTGGTCTATTCTACCACCCACTGGCGGGGAGAAGGCGTGTGTAGTAATCCCGACCGATAAGGAGCTGGCTGGCACCCCACCGCTTGTCACTGGTAGGAGCTTGATAGCGCAGGGTTGTGAGCATGAATCCTACACAGGTCGGATGCGGAGTGCTCATCCTCCGGCGGACTGGGTCGATTTCAAGGTTGAGTGGGAATTGTTAAACAATCAAAAAAAGTTCCTTCTGGATGACGGCGGGTAGCTGGAGAAAGGTAAGTTTCGGCTGGCATCGCCTCCTTTAACAAGAACAGGAAATCAATGTGCCCCTTTTGATAGGTTCGAACATGTTCTAACTGAATCTACTAAAATCTAGAGTTGTCTGCTTTTACTACATTTTCCCTCTTATCATCAGCACTTCAGCATTGCTCTTGGGTGGGATCGGCGCTTGAGGGGTCCAAGTCACTTACGTACGACTCCGTTGCCTGGAAAGGCTTGGCAGATCGCTGATCACGTATAAAAGAGGATGGGACACATGTTAGTGCGGAAGCTCTACTATAAGCCAACTACATACTCCGTACAATGAGGCACATGTTGAAATTGGAGATACAGAGCTACTATATAGAAACCTATTCTATTTTAATTGATTGTTTATCAGAGTATCAGAGCGTTTAGAATATATCTATTTGTGTTCATTTTGTGCGGATGGCTTTCGACCATCATACTATACAGCACCTGATTCTCCCAAGCTCCAACCGATGACAAAAAATAAGCTATAGCGAAGGGGTCCGGAGAGGTCACAGAGGATGCAAAGAAAATACAAAGCAAAATATCGTACAGCCACCCCGCATAAATATGGGATGAGGTATAAAGTGAAAACAGGAGACGTGTCTCAGGGAGATGCAAACAAAAGGAGCAGCTGCCGGGTCTGCCACAAGAAAAGGAAGCCGAGGAAAACGAAACGGAATCTAATTGTATCCGCGACGGCGCTTGCCTTGGTTTCGAGGTCTGGGAACAACAACGGCCTTGTTGATCTTCCACTTCGGTCGGGTCTTGTAACCGGATTTGGTCTGCAGAAAACATGACAATTAGTTTATACTCATGGACATGAACAAGAAAGCTTAGAAAGCATTGCGGAGATACATACCGGGATACCCCATGGACTCTTGGGATCGACATTACCCTTGGACTTACCACGACCACCACCGTGAGGGTGGTCCATGGCGTTCATGGCCAAACCACGGACAGTGGGGCGGATATTGAGCCAGCGCGAGCGACCGGCTTTACCCAACTGAGTGTAGTGATAGTTGGGGTTACTAGCAACACCAATAGTGGCACAGCAGTCCTTGTGAAGAAGGCGAGTCTCACCGCTGGACAGACGGACCGTGATGTGTTGGGCCAAGCGCTCTTGCTTCTGACGCTCACGCTGAGACAAAGGCTTTTTCTCGGTCTCGGGCTCCTCGGGGTTGGACTGGTCGGGCTCAATGGCTGTCTGGCGGGAACCACTACCCTTGGCAACCACTGTAGCATATGTTCCAGCACTACGGCACAACTGGCCACCCTTTCCAGCTCGTAATCCAACATTGAACATGGGGGTTCCCACAGGAATCATGTGCAGCGGCAAACAATTTCCTCGCCACGCAGTACGGGCAGCCAAGACACCAGGATCAACAGTACCACCCATGCTCTTCCAAAGGTCCTCCGGAATACCAGCCATGTAGCTCTGCACTGTCTCGCCAGCTCGCATGCCATCCGCAGCAAGAATATAGCTCAATTTCGAGGTTTCTTTACTGCGAAGCAACGCGATATGCGCAGTGCGACCTGGGTCATATTCAACACGTTCCACCAGGTGAGGACCGGCATCCATTCGCAAGAAGTCAACGGTACGAATTCGACGCTTGTGACCACCACCCATGTGACGAACTGTAACTCGACCGGTGTTGTTACGGCCACCCTTGGCATGACCCTTCTTAGGAAAAGTCAAGCGGTGAACTGGACGACCTTTCCATAGATGATCGTTCACAGGTCTGCGCAAGTGTCGCACACCAGGAGTACGAGGAGTGTAGGTACGCAGAACGACTCCAGCGGAATCACGAGTCGGGGGAGGCGCAAACGAAGCGGTGGGGTCAATTGAGGAAGTCGATGAGTTCGCTGGAGGTGTCTCGAGTTCATTTATCACGGAAGCAAATCGGCGAGCTGGTACGGAAGGAACAGATGGTAAACACCTGAAGGGCAACCGAATGCCCCGGAGGGCAATTCGGGGTTGGAACATTTTTCGAAATCAGGCGATTGGAGGAGAATCAATGAGGAGACCACAGAATACTGCAGCTGGAAGAGAGAGGAAGAAAAAAAAAAGACGGCCCAATGCTCAAGGTCCAGTATCCTCAAGGCTCGATCTCCGCTTCTTTCCAATATCTCTCGAGTAGGAACAAAAAGTTCTTGGGGACTGTATAACACGTGACTCGTTCCGACCGCAGCCACAATTGGCACCGCCACAGTTACATCAGGGAGATGTGGCTAGTCCCGTGACCTTGTCTGACACGATGACAGAATCTCAAAACTCAAACGCCCTTCCCCGTTGCCCCAGAAACTAGGTGTTGTTTACCCACCGCGACTCACGTTTTGCCGCGACGTGTATCCACCGTTACCAATACCGTCCCTGCCACCTTCAACATATCTCCTTCATTTTTGGATCGGCTTTTCCCCAATCAGCCCAGACAAATTCCATTGCCCTATTCTGTGCTTAATTTGAAATCTCCTCATACCAAGCATACCCTATTCCCCTGTATTATCAGTGGAAAAAGCCTGCAATATCAACCCGCGACCCTCGCAGAGTGGGGCGTCATTCAGGTTTGACCGGTTTTCCACGCTAACACAATAGGGCCAAACATCGCTTGGCCCTCGACTTCTTCCTTTTCTCTCCATCATTCCAGTCCAAGATACCCTTTTCTACATCCCTCCCAACCCCATTTATCCCGGGTCAACCCTCCGGTACAGATTCCACGTGTGATCTGAATACCTCTGAGCCCTTAAATCCCATCTTCTTACGCGTTTTTTTTCTTGGGCCGTTCCCGAGGACCCGACTGTACCACGGATCGCCACTAGATTTGATATCATCATATGTTTGGTGACTCGCGCCTCGCGACACATAACATCTAATATCTACTCAATTACTCCTATTACATCTTTCGCAGGTGCAGTTTGCTTTGCTCAGCCTGCATTTTCACGCTTGGTACGTGCACTTCCACCTCGACCTGTGGTATTTGAGTTCCCCACTGTGGTAGTGTCCACCGGAATGCTGACCTGATCCAAGTAGGACGAGGAGAACTATCAAGCTCTCCCCTTTTAATTCTTTCTTCGCGCTCCCCCTTTCCTTCCCTTCTTGTCTAGCACGATGGCACCGGTAAGCTAATCTTGATCCTAAAGCTTTTGTCTCAAGTGGGATGCGTATTCGTCCTCTTTGAGTACCTTGACGCGTCTGTTCTTTGTGTTCTTTGAGGAGTCTCTAATCCGATATATATAGGCCCGTTCACTCCGCTCACGAGGAACCATGAATGAGAACGATGAGAACGGCCCGTCGACGCGTTTGACGCGAGCCAAGGCCGCCCTCGGCACCGATGGCCCTGCTGATGCAGTCAAGAAACCCATGCAGCCCGTCAAGCGTGCTCTGTCAACCACCAATGGAGTGCAACGTCGTCGTGCCGCGTTGGGGGATGTCAGTAATGTCAAGACCGATGCTATTGAGATCAAGGATGGCAAGAAGCCCGTTGCCGGAAAGACTGCAGTCGCAACAAAGCCTCCCACACAGCCTGGTGCCATTCAAAAGCTTACCCGTCACAACTCGACACGTGCCGGCCTTACCAAGCCACGTACGGAGAGCAACAAGAAGACGTCTGCCACGAAACGCCCCCAGACATCTCTAAAAGAAGTTTCATACCAAGAGGAGGAGCCTCCTCTGAAAAGACTTAGCACACAGAATTCATCGGTGATCACGAAGGGGGCTACAATCAAGGAGGAGGTTCTCATTGAGAAGGCTGGCAAGAAAAAGGAGTCCAAAAAGCAAGAATGGGACAACCTTGATGATGAAGATTTGGACGACCCGTTGATGGCTGCCGAATATGTCGTGGAGATTTTCGAGTACCTTCAAGAGCTTGAGATGGTGACCCTCCCTAACCCCCAGTACATCGAGCATCAGCCAGATTTGGAATGGAAGATGCGAGGCATTCTTGTCGACTGGCTGATTGAGGTTCACACACGTTTCCGTCTGCTCCCCGAGACTCTCTTCCTTGCTGTCAACATCATCGACCGATTCCTGTCAGCCGAGCAGGTCGCTCTCGACCGCCTCCAGCTTGTTGGTGTCACCGCCATGTTCATCGCATCCAAGTATGAGGAGGTTCTGTCCCCTCACGTTGCAAATTTTAGCCACGTCGCCGACGAGACATTTAGCGATAAGGAGATCCTCGATGCTGAGCGTCACGTTCTCCAAATCCTGGGATATAATATGAGCTTCCCCAATCCCATGAACTTCTTGCGTCGCATCTCCAAGGCCGATAACTACGACATCGAAACACGAACATTGGGCAAATACCTCATGGAAATCAGCCTGCTGGACCACAGGCTCATGAGCTTCCCCCAGAGCCAGACTGCTGCTGCTGCCATGTATCTTGCACGTCTCATCCTGAACCGTGGACCTTGGGACGCAACTCTCGCTCACTACGCCGGTTACACCGAAGAAGAGATTGACCCCGTCTTTCGCTTAATGATTGACTACCTACACCGCCCGGTGTCCCACGAAGCTTTCTTCAAGAAATATGCCAGCAAAAAATTCATGAAGGGTGAGTATTCTTCCAATAGATTGTTCAAACTTTCACCGCTAACATATATCGATAGCTTCCCTCATGACCCGCCAATGGGCGAAGAAGTACCACCACTTGTACGTCGACAGCTCGCTCTCGGAGCCGTACACCTATATCAAGGATAGTGAAGAGTAATCACGCCTCTTACGATGTTATGCTAGCCCTGTGTCGCCAATGCCCTCAGCCTTCATGACGAACCCAAGGCTGTCGGCTTGACCAGGGGCTTTTCGAATCCTTCATATGTTGGCATTTCATTGTGCTGGTATCAAATACCTCTTGCATATTCTTACGATTACCTTATCTGTGCGCTTCCGCATTTTTGTTTTGTGACGGGATGGTGTTGTTTGGCGCTCAGTCAGGGGTTTTGTTTTGACTAGGGCTCTTGTTTTATTTTCCTTTCACAATGCATGGGGTGTCTCGCTTCTCGTGTACCCTGATACCTTCATCTTTTCTTTTTCCACTTCTCTTCATCCGCGATTGTGTGACTGGCGTCGGACTATTATTTTGTGCCTTCTCTTCTTCAGATCGGAATTTTATCTCATTGCAGTCATGGATTTATCTTTTTTTGGGTTACTTTGTCTTTCTTAAAGGGTCTCTTGGGAAACATGCTTTGTTTTTTTACTTCATGTACCTCTCATGATGGCTGTTAATATGTCACCGAACATGGCGGGAAAAAAGTCACTGGTGTTGCCAGCGCTGTTCTTTTGGTGGTCAGATTTGAGCTGGAAGAGCTCTGGTCCGAGGCGATCAGGTCTTCCACGTCAGCATGGGGATTGGTTTGGGTTGCGGTAATGAGCGTCCAGGTAGTTCGGTTTCGTGGGTTTGTCTATCTTTTTCTTAGAATAGTTGATTTCTCCGCTGGGTGCTTGGCGTGGTTCCTGACTTCAATTCTGATCTTACTTTGAACTTCTTCGTGCTTTTTAATCCCAGTTATGTACATAGGCCTTCAATTCTTCGGTCAGACGTTCAGAATGTCCTCAATATGTAAAATGAGTCCTGTACTAGGTATTCACCCCCGCAGGTATGTATGTTCAAGTTCAACCGAGGTCCTTTTTTCCCCAAGATTTCGCTCGCACCAAGGTAGTGTGACTCGCCCTGCATGCGACTATATAATCGCCGTCCTGAGTAGGACTCGGAAAATTGTCGCGTCATGCCTGAATATGGTATGGTAGAGAAAGTCTCGTTCAAACACTCATCTGTCACGGTGTATTGATCTCCATTCTTCTCATGTCCATCACCTTAAACCTGGTATCATATAGTAGATTATACCATATGTAGTATGTATATACTATGTACTATGTGTGCAAGCCCTGCACTCAGAGTTCGCCCCGCAAAATAAACCTCCAGGTGCCTTTGCCGACTCAAACCCGCCCGTCTTCCCATCAAACCCAATACATAGCATCATCACCCTGTTCCACGCATTTCTTCGCATCATTGCATTGTTACTATATACCCCAAGCCCTCTTCCCGAGTTTCATGTCCATCATGCCCGAGCGATGTGCATTTTGCGACATCGCCGCCACAAATCCCCCCGCCTCTTTTAGTGAGCACGGGCCAAAGACAGCCGTCTCGGCCTCGGCTGACGCCCCGGACCCAACGGCCTTTATGGTCTTGTCTACAGAACATGTCATGGCATTCATGGATATCATGCCTCTTACTCGGGGTCATGTACTTGTAGCTCCGAGGCGACATTATGAGAAATTGGGGGATATGGGTGTTCTAGCGGGGCAAGAGGTAAGGGATATCGCGATATAGGCTTTAAGCAATGTTGAAACCAGATAAATGCATGGATATGTTTATCCATGCCCAGATGGACGGCCTTTTGGCTTTGTCGTATTCCACAACAGTCGCATTTCATCTCAAAGCTTCAAGCTATTTCAATGCTATTTATCTTACAAATTGGTTTATACATGCTGACGTTTGTATATTTTGACAGATTGGGAAATGGCTTCCTATACTCTCAAGGGCCGTGAACAAGGTCGTCTTCGGGGAAGATCCCGATAGGCATTGGAATGTTGTACAAAATAACGGTATGTGTTATTCCAATTTTAGTTATAGGTCGAGCATTTCAAGGCTCGGACTTTAAGATGAAAACAGGAGTGACACTGCAGCCGTGATCCGTTCCTTACTCAATCCTACATACCTCTGCTTAGGAAAGGAAATTTGAATGAATATTCTATCTAACTAAGATAACAGGAGCCCGTGCTGCACAAGTAGTGCCTCATGTACACTTCCATATTATTCCCCGACCGGTGACAGACGGCGTTCACAGGCCTGGATTTGCCATGTTTGGCCGTGGTCAGCGTTCAGAGCTTGACGACGAAGAAGGTGAGGAACTGTCTCTTGCCATGAGAGCAGAGATGGTAGGGGAGGTTCAACGGATTCAAAGAGAGGAGGGTATCGATCTCTCAATTGACTCCGCCGATCGGGGCAAATTGTGAGTTTAGTGTATATACCATGATGAGCCGCGTTTTGAGTCTTTGGCCTTGGATTCTTTTTGATGTTCAATTTTCTATGAAGTGGTGGTGGTGATGCGCTTTGTATAGAAATGTGCAATAGACAGTCGGGGTTTTGAATCAATAGCCTTGATGCAATTTTGAGGGAATTCTGAAGGCCCCTCTTTTTGTTTTATTCATGTCGACTCCGCAATTATTGTTCGTCTTGAAATTTGTTGAAATACTGCATCAGAAATGTTAGCATTATATACCAAGCGACATATTCCTAAGATATTCACCTTTCGTCGGAATTCGTTGACTTCGCTTGCTGAGACGCCCCGTGCATCTTCCTTGCTGCGTGCCTGTGACATGTCGGAAAATTCACCCTCAGGAAGACGACGATAAGTAATAAGTCGTCGGGCCCCTAAATTCAACCCCGATTAACACTGCAAATTTGAAGACGAAGACCAAGGGGAAATAACCACTCACAGTTGCCAAATGTTTGAGTCGAAACACTAACAACCTCCAAATGCTGGTCCATTGGCACCGGCAACCCAACCTCGTCAATAGCGGTCGGCATCCACATTGCAATGCGACCATTAGTGACGAGAGCTCGTGCCGCGAAAGCGAGAATATCCTTTTGCATAGCTTCAAAACCGTAAGGTCGTTTAGGCGGAATATACCCAGGTCGGTAATAATTAAGGACGCCATCAATCACAACTGGATCCAAAGGCTTTCCGTCGCGAGTTCCAAGAACCCGTAGTCCTTCTCGTACGCCGTAGGGCGGATCGCAAACAATACCATCGAGGAATTTACAATCGCGCAAAGGTGTATTTGTGAGATCGGATGTAAAAGAGTCGACATACTTGCTCACTGTGTTGTATTGCTGGTAATTTCGCAACAGAGCAATATCATTTTTGCTCTTCCGCTCTTCATCCTTTCCGCGGAAGCTTCGCGGATCGATATCCGAGCCCATTGTTAATGCCCCGAAATGAGCAGCAGCAACTAAGAAGCTTCCGGTTCCAACGAAAGGGTCGTAGAAGAGCTTACCAGGAGCTGCGAGTGTCATATTTGCCGTGACGAGACTCAACTCCGCGTCCATTGACGTGGTGCTTATATAGGAGCGTTTCTTCAAATCATACTTGATGATCGCACCCCGATCACTTGATGCAATGTAGCGACCCAGGTAGATCTTCAGCGGGTTGGGATTCTCTGCGATTTCTTGAAGGGTTGCCTCTGTCTGGGCAAGGTACCTTTCCATGACTAGAAATTGCTCGTCTGGGTTTTTTAACTTGACACTTCCCCCAAAGGGTATATAGTGAAATGACTTGAAGATTTCAAGCCTAGAGGATGCACTGCGTTTTCCACAGAAGGTATCCATGTCGAAAGCGAAGGAGACTTTTTGATATTTAGGCCATAAAGGCGCGGATCGCGTCTTGATGTCTGCATGAACCTCATCATAATTTTCGCCGTGGCCCCATAGCTCAAAGATATCTTTGGCTAGAATGCTACGTGCGATGAGTGCACGTGCAGCGGCTTCATCCGGTAGTTTTACGATGCAATATGGTGACTGGCAAGATCTATTAGCAAAAGCTCTAAGGAATTCAGAGCTCGTAATTTTCTGACTAGAAAATAATAAAGCTATTTGGTTCAGTCAGTCACATACATGGTCGTCGTAAAAAATGATTTCGAGGTCCACCCCGACAAGCGTAGCCACGGCTTGGAGTTCTGGGACACGGAAACTCTGATGCCACTGAGCAAGCCGGATGAGATACTCCATACCGACAATCTGTATGATATACCCTACTTGCCAGTGCAATCAGTAATTATATGGAGTTTTCACTTGCCAGATCAAGACATACAGGTGGTGGGGTATGCGGGACTGATTTTTCTTATCGCTTCTCCGATTTGGATCGGATCCACTGATAAAGAACAAAAAACAGACAAAACAAGCTTTATGAGAAGGTCATAACAGCTATACCGGACATTAATGAGCACCATCCTTGACCGCACTCGGGAGACCGGTAGTATAGAACCCCACTCATAAAAGTTTGAACAATATCATGCCCAGTTGTTACGATGTGTGTACCCGTGGACATATAAGGGGCATGAGGCCGCAATGGGGTACTAATACTACCATCTCCCTCTCTCTTTGTCTCTTTGTCTCCTGTCTAGCTTTGTTATTCTCTATTATATACTACCAGCTTTGATTCCGGTCTCTTAGTGAGTCCTAGCTTCTGGTAATAACAGATATCTCATTTATCTTTTATCTCACTAAACCATGAGGTCTTATATGGGGGTTTTTACCCTTTGAATATTTGTTAATATGTACCTCTGGATTTGCTAGTTTATTTTTAGCGCTCGCTAGACTGATCACCGGTTACTCCCAATACCTTCAAAATGACCCCAGCTAAGGTTGCTGCCAATGAAGGCAGAGTTACTCATAACGATATCAAAACCCGCGTCATCAAAACTCGCGTTACCAAAACCCGTATTATTGAGGAGTCAGATAATCCTATCTATCCCCAGAAGAACGCTAAGCCCAGGAATTCACTTACTTCTAATGGCACCCTGCAATTAAAACATCGGCCTGCAGACAAGATTTGGAAATCTATCCCAAAGTTACCAGGAGCTACTGGTAACGACCAGCAGTGTATCACCAATGAGCTTGAGCAGCACACGATTTCTAAAACTCTTGTGTAAGTTTTGACCTACTCCTAGATATTATATGATCAGTACTAAATAAATATAGATTTAAGCCTATATGTGATTGTAAGGATCATAAGGAGGATCCTCGCTACACTACCTTTCGAAACCATGGCCCAATAGTAAGTCTATATAGAGGACACTCCTGGTATTGTCTGCTACTAATATGAATATTCAGGCTATACCCTGTTGTGCTCGCAGATGTCCTTACTGTTACTATATGCTGTACGTTACCTACTAGTACTTGTACCTTTTACAGGTTACCTCAAACATTTAATAATAGCTTTATCTAGGACGAATAATACTATGGTCGTCATGGGCAACAGTGCAATCATTCGGAAGCATATCAAACACGTACACTGTGTAAGTAATGGTCACTTTCAGTTCAGCAACTAGTAATAACTTTTGTTAGGGTCTGAATGTTTCTTTTCCTAGGGTTGGACTTTATGTTGCATCTGAGAAGGAGTCGCAAAGATGGTTGTAAGTATTGCCCCTGGTAGTTACCAATTATTTCAAGTGCTGATCAAAATAGCGCTTTCTGCCCTGAGGTTACTGGTGATGAGGGCACTGATGATGACGATGAGGATACTAGTGACGGGGACAATTAGCCTGAGGGTTCTGGCTATGAACAGCAGTCTAACCGAGTCACTGAAGCTAGCGGAGGATTTTGATGGATTCTTCAATGGTTTTATGAGGTTTTCGGTTTTTTTCTCATGGGTTGTTTAAGTTCGTATCAACCGGTACCTGCCAGATACTTTGTGATGGATGCGTTCTGAGGGATCCCCGAGATTTATGAAGGATTCAAATTAATAGAAGCGAGTTTTTAAAATTCTTATGGATACAAATTACAAGAATAGTCCGAGGGAAGGGAGCTACAGAGAAGGTATTTCTTCTGCATACATCCATACAAAACATCTGGACGAGTTTTGGAGAGGTTATAGACCTTCTATACATTCCAGGGACCTACAGGTCCTACTAGTGCATCACGATGAATCATGGAACAATGAAAGGCTCTTCTGTTTGTGATCTTTACCTAGAATCCTCGATAAATGGATACAGATGTATTCAGTTCATACACAGCGCAATTTGTATTTAATTTTTTTTCCTGAAGACCAGCGAGTTTAATTTTCAAAGGCAATTTCGATTAAAGAAGAAAGACGATTTAATTCCAGATACGCTGATGTTGACTGGTCCATGCGAATCAAGGCCTATCTATCAATATGTCAAGACCAGAAACAGTTGTAAACATCACCTCCCCAGTCATGATATGTTCAGAAAATGGAAGCCAAGACGCCATCAAAAGAAACCATTCCAAAAACACCGCCGTTATGCGCCAACCACTGTAAACACATGTCGTGATTCGTATCCATCTACGGGAGATATTTTTACTTCCTCATTTGGGGGTATCATGGGGTGCTGCAAGCTCCAGCCGGCCCGGCGACAGAGCTCTGAAACCACCACGTCACAGTCGCCCAGAAGATCAATGTCAAAATCGGTGTGTGATACCGGCTATATCAATGTTAGTAGTGAACATCTTGTAGAACTGCTTGGGATGAAATCATACTGTGCGCGATATGTAAATCTGCGGGACGTCGCGTGGCAGGATTCCTGGCACTTCTGCGACAGGAGCCACCTTCAGCGAGGTTCCAATGACGATGACTAAATCAGCTAATTGGCGATCGTGGCCAACAAGGCGACTACCAAACTCGTCTGGGAGATCTTCACCGAAGAACGTAATATCGGGCTGGGAATGGAGTTAGTTGAGGAAATATGATGCCCAAGTCCCGGAGGAGTCACTTTACCTTCATCACACCAGGGGTAGGGATATCATAGTCATCTTCATCAGAGCTTTCATCGTCTTTGCGATCCTTCTGGTTGCCATTTGAGCTCCGTTTGCGCTTAAGCCCTTGAGGCTTCAAGGCATCTTCATCGATTCTCTGGCGACAAGCACTGCATTCAGGAATCTTGCCTTCTTTGATATCGTTGAAAATCGCATTTCCGGCGACTTTGAAGTCGCACTCCACACACGTAGCAGTAGCGAAGGATCCATGACACTGTACCATATTTTCAGCAAGAACGCCGGCGTTCGCTTCAATGTTGTCAATATTTTGAGTATAGTTAGTCAAAAGTTTGCCTTGGTCTTGAAGCAGCTTGATGAATCCATGGGTGGGAGAAAATTTCTTTTCAGTGGGAAGAATGTCCTTTGCGATGGAGAAGAAAACGCTAGGATCTTCTCTGAAGACATGAATATCAAAAACTTCCTGTGGGTCACTAAGGCCCAGATGCGCTAGTTTTGAGTAGAGACCAGTATCCTTTGAACGGAAATCAGGAATACCCAAGCTCGTCGAAATCTTCAAAAATTACAGAATATTAGTATCAAAGCTCTATACCTCGTAGGAAGAAAGGGGAAAGATCGTACACCAGCACCGGTTAACACGATGATATTCTTGGCCTCTTTGAGCAACTTCACAGCATCGTCGATACTGTTGTACTGAGGAAGCTTCGGCCGTCGAGAAAACTCTCTGGAGATAGCAATCGCAAGGAGTTGATGATAAGCTTCATCTGGAGCACCCTCCAGAAAATCAGGCAACTTGATGCCAAAAGCTGTACATAGTTTCTTCGCAGTCACTGTTTCTTGGATGAGAGTCTCTTCAACAAAAGCTGCCTTGCCAATATCATGCAGGCGCTTCCGGTATGCCACCGCTTCCTCTCGGGTGCAGGCACCTGGAACTATATCGCGGTAACAAAATTAGCCTTTTGCGTTCAATAGTGGATTCCAGATAGCGGGATGACCTGGCGTAGAAGGCGCAACGCGTCTTTCTAAAAAAACGCATTCCAATATTGAAGAAAAAGCTTACCATCTTGCAGCTGGTCATCACGCACAAACTGGATGATATCCCCATCGTCAGATAGCGCGTCATCGTCATCTGAGTTGTCGCTGTCAGTTCCGAAGTCGGACAGTGCCTCCAGTGCCTCCTGCAAAGCGCCCGTCTCCGTGTTGGCCGGCGCCGCGACATCCACAGCCTCCACTTCGACCATAGGCATCTTGACCGGATTCTCCCCTCCTGGCGCTGGTACTAAGTCCATGCTGCAGAAATTACTTCTGATCCGCGACGATTTGTTGACTTCTTGTCGATAAAAAGCATCTGCATAGCCGGAACGATGTTTATCCGGGGCCGAGGGGGCTCAAGTGGCGAAGATGAACTTTGGTTCAGGGAAAGATACGCGGGAGGTGGGAATAATGAAGGTGAAGTGTACTTTTTTTATACTTAGGAGGTATCAACAAAGAGAGAAAGGGAAAGAACCGATCCGATCCCAAGACAAAGACTAAGACATAAGATTTATAGACATGCATGCGTTAAGATCATCATTCCACTTTTTGTTTTAAATTGTAACCATCATTCATGAATCAGCCATCTCCTGGTCCTCCTCGTCCGACTCAATATCGAGCTCCCCATCCCATTCTCCGCCCTCTTCATCGCTATCATCCGTGTCTTCTCCGATCTCCTGGTTCATACCCTGGACAAGCTCCAGAGCATGATCCCGGAGGCGCTCATCTTCGTATTGTAAAAGATCAAACAGTTTCAGACTCTGTTTCAACCACTCCCGGCTCGCAACCAATGAAGCATGTCGCGGTGACTCAGCCTCATCATCTTGGACGCTTTTAGGGGCTTCTTGCTTCTCCGCCAGCAGATAGAGACACCAACCGCCAAGATACCAAGCCTCCACACTCTGGTCGTCCTCCAGGATGAGACGTTCGAGGACATCCAAAGCCTCAAGCTCCAGTGTTACTTCCATAAGGAGTCGCGCAAGACTGATTCGCACCGCGAAATCAGGTACTTTGGGATCTTCAGGCGCCAAATCTTTCCACAGACCAACGCTCTTCTTCAAGGCAGCTTGAGCATCTTCCGTTCGCATTTGTGATATCCGGATGGATGCAAGAGTCTGTAGAACTTCCGGTGCCTCCGGTGTAACGGTGATGGCCTCAGTGATAAGTGCCTCGCATCGAGCTTCAGCATCCTCCTCCCAGCTAAAACAAATAACCGTTAGTAATGAACTAGAAACACAGCCAATACTTGGGTAGAACTCACGAAAGATCGGTCATATAGATCTCAGAAACTGCACAGAGGGCATTCGCCAGTTTGGCCTTCTTTTCAGTACATTCGGTTACCTCTGCCGTGCTAGTCTTGCCTTCCAATGACTGCAGAGACTGTCGCAGAGAAGCAACACCCTTTTCAAACCACTGGACACTGTCCGCTCCGCCTGCATCGCTCAATTGAGCCAGCCACAGGAACTTCTCTGCACCTCCACCTTCAGATTCTGGTATAGAACCATCGAGATCTAGTTGGACGGCCTGCAGGAAGTATTGTCTAGCAGTATCGATCTCGCCCAACTCGACATTTATTTCTCCAAGCAGATTTAACGAGGGCAGCTGCGCATTGCCGCCATCTGCTGTGAGTTCTAGAGCCTGCTGTGCATTTCCGAGAGCTTCGTCAACACGACCTGTTTGTAGGAGGATCGTGGCTTGATCGAGTAGTTCGGAGGGAGTTTGGGACATTTTTTGTGTCGAGACTGAGCCACCAGGGCCAAGGACGGACTTTGCGCGGGGTTTGGAGGATTTCTTTTTTTGCGGTCTAGGTTTTCCCATGGCAGTTTTATGCAAAATAGAGGAATAAGAGGTATAACAATAATAAATGATGCCCTTGTATTCAATAGGCACAAAAAATCTAAGTAAGTGGTCAAGTGGGACACCAGATAAAAAAGTTGAAGCTCTCGAACCCGAAATATGGAGCTGTTTGACGGGTTTGCATGCGGGACTGGCAAGATGGGCTTTCATCCACTACAAATCGCGACGGTGATACAATCTTTGCTACTAGATCAATCTTCTTCAAAAAGCCCACGCTCTATACACTCTCCCCGCCGTGATCGAAATTGACTGCTCGGCTACACCACCCTTGTCTTCTTTTCGGGTCCCCGCACAAGAACCATCCGTCACCCCTCCAAATCCGCGGGCGGATAAAGCACAATGGGTCGCGAAGATCAAATCGAAGAGCGAGAAGTTCTTGACTCAATTTTCCCCGATGAGATCACAGGTGAGACTTTACCAGTCCCCTAGGATGAGTCTTGTACTTTGCAAAATGTACATATACTGATTTGCACATTTTTGCGCCACCAGATATATCGGAGACCGCATACAAAGTATCGATAACCCTCGAGACTCCTCCACATGACCCCGAAGAATCTGAGCCACCTGTGATATACCTGGAAGTCTCATATCCAGATGAATACCCCGATGTCGCCCCCGAACTCAACATTTCCGCCCCTCCAAATGCTCCCCGCTACCCACGGTTAGATGTCTACGAGGACCGAGATCAACTACTGCAATCTCTTCAAGAACCAATCGAAGAAAATATGGGAATGGCCATGGTGTTTACGCTTGTGAGCGCTTTGAAGGAAAGTGCAGAAGACCTTATGGTAGAGCGCGCCAATGCCGTGCAGGTGGAGAGAGAGCAAGTTGCTGCTAAGTTGGAGGCAGAGGAGAACGCCAAGTTCCAGGGTACAGTTGTTAACCGGGAGTCATTTTTAACATGGATGGCTGGATTCCAAAAAGAGATTAAGGATGAGGAGCTTCGATTAAAGGAGGAGAAGGAAGCAGAAGACAAGAAGAAAAAGGCCACGAAGGAAGAGAAGAAGCTTACTGGGCGGCAATTGTGGGAAAGAGGATTGGCCAGTAAGGGTGATTATGATGACGAGGATGGTGTGGATGCCATTCCGGTTGATAAGCTCAAGATTGAGGCTTAAAATAATGCATGCATGTATATGTTTATATGAAAATGTTTATCTCTTCACGCCCTGCATGATAATCTTAGAAGTAAGCCTTCAAACATTTTCCCTTCATTTGAAGGTATGTGGAAGTGCAAAACTGGGGTATCATTTCGCGGTATAATACATAAAAATGCTAGATATCTAGCGGGACAGGGAAGAAAGGCGATCTTCATTTTTGGACGAGTTCTTGGCCTCCCTCTCTTTCTCTTCCTTCGCAGCTAGCTTACGCTCCTGAAGCACAACATTCCACATTTTTCTCGCCATTTCTCGATTTTGCCGATCCGAATTGCCGATTTTGGCATAAATGTCATCATGGACAGTTCTGAGTGCGTCCGTCCATGACGATGAGTCTTCAGTCTCTGTCTGAGTGATCTTATCCCATGCGTCTTCGTCCTCAGCAAACAATATGTCCAGCTGTAAACGATCTCTCAAGACGATACGATCCCAACGCTTCTCTAATTTTGCTCGGATAAAGCCAGAGAGGTTCGAAGGCTGCGGCTTCCCCAGACGCAAGAAAGGTATTCCGCGCGCGTTAATCAATGTCGGTACTCGTCGATTACCGCTGACCTTTAAACGTGGGCGTGATAATACCGACGTGGCATTCGGGTGTCGGTATCGAGTCTCTTCTTCATGGCGCTTGACTTCTTGTTTTCGAGCTTCTCGGGGAGATATGGGCTTTGGAGGTACCGTTTTGCTGATCTGCCTTTGCGACGCAGCATGCTCTTGTTTCATAGACTTGGCTTGCATGAGGATTGTGGCAATTTGCTGTTCATCTTGTTTGTTCCCTTGGGATGCGGAATGTAGTAGATCGAGGGACTATCGGCGAACCAATTATTAGCACTGACCATGACTGAGCGAGGTGAAGATCAGATAGATCATACTTGATAGCCGGCTTTCAAAGCAGAGGTTATTTGCGATGGGCTTTGGAGCGTTTTGTATCTGTGGAATCTCTGTTTGGCAAGATGCTTGATCTCGCCCATCCAAGGCGCATTAGCCGTTGATTGAGAGTATTGGGTGCATTGTCGCAAAAGGGCTCTATATAGAGCCAGACCTGGAAGGAAACTTGTTAGTCGCGATTGTTGGAATGCAGCAAGCAATCGGTCTTACAAGCGAAGCGATGAACCCCCGAGTATTTGGGTAGGAGCACCTTATGCATTCCGTAAGGTTCAGGGTACAAGCGTGGAATCTTGCGCTGTCAAGGCTGCGATAACATGTGATTATCAACATGGCACGTGACCATATTTACGAATGAATCATGGATTCTATAGAGAAAAATAATATACTGAACATACAGTTTATAATATCTCATGTTATTTTTTCAGATCTAATTGACTGCCCCCAGAGGTATATGCGTGCCATTGCTTGGGTGAGCAATGGAACAATCTTGATGTTGTGTTAGGTGCGCGGTCATGTATGCGAGAGCTTTCCTTTTTTGTTTGCTAATTTGACTAAATCCTGAGACTTAGGATACAAGTAGTCGTATCAACTTTGCAGGAAACAGCATGCGGGTCTTACTTCAATGAAAATTGAATGTTCTACCAACACTGTTGGTGGTTACAGTAGACATTCGACAGGATTCGGATAAGGCATGCGAACTACGATTTACAACGGATATGAACACGAACTGGGTTTCAAATAGGGCTTCAAAGGAAACCACGCCGATGCTAATATGCAAAGACTATACACGCTCTAAGATAATCACGGCCGTAATAAAGAAGAAAAACAAGCAAATAAACCTCGAGGGACATAACCGCAGTACTCCGGATTCCTACTGTATCCTATGTAAATGCAGGCTTAGAAAGTAGAGCCCTCTGGGGGCTGAGGCATTTTCTTGTGCTGGGGGAGGGCCATATATCTTGAGAAAGGAATGTCAGCATCAGCTATAAAGACCGGAGCCAAATTCAGAGGAAAATTACTGACCTGCGGAGTTCAATCAGGACCGTCTCCATGGTGTAATCCCGTTTCCACTGAGCAAGACATGGAAGTTTGGATGGGTCGACCTGGTACACAATTGAAAGTATTAATCATGAGAGTTTTGTTCATCCGATTTCCATTTATTGCGTACCTTGCCCGATCGCTGGTCGACACAAGGGACGTTTACTTGCGAAGAGAATTGGAGAGTAGGGGGGTTGTCTGGGTAATCGGGTCCGCAATGGATGTTCACGCTGTATATGCGGTTCTCATGCACGCTCTATAGCAAGATAATGTTTAGTTATTTGGCACGCGATGAAAACAGTATCGGAGCGGGGTAGACTAACGTGGGGAGGTCCGAGGATTGTGCCGTTCCAGTTGCTCATCATCATGTCTTCACCGTCAGCGAGACCGTATGAACAAGCCTCTGCAATTGTCGAAAACAAAAGAGGTTAGTATATGGATGCCATTGTATCATGAGGAATCGATGTTGTACCTGCGCCTTGTCCCTTCTCTCCCTTCTCCAGCTCCTCCAGGAGCCTAAAGTTTCGCGGAACCTTGGCAGACATTATGGAAATGTCGTACCGGAGTAATACCGAGTAAAAGAAGGTAAGAATCCGAGGGGAAAGGATTCGTGATGAATGAGGAGGGGCACTTTCTTCTCTTAATCCGCAATGACTTAATGACGGCGGCGGTCACGTGTGATATGGGTCTTATCGTGGATTGCTTGGCACTTTCGGAGATGCCACGGGGATTTGTTGACTTGCACCTTAATTCACAGTGAGCTTTCCCGAAAATACATACGATCGGGTCATGAAATTTGTATGATTTTTGAACGTGCAGTACATGCGAGTGATAAACGTGGCAAGAATTTCCGAAGGGTCCGAGTTTAAGAGCTCCCTGTCCCGTTGACACGGGGAGCGGCCAGAAGTAACGACAGCATTGGCTATGCGTTGATACAACTGTCTTGTATTGGAAATGTCATCTCAATTCTTACAGACAGAGCTTGCCAATCTCATACAAGAGTCAAGGCGGAAGAACTCTGATTTACGAAATGTCAGTCCAACTTCTATGAGTGATACATGCAAAAGGATTAAGATTGCTAACTTGGTACAGGCAGCAGAGCAATCATTGAACGAGCTGAAGGCGCTGCCTTCAACATCAGAAGCTCAAATAGCTGCAGGTATGTTTCTCCTATACTACAGAGAAGCTATAAGACCTGTCTAAATGACGATATAGATCTCGTCCGCAAACCAACTTTTGTCGAGCCTTTCATCATCGCATGTCATACACGGCATGCGAAACTTGCCGGAATTGGCGTAGTATGTCTTCAAAGGCTCATCGCCTCAAGGGCGCTGCCATCCCATCGCCTGAAAGATGTTCTTGCTGGCTTACGAGAGACGACAAACTTGAGTAAGCGATATTAAGATAATAATCGGTTGGGACAAACACTGACACTGGGCAGGCCTTGATATCCAGTTGAAAATCTTGCAATCTTTGCCTTCACTTTTGCAATATTACTCTAATGAGCTGAGCGGAGACCTTCTTGCAAACACATTAGAGATATGTGCAACTTTGCAGGCAAGCAAAACGTTAGCAGTCAGTAGTACGGCGGCTGCGACTCTTCAACAACTAGTGGTCTCAACATTTGACAGAGTGTCGGGCGAGGATAGGCTTGCAGATGATGCAAAATCTACCAAGACTGTAAAAGTTGACGGGCAATTTGTTGAAATTGGACAATTTGCATACGATGCTTTGCAGGTCAGTCCACTCACTCCTTGCTGTTACTATCTTCTACTAACAAAATGTCTTAAAGGTCCTGGATGATCTTTGTCGTCTAGTCGATGGAGATCAATTGAAATTTCTCCGAGCACGGGCTCCGGCACCGGCTTTTGTCCTCGAACTGATTGAGGGTATTATATTGAATAGCGGCCGTCTCTTTGTCGACCATCCTGAACTGTCTCAAGTGCTACGGGTCCGTTTAGTGCCGCTTATTGTTCGATGTTTATCCGAGAAGACTTCGTTTGCGCTGACAGTGCGGGTATCTCGTATACTTCTTGTCCTTCTAAAGCGCCACATGTCTCTCCTGATCGCAGAATGCGAGATGGCTCTTGGTCTTCTGACTCACTTACTTGAACCAGATGGAACAACACCATGGAAACGAGTGTTGTGCATGGAAGTTTTTCGTGGTCTCTATTCTGAACCGGGCGTTGTTCGACAGATTTACTCTCTTTATGATGGAGAGGAAGGCAGGAAGAATATCCTGAGAGACCATATGGCCTCTTTTGTGCGCCTGGCCTCGGAAAAACCTTCATTGATTGGGGTTAGCAACCAATCAACTATACCGTTGCGCGCAGAGCATTCACGATCGACAGAGGATCAGATTGCCCTGGAGACCGGCGGTGTTGCAGGCGTCATTGGGACCTCAGTTCCCCAGACAGAGCTCAGGGTTCCTGGTATAAGCAGCCAATGGAGTGTTGTGCGGACGCCATATATCGAAATCCTCGACAAAACTGAACCTTTGTTGCCCCCAGAGACCTACATTTATAGTTTGGTGCTCAACTGTATCAGTACTTTCGCTGAAGGACTTGCCAAATTCATTCTGCCCCTCACGGTTCCAGATCTGAAGCAAAAACGAAAGAACCGACTGATTAATAGTCCAGGGCCTGATTCAGCTAGATCCTCTCAAGATTTCCAAACTTCCGATACTGGAAATATACAGGCAGCCCTTTCACAAAAGAAATCATCTGTCCCGATCAACCCGTTGGATCTGCAGTCTCATAATCAGTTTTCCTCCATTAAAACGTGCGCCGCGATCATTGAGAATTGCTGGCCAGCTGTTCTTGCAACCTGCTCTACGTTTTTGCATGCCTCGCTTGACGATGAATTCTATCGCAATCTCGTTCGTGCATTTCAGAAACTAGCCCATGTTGCAGGTCTTCTTAGACTCTCCGTTCCCCCGGGACGCGTTTCTCACAACGCTTGGGAAAGCTGCCATGCCTGCAAGCACCGCAAATTCCAAGATGCAGACCCCTGGAGCATCGACGGCAACAAAGTCGCAGGGCACCAATGAATCGATGAAAAACCGAAAAAGCACCGACTCGTCGAGGAACGGTTCATTTGCCGTGGAATCCTCCGGGTCTACTGCGGACGGCACACCTGTGTTTCTCAGTACCAGGAATCTTCTGTGTCTTCGTGCTTTGATTAATCTTGGAATTGCTTTAGGTCCGACCTTGGATCAATCAGCTTGGTGTATTCTTCTGGAAACATTGCAATATACCGGCCTTGTCATTGGCACATCATCAAGCGCAATGATCAAGTCGGCAAGTGGTGTGGAGAATTCGAGCATGTTGGGTAATGATGTTCCTACAGCTAACCTCGGAACTGAAGTTATCGCTGTGCAAGCGGCCTCTGCGAAATTATTTGAAAGCACCAATGACTACCCTAGTGATTCTTTTCAAGATATTCTCCTTGCTCTGTTGAACCTGTCCGCATTCACCGCACAGGATGAGCAAGTTGACCAGGTTCAGCAGGTGTCTGAGACACCGAGCTCACCCCAGTCCTCTCGAAACCCTGGACGCCTTAATCAAAATGCTCGACGGGTGTCGCACAATGTGGGCAAAGCCAGAATGCAAGACGAGGAACTTAAGTTCGTGTTGGAAAAGGGTAACGAACTAGCTCGAGCAAATCTCGAGAGACTATCATCATTGGACGAAACGGATGGACGGGCTTGGCAAGTATTGACCCAAAGCCTTATTTCGACATCCGCAAACACGGCCATTAGTCCCAATCTCCGCCTGCAGGCCAGCGGAATTCTGAACTCTTTGGTGTTCCTCACAATGAAATCTAGAGATAGTGATGACGAGGAGACCCAGAATAAGGTACAGATGAGGAATCTTCAAACCCTCAAGGATCAAGTCACTACGCTTTATGGGTCAGAACTTCCGTCCGCCAAGTCTCTCCCAATCACGGTGGTGGAGATTCATGAGCAGAGCCTGGAGTCTCTGCAGAACATTCTCGAGCAGTACGCCGAAACATTTAAAGATGGATGGAACGTCGCTTTTGATTTGATATCCGGTGTTTTCCAAGGGGTCTCGAAGGTGGAGGCGGGCGACCGGCTCTCCACCACCATGGAGCGCAGATCATCTGGGCTTCCATCTGGACCTCGATTAGTTCGCGCTGCATACAAGTCGCTGCATCTAGTTGCATCAGACTTTCTTTCCCTACTCCCAGCGCCTTGCCTGTTGAGCCTAGTCGACTCGCTTTCGAGTTTCGCTTCTCAAAAACAGGATTTCAACATCTCGCTCACGACTACGTCCTTTTTCTGGACAGTCTCGGATTTTCTACAAGGCCAGATTGAAGAATTCTCAATAGAAAGCCATGTGGATGCTTCTGTCACTGAAGAGACTCTGAGTGACCTCGCACGATCTGAAGATCCGTCTGTGTCAAGGAATTCACTCTGGCTTTTATTGCTGCTTAGAAACGTGGATATTACAACGGACGACAGGTCGGAAATTCGAAACAACGCGATACACACCCTTCTCAGGATATTTGATGCTTATGGACAACAACTTTCTCCAAAGGCGTGGCGTTTGTGCCTCAATCGTGTACTCTTCCTAATGGTGGAGAAGATTGAGAAGACACTAAATCAGCCCAAGATTGTAAAGGGTGATCTCAAGTCCTGGGTGGATACAACGGTCGTGATGATCAGAGGAGTCTCAAATCTAATTACAACTTTCTTTGATACCATTGCGAGCGACGACAAATTCGATCAGTCTTGGACTCGATTCGTCAAATACTTTCAAGCCTTGGTTGGCATGCGACATCTTGAATTCAACGAAGCTGCATTTGCCAGTCTCTCGGCCATACTTGTCAGAGTACAGTCACCCAGTGGGATAAGCAAGAGCGCTCTTCACTGTGCCTGGAATCTTTGGCTTGGTGGGCACCCAGCTGAGGATGAAGCAAAGCTGAACCTGGAACGCCCCAATCAAGATGCTGCATTGGCTTATATACAGAGCTTTCAGCAGGTGTATCGTTTGTACAAAGATGACTTGAGCACCGAAGATACGAAGAAAGTTCTCCGTCATCTCCAATTACTGGCGTGGAACTCGGTCTCTTCTCCATATTCGCCAGATATCGATCGTCCTTCCGAAGTCCAGGTGCTGGTTATTGAATGTATCAAGGCTTTGTGTCTTGAGCAGAAACAATCCCAGGCTGCAATCCTCTTATGTCTTGCAGAGCTTTCTGCTTCAGCACTGACGAAATGGAGTCTGGGAACCGATTCACGGAGACCTAGTTTTGTGTCCCTTTCGAAGAAAGCAATTGACCTTGTCAGCTGGTATGTCGCCGAATTCGGCATTCAACAAGACATTTTCACAAATGGTGCGCTCGCAACAACACTTGATCGTCTCAGCTTGCCAATTACCCAAAAGTACACATGGGAAGGCAAAGAGCGCGAGCCATACCTATGGCAGAAAGCCACAACTGTGTCATTGAACGTTCTCCAAGTTTCTGTCCCCTACATAGAAGAGCAATACTCTGAAAAGAATTCGACAGAAACAGCACGGTTCTGGCAACATGTTGTGGATATCACCTCCGGAATTGTCTCAGCCCACGGATTCCAAGCACAGCAGCTACCGAACGCCAGAATCCTGAGCGATGAATCTTTCGATATTGACGCTTTTACCCGATTGAAAACATTGATTCTCCCCTCACTCGGCGCATCTGCTATTCCAAGCTCTATTCGCAATGACTTCGCGTATGCTCTGTTCGATTCTACATTCATATATCCACCTCAGCGACTTGATTTGCCAGCGACAGCGATTGGCAAGACTCCCCTCAAGGATTTCTACAAGATTCGGGCCGGTCGTACCTTCGACCCACCTCCAACTCTGCGTCCAAGGATGGCTTATACGCTCATAGATACCCTCTTTGAGCTTGCCACAAGTTCGGAGGCCACTAACGCGTCTACTCCATGCCCGCGGACATTGCTCGCTCAATCCGCAACTCCATATATCCTTCTTCGTTGTGGCATGTCTCTGAAAGCCTTCATCGCCGATCAGCCTTTACGCGGTCTGATGCCTCAGCCCACGCTTGCACGCAAGGCCCTACTCCATCTCCTTGGTCATATGATTCAGCTTAAGAGTGAGCCTTCGGCTGTTCCGGATCCACCCGCCTTGAAGACAGTATCGACGATTGCCTCCCATGACAAAGAACCGCTTCACCACCGGAAACATCTTGAGTGGCTGTATCCACTCGTTGTCAGGGCAATCCAGGTGGCGGGTAAGGAGCGCGATGATGGGAAGGTTCTCCAAACCTTGGTTAATGTGTTGGAGGAGACTGGACGTTTCGAGTAGACTAGTATTGCTTTGTTATATACAATTTTCAATGTATATGGATCTATTCCCTTATTCTACTATGTATTATCTACTTCGGTTTCCCAAGTAACAAGCATAATAGATAGACTAAGCTCTATATAAAATTTACACCGCAGAGCGTCAGACTGAATAGTTAACATTGGTGTAGTTTGGATCATAAAGGGGCAGCAGTAGACTCCAATCATATCATGACAAGACCGCCGCAGAGGATTGAAAGATTGAGCACACGGGAAGGTAGTGTAGAAGGTTAAAAGAGGACATTGAGGTAGGTGGGTATAGAAGGGCCATCGAGAGAACATGTCTAATCCCTCTAGGATTTCAAATCAAGTTGCTAGACGAAAACAATCAAACTACCGACTCTACCGGCGCAGCAACGGGAGGTGTACTCTTTTGCTGCTGCTCCAGCCGCGGCTGATGGTTACTCGAGATCTCTCGTCCCGGGCCAGCGGTCGCAGATCCAGGAGGCAGAGCCTGCTGATGTTGCTGAAGAAGGACCTGCTGTTGAATTTGTTGCTGCTGTGCGATCTGTGGCGTTGCGGCAATCTCGGGCGCTTGTCGGTAGAGAGCGATCTCGGACTGCTTGAAATAACGGCGGGCATCTATAATACGTAAAATCCGTCAGTTAGATACCAAATCACTGTATGAGGACGTATCTCAAGGCCCTCAGAGCTAGTAAGGGTTTTTGGTGGAAATTCCGTGGAGAAAAAGCCCACTGCAAAATCCAAGTATGGTTTAGTGTGGGGGTGGACAGGCCGGAGCCAAGAATTGCTGGGGATTTGCCAGTCGGGCCGACCGTGATGGTTTCAAAAACCGTCGGCTATGTAATATACCCAGCCAATTACTCCACGGGATTCCGTGGTGGGTGTTTTTCTTGAATGCTCGCTTCCACGAATAGAATGCAAGAAGTCATGGGGTGGGTAAAGTGTACCTTCATCAATCAGCACCAGGCTGAGGTAGTATCTTGTCGAATACTTCTTGTTAACGTCGCGGAAGGTCGGTGTCAGGTCGAATCCGCCAAGGAATAAACGGATAGGAATGGTTTCACCTGCATTTTGGTCAGTGATCTGTAGGATTGGAATTTCGGTCGGAACAATTCGTCATGGATTTATGGGACGAAAATCGATCGCATGTTCCAACAATACTATGCTCGGGGTACTGACCTCTCGAAGGCGAGCCATCCATGATCTAAGTGGGAGTCAGTAAAAGCCCCCCGTGTGATGATAATAAGGTCTCGGGCTCTAGAAAAAAGCCCGGCTGATTGACATACCTCGAAGCGGACCAAAGTTTCACTCTCATTATATTGATTGGGGGGTGATCCGGTCGTCTCTCGACGAATAATGGATAGCTCCATATGCTTGATCTTGAGCCGCACAAGCAAGAAATAAATCCGTCCAACAATCACATCCTTGAGATGGTACTTTGATTTGGAGTATTCGAACTCGATGTGAAGACAATCCTCAATTCCGACATCCATCTTAATCGGGCTGTTAGTCTCGGGTGGCATGCGGTATGAGTAAACCCAGAGGTCTTTCTCGCGGACGACGTCGGCCATGCGCCGTGAAACAGTCACGCGCACAAAGTAACGTAGTTTGACATTGATACCGTTGTAAGACTCATATTGCTTCTCGACATTCTTGAAGTTGAAAGGGAAGGTCTGGGGGTGGAGTAGTTCGCCCGGCGCAGCTAGCTCTTGAACCAGCGATAGGAATTCGTAGTGGTTGCCTCGGTCGTAGAACATCTCTATTTGGACCCAAATAGGCCTGGTTAGCTCCAGATCATGCAGGATCATCATGATAACCAACCGATTGTTCCAATGAATTGCACTTTGATGCCTGTATGCTCCAATCGCTTGCCATCCTTTGGCCTGATCGTCACCGCGCCCTTGACGGATTCCCCGTCCATGTACAGGGGGACCCGCTCGCGGCGGCCCTTGTCGAGCTTGGCATCAACCGTTTGGCGGTCATCGAGGTCGTCTAGGACGACGTCAATATCGACCGGAGTAGAAAAGAAGAGAGACGCCATGGTGTGAGAGTTAGCAGCACTTGGGGTGAGCTTGCGCGGAGATCCAGAACGTGGCCTCGTTGATTACTAAGACTCCGTAGGCAGCTGCCGGCTGCTTGAACTTCAACTTCAAATACATCAACTTACACATCGCCGTTCTATCTTCCCATATTATTGCTATCCTTGACACGGAATTGATATTCAATTTTCCAATTGGATTCAAATTGATTAGCCAATAACCTATGCTAAGTAAATTTGCTCTCTGCCGCACACTTTGGCCACAGACACGGGCTTTTAATACAAAGCCAGTTGAACTGTTCGTCTTCGTCGATGAATTTGGAAGCCTTCCATATATCTAGACTGCCGAAGTTGATTCCAGGACTGATTTCGAGCAGTAGCTCGGAAGTTGGTTGTCTTGAATGCGCTTTATCGAAACTTTCAGCTTCTCCTCCACAAGAAAACCCCACACTTCAAACACACTACTCAAATTGAGAAGGACTGCTATCAAGTGGATATTAACCAGATTCATATTACTTGGAACTTTAAGAAGACATATCAACGGTATTAAGGAGAGCCTGTAGCCCTATGCGATGCTAGTTTATCAAGCACAGTTGACAGCCCCGGAAAGTGACATCATAGCTCGTCAAACAAGAATATCGGGTTTAATTTTCAGCACTATATGGGACCAAAAACAAGGATAACGGTTCAGAAGAGGGTCTCACGCAGTATACATATGGTCATGATGATGATACTAATGCTTTGATCATGACTTCGCGCAAGAAACGGTGGAGAAGTGGGGAAGTAGTATTATGAGTAGACTTTTTCAACTTCAATTTCCTGATCAGCTGAATAATAAGCCATGTGTTAATGTTTACGGGATCTTGATTAGGATTTTAGGCTGAGAACTCCACAAAGTAATGAATTCCATGGACTGGTCAGCTATTAGGTTCTCTCCAAACAGAAGCTGGCACCAACCATATACACCTCTTCGCGTTGTTGACCACCCCCCCAAGCCATGAATCAGAACCTAAACCTTAAACAGAGACGGGGTTGGTCGTGAGATAACAGGAATCACGTTTTAGGAGTATAATTCTGTCCTCAAACTATCCGGAGACTGAGGTTGCACATATGGATGCGGATTCTACTTCCCGAAATGCTTCCAAGACTTCCAAAGATTCTATGAGACTATGGCCTACGCAGGACCGAGCTCTTGTTACCCAACCGCCGGATGACTGTCTTCCCCGGACTTTTGATGTTTAAAAAAACCGTTGCCATAGATGGCCTAGTGTGAGGGGTGAAGCACATGGACGAGCGTATTTTCCCTTTATACTCATGAACTATGGGTAGTAAGTTGCCATTTGTTTAGCCGTAGCGTCGCAATTTATCCGTAGCGTCAGAAATGTACCGTTCAAAGTGTTCGCCTTGCAATCGAGCCTATGAAGTAATTTTCTCCGCTTCCGCAGCTCCTTTTTGTACTTGTGTTCCGTTGAGTTAAATATGGGGTATATTGGGCCGAGCGGCCATAGTTTGACACAGCCCGGGCACGCTTACCCATTTTGGTGATTTTTAAACACTTGAAACCTTGAAACTCGAAACCAAGAATCAATGCCGTGGATTCTATCCGAAATTGTTGCCGCCTATGCATTTCCACGCCTGAGGCATAGGATGGACCGGAGAGGCGTGGGGGTGCAGGTTTCAGCCGCAGGGCCGTGGTGGTTTGCACGTATTTTATATTTGATGATAGATGAACTGGATAATCATGGGAGGGATGACATCGGCTTCAATGTTTTACATATTCTCCACATCGGGACCTCGGGAATGTTGAGCAATTTTTTCGGTATACCTATTTGCCCTTTGATCGTCCGGAGTTCAACGTGTTGCTTTTGACTTAGACAAAAACATGGTGCAGGACCAAACTGGCGGTGTCGTTAGCGTGGGGGTTGTTTGATACACCGTAACTTACATACAGTGACATCATCTCGGACTGAATCCGTGACAAGTCGAACAACTGTGCTGCTCAATGGTGCAATTGCTCCATTATCATCTTCAATAGATGTCACTTCTAATTTCTGAATATGATATGCAGAGAAAGGAATCCGTTGTGCTTGATTGACTTGAGATTGGACGTCGATCGATCTCCCGACTTAATGGAGACTCATCCCACTCCTCCACTCGGGTAATGACTACTGTATGCTTCGCGCTGCGCCAATCACGACCATATGCACCTTCCCCCCACTCGGCTTCTGGTTTCTTTTTCCCTGGACTCCACCGTCATATAAAAAAGTAGGGGAGATCTCCCTGAGAGTCGCGCGACTCTTGGAATCTTCTTCTTTCCCCCCTCATTGCCTATTAAAATCCGCGTCCTTGACAACCTCCAATCGCTCACCAAACAACCTTCTACATCCGGCCTATTTCCCCCTTGGACCCGTGGAACGCCGTTATATACCGTCATCCAGCCCCGGGCCATTTTCAAATTACGACAGGGCCTTTACTTTTAAAAAAGACATCTTATAACTATCTCCATCATGCTTTCTGCCGGCGAACGTCCTCAGCCCCCGGTCCCCTCAGCCCTCGTGAACTCGTCCAGTGTACCCATCATGCCCGACCTTAAGCCCAACGACTCCTCAGCTCCTACTACAATGTTCTCCCAAAACTCCAATAAGCCCTCGGAAATCCAGCATATCTGGGTGGTCACCGGCCCCGCTGGATGCGGAAAGAGTACAGTCGGTCAAGTTCTGCGCAATGCGCTGTCTTGTCCGTTCCTCGAAGGCGACGATGTATGTGAAACAAAAGTACCCCGTATGCAGTGGCGCGCTGCGCAAGTGCCCAACCGCCTTAGAATCCGATGGGATAGAGAAATGACGAGCTAACATAAATTCGTGCGCAATTAGTACCACTCCAAGTCCAACAAAGACAAGATGGGCAGCGGCGTTCCCCTCACTGATGCCGATCGCTGGGATTGGCTTATTTCCCTCCGCCAGGCTGCTATTGATGCCCTCTCCCCCGAGTCCGAGAGCTCCCACCCACCCTGCGGTGTTGTTGTCGCTTGCTCCGCCCTGAAGCAGAAATACCGCGATGTCATGCGTGTTGCAGCTTACGGGTCGTCATCCGTGCAGATTCACTTCGTATACCTCAAGCTTTCTGAGGCTGTTCTCATGGATCGTGTTAGCCAGCGCAAGTCGCACTATATGAAGAGCGACATGATTCAATCGCAACTGGCAGCTCTTGAGGAGCCAAAGGGCGAGTGGGACGCTATTACGATCAATGTGGAAGGGCCACAGGAGCAGGTGCAACAGAGTGTGCTGGATGCCGTTCGCGAGAAGCTTGCGGAATACTCGTAAAAGACGAAGTTTCAGGCTTTTGCATGCAAGTCTTCTGAAAACACGACTTGCCTTTTCTTTCTCAAATAAGTGTCATGGAGTTTGATTGTTTCTGTTTCTTTTCTTTTCTTTTGCTTTTTGCTTTGAATTCTGCGATTCGCAGAATATGGATTTACGCCATTGTTTTCTTTGTTCGGCTCATTAACTAATGGATCGGACGTTACGATATGTCATTTATGGGCGTTTTTGTCTCTATGTTCGCATCTTTAGATGCGATATTCTATGTTCTGTTCTGTTCAGCTTGCTCCGCACGGCTTCTTGATACCCCCACGCTTCGGGGTGAATGGCATAGCAGTGTCTTTATACGACAGACCGAACCAAAGCAGTTTGGTGTTCTTCTTGAGCAGTCACTGAGCTATTCTCGCCCACCATTATCTCAAAACACAATTATCAGATCATGCAAAATTTCAACAAATCCTTGTATCTACCAATTGTAAATCCCAGAAAGCTCAAATTTGGGACAAGATCCTCCGAAAATCAGACATATCCTTGTCTCGTGATAACATTGTACCCCGGGTCCTCAATTTGTATGTCAGTGTTGACCAGGAAATCCAAAGGCATCTCTACCAAAGTACCCCGGATTTTCGCCAATTCCTCTTTCACCTCCTTTAAACCCTCATCACCAGCAGCGAAATTGTTCTTCGCAACATGCCTGAGCCGTATGCAAGCCCTCCAGATCATTGAATTGTTTCCAAAATAGCGTTTCATATTGCTACCACGATTTGGCAGTATCATCAGGCATAGGTGCAAAGACCTTTCGGAAAGCAACCGTATTCTGATGCGCTGTTCCGTTCCACAGTTCCGAAAACTCATCACTCAAAGGGTCTGCAACTAACTTATCCTGCACAGAGTCATAATAATACCCATTCGGTGCTGGTGCAGAATGGAAATTGTCATCTGGCTTGCGCATATCTTGTCACTGCAACTCCTACTTCGAGTTGTCAGCCACATGAAGAGCTAGCCTTTTATCTATAGCTGCAATAGCACTGATATTTCGGATCAAAATGCATTACCACCCTACTGTTTGGAAGTGTGATGCCCAATCTGTGCAAATGTTGCTCCGGGGGTGAACATGTTCGTGGTGGCGCCGCGCGTGGAGCTGCACTTGTCACGGCAACTCCGCGCTATTACGTGCCATCTTTCGATCGGAGAAAACACCTGCCGACGCAAATAGATAACATAATTGGCCAATGGCGAGAAATGGCTTTGGTTGCAGATTTGCATGATAGAAGAATGTATACAGTATTGGGTCTTTTTGAGGTGTTTAACTTTCAGTTAACAGTATAAGTACTTCCCCTGCGCGTGGACTTTGTTCACGCAGCAGTACAAAACAAAATTCGAATAAACATATCGAGAAGTTGGTTCTCAGAACTCATTGTTCAAGTTGATCTCGAATTCCGTTCCGAATACGCCACCGCGACAATATGTTTGGCCTTGGAGGACCAGTTATCAACTCATACAAGAATCAGAATTCCGACCCAGAGGCTTCTATCTATCCCAAATCATCCGATCAAGATGCACATTACTCAATAGAAGGAAATGTTCTTCGATCTACAATTTTCATCTCCGACAACTCCAAATTCGGTCGCGATGGCAAGACACCTGTGTTACGTGTTCCAGGAACAGGTACATACGGCGGTGAAGCCTTCGAACCCAACTTCGCAAAACTACTCAAAGCCAGCCCGTTCGGACATCCAGTATGGTTAAATATCCCTGGTCGAATGTGTGATGAGGCGCCCAGAAATGCACAGCACGTCGCATACGCTATCAACTACATAGCAACCCGCACGCAGAAGAAAGTTGCTGTTATTGGGTGGTCTCAAGGGAATCTCTCAATACAGTGGGCCCTCAAGTACTGGCCCAGCACAAGAGGATAAAGTGAACAATTTCATTTGTCTATCCGCCGACTTTGTTGGTACTGTCAACGCTTGGGGCCTCGTTCCATTCAGCGGCACCCAGCCAGGTACGCTTGCTGTGTGATATCAAACTCGTAATGCGAGCTTCATCGCTACACTGCGCTCTAATGGAGGAGATTTGGCATATGTAACAACGACATCAATTTACTCTACCACGGATGAGGTGGTTCAGCCACAGTCTGGGCCAAATGCCTCTGCTTTCATGAGGGATGAACGGAAAGTTGGGGTGATGAATTGCGAGCTGCAGGTGGAAGCTCGATTTAATCCTGCGGGATTAGTGTATACACATGAGACAGTCATACTTAATCCACTTTCTTGGGCTCGGGCGGAGGATGCAATTGAGAATGGGGGTCCTGGAAGATTTGATCGGATTGATATGGATAAGTTATGTATGCATACTAAAGCTCCGGGCCTTAGCCTTCTGGATGCGACTATGACACAGGCATTGACTCCATTGGCTTTGAAGAGTATATTGCTCTTTATGCCAAAGATATGGTATGAGCCACCTCTACCAGCTATTGTTACTGCGGAAGAGAAGACATGTGCCCGAGGATCATGATGTTGATCACGGCGGTCCCAAGACTCCAGTCACTATTACATCTGTAGAGATGACGGCATGGAGATATAGTGGAAGAGGCAGTGTATACTTGATTCAATAAATATCGTCAGGCTTTCTTGACCAATGAAAAAATAATTGAAGCCATCACATTCAGCCTAAATATACGTGTATCTTATCTCTACTCACTCTGGCCCAGGATTGAGGCCAGAGACTTGCTGTTCGATTCGAACTCTCCGTTGTCGTCTGTGGGGATCTTCTGCGAAGCAAAAGCCAAAAAAACAGCTTCCCAATGTCCATCGTCAAACTTGAATAAGAGTGCTCCATCCTCATAAATGCCATTTGAGTAACCTGGCAGACTCCCTTGGTTCATGTGAATATCATGGATACCTGATCCATAAGACGATCCAAAGATATAGGCCGTAGCCTTCTTGTTGATAGCATCCGAAATAATAGGATCCAGCTTGTCCAAAATATCGTTGTCGGGACCAGAGGCGTCCGCTGGAAGGACTTCGCCAGAGTCGATGTTCACCAGATCCTTGGTACGGATAAAATCCAATCCTTGGAGAGTGGCTACATCACGACGGACATGTCGGTGACGGCTTGCATGGTTGTGGCTTGCAACCTTTGATTGGTTTGAGCTTTGTGATTGTGTGAGATGAAAACCCAGATCCAGGTTGGAGAGTTGCTCAGTGATGGGATGGGTAAAGTCGCGTGTCAACCAAAAGACCAGGCGGGTGTCTTTATCGGTGGATTTGACGTTGATTGCAGCCTCGAGGCTCTTGCTTGAAGATGAGTCATCGGTGAAATGCAGGTAAATATGAGGAGACTTGGAGTCTTGCTCTGGGTTCTGGGCTTCGTAGCTGGTGGGGGTGCAGGCCCAGACGCCGTAGTGGGAGATAGCCATTATATTCTTCAAGTGTGCCAAATATGTTGCGAACTGTGAAGCAAATTAAGGAGCAACATTCTGTCCTTAAATATCCTTACTAGGCGCCGATATCGCCCAGTCATCATAGAACTTGATCTAACACGATCTGGCCACTTATGCATGAATTCTTATCAGCTCTCAAAATAAATTGCCCAGCTATTACACGTGCTTAAATGGTGCCAAGAGGGAGGCCGTTGATTGATTGTCAATTCAAGCCATGATGTGGCTCCTGCTGCAGCTAAAGCTTAGCGTTGAGATCAACATCCACTTGTCCTCACGCCACGGTGATCAATTGGAGCTCAAAATCGCGACGTAACATTGATTCCGGAAAGTGGAAAATTGTGGCGTTTTGGAACAGGTTTCAGCTCGCTTGTTCTATATTTTAGAGAAATCAGGTTGATTCACGGGTTATCTGTGTCTGTTCCAACACCTAGGCTTACATAGTGCTTAGTGGAGCCTGCAAGAGGGGGACTTTCGACTTGGATCGTGACATTGTACAGTCACTCTTTAACATGATCATTTGAATTAAACTCATTACCATGTTTCTCTCGTAATTTGAGCCATTGAAGACTACTTATTTCTGACTCCAGGGACCAGATTGTTCTACACTGTCCCCATTTCTCTACATATGCGTCAAGGTCGCTAGCAGCAAATGACACCAAAAAGATGCAACCAAAAACCCTCGCTCCACCGGCTCCACTGGCTCTTCATTGCGGTCAGCTCACAAAATTGGCTCCCAATGTTATATCTAACTCCATAGAATATGGATTATAGACCATTTCGATTTGGGCTCTTCGGGTGGATCAGGGTCATTCTCTGCAATCTCAACAAATCGTGCAACAGGAGAGTCATCCAATGAAATGATTTTAGTTTTATACCAAAGCTTGTACCCGAGATAAAATGCCGCAAAGATGCCAATGTCAAGGTAAGCGGATATAAATGTTTCAGTCGACCAACTGGGAAATATTAGCCATTATTAGAATCGAAGATCTACGGGTACGACTTACTGCCCATGGATAAAAGTAGTATATCCACCCGTAATTAGTATAATGGTAAGTGAGATCAAAGTCATCCATGCGGCGTACGGCTGAAGAGGCGCCTTCCAAGGGAGTCTGTTTCGAGAGATTCCTTGTTTCTTCATAGCATAGTAAAAGCGTAGGTAAGTAGTGCAAATGACAAGCCAGCTCATGATCTGTGCACACGCGACGAGATCTTGTAGCCAAGTGAATACAGTAGCTGCTGTAGCACTTAGAGACATGTACGCCAGAGCCATCCAGACTCCAATGGCAAGTACACCCATGTATGGCACACCCCAGCGACTGGTGCGAGCAAGGAACTGAGGAGCTAGTCCCTCGCGAGCAAGACCATAGAGAATTCGAGAACCACTTAGCAGAGCTATCACAAATTAGCTTACCGTTCTTTATCGTTGGATGGGGATCATACTTGAATTTCCCGAGCTCCAAGCACTGGTTAATACAATCGCATTAATAATATGGGGTACTACACTAACTCCAGCTCGAGTGGCTGCAATCAGAAAAGGTGACTGCGCAGCAGTGCCCGAGCTTCTGAGAAGCATCGGATCATTTGATGGAACTAAAAGAGTGATCATGAAAATAGAGATCACTGGGAGGTGTCAGATAGGAATAAGACATGTTTCTTAGCACTACTTACCGTAAAACAGCATCACTCGTACGAAAACCCTTTTAGCAGCTTTTGGAATATTTCTTCGTGGGGCATGCGTTTCTGCTGCCGCCATAGATATGGTCTCTATGGAGGAGTAGGCGTACGCAGCATTTGCAAAAACTGTCCAAAACCCCATGAATTGACCTAATGATCCTGGGATCTTAAGATATTGCACAAATGGACCGGGATCTTGCCAGTATTTGAAACCAATGACTTTATGATCAGGGCCTCCACCCGCTGTGATAACAACACCCTAGGTTGGTTACTATATGTCAGAATTTCTTTTCGGGAGACATTGTGACTTTTTGGACCTTGATACTAACCATAATATTCATACCAACAATTAAGCAAACCTTCAAGATTGCCAATGTAAATTCGATTTCTCCATATATTCTGACAAGAAAAATGTTGCTTGCAAGAAGAATGGCACTGAAAACAGTCACCCAGATCCCATTGTTTACTGTAATCCAATACTGGACAATGATCGATGCTGCTGAAATCTCGGCGGGGATAGAGATTATATACTGATAAGTAACGTTCCATCCTTGTGCGAAAGAGAGTGCCGGATCAACAAAATAAGCTGCTGGGCGAATAACACCTCCACTCAGAGGAACGAGAGAGCTTAACTCTCCAATTGAAAGCGTCACCCCAGATACCAAGAATCCCATGAACAGATATCCCATGCTGTTCCAAGTTTATCAGTACATTGCCAGTTCGGGATGACAGATATTATTGACCTACAAGATTCCAGCAGGCCCAGCGTTAGCTAATGCGCGACCTGATCCAAGAAAAAGTCCTGTTCCAATTGTACCCGCCAACGCAATCATTTGAATATGCCTTTGTTGGAGACCCTTTCTGAATCAAAAGTATGTTAGTACATCTGGATTCGGTTGAAACTTGAAGGGAACCGCCGTGTGCCAAACAAACCTTAGCTCTTTTACCTCGGCAAGCTCAGGAGGATCCGAGTCTTTGAAGTTTGAGGTGTATTTTTCATTATCTTCATCACCTTCCTTATAGCCTCTAGTATCAGGTGAGCGAGAACTGACAATATTATCCACCATTCTTGCAATGGATGGGTTGATGTTTGATGTGAGGAAGAAGAGCCGCTGTAAACACTTCACAACTTAGAATGAAGATAGCCCCATCTCTGCTTTAATCTTTACGACTCAAGATATTAGCTTTTTGAAGCGCGGGGAACGGTAGCATTCCCTGCTTCTATCCCGCATTGTATGTGGGGGTGTTCTAGTAGATAAGGATCTGAGGTGGTATAAGGGCTGATAAAAAACTTTATCTCATCCAATAAAAATCGGTCTAGAAAGAAAACTTCAATTTACGCTTTACCTTTTTGGCCGTGCAGTACCAAGGGAAAGAAAGAAGCAGTTCCTTGAAGACAGCCTGGAGTGCACTTAAGGAAAGTAGTACCGCGATTCTACAAGACTAAATATATATTTAGGCATCACGATGCCTGAATTAGAGCCTTTGTGAGAGGAAAAAAACCTCTGAAAAGCTTCATACACTGACCCTGAGACTTGAAACGTGTTGGACATATGGTTCTTCGGGGAGCCGATTACATAGATCTAGATACCTAGTATGAAAACACCGCCGTTATCTTCAGGCCTGTCAACGAAATTTCCATTCGATACTCCTAGAGGTCCACGGGTACAGCAGGTAGATTTAAAGTCATGTATCAGACCTTGGATCACGCTCCTTTATTCATTAACCAAACAATTAAGATGATATGTCCAAAGGCAGAGTGAAACAACAATTTGATAGAAACTTGAAGTATGTATATTTACAAATTGGATGCCTTGAGACTCGCTTGTAGTTTTCTCCAGGACTCGACTCCTCGTCGAGCGGAGTCCTCTGGCCCATTGTTTTCATCTCGCATGCGCCGATCAAAGATTTCAAGAGACACCCAACCAGCATATCCTTTCTCCAGTAACCATGATCTCACAATCGCAGTCATAGGCATATACGCCCCAAACTGTGTCTCTAGTGGAAAAGGCCGTGCATGTCTTGACCATGTAAACTGAGGCGCCTCGCCTTCCAGATACCAGGGATGTTCTTTCGAAAATGGAGGATCGAATTTTTCGCCATCAGACAGTTGGATAAAGAATATCTTTTCCATAGGACATCCCGTGACGAAACGCTGCAATGTTTCTTCGAGAAGTTGGTCTGCATCAGGAAACTTTCCAGATAAAGCAAAGGCGTCGCCCCACACCTTTGTCACAACGTGAAAATTGTCAATGCACAAGCCAAAATTGGGACGATCCACTGCATTAACAATCTTCAAAGAATCTTCCCATGTGGAACAATGAGTACCCCATGAGAGAGCTTCGTATGCGATCGACACAAGTGGTTGTTTTGAGCTTCCGAGATCCGCTAGCTGTCTAAGCTCCGACACAATAACTTCGTTGTTTCCTTGAGCATCGGGTCCGTAATGAGAAGGAATCTGCAGATATGGTGCTTGGAGTCTACGGGCGACGTCCATCCAAAGCTTTGCCTTTTGCAATCTGTCGTTCAATGGGGATCTGTCCCCTTCATAGTTCTCAAACGGCGCTAAAGAAAGAATCTCCAAGCCGCTCTGATTGCATAGTTCTTTGACTTTGTCGGCAGTATCCAGAATAGAGACATTTAGAGACTTTGAGTAGGATTCTAAATCCGAGAAAACTATCTCGAGGCCATTGAAACCAGCTTTGGCTGCGGCGCGAATTTTACGATCCAGTGAGTGCGATGGATGTTGGCCCAGGGATACTGTCGCAATAGCCAACTTATTGGAAGCCATAACTGGTCGCGTGAGCGGCCTATGTTCACAGTAATAATATGTGATTTAAAAATGGATAAATTTGAGCCAGTAAAGTGAGCCCCGTATCTTATCCCTAATTGCGGGATTCAAATTCCGGGTTCCCCGCATCGTCACATACATGGACTCGGGAGATGAAGCCCGACCCTGTGGATCTATACCCCACTGTTTTGAGATTATCATGAAATGGCAAATTTATCTTGAAAAAGATTACTCACGTTCTTCTGTAGTCACGTCTTGACAAGACAAGTTGTAAAAATCGCGAAATTCTTCATCCCTGTTGGGAATTGATCTGCACTTAACCTCCCATTCAATGATTATCCACTCTATCTCTCGAATAATCTCATGCAATAATGACTCTACGATGTGTTTAAATATTGTTATCGCCATCTTTATTGTAGGTACGGTCGCATTGGATGATATATACACATGTGCAATACACATTTAATTTCAAATGTAGGCAAAGGACTCAGTAAATCTTCGTATTAATTTAACCTTAGTAGGTACTAGCATCGAGTGGATTATGATATGCATATATGCATGTGTGCATGATGATATATGATTCATCATATCTAAAATGCGACATCGTTGTATATAGTCGATCCACAGTTTTGCTCATGTATAAGAACAATACAGTCCCAACTGTACTCGCTATAGCGCTCGCGCTTTGCTTGAAATATTCAAATGGTAGCGCCAAATATGGAGAAGAGAAAACAACAATAATGATGGATAAAAATACAGAACATACAGAACATGTTTCACCTTGGAATCCCCATCCTTATAACATGATAGAAAAATGATTGTTTAGCATCTTGAGCTGTTATGATTGGCCGCTTATATTCGGGTCCGAATAGTTCGATAGGCACAGCAGCTGGTATTTAATGAATTGATACAATTGATTCAATTTCAACCCAAATCAAAGATAAACAGAAAATAATGTATACATACATGGTGCAGCTATAGGTACGAACTCCAAAATTGATCAAAGTGTACAGTTCGAGCGAATGAAAACGGCAGCCTGGAAGGGAAATGGATCTTAGCGTCACCGATCATTGTGATCTTCGAATCAGCTTCGATCGCCAAGAGAGCAACGCATCCACAGATCACATGGAGGGGTATTCAGCTCTAGGTCCAGCTCCCCGGTCTTTCTCGAGACCCTGAACTCTTTTTGTCACTTATCCTTCTTGAGATCCCAATTGCTCATATCCAGATCGTCACTGTTCCCACCCGCACACTCATCCACCATGGTAGCCGAATTCCTCACTATCCGCAACAACACAAGCACCCCAATTGTGCTGAAGCGCATCGAGCGCTTCAAGGCACCGGAGCAAAGCCAGGGTGATAATTTCACCACCCTAGCTAGAAATTTCACTCGGGCTCTCACAAATCAAACCCGCACCAATGAAACCGTCGCGGCCATTACGGATCAAACCCATCCATTTGATGAGGTGAAAGATCTCGATATCCACGTGGAGCCCTTCACTACTAAGAAGACTGAGCGACGAGCTTTCAAGGACTCCGATAAGGAGCGTATGCGTCTGACCTTTGAGGTTGAGGGTGAAAAGCACCAGATTCAAACACCTGTTCCGACATCCGAGTCGGCGACTATGAAAGCGCTCGCTGATCACCCGAAACACCGCTTCACGGGCATCTATATTACCCCAGAGTCATTTTTGACTGTCTTCTCCTCAGCCAACTCCAGTGCCTGGATGGGTGAGCTGCGCGATGATACCTTGCTTTCTGCGCTCTCCATCCCCGGCACTCACAACTCGCCAACGTGTCAAATGGCCCCACCTTCCGTGCGTTGTCAGGCTGTTAGTCCGCAAGAGCAACTAAAGAATGGTGTTCGGTTCTTCGATATCCGTGTTCAGCCGCAGTACCCAGACAAGCCGGAGAAGGACGAGCTGATCCTTGTACACAGCGTATTCCCCATTTCACTGACCGGTAATAAGTACTTTCGGGATCTGATGAAGGAAGTCAATACTTTCCTCGAGCATAACCCATCTGAGTCATTAATTATCTCCGTGAAGCGTGAAGGAACCGGTGATGCGAAAGACGAGCAACTGGCTCAAATTCTGCACCGCCACTATGCCGGCGAAGGCAGTCGCTGGTGGGTGCGTCCTAAGATCCCAACATTGGGCGAGGCCCGTGGAAAGATCGTACTCGTTCGTCGCTTCAACCTTGATGATGAACTGAAGAAGGAGCACGGAGGAAACGGTTGGGGTATTGATGCTGCTTCCTGGGCTGATAATACTCCTAACGCCACCTGCCCGAGCGGAGAACTCTGTATTCAGGACTTCTATGAGGTCCAAGAGAGTACCAACATTGAGAAGAAGATTAAATTTGTCAAGGAGCACATTGATCGGGCGGCGCATGTGCACTATCCATTAGGCGTGGTGCCTAATGTGCAAGAGTCTCGCAAATATCCTTTCTTCATCAACTTTTTGAGTGCGAGCAACTTCTGGAAGACAGATACATGGCCTGAGAAGATTGCTGCGAAGGTCAACCCCGCAATTGTTGATTACATTTGTCGTCGTCATAAGGATGATGATGGTGATTGTGCGACTGGTATCCTAGTGACTGACTGGGTTGGCTTAGATGGAGACTGGGATCTAGTGCGTGCCATTGTTGGCATGAATGCCAAGCTGCGTCTGAAGAAGGATTAAGCACTCGGACCGAGGTCTGCTTGATAGATCAAGATGATTTGTAGATAGTCAGGACATACTTGTATTGACTTTATATCATATTATTATTTGTAACACTCAATCGGGCTACATTTCGTACGACATGAAAGAGTTTCTCGATTGAAGTTTTGTAAACTTTGTTTGCTAATACAGTATAAATTTCTCCGGAAAGAAAAAGAAATCAAAGATGCTATATGGTAGAAATCCCCAGACTATATGACATATTATACAAAATTAAGAACGGCCTCACCAAGTTATGAGGACTCGCTCTTGTCGCCATCGCCCTTCTGCTCATCTTCCAAAACACTTCGTCGGCTCTCCATAGTGTAGTAGAGACTCTTGCTAGCGCCCTCCAAGGTGTTAGTGACACTAGAGCCCATGCTCTGCAGGGCCATAACAAGTTGAGAGCGCAAACCATCCATACCACCCTCAATGCTTCCAATCCACTTGGTCTCGTTCAGATCGAAGGTCTTACCGTCCACGCGCGCAGCGAGCAGGTTAAGCTTCTGCAGACCCTTCTGCACGATGGGGTCATGGTAATCGGGGTTAGCTCGGCGGGTAGGAGCAGGGAAGCCGGCTTCCTTGGGTGTCAAGATAGACAAGGCGGCCTTCATGTGTTCGGGGGATACCGTGGGGATGGAGAGGACGGCAATTGGACCAACAAGGATGTCGGAAAATTCATGGCGACCCTTCAGGTGCTTGACCGCGGCATGAGCGGCACGGGACAGGTCGTGAGTAAGGGCGGGATCGTCCCTTGAGCCGGAGAGGATGGGAAGCTCGGCAGATGTTTGGGTGATAGGATCGACGGCGCTTGGGGCTTTCCCTGAAGCCAATGCGGCATCGTTGGGTCGGAAATGTTCGACAATGCGCAGAGCAACCTCGAAAATGCTGGTCTGGACGGTCTGAACCTTGATATGGGGGGCTAAGGCCGGAGCTGTGCGACCCTCAGCAGCGATTTTCTCGTCGACTTTTTCGAGCGCCTTCGTGAGTTCTCGTCGAATTGATGCCCATTCCATGGACTTGAGGTTGTTGTGCTGGAACAGGACCATCAAAGGGGATGTACGGAGGATTGAGGTGTATTGGCGGAGGAGTTGTGAGCGGCGGTATTCGGGATTCCGGTGCGACGGTTTTTGGGTAGGAGGGAAACGCGAAATTGGTGCTGGTGATCGTGTCATCTGCTCGATAGGTGCTGCAGGTGTAACAGCCGGAGCTGCGGCGCTGCTGGCACTCCTGACGAATTGGAGTTCATATGGACAGCGCAGGGCTTGTCGCCGAAGCGAGGAAATGTGTAGCCGCGGCGGCATGGTGTGTGATATCGGAGAAAAGATATTCTCACAATTGCTTAATGGAAATAGTGGATCAAGAGAGCCTCCGGCAGGCTCACGCAGAGAGCATTTTCGGGTGATATTTTTCGGGGCCTAAGGCGGTATAGCGGCTCCAGGGCGGTATATTATTCTGCCTGATCTGTGTCACTGCGGTGAGGGGCAGCATTCTTGACTCACTGTACTTTCTTTTCATTGCATAGAGGTGTCAATTCAGCCATTGTCTCATTATATCCCTTTTCTCGGTCCCTCTTAGTGTACTAAAGTACACCCGACAGCTCCTGACACCATATTTTCCGCTCTCCACAATGTCTACATCTACAGAGGGCAAGCCTGAAGTGGTGTCCATATCACCGCTTCTCAAACGCCTTGCGTACCCCGCTACCGCAGAAATACGTGTAAGCGCAGATGATATCGCTTCAGCCTTTGCTCTAATCTTCGATAATCGCCTTTCCGATATTCAAACGGCCGCTCTCCTCACACTCCTTCATTCCACCGGCAAAGACAAACAACCCGACGTCATTGCAAAATGCTCACACCGCATGCGAGAAGCAGCTTGCACTGTTGAAAAAAGCACTTTGCGCCAAGTGGTCAAGAAGCGCGGACAGGCGGAGGGAAACTACAATGGTGGCTTGGTAATTTCTCACTTTGCCAATATATATCGGTCATTCATACTGACTTTTTACTCTCCAATAAAAGTGCGATATTGTCGGAACCGGAGGTGATTCACACTCTACGTTCAATGTTTCAACGACTTCTTCTATCATCGCTTCACCATTCCTGATGACCGCAAAGCATGGAAACCGAGCACAGACATCTTTCTCAGGCTCCGCGGATGTCCTCAAGGCGATTGCGCCCATTGCGCCGGACATCGACGCTATTACTGCGGAAAATATTTCCAAGGTGTACGAACAAACAAACTATGCATTCCTGTTTGCTCCTAATTTTCACCCCGGCATGATGTACGCAAACCCTGTTCGTCGCGGATTGGGTCTTCGAACAATCTTCAATCTTATGGGACCGCTTGCGAACCCAGTTGAGTGGGCAATTGAGGCCCGTGTAGTCGGTGTAGCATACCAAGCATTAGGCCCAGTCTTCGCAGAGGCTCTTAAACAGGCCGGTGCTAAGAAAGCCATGGTGGTGTGTGGTGAAGAGGACATGGATGAGATCAGTTGTGCTGGATACACAAACTGCTGGAGACTTACTGCCAAGCCTAATCCTAACTACAAGCCAACTGAGAGCGAAGATGGGGATTCAAGCGAGGAGGACGAAGAGAATCCTCGTCAAATTGTTGAGATTGATACATTCAAGCTTCACCCTTCGGACTTTGGTGTCCCATCCCACCCTCTAAGTGAAGTCTATGGACGCAAGATGCCCAAGGATAACGCCGAGAAGCTCATGAGCATCCTTCGCAATCAGCTGCCTCGCGAGGACCCCATTGTCGAATTCGTTCTCATGAACGTTGCTGCACTACTTGTCACATCAGGTGTATGCGAAGTTGAGACTAGCAACATGGGTCCTGGCGATGATGGCAAGGTTATTACCGAGCGTGGTCCAGGTGGTGGCCGCTGGAAGGAAGGTCTGCGACGGGCTCGCTGGGCCATCGAGAGCGGAAAGGCCCTTGAACACTTGGAAAAGTTCATTGAAGTCAGCAATAAGCTTAACTAAGCTTCTTCCGTCAAAAATTATTGTCACTTCTTTCATGAAGCTGCAGCTCTTGCAGCAGCCTATGGTTCTTGGCTTTTTTTCGGTTACTATCTACATGTGCATCCACTTCGATTTGTATTAAAATTTCGTGAAATACTTCTGATTTAATTTATTTCATGAAGGGCTATCGCCCTCAGGAAAACATCCAGTCAAGTAGAAACTCTTCATAACGTGATAGAGAAACTCTTATTGTCCTTTATTTCGATGGTTTGCCCAATATAAGCAAACACCAGTATCTCATATCGCATATGAAATTTAAGAAACTCCCAAGCGCCGATAATGCATCATTCGTCAAAAAAAAGCGGAGAAAAGCGACAAAGATATCGCGGGCTCATTCCCTTCGCTGGTGCCCTTAACTCCAACAACCGCAGACACAATAGCCCCGGAAAATTATTCTCCAATACACCCGGTTATTTTAGCGAGCTTCGAACTGCACCATACTGGAAAAGAAAGAAAGTATTAGCTCATGCGCTCGGCAGCATCCAGACCATATCAAAGCTAGAGAATCTCACCGCTTGGTACGCTCCTTGTAGAGCACACGGTGACCACAGTCCTTGCAACGGATCTGGTCGCCGGACTTCAGGGTAACGCGGGCTGAGCACTCGCCGCAGAGGTAGGCGACAGAAGACTTGTCGACAGCCATGGCGCTGCCATATCCGGCATCGGTGCTGAAGGCGTTCTGGGTGCCCATGGAAGGGACCTGGTAAGCTTCGCGAGACATATTGGGTGATTTGACGGGTTTCTGGAAGTCGAGGAGGGTAGAGAGGGCAGTGGCTGTCTTGAATTTCGGATGCGAATGAGTCTTGGAGGAACTGGATGGAACATTTGACGATAAGCGGGATTTTCTTTTCGGCGGCGGTCAAATGATTAGCTAAGCAGGATCCACCCAATAGTTAACTAAGTATACAACTTTCTCTATATTGCTTCCATCTAGATCACAACGAAGAATTTTCTGGTTCAATATATTTTACCCAAAAGTTTGTTTCTTCTCGACTCCATAATAACCATTCATACCTACTATTCAATACTGGTCGAGGACTCAGTTGGTGGCGTTCCAGCAGATGAATCCTGAAGCACCCCAGTAACCAAAGCTTCATGCTCCGTTTTCGACAAATTCAAACACTGACCACGAGAAATTGCAATATTTCTTTTCGTTGAATTCTTCCAAGCCTTCTTCCCAGACACAAATAAGTCATCAATTTGTTCCAGTGTCAGTCTCGACGTTTCCGGCACAAACAAAAACACAAGAATCGTAACTCCAACAGTTACGCCGCAGTAAAAGTACCCCACATCCGAACCCATATTCCCATATTTCACATTCAGCATATAAGGCGTCCAGAATGTGGCACCAAAGCTAAAAATCTCATAGAGAAATGTCGTGTTGGCCTGCCCAATTGTGCGCATTCGAACACTGTGCATTTCAGCAGATGCAAGCCAAACGCTCGGTCCAATGAATCCGCCAAATATAAAAGCCCAGATACAGAGGAATACAACCACAACCGTCTGGGATGTCGGGTTGTGTTCTCCCAATGCTGTACTGACAGAAGATAATATGAGCATGCAAGCGGCCATAGCTGTCCATCCGAATAACATTGAGAATCTTCTTCCCCCGTGATCCAGAGCGAAAGGGCCGATCAGAGCACCACCGAGAATGCAAAGGCCGACAATTGCATTGATTAGGTACGGGTTTTTGATTCCCACGCCGCTGAGAAATAGGGCAGCATATGGACCCACGAACTGAGCTCCTGAGATAGCGAGGCCAATAAGAATGAACGCCGACACTGCTGTTCGTCGAAGGTTGGTGCCGCGATAAAGATCAAGCCAGGAAGTAGTAGCATCCAGTGATTTTTCAAATTCAAGATGCTTTTTTACATCTTCCACTTGTGCTGTTATTTCGACTGAATGTGGATCCATTACATTTTGAAACGTTGCAAATGACATCCGCGCTTGTTCTTGTTTTCCCTTTAGCAGTAACCAACGTGGTGACTCAGGGAAAAGCATCACCCCAAGGCCAAGGATGATCCCCAATGGTATTTGACAGATGATTGGTGTTTTCCATTGCCAATCATTTTGTGGTGGTAGGGTAGCAGACCCAGCGCATACAGCTGCCGCTGCGACACTCCCCATCGCAAGTCCAATGTTATAGATACCAAGTAGAAGGCCACGCTTGCTTGCGACCACACATTCCGAGCCGTAGACAATACTTGAAGCAAGAAGCTGGCCTATCCCAACCCCATTGATACATTTACACACCATGTAGTTCAAAAAGTTGCCAGATGTACCCAGCATGCCGGCGGCTCCGATGATACAGAACAGGCAAGCAATCTGTATAGTTGCTCTGCGACCGAGTATTGAGCCAAAGAGACCAGCCAAGGCGCCACCGACAGCCATAAATAGTATAGCAATACTGATGAGAGATTGGCGTATGGTGGACAGCACACATTTTTCGATCATGTCTCCGGTCACTGGGTCGGGCTGGTGGCTGCAGTGGCCAAACGCTTTTTGATAAGAGGGCATAATCAGAACAATGCCCGAGTAACCGATGTCGAATTCAGCTATCCATGCAGCGGATGAGACACAGATTGAGAGCCATAGCATTTTTGGCGTGATTTTCTGAGATTGGTTGCCATCTTGGGCTGGAATCGACTGATCCCCCATCGTTGGACTTGAGTTTGGATGTTCCGACACCATGTTGGAGGAGTGGCGTTTCAAGCTAAACATGTGAGAATATGAGAATAGGCCAAAGTCTAATGCTGTCTCATGTACAGAATGGAAGCTCCACTTTGTGGTTCGACCCGATCCACGATCCAAGAAAAGCTGCTATAATCGGATGAATAGTCGAGGATTGGAAGTATGTTCAGACCCGCATAGATCCAGCGTTGCATTGAGTGTGGATCGACTGAACCAGCTCCGTCACTTTGAATCATTGAAAGAATCTAACAGGGTGTACAAATAATCGCCCATATCTCACAGTATGATGATTGGGTTTGATTTATCCGCGTATCTCCATTCCTGATGGTGGCAGAATCGGTCAACAATTTAACCCCTTGCTCGCGAGATTGACAACTGAGAATTCACAGCAAATGCCAGGGACACTCGGACTGACGAAATGCAGCAAATTGTCGTACTAAATGTGCTGAAAGTAGACTTTGGAATATAGCAAAGTGGAGAGAACAATTGTGTAAATATTGCAAGAATATGGAGCTGTCTCATTCCCAAGGTTCCGGGAAAGGAAGCCACATAGATATCTATACGGAGGACTGCATGGTAGCCGAGATCTGGATACCATACAAAAATGGCGGTAAAAACATGATTCCAAATCATATGTTCCACGGTAGCATCGCAGCTAGTTGATATTGAAACTTTCACTGTGATGCCAACTCGATATACATGGCATACGTCAAATATTGCCAACGTGCATCGCATTAGCACCGGATACGGCTCTGCCAGTGGTTGAACCGGCAATAAGATCGGCTATCCTGATCCTTAATGGAGCCTAGTTGGCCAGGTAAAATATTGGAATCTAGCATCGGCTACACGCCTGAGCCTACAATCCGGACTTGCTTTGCAATTGGAACAAGATGATGATTTATGATACCTATTTTCTCAGATCAGCATGGAGTTCCATTACAAAAAACCATTCACTACAGCATATTGACGGCTTAGCTTCCCGGTACGGTCATAAGAAATCAATAGGTTCCGCGAAAATGGGGTGATCTTTTTAATTTTTAAAGACTAATTGATGCAAGTCAAGACATGACATGCAAAGCCCGATACTCTGACAGCCCCATCTATTCATGAGGGAATGCGAACAGTATGGCTACCACCATCATGGAGGGCGTTAAATAACAATAACTGGAACCACAAAACGACGCTGGGGGTCATTATTCAGAAAACATCGCGCTGATATGCTGAATGACAATTCGTGACAAGATCAAAACAATCTGAGATTTCATGTGGCTTCAAACATGCAGAAAAAGTCATGGTGATGCAAGCCCTGCCTGCCTTCGCCCATGAACCCATGAATTGCCAGGTCTGAGGTACAAACTCAATGAGAAGCTTCCAAGGAAGGAAATGCATTAACCAGGCATCTAACTTCCCTGGAAAGCGTTGAAAGCTTTGTAAGTGTATCCGATAAAGGGAAGGCTCATCTCGGCTTCCTGGGAGTCCGGCATGGCACGGGCCTGAGCACGATGGATAGCGCTGGTATCTTCCTGAGGAATCTCGTCGATGGGGAAGTAAGATACATCAATATTGGAGCTGAGACGTGGCTCGAATGGCGCGCGGATGTTGCGCAGCTGCTCCCAAACTACACCACGGAAGAATGGATGGTTCTTGATCTGGGTGGCACCACCGTGTTGGCCACCGTCGCTTCCGACGCGGTGTTCGGGATCACACAAGAAGCTCCGAATCAATGACTCAGACTCACGCGAGAGAACCAGTTCATCTGGGAAGTAGAGACATTCACGCCAGTTGACAATCTTACGGTAGGTGTCCGTGGTGTCCTCGGCACAGAATGGAGGCCAGCCAACAAGACACTCGAACATGATAGCACCGACAGACCACCAATCGCACAGGTAGGTATATCCTTGGCCATTGAAAATCTCAGGAGCGATGTAGTCGGGAGTTCCAACAGTTGAGTACGCCATAGCACGGCGAGACTTTCGCCAAGTGTTAATCTGTCCACGGTTGGAAACGGTCAAGTTGATAGCATCATTGAAGTAACCGGAGTTGCGGTTGCGGTCTTTTGATGTGGAGTTCTTGAGAAGGTTCTGGTAATAGGCGTTGTCGTGTGTCTTCTTGCCTCCTGTCGAAAGACCGAAGTCGGTAAGCTTGACGTGACCACCGCGATCGAGAAGAATGTTGTCCGGTTTGATATCACTGTAATTGTATGTTAATATTTGCCATGTGATTTGGAGTATTCAGAGGAAACAAAGTTACTTACCGATGAAGGAAACCAAGCTTGTGAACAGCTTCAATCGCCATAACGACTTCGGCCATGTAGAAGCGAGTGATATCCTCAGAGAAAATTTCGTACTTGATCAGCATGGTCATCAGATCACCACCAGGCAAGAACTCCATAAGCAGATAGAGATAAGCTGAATCCTGGAACGAGGCATGCAGCTTCACTAGCCAAGGGTTATCCTTTGAATCGGCCAAAATATCACGCTCGGCACGGACGTGCGCAAGTTGATCCTTCTTGAACATTTCCGTCTTAATCAAAGATTTGAGGGCGTAGATCTTGCCATCGGTCTTGCGCTGAACCAGTTTCACTTCACCAAAAGCACCCTTCCCGATGATCTTGATTGTTTGGAAGTTTTGAGGGGTCTCCTTAGTTCGGAGGAATCGAAGGAAGTCTGACTCTCTCTTCGAAATCACTTCAGCGTCTCCGCGCTTCTTGTCGACAACAACGTTTGGGTCCCGAAGAGTCTTGTCGAGGTCCACCGATCTATAAGACAAGAAAAACATGGGATTAGCACAACATAACGGACGAAGGATCAAAAGTCAAGACCTAATTGGGCGATCGGAAAACCTACCGCATGTTGCGATCACGGGCACGCTCAATGTTCTCGTGGAAGAAAACCGTTACCAATTCCTTTGCTGCCTTACCCCGCTTGTGAACATTCTCAGAGTATCGGTCGGAAAATCGTTGAAGCTCCTCATTCTCTGCCGGTGGGCGAGGGCTGCGAGGCATAGGAGGGACTAGGTGGGCAGCCTGAGCCTGACCTTGGGCCGGAGAGCCACCAGCGGTACGAGGTCGCTGACCAGGCGAGTTTGCCCGACCGAAGAATCCCCCACGGTTGGCGTTCAGATCCTGGTTGGAAAATTGCTGGATCAGACCATTGGTACCGTCGTTGTTGTAGCCCACACGGTTCTGATAGGCGGGCTGCGGGGACTGCAGAGCTTGTTGATGCTGCTGCTGCACCTGTTGCGCGGTGTGGAGTTGTTGGCCATACTGTTGTTGAGGTGGGTAAGGGTTGGGCATAAAGTAGCCAGGAGCGTAGGCCGGGTTTGAGGGGTCAACGTATTCCTGAGCCCCCTGAGTCTGATAGATGGGTTGAGGGAAAGCGGATGGGGTAGTGGGATAGGCGCGGTTATTAGCCGCATTGTAATTGCGGTCGTTGTACCCGTAATTCATGTTTTGGCGGTTGTTGTTATTGTTGTTGGGATCCATCGTGACGAGTCCCGACTCTCTCGAGAAATTCGAAACGAGAGAAGAGGGTTGTGGAAAGATGGGTGGATGGGTAAAGGAGAAGGCGGGGAGGTTTGGAAGGAGCGGTGGCTCTCTCAGGAGGCAAAGAATCCACCCCGATTTTACTTCAGTGAGAGGGGAAGAGGGAACCCCTGAAGTTTTGTATCAGGTCAGTCTTAGTCTGAAGCAAGTTTGCTTCTTCTTGATTCTCATTCGACTATATCACTCTATATTATACTACAACTATAACTAGGAATGAGCGTCGGGGGAGATATCTCGAATTGCTTGGATATTGCCCAAGAAGGCTCTAGATCCGAGATCGACTATCGGGATGATTGAACCGAACTATTAGATATATACTTTTGGAGGGGGAAACAAGTGGGATATCTTTTAGTGATAATAATCATCCAAAGGGAGGGGCTGCCTGTCACCAAGAATAATCAAGGTTACAGAGCATACCAGTTGGGGCAGTTGCATTGACAATATTTGTGTACAAGGAGAACTCCATAGTGGTGATTGAGCCCGATCGTTAGAACTGTCTCCGCGGAACTCACTCGGGCACTGATATATCCCCTATTTTGGCACTTTCACTTCCAAAAACAATGCAACATGAGTCTTATAGTTTCTCATTCAATCTGATAAGACCATGAAAATAATCATTCCCTATCAACTTATCATCGTAAGCACTGGCAGGATCCAAAAAAAAATCGCGAAGTTTAAATGATTAAAGACGGCACGTGACTCGGATCAACTCTGGGTCCGGCGCTGCAAAGAGGCTCGGGCGACTTTTTTCCCAGTCAACGCCGACTTGCTCATTGCGTGTCTATATCCAAACAATGGCAGAGCCGTCCAGCACAGCAGCGCCCACGGGGCCTGCTAAGCCTCAAGCACCTCCCAAACCTCCTAACCCAGTCTTCAAAATGATGGGTAAGATCTCCTTGATCTCCAAGAATTGCCGAAATCGGACCAAATAATACTAACACCCGGTTTGAATGTCTAGGTCTCCCTAACATGCGCTTCAAACTCCCCTCCCGCAACTGGATGATCTTTTTGACTGTCACTGGATCATTCGCTGGTGCACTTATCTACGACCGACGAGAGAAACGCCGATCTCAACAAAAATGGTCGGAGTTGGTAGCTCATATCGCGAAGGAGCCTTTGGCTGTTGAGCAGATGCGCCGCAGATTGACAATATACTTGGCTGCGCCACCAGGAGATGGTCTCCGTGTCGCGAGAGATCACTTCAAGGAGTATGTTAAGCCAATTCTCACAGCAGCCGCGCTGGACTACACGGTTGTTGAAGGCCGTCGGGAAGGCGACGTGCGCGCTGGCGCGGCGGAGGGGATCCGGAAATTAAGACGCAAGGCTGGTGAGTCGGGCACAACTACTCTGGAGCCGGGTGTTGACGAGGTCATACTGGCAACACGGGACTCAATTGGTATCACGGATGAGTCCGGTCCCAAAGGCGACATCGTTATCGGCAGACATGCCTGGAAAGAGTATATTCGAGGTTTGCACGAGGGATGGCTTGGCCCTATGGATGCCCCAGCTCCTCCTGTTGAGGCTCCTGCTGAGACTCCTGCTGAGGCTCCCGCCACAATTCTTGAATCATCTGAAACCCCAATGAAGGACACGGCAGCTGGCGACGCCCCGTCTGAGGCGCCGGAAGCCGCCGAGAACAAGCCAGAGGAGACCAAACTCGAAGAGCAGAAGCCTGAAGAAGAGAAGAAAGAAGAGAAACCATCCAAACCCGCCGGCCCCGCCGCTGCTCACATCGCAACTGCCGACTACCTCTCCGCTCAACCCGCCCCATCTCTCCCCCAAACGTTCGACAGCTCCGTCCCCATCGAATTCCCACACATCCTCGGCTTCCTGAACACCCCCATCCGAGTGTACCGTTACCTGAACCAGCGCCACCTGGCCGAAAACATTGGCCGTGAAGTTGCTGGTATTGTTCTAGCCAACGCCTCCAGACCTTACCGTGATGAATCTTTCAGCTCCGCCTCCGACTCCGAATCCTCTGCTGAGATTGCAAGTGGCAAGCACGAGCAGCAGACTGCCTTGGAAATTGAGGAGAAGTCATGGCACAAATCCATCTACAAGCGCGACGAGGAGGACAAGGAGCGCGAGTGGCTCGACGATATCGTGCTCGATGAGCGCATTGCCTCGCGTATGAACCTGGCCCTGCTCTCTCCAGAGGACGAGGCTCGTTCTCAGCGCATTGCCGATCAGAAGGAGTACATACTGGGCGAAGAACGCCCTGTCCCTGTTTCCTTCTGGCAACATATGTGGATCAAATATGGTTATGGTGAGGATGAAGAGACTATTCGACGCAAGCCGATCGTGGGCAACTTCGACGGTGAGTTTGATCAGTAAGTCTTCTTTCTTGTAATTTGAGGGCTTTTGAAGTCCTCCTGTTTTAGTAATAGACGAAAGCGGTGTTTGTTTCGCATCTACGGGGCCTGTTGGATTTGAGGTCTCCGAAGTCTATATCCACTCTCCTCGGCTTGTATATTAAAGGCGCTCTTCTTTCTATTTCTGTTCTGGGTTTGTAAATGGCAAAATGCATCAATGTATACATCTAGATCAATTTATACTTGTTTTCTGAATACCCTGAAATCATGATGCCAAACGGCTGTCTCCACATTGTAGAGCAAACATATATCGATGTGCCATATAGTGTGCCTTTACACCTGCAAGCTTAGGTGCTTAACACCGAGATTCTATAGGTAATGCTTAATTTGAAATTTTGTTACATTGCATTGATGTATAGTTTTTGTTTCTTCAAAAGGTTGGCAGTCAACTGACTGACGCCAGACGTATAACAATAAGCCTGTTTTCTCATTAAGAGTTTTCACATCGGCTCGATAAATCCAAAATGATCTAATCTAACTTGAAAGCAGAAGACTCAGGCCACTTCTGGCTGGCCTTTTGCACGTATCTGGTCTTGTCACTGTCCCAAAGGCTCAGTAGCTCAAGGGCAGAGGTGGCTTCAGAGACAGTAATATCAGGCGAGTCAAGGGTGGCCAGCAAATCCTTCTCGCATTGGGGCTTTGATTCCTTGTTCAGGAGCTGACGGCCGGAAAGGGCGGCTTGCACGTGCGCGGCACTGCTCTTGTTGGCAGACAGGAAAGTCTCATTGAAATCCTCGAGTTTCTGGGCCTTGGGGAGCAGCTTCTCAAATTCAGAGGTGACAACTTCAGCGACCTTGGGGTCAAGAGGCTCGGAGAGGGTGTCGAGGGTCTTGCGGAAGCGCAAAAGCTGCAGGTGGAGGGTAGGGTTGGAAGGGTCGATGGCATGAGCAGCAGAAAGACATTTGACGGCAAGAGCGTGCTTGTCTGTGGGATGCTACGTTAGTGATTATATTCATGAATACTTTGTGGCAAAACCTACTTCTGCGAGAGTAGACCTCGAAACCAAGGATCTGTGCCTCGATGTTCTGCGAGCTTAAGTCGAGGAGAGGTGTCAAGAACTTCATGGCCTCCTTGAGGGGCTCCTTGGTCTGGACCAGAGTGTTGCCGAAAGGATCAGAGTCCTCCTTCTTCACTTCCCCATCGATACTCTTAGCATTGGCGGCGGCGGCCTTTCTTGCCTCGCGCTTGTCAGCCTCAATCTTCTCCAGACGCTGCTGCTCCTTCTTGGCCTTCTTGAGAGCCTTCTTCCGTTCCTCTTCGTCCAATCCCTCAGCACCGTTGGCTGTAGGCATGGGGCCGTAAGCAAGATCAGGCTGGTCATGGAGAAGAAGGTATGCCTTGACGGCAGAGAATGCCATGCGGGTGTAGAAGGGGTGTTCGCGCAAACGGTCCTCCCAACGGGCCATATCCACATAAGCACGAATCATACCCTTCCTCAGAGAGAAGCTGTGGAAGTCAAACTGATCCTCTTGCCAGACATCAAAAATGTTGTACACGGCGTGAAGGCGCTTCAGTGCCAGTGCAAGCTTCTTCTGGCGCAGGTAAGCCTCACCGTCCTCTGTCAGATACCAGACACACTGCATTTCATGGAGATCGCCCATTGCGCCGCCTACAGTCTCGTTACGGGTGAACTTGCTCATGTTATCCAGAGCCTTTTCGTTCTCGTTGTTGCGGAGCTGATACTTCGCAGCCTTTGAGTTTATGTAACGGTCCTTCTCATCCAATAGACGAGCCTTCTCCATCTCTTCCGCTGCCTTAGCTGTATTTCCATAGTGCTTCCAGGTTCGTGCCTTCGTCAGCTGGTATTCGACGGATTTTGGCGACAGTTCAATGGCCTTCTCGACGTTCTCCATAGCCTTGGTGAGGTCGCGGCTGAGCTGGTAGTTATAATGTTGGGCCAAAAAGTAATAAGAAGAGACAAGGAAATCATTCTCTTTAGAATCAGCAGAGCCGTTTGCTTGCGCTGAGCCGGTAGAGGCGTACCCCTCTACTAAGGCCTGAACTACATCACGCTTGGCGGGGTTGGCGTACAAGCTCTTGATGTTGACGAATAGTGAAGGAACTCCCTTCTTCAGCATGCGCTGAAGATAGACGTCGACTGCCTGCTTAAAGTCGTCTCCTTCGAGAAAATCGAGGGGAATGCGGCGAGCTGCATCACCGCGCGGGTTCTTCTCAACCCATTCATCATAAAGAGCCTTCAATGCCTTATGGTCATTTTCAGCGATACCCTTCGCTTGAATCAAGCCATTGTAGTAGATTGAGTTCTCGGGGTTTCGCTCTAGGAGCGCAACGTATGCAGCCTCAGCTTCGGGCTTGCGACTAAGGCGCAAAAGGTAGTCAGCTGTCATCTCCATAACAGCAAGAACATCAGTACAGCGGTATCCGACCTTTTCAAGGTTCTCGAGAGCCCGTTCAAGATCGCCTGATTCTGCGATGATGCTGTTCTTATATAAGATAGCTTCTGAGTTCTCCATATCCGAGACTGGTGGGGTTCCCTTTAATGTGTCCTCAAATGTCGTAAGAACCTTCTCTGCCTCCACCAAATCTCCGGACAGATGATGAGCGATCGCAAGCGCTGTCCAGTTTTGTCGGACGCCCGGGCGGGCCTGGAGCATAGATGTGCGGCTCTGGATGTAACCATGGTAATCACGCATCTGCATCTGAAGGAGAGCCAAATCCCGCTGGATAGGGCCTGACTCAGGTTCCAGCCTCAAGGCAAATCGATATGCTTTGATAGCCTCCTCGTAGTTCTTCTCCTGTCTGTATAGAAGGCCATAGACGTGCCAGGTGATGTGTGACTTCATGTCATTTCGCAGGGCCTCTTTGGCGAGCGCAAAAGCTTCATCGGACTGGCCCAGATTGCTCATGATCAGAGCCTTCATCGCCTGCGTATCGCCATGTTTAGGGTTCTTGCGAAGAACCTGGTCTGCCGTTTTGATGCCTATCGAGATGAAAATACTATCAGCTGATGTCTGGCCATTGTGGGTGAAGAATGGTGCCAACCTTTCTTGTATTGCTTGAGCTCAAAGTTGCGAACCACTTGACGAAACAAGGACTGGTCCTTGGGGTTCAATGGTTGCGGCATGATGGGCGATGGCTGGGGAGGGGATTGACTTGTGCGAGGAGGAATCAATGTGTGCGGGGAGCGACTTCTCCGAGTCCGAACTTGGCAGAATGACTGCACCGATAAGATCGGTAAGACAGCCTGGGGCGACCGCACTGCAGAACTACACCATAAACTACATTTACCCTGTACAATATTAATCCTACCAATGCCTTCCAGCGAAATTTTACAGAGCACTTTTTGGACAATACGCTTTTTTCTTCTCAATGAAATTTTGCACATTTTTATGTTGCAGCAAGTCAAACGCTACCTATATGCAGTTCTAATGTACATACCCAAGAGTGGAGGAGTCCAGAAATCAATATTCCAAACGGGCTTAAGCAGTTATGTAGGATGATAGTTTCTCATCGCTGATGTTTCCTGCGCCAGTCATTCAAGGCCTCTTCCCACGATAAGGAAGAGCTACCGCATCTCTCGTTGACCAATCCCCACGACCGGGACCGAATGATATCCTCAACGATGCGCTGGTTCCGAATCAGGTTAGCTAGTGATTCGGTTCGAGCTTCTTTTGGAAAAAATCGAGCAGAATATGGATCTAGTCTTTCATTGACCACTCGCTCTCGATCCCGTGCAGATTCAGTTTCTCGCAGAATTAGGTCCGGATCTTCGGGATCGGGACTGGTGGCTACACCGGCGCAGTAATTCAAGACATCGGATCGAGTCTGCCATGATGAGAACAAGACATTCTCTTTAAATCCTTGGCAAGCTTCGGGGTCGATCACTTTCCGGCCGCTGGAATCGGTTTGCCGTACGGCGGTGGACGATGGGTCAAAGCCTTGCCGAGCAGGAGTAAACAGGGCGTTCAGATTTTGTGTGATTGAATCATCGATCGTTGATCGGGATAAACGAAGGAAATCTACGAGCAGCAGCACAATGGTCAGTTGCGAGTGACTCCAAGAGCTCAAACCAAAGTCTACCCACCTTGAAGAAGCTTTTCATTGAAACAGAACCGAGGGGTCAGCGCTGGAGCCTCCGTAGATAAAGGGTTTGACATATTTGCGCTGACGGTGTCGTCGGAGCCTCGACTGGGGTTCTTAGCCCAAAACCACTCCAGCTTGGCTGATTAGGTGGAGACGGGATGAGCGGAGCTGATGATCAAATGATAACTCAAACGGTGGCGACCTCTGGTCTTATGGGGTTTTGCGCAGAATTCAACTTGAGATTAATAATGAAGTTAGACAGTGAATTTCAAGTTTCTTGGCGATTCGAGGGAAATTTGTAGCGGTGATGTAGCTCACTGGTGGTTTCTCTGGTTGCATGTCATGCTTGATGAGGAATAGTCTATTAATGTGAGTTCAGTCAGGTGATCCCGCGTCTCGTGTCTGAGGCCGGGGCGCGTTCCAAGGTTATCACATCTGGATTTGACATCATTTGGCCATTTACGTGTTTACGCTAAATTTGAGTATTTTCTAAATAATTTATCCTCGAAGATGCCCGAGCACACTGAAGTGGCGCGCATAGTGCACTTTATCCGCAAACATTTGGTCGGCAAGACACTGTCCAAGGTCCAGGCACAACATGATGACATCGTTTACGGCAAAGTTGGCACCAGCGCAGCTGAGTTCGAAAAAGCCATACAAGGGAAGAAAGTGGTAGGTGCAGGGCAACAAGGAAAATACTTCTGGATTACAATGTCGTCGCCTCCACATCCAGTGATGCATTTTGGCATGGCGGGATGGCTGAAAATCAAGGACGCCGACACATATTATTATCGCACCGATAAACCAGCAGATAAAGAGTGGCCACCCAAATATTGGAAATTCTTGCTGGAAACCAGCGATGACCCCAAGACCGAGGCTGCCTTTGTGGATTTCCGCCGCTTGAGTCGTATTCGCCTCGTGGATTGTCCTATTGAGGAGATACGCCAGCATACGCCTCTGAAAGAGAACGGGCCAGACCCAGTCGCGGATAAAGATCTTGTCAATGAGTCTTGGCTGATGGAGAAGTTGAGGAGCAAACGCGTACCAGTCAAGGCCCTACTGCTTGACCAAGCAAATATCAGCGGAATTGGCAACTGGATGGGGTATGCTCATCATTCCTTGCGCTCCTAGACGCAAACTCTGTATAAGCTAACAAAATGGATAGAGACGAGATCTTATACCACGCCAAGATTCACCCAGAACAATACAGCAACACATTGACCGATGATCAGATCAAGGAGCTTCATACTGCCATGCATTACGTCTTCACAACCGCCATGGATGTTCTGGCGGACTCGGAGAAGTTTCCTGAGCACTGGCTATTCAAACATAGATGGGGCAAAGGGAAGAAGAATCAAAACTCTGTCCTTCCAAATGGAGATAAAATCACGTTTTTGACTGTTGGTGGCAGGACAAGTGCTGTCGTCCCTGCGGTACAGAAGAAGACCGGGTCAGTGTCTAAGGATATTGATGACACAAATGGTACCCCAGGGCCGAAAAGGAAGCGTTCTGTCAAAAAAGAACCAGATTCAGATGCCGAAACCAAGCCTCCGGTTAAGGATCGGGTGACCAAGAGAAAAAGCGCTCCAGCTGTCAAGGATGAAGAACCAGAAGAGAAGGAGATTGAAAGGATAGATGTTGGAAGGCGTCGGTCAACTCGATCAAGAAAATAATGTAGATTTCTACATAATAACTATGGATCGGTCTAAATGCCAATACTGCATCTAATGTCAATTACATTGTTCCCCAGAGATTACGTGAACTACTGCCATCTAGATGCCGAGAGGGAGTGTCCTTCTACTAAAACAAAACAGCCATTGATCGTGCCTGCATTTGAGGCTACCTATCTAGCTACATTGAGTTTATCTCCGAGCGACCAGAGAGGTAGGTATATGATCCATTTTCAGTCTAATTGCACAAGGGATTATGATATAAATAGTTGTGTTATCGGAATGAGATTGTCCAAGGCGAAAAGTATATTAGTATCAAACTAATACTCATAGTGTAACAGGGATTGAAGAATCAAAGAATAAGCTTCAACACCGCTGGGTAACGTAATTCACATACGGATGGCGCACACAAGCGGGTGGCGCACACCGCCTAGTACTACATCTTTGGATTAGAATATTACCACCAAAACGCCATTATATTTGAAAATTTATTTACTGGGACACCAGTTAATTGAATAACCTATTCTATGACAGCCGCTACACTTTGCCTGCCGCCGTCTAGTTAGTGGAGGTAGTAGAACAGGTGGTTCAACAGGCCCTGGTAGAGGTTCCTCAACATGTTCAACTGGTTGGATTAGCTGCTCAATAAGCTACAAGGCCTCTTCAACAGTTAGCCCTCCTTCGTGTAGTATTTGTCGATTTAATCGTATACATTTTTATCGTTTCTTCTCATTTGCAGCACATAGATCAGTATTCTCTTTTGCTAGGAGTGTAGCGTTATACATTGAGAGATAACAGCCTTTAATAATCTGGTCAAGTGCAATCTTAGACAGTATTGGAGGGCTTTTTGAACATTCTTTAAGTAAAGCCTTGAGGAAGGAAGCTTACTTTTAAAGTTGGAGAACTGTTCTTGGTGTTTTTGGAGAAAAAATGCTTGATCTACTGCTTGGCCGGCTTCCTGGGGATATAGGTATTTATAGTGATATGTTCAGCTTTGAGAGTACACGATCTGGGTTGATTAGTACTAGACCTACTACTGTAAAGCTATTTTAAATAGTCTCTGGTTTGAAGGCCTCTATACGTGCTTAAGGATATACCGCTAGAAAATCTAGCTTATCAATATGGTTATATCCTGTACGTGCTTAATTTTCAACCAAGCATCCATATGAGCGCTTAAGAACAGCAAAGCATCCAATATCAAGTGGCTGAAGAAGATATAATAAATGCGATGGCATACAAAGCGGTATAATTAAGTTTTCGTTACAAATCCGATCAAATTGAGGTGTAAGATGACTACCATGGCCATCAAGAATAAGAAGACAGTATTTTCCTTTTATACGAATAGAAGTAGCTAGAATAAACAGCTTCTCAAGCCATCGTACACCAATTTCATCTATAGTCCAGCCATTTTGAGAGACCTCAAATCGCCAGTTATCTAGAAGGTTATCGAACCAGCTTTCGATATAGACTTTACCTTTGAATATAATACATAGAGATAGGGTAAAACCACTTGCACTAATTGATTCAATTGCTGTTACCCATTCACAATTTCCAGATTGTAGAAGTACTTGTCGACCATAGTATTCAGCACGTATTATTACTTTAGCAGTTGCAATAAAGCCCATTGCAAACCCAGTCTCATCAAAGTTATAGATATCCTCTGGTTGGATACCATTCTCATCAATCACACATTGAACAGTTTTAAACCATATACATAGAGACTTTGGATCTTCATTTTGAGCACGTTGATAATCATAACGTTTTAAAAATCATGTACGAAGCTCTTCACGACGTTTAACAAAGTTTGTTAACCAGTTTATACCAACAGTAGATAAGGGAGTAGATCCACGCTCTACAAGTAGGATATTAGCCATTTCTCGTACAATAGAAGGCCTAAGTACTGCTCCACATTGATCCATAGAGAGTATCCATTTTACAAGCGAGTCCTCCTCATTCTAGGTCAATTTATGATTGTTGGCACGTATATCAGCGCGATAAGGTTATCCCGCGCGTCGGCGGCGGAGGGTAGTTTCCGGTATATCAAATAGCACTACTGCTTCGCGAACAGAGGAGACTTCATGATTTTGAATAGCTTTAATAGCTAATAAGATCCTACCCTCTTTATTGACAGGTTTTTGAGAGGATTGAGTACGTTTTGGTGGCATAGTGGGTGTTTGAAGATGGTAAGTACGCGTCGGAACGCGATTTGAGGCGGTGTGCGCCACCCGCTTGTGTGCGCCATCCGTATATGAATTACGTTAGATGGATCAACTAGAGCCTTTTAGAGTGGAGCATGAATTAAATTAAATGTAGCCAATCAGCGGGCTAAATAGTAAGAATCATCCCACCTTGGGCGGTGAGGGCTTATCGGCGCCGATATCGTCCGATAACGAGTTAGATTGCCACCGATGACAAAGCCCGCGACGCTCGTTGGCTCTCTTGCCCTGGAACTATTTTCGATTCTGCAACTCGAACTGTCTATTGATAAGACAATTAATGATACTCGCAGTTACAAGTATCCTGCGCTCTTTTTCTTTCTCCTTTCTACATCATCAACAATTTTATAATAGCCGGCTTTTTCTGTGAGCGCAGGGTTCGCGTCGCCCAAATCCGTAACGTGCCACAATGAGTGCGATCCTATCTGCCGATGATCTGAATGATTTCATTTCACCAGGAGTTGCATGTATCAAGCCTGTTGAATCATTGCCACAAAAGCCTAAGGATAATGAGGTTGGTGATTTATCATGCATTTCTGATATTCAAGATCTCAAACTAATACAAATTGATCTAATCACAGAATCCTTACGAAGTCACCACCGAAGACAAGGTTGAACCAGAGAATCTTCCACCGGCACAGATCTCTTTGACTGATTGTCTTGCCTGTTCTGGCTGTGTCACCTCAGCCGAAGCTGTTTTGATTTCGCTACAGTCTCATACAGAAGTTCTCAATACACTGGACGCCTTTCCAGAAGTTCCCTTAGCGGAGTCTCAGAATGGAACAACGCTTGCGGGTACAGAGGGCATTGAAAATTGCAAGATATTTGTTGCCAGTGTGAGCCCCCAGGTCAGAGCGGGGTTGGCAGCAACATATGGTATTTCAGAGAAAGAGGCGGGGTATATGATCGACCAATTTCTACGCGGCCCATTAGGATTACGATCTGGTGGAAAGCAAGGCAGTGGATTTACATGGGTTGTGGATACAAATGCCATGCGAGAGGCTGTCTTAGTTCTCACTGCTGATGAGGTCTCCGAGTCACTCGGTCAAAGCTCTGTGCGGGGGAGTCAAGATGCCCCGCCCAAGCGGCCAATATTGTCATCTGCGTGCCCAGGTTGGATTTGCTACGCTGAAAAGACGCATCCGTTTGTTCTTCCACACCTATCTCGACTCAAATCCCCCCAGGCCATGTCTGGAACATTCCTCAAAACCGTTCTCAGCAAATCGCTTGGTGTCTCCCCGTCTCAAATTTGGCATCTAGCCGTTATGCCTTGTTTCGATAAGAAATTGGAGGCCAGTCGCGAAGAACTCACCGATGTATCCTGGCAGCAAGGCGTTGACCAGAACATGGCTGAACCCAATCAGCCCGTTCGCGACGTGGACTGTGTTATCACTACTCGGGAGCTTCTATCCCTGGCTTCGTCCCGGGGTCTTTCTCTCCCCAGCTTGCCTCTCAAGCCTCTGTCGTCAAAATACAACATCTCATTCCCGGAAAGGTCTCTAGACTCGTTCATTTCATTCCAAAGTTCTCCTACAGAGCAATCCCTTGCAACAGGTACATCAGGGGGTTATTTGCATCACGTGTTGACAACCTTCCAAGCCCGCAACCCAGGAAGCAACTTGGTGACAAATCGAGGGCGTAATTCAGATGTTGTTGAATATGTTCTTATGTCCGCAGAAGGGCAGAAAATTATGAAGGCAGCCCGATATTACGGTTTTCGAAACATTCAAAACCTTGTTCGAAAACTCAAACCTGCTCGGGCATCTCGAATGCCGGGAGCCAAGCCCCTAGCGGGCCGACGCCAGCCTGTTTCTCGAAATGCTGCGAGTGGCAATTCAGGATCAGACTACGCATATGTCGAAGTAATGGCCTGTCCAGGCGGCTGCACTAATGGCGGTGGACAAATCCGAGTGGAGGATGCTAGAGAAGTGAACGGTACATCTCAATCCATTGATGCAGGTGTTGAGGCTGAGTCATTGAAGCCCTCTCCCCATGAACAACGTGCTTGGCTTGCCCGTGTCGACGAGGCATATTTCTCGATGGAATCAGAGTCTGACTTCGAGTCCGACGGTCTCGCCCAACCTATCTCCGTTATCGATAAAGAGGCTCGAGTGCATGAGGGACTCCAACGTTGGTCCCAGTATATGGGCGTCCCACTATCCAAACTCGCTCTTACTACTTACCGTGAGGTAGAAAGTGACGTTGGCAAAGAGCAGGCCCCTGCCGATGAAACTAATCGGGTGGTTGAACTCGCTGGAAAGATCGGTGGTGGGTGGTAAAGGTTCATTGTGTTATTTTGCATGGCGTTATAAGGTTTTTTTTTGGGCTGCATTTGAATGGGGCATATACCATACTGCATTCGCAGATTTTCTTGTGAATTCTTATTTCGTTCTGACAATATCCCAATATCGGGGACGATGAAGGCGCTCCCGAGGTCACAATTGTATATTTCTACGATCTGGCACATCATTACACTTTCAACGCTAAAAATCATGGATATACTTAATTTTGACAATTGCATAACTTGATTTTCTCATAAAATCATAACCAAATCTCTGATAATATCTGTAGTCTTCGACGATTTTAGATTTTAGATTTTGTTAGAGGCCCGAGTCTGAGCCGATAACCGGTCATGCGCGATGCCGTTGCTGTGCCAACGAACATTCAGTGGAGATTGACAACACATTTTCCGACCATCAAAGAAATCTATCACCAACGAAAAGATTAGTGAATCTTCTTTGTGGCTGTTATGAGGAGCGCTCAATCTCCTTCTTATAGCGCCAAATAATCTTCTCTCTTGACGGACTGTGGTGACTTGAACATTATTATATATCAACCTTCCATCTGAACACCACCGAAATAGCGATGGCACGGCTCAACACAACGAATCCGTTGTCCACTCAACGGCCGCCTCAAAAGGCGGACTTGCCTCGACGAACTACTCCCTCGCATTCGATCTCGATGAGCAGTGAAAAGAAAATTGGGGCTCCCTTAGCCAAAGACCCAACGCGAAAACAGAAAAAGGAATCGGGCTTTCATTTCAATGTCTTTGCAGACGATGACCAATCCCTAACGTGCGGAGATCTGGAGGAGGATTTGAGCTCGTTATCTATATCTCCCACCAAACAGAAGAAAATAAGAACTCTCAAGACCGCCAAAGCGAACTCTCTACTCCTCCCTATGCAGCACAGACCCCGTCAGAGACCGAACATTAAGGTGGAGACAGATGACTATGAGAAGGAGAATGATCTATCAGAATATGGAACAGACTCCTATTCGAGAGGAGGAAGCCCTGTTCCACATAGATCGCCAATCAGACGAAACACTACCCGAACTCCTGCTATAAGCCGTACCCCGAGTGTACCTTCCAGAGAACCGAGCCCTGCATCCGAAGAAGAAGATGCGGGAGACAGTAGCTTCAATTCTTTGGACGATTTTGTTGTTAGTGACGATGATGAAGTCAGCTGTCATGAAACGTCCGACTCTGAGCCAGAAGTTGAGCCGGAGGTTCAACCAAAGTCGATATCACCACCCCCTCCACCATCCACTCGCAAGCGGCTTATGAGAGGTCGACGACCGAACTCATACAATGAAGGAACACACAAGGAATCTTCTCCTCTCGCTGAAGCTACGCTACCAAGTTATCTGAAGGTTTCTCCAAGTCCAGACCAGCAGATCCAAGAAGACCTTCGTCTTTCTACAACGCTCGAAGATCTCAGCATTCAAGACCTGCATAAAACATGCCCCACATGCCCCGATGATGAAACTCGTGGTGATTCGTAAGTGATTGAAACGGAAAAATAAAGCGTATGATGTTTGCTAACACATGATAATCAGGCCAGTGATCGACCTAGCATCAACCCCGTCAACTCCCCAAACGCCGAAAAAGACCCCTCCACGAAACCGAAGCCTCACTTCCAGCACGAAGAAGAACAGGATACCACCAACACCCCATCGTGAAAGTACTGAGGCTTTCTGGAACCAGACCGTCACCAATGACTGGGTCGATGTGCATTCACCCCAGAAGCCAAAGCACAAAAACCCCGAGAGCACAATGATTGAGCTTTTACAGGACTTTGACGATTCAGAGGATGATTCTTCACTCAAGAGCAAAGATTCAACAAGTCGAGAGGTCAGCCCTACGCCTGAAAATGAATCGCTGGGCGAGGCAAACACGACTAAATCAAACAAGACAAGCACGAAGAAGGCCGAGGCCGAGGGACGCAAAGCGGAGACTGCACAGCGTAAAGCAGAGAAGGCTCGCCTGGAGGCATTTGACGCCGTGAAAGATGACCTGGCTAACAAGTTCATCCGCGAGTTGGACACAATCGTCAATGGTGGGAAAATCCTCGAAATGACCGCACCGACTGGTGGCCTTGAAATCAGATGGTCAAAGTACCTGCAGACAACTGCTGGACGGGCGTCATACAAGCCCAGCTATGCTAGGTTATCCAGCGGACAGATGGATCGAAGTCACGTTGCTCGACACACAGCATTTATTGAGCTTGGCTCGCGTATCATTCAGGATGAAGACCGACTCGTGAATACCCTTGCCCACGAGTACTGCCATCTCGCAAACTATATGATAACTGGAATGCTGAACAACCCTCACGGTGCTGATTTCAAGAAATGGGGCAAAACCGTCGAAGACGCCATGGCAGATCACCCGAAGTATGGTGGTAAGATTACTGTGAAGACAACTCATTCGTACAAAATAGCATTCAAATACGAATGGAAGTGTGAGGGCTGTGGGCATATCTTTGGTCGTCACTCCAAGAGCATTGATCCCACAATGAAGGTTTGTCGCTGCCGAGGCCGACTCCAGCAAATCAAGCCAAAGCCTCGCAATGTCTCGCCTAAGAAGAAAGTAGCACAGCCCGGGTCGGTTCCTCTGCCTCAGATGGAGAGAGTAGTGATTGACCTTGAACAAATGGTACTGTAACGGATGGAAAGTACTGTGCTCTTTCGGGTATAAGTTCCTGTGTCTACTTTCGGTTTCCTTTCGCATTTATGGAGTTTAATTTCATTTGGCTTTCACGAAAGCCATGCAAATTTATAGCATTTCTGATTAGATTGAAATTTTCTGATTATTGTGATCATTGTCTGCCTAATTTTCTATATACTAGTATCTAATTACACTGCTAGCCCAGTATTCCATCCAATCCCGGTGTGCCAAAATCATTCCAGTGCGCTCCCATCTATCCATATCCGAATAATCCTCGACCTTAAATGCAACACTTTAAATATATAGCCCCTTTAAACAAATAGCGCCCAGTCTTGAATCTCGAGCTTCTCCTCAATGGCCTTCAAAGTATCCTCCGCAAGGGCTTCCTCCTTCGACAAGCCCTGTGGGTTTCCCTCTTTATCAAACTCCTCATGAGGAACATTAAAGAAAACCAAAAGATCCGTTTCTTGCACCTCCAGTCGCACAAGAAGGTAATGACATGTCAGAGACTTTGTAGGGGGCGCGCTAGATGAGCCTCCGTTCATCGAAACGCCTGAAACGGCCGAGCCTGACTCCACAGCAGGTTGCCGTTGATCTCTGCGCTGAGCGGCCGTCTTGAACTCCACAATGCCTTTGTATGCACTGATTGATGATCCGGAAGGTGCATTGGCAGTCAGGCTGCCTAGCTCCACTCGCCGCGGCGGGGCGACTACTTCCATAGCGTCGCCCTCGTCACAGAGATCGTGAAGATGGTACAAAGCAGCCGCCTGATTGATTGTATCGGGTGTTGCACTAGCTGCACTGCCGCTACCAGCTGCTAGACTGGGCTGCTGTTGGCTAAGGGTGGTGAAGGCGCTGAGCGCATCTTCTTCAGATACACGTTGGTTGATCTCAACAATAAGGTTGGATAGTGTGTTGGGTGAGAGAAAAAGTTCCTGGTGATCTGGAACCTCGCGAAGATCGCTGTGTTATTGGTTAGCAATAGATCTTTGAAGCTTCTTGAACATTTGGAGGGATTATCACTCACCTAGCGTCGATCCAGTTTGGTGGCAGTACACCTCGGATTGCCCCGCCGAAGAGAGGGACGCCTGTGTGCTGGGGCATAATGGAAAAATATGTCAAAAAGAAAGCCTTCGAGCTTTTTCTGAGATTCAGATTCTTTGGTTGCAGATCTCAAGCTCTTCAAGATGCTGATCTAGCTGGTCCGGTATAGGATTTTGATGCCAAGACCCCGCGATCCTTTTTTCCACTTGATTTTTTTGGGTTTCAAAGTTGAGGGTCCGTTAATGCCAGATGCAAGGCAGACAGGAATGTGATCAATTTTATAAAGAATTGCAAAGTTGGCCTGGAAGTGGGCCAAAGGTTTATTCTCAAGTTTTACTTGAGGTTCGAGGCTCTTATGTAGGGGAGATATGATCCAGGCAACGGTAGCGGGGGGCAGTCTTCCGCAACATGACGTTTCATGAACACTTTGCGGCCTGGCTCTCACATTAAATTCCACGCAAGACAACTAATTCCCATTCCTGGGGCTGAATTTTACAACGCTAAGAAATATGACTCAATTTAATTTATCCTCAAAACTACAACATGCAATTTTTTATTGTTTAATGTTCCGGTCTGTTTCCCCCACAATATATGCACGTGACTGTTATTGATGCCCAATAAGTAAGGCACAATATATCACTCAACATGAATCTATATAGACACTTGGGCATGATCTAGGAATTTAAGAATATATACGTAAGAGCATTTGAAGTTGATATACTATTTCGAGTCATTGGTGTCTTGAACGAACCCAAAAATGACTACTTCTGCCCAAAAAAGCGACATGGTGCCACCGACCTCGACAAATTCCCAGAAAGCCGAGCGGAAGAAAACACGGGATTCAGGTCAGGCCCGAGCGCCCATCTCACAAGATCTTCAGGGCGCATATCACGAGAGCTTTTCAGTTCATTAAGCGAGACTACAAAGAGTACAACGTACGCATAGCAAGGGCCAAAAAGAAGAAAGAAAGTAAAAGTACTTCTACCGCATCTTATGCATAGCTCCATGCAAAACCCGTGCGTATGCCCACGTTAAGGATCATCAACACGGTTACATTCGCTTTCTGATCCGCGACAACCGCTAAAATCGGGCCTTTTTCCTGATTGAATGATTTTTCGGTCTGCCCCGAAAGTTTTGTAATAATAATAAGCAAGATGCACCTTGGCACTAGCAGGGGTCGTCCTTCTTCAGGAAATAGCCTCCACCGGGCGGGGGACCTCCGGTGTTCGGCCCACTTTGAATCAAATCTTCGATCAGATAATCTCTAATCTCCGTGACAGTAATAATCAGCTGCCCTGCTCGCTTAAATGTTGACTCCGCTTGTTGTCTTGCTTTCTCTCTCTTTGCTTTGAACATTCCTTTGTTAAAAGCACATTCTTTTCTACACTTCAGCTTTGGGATCTCTGGCTTCACCAAGACCGGCAAAAGCGTGGTTATTACTGGTCTGAACAAAATGGCCGCCGAGGGTTTCCCGAAGGATCCTGATGCCTCGGATCCCGAGACACAGCATATCCTGCAAGGCACCGCCCACTTTCGCCGTCTAGGATGGAAACGTCTGACCATCATTTCGATCGTTGAGGCGATTGCTCTCGGTAGTCTTGGTTTGCCATCGGCCTTTGCAGCTGTCGGGATGGTCGCAGGCGTCATCTTGACAGTTGGTATTGGCTTGGTTGCCATGTATGCAGGATACATGATTGGTCAAGTTAAGCTCAAGTATCCTGAAGTTAGCCATTATGCAGACGTGGGCCGGCTTTTGATGGGCAACTGGGGATCGAAAGTGTTTATCGGTAGCTTCGTTGCCTTGCTGGTCTGCGTGATTGGATCGCATACTTTGACCGGGGCAATTGCTTTCCAGACTATCATTCAAACTGATTCCTGCTCGGTCATATTTAGCATTGTATCTGCTGCAATCTTGATGTTGCTCGCTATTCCACCGTCATTTGCTGAAATCGCCATACTGGGATATATCGACTTCGCCTCTATTATCATTGCTATCGGCGTTACAATGATTGCAACTGGGATCCAGAGTACTGGCACTTCAGATTGGTCTGCTTGGCCAAAACCTGGTATCTCTTTCTCTGCTGCTATCGTGGCTACCAATAACATCGTCTTCGCATATTCATTTGCAGGTTGTTTGCCTTCTTTTATGGAAGATATGCATACTCCCGAAGATTACACCAAAGCCATGCGATGGCTAGGAGGTGTCCAAATTATCATTTACACCCTCACCGGATCGATAATCTATGCGTTCGTCGGGCAGGGAGTACAATCACCAGCCTTGCTGTCAGCAGGGCCAAACTTGTCGCGAGTTGTTTTCGGTATAGCACTCCCGGTCATTTTTATCTCCGGTTCAATCAATACAACTGTGGTTTGCCGATACATTCACGGAAAGATGTACCAAAAGTCGATCACTCGTTTTATCAATACTCCCAAAGGTTGGATCTCATGGCTCAGCCTCGTCCTCCTCATTACAGTGTTGGCATGGGTTATTGCCGAAGCCGTTCCGATTTTCTCCGATCTATTATCCATCATCTCGGCTCTTTTTGTGTCTGGCCTGTCATTTTATATTCCACCAGTAATGTGGTATTTCCTTTTGAGGGAAGGCGCATGGTATGAAAAGCATAACTTGAAGACGGCCATGTGCAACGCGGTGGTGTTTGTGATTGGGATGATCATTTTTGGTTGTGGTACATATGCCAGTATCTATGAGCTGGTAAGTCTATCTTGGCCGATTGTTGACTACTTTATACTAACTCTATACCTCTAGGTCAAGGAATTCCGGTCGGGGTCCGTGGGTAAACCGTTTACATGCTCTGCCTAGGTGTGGGCCATTTTGACACATTCAAGTTGGCAACTCAGTTATATACACAACATAATAAATGTAAATATCTCTTAATAGAATAAAACAGGCTGTTCATGTCATCATTTATTATGACTAGTTATTTATGACTACCATTTTCCAAATCTCTCCGAAAATTCCCAAGTTCCTTTTTATTAAAGACTTCATGTGTACTGCTGGGTCGATTGGCTATCTGGAGACATTTGAACCCCAAGGAGTTTTCTGCAAGAGAGAAACCATTCAAACAAAGATACTTTCCGTGTATTACTTGCTTGCGTTCTCAATATCTGCAGCCCACAAGGACGCGCCGACAGTATTTGTAAATGAAAAGATTATAGAAGCAAATGGTATCATCTCCAGCGCAAAAGCCGCAATACCAAATCTATATGCGAGATAAAAGTCAGTGTTTTGCCCATTTAAAGTAAAACCTCAGAAGAAGGGACTGGCAACCACCTACCCAGTGTAAGCACCCCGGTTCTTCTCCACCCACTCTTCCCGCTCCAGGGAGTTCCAGCCTTTCAGCTGGAAATACCGAGCATGAAGTCCAGGACCAACGCGTTTGCCCTGAACAAGAATATACAACACTGTTCCGACGACAGGTATCAAATTCAAAGGCAAGAAAATCAACGATCTTAGCAACGCTTGGGGCTTGAAATTAGAGAAAGGCTTAGAAAATAGCTTGCCAAGTCTGGCGACTGCATCTCTCCCACCAAATTGAGGCTTGATCTGACGCCCCTGCGCAACTAGAGCTTCCTGTTCGCGCGCGATGAGCGTACCGTCGAAGGTGTCGACTAGGGCATCCTGGACCAGGAAAGAGCGCGAAAGAACATTTGTTAAAGTGGCACTTTCAGTCAGGACGAGTAATCCGGCAGATATAGCAGCTAGCGGGCCACTAGTGAATGCCATCACGGCCATTTGAGGCACGTAGGTGAAGAAAAACATGAAGGACGTTACACCCATGCCTAGACTGATGGTGCGGCCTGCGCGAGCCATAAAGGGGCCCCATAAGTCTTTATGGGTTGCAAAGAAAATTATTCCCTGGAAGGTCTTGTTAGTCTCTGAGGAATATGCTTGTCGGATTAGCCAAAGCTTCCAAGCTCACCTTGAATGGGTACAGATAAGCGCCTGATCTGAGGACGCCCTTAGAAGCCTCTTGGACACTTTTAGCTTCCGCCAAAGCAGCCTCTTTGATATGACTAGACATCGTATGGAAGACTTATTTCGCAGACAGTCAGGATATAAAGAGGGCGGGTTGTGTTTGATAGGGGTCTTGACGTTCCCGCGAATTTCTCTCATCCGGGAGAAACAAGCGGTGATGATGTCATCAGCCAACGATCCGGACCAACTTTTTGATCGAACGACCTGAACAACAACATAAGAATCAGATAGTGCAAAGAACTATCTAAGCTCTAATGTATTTCAATGCGAAGAGTAAAAAGGGAGAGAAATGAGAAAGAAGAAGTAGAAGTAGTTATTTGTTATTATGGCCCGCCCTTATCCCGTTATCTCGACCGGAGCTATCAATGTATGGTGCACTAGCATTGATGATCCATGTATTAATTACCCCTAGACGTCCCTATCACTCTAGTCGCTTCATTAAATTCCATTTCATGGGTCATTATTAATTTAATCGTAGTTGGCTGTTGCGTTGCACCTTTCTCCTGTCATTGTCGAGGGTATCGACGGACGGCAAGCATTAGGACGAGAGTCACTCCCGTGTCCCGGAAATCACCCGTTTCTGGAGATAGACAATTAGTATTAGAGCTTCACACCAGTCAGGTAGTACAGAAAGCCTTACCATTCCGTTATCATTTCTCTAGTATCCTGACCGGCATATCTGCCGGCAGGAAAGTTGTACTCATCCTCCCAACTCTCTTTAGCAGCCATCAGGGGCCCCCATTTTTTCTGTGTGTGTTTCAAATATTGCTTTATGCGCAAGACAGTAGACGTGTTTGGTGAAGACTGAGGGACGGCGTGTAGGCCCTCTGTGCTGGTATGGCTGGACCTGATCGAAGTAGATGTACTCATGTTGAAGGAAGGTGGGTGGAAAGGTAGAGTGTTCAAAGATCGATGAGAGTCTCTGTATTTATCTGAGAAGGGATCGTGGCACACTATTTATATATGTTTTGCATGTATTACCCAGTTGCCTTTTTAGATTCCGGTAAAAGCTTTTTTTCATCACATCCTGGTCTGGCTCAGCTCAGCCGTATAGTAGCAGCCTCTCGGGGGTTTACCGAGCCAATGCCGAGATATCTCCACACCGAGATAATCCCGCGCCTGTTGTCACCTCGCCACATGCCAGTGACTCTATATTTGAAATTAAGCAAGATATTATGAAATCCTTCTTGTTGGCCCTTCTTGTTGGCCCTTCTTGTTGGCCATTCTTGTTGGCCTCGCTTCAGATATCCCGTTATCTAGATCAATGCAAGAAAACAATGCGGGATAACGGCCAATTTCTAATATTCGGTAATTGGCGCGCATAGAAAAGCTGAATTTTCATCGGCACGGTTCACCTTCCAAGCTTCGGAGGTGGTACACAAGCCTTACAGGGATACCTGGGCAGCTTTGTTTCCTCACCTAGGTAGTATACCAAACGAAAGAGATGAACCAATTGTATTTTTTAGCTCACTTGTTGCGCCAAAACTAAACGGAAGCTTTTACATGAATGGCAGTTCAATACTCGAATTCAAAAATCTAACTGAATCATGACTGACGTAACATCCAAAAATAACTTGAACTATTTGATAAGTAAATAAGGGAGTGACCTAACTATAGCCTCAGGATATATCCTTCCCCTTCTCATTGCATAAAAAAATGAAACTCGAACAAACGCCAGAAACCAAGGAAAATGACTGACTCAAGCGACGAAAAGAGCTCTCAAAAACCGAACTAATATTCTATTGGCGTTTCCTACTTTTTCGTTTTTTCTTTCTTCTCTAACCTTACCTCATCGATGCATGTTGATTGAGTAACTTTATTTGATATTTTCATATAATCAGGGTATTGGCCTTTGAGTGGACCTAATAAGACTGTTTGATACATCCAATAGATGTTTTTCTCGAGCTTTTCACAACCATATTCAAATCTTATTAATAAGAACACCCTGCGGAATCTTCCCACCAATAGGTCTTGTAAAATACAGCACTCGAGAAACCAAAACATTTTAAAATCAAAATACACTCAAAGCAAAGTATACAAGCCAGGTCACTGCCAGAAGAGGATAGGATTCGAACAGAACAAACGCTCTTGGTGAATGGTACTTCTCAGCTTTTCAAATCAACCAAGAGAATTGGTAGGTTACAGGTCAAAGACTAGAACTTTACTATCCGATTCGAGACGTTGTATGTAAAATATGAAAGATGAATATCCCAAGGAAAAAGAAAGAAAATTTAAAGCGATCAAAAAGCAATTAAAAACACTTAACATAACTCAAGTATCATAATGCATCAATAATGTTCCAAAGTCTTCCTAAAGAGCGCCGGAAGTCTCCAATAATGCCAAGCCGTAATCCTCAATTAGCGGATCGGCTTGCCCATATCATACGCCTGCTCGTATGCCGTACTCGTAGAGTCCAAGTTATGGTACGTGTACGGGGGCGCAGTCGGAGGGGAGTACGACGTTCGTCCTTGAACAAGCGAGTCGCCGGAGTCGCCACCCTGCTTGCGCATCTCGGTCGCCATGCCAAAGGCAAACTTGATTGCGTGAAGTAACTCCATTGGGTTGTATACTCCAATCCAGGCTCGGTAGCCAAGGAATCCACCCTGGTAGGGACCAGCACCGATGTAAGGCGAGGTACGGTAAGCGTAGGGGAAAAATAGAGCAAATGGGACCATCTGAAGACAGGTGACAAGGTTGGGAATACCAATGTTGACGTCTGCATAGCTGAGAGTTGAGGTTTCCTTCAAAACATTGGTGGTTCGCAGAATTGTAAAAATGATCTAGCGAGACAAGGTTAGCTTCAAGCTCCACTGGGTTTTATGCTGAGAGTAGAGGCCATCATACTGATTCGAGGAACGCTAGACCGACGATCAATTTGAAGGCCAGCAACTTTGCGAGCGGCTGATGCGATGCCAAAAATGTCTTGAGGGATTTGTAGAATTTTAAAACAGCCAAAACAGCAACTGCTACCGAGATTGTGGAAATAACCATCAACTTTTGAAAAGGGTCAGTCAGAGAAGTGATGCATGTTTGAAAATCGGGTTTCTTACCCAAATGTGTGCAAAATAGGGTTTGTTGCTGTCTAGGCAGTAAATTTTAGCCGCTTGGGTGATATCGGTTGCAACAGCAACGAGTAGTGAGACTACTGGATACTGAACGATAGCAATCCATTGTTTCTACGGGGAGAAGGTCATTAGAATAGCTCTCTCGGGAAGAAAAATTGCTAGATCTTGGTAGCTTGAGATTGAGGATACGCACTCGGAACCATTCCAATCCCGTTACATGGGATTTGCCAGACTTTTGAGGTGCCTCAAAAGCCGCGAAAAAGACGTTTACGTCACATTGAGAATCGCTTGCAATGAACTGGCACATGAGTAAGAAGAAAGTCCCCAGCGCACAGGCTTGGAAGAAGTCAAGCCATGGGTCCAATGATGCGTAGGCGTGTGGGAAGCAAATGGAGAGAAAAGATACAACGGCGTATAGCGGAAGAAGCAAGCATATTTTCATAATTCTTTTATAATTAGCTTGACAATACCAATGAATAGAAATGGTAAACTTACTTGATCTGCTCTCTTGGCTTGCTCAAATGTATTGAGTGCCAAAACATGAGGCCGAAAATGATCACACAGACAAGTGCAGTGCAAACTCCTGATATCATCATGTTGAGATGATAGAAATAAACATCGCCCACGACAGGCTCGGGTGCCTCTAAACATCATATCAGCATTCAAGGTCTTGGAGAAAACATTTAAGGAGTCAGAAAGACAGAACATACGTTTGGCAAACGTGGTGGGCATAGGGCATGTGTGATTAGTGCTGCCACTGTGGTGAAAAAGACCCATGATGGTTCAAGTTCAAGTTGGCGAAGACCTCGGGAACTTGAAGAAATCGATGTATACTATAGTTCAACTTGAAGCTGACAAGGATATACTAATGGGTTGAACACCGGTAGTAATTGACCGAAACGATAGTTCGGAGACTTTAGACAATGAAGACCAGAGTGAGATTGTTTCAAGGCAATGTTGTAGAGAAAAAAGAATAGAAGAATAGAGAAATCGAAGCATCTTAGGAGTCTTTTAAACCTTTCGATACAGGGCTGTGAATCGCCGCCAAGATCAGCGGTGGATCTTTCCAGCAAGCTTAGACTCATTCTGCGCCACGTTATTGTTCAGCCTGGGCCAAATTCACATTGAAGATGAAGAAACTTGACCTAAACAAGAGAAGCGTTTCGAGATAATTTTAAGATGCTTCAAGCTTATCTTGGCTGTGCGCCGATCACATACTTTATATAGTATAGCTTCGAATCAGTTTCCCCAATAGGGTTAGCGTGATTCTGCCATCCTTGCCGTAGGTCGCTGATCACCACGTAAAATCACGAAATAGACCCTTCGACAGGCTTTTTTTTTATGGGAATAATTGGACCACAGAAGATGATGCCATCAGCTGAAGAGGTTCGTCCTTACGATTTGTTGGACCCATTTGGAATGGAGCATGTTTCGAATCTTGGGGTGTTGGGAGGTCCAGTTGTCGTGGGGAGCGACCATAAAGGAGGTTAAGCTAAACCTTATCTGGTATCAGAACAGCCTTGAACAAATAGTAGTACTAGGCCTATTAATCCTCGTGATGTGGACACCCTATTTCCAAGTTTAAGCTTAGTTGAGATTAATAGGTATAAAGTCTGTGTTGCTTGGAAAATAATTATTAATTCCAAGATTGACTGCACAGAAAAAATCGTTCAAATAGTATCTAAATGGATTCTATAAATAAACAAAGTACATCTAAGGAGACCGACAACCTTGGAATTTGCGTAATTGGTAATTCTAAAGAGATACCTACTGGCTCCGAGTCACGGTCCTCATTCTACCAGCCCTTAAGAATGATGCCACAAATAATTTGAAGCCATCTGCATTCAAGTTCTTCAAATTCTTAAGCTTCCTGTGACTCAGCTCAAGGTGGGGGCGGAGCGGGAACGTTTCTTTCGTGACCAAATGAACCTTGGTGTCACCTCTAATATTTACTTTCAAGCACATCAATTTCTTTGCGCAAAGACTCTTTAACGGTCGCAGATTTCAAGCACTACGAAGGGAATGCCGCTGAGATGCCCCGTCAGGGAATTCGTCGCCACCACACAGGCTGTATCACTTGCAAGTCAGTACAAAGAAGCCATACGGTCCCTCGGAATGTTGTTGTTGGCTAAAGGTCGACTAGGGTGCGACGAGTCAAATGTGACGAAACAAAACCATTTTGTATGAAGTGTACATCATCCGGTCGCAAATGTGATGGCTATAGCGTATGGGTGCCAAAAGCCCTGCGGCTATACCAACCCTCCGCAATTCCAGCCGCTACAGTCCTGGAAATCGAAAACCTGGGCTTCTATCGCTGCATGGTGGCCCCGACTCTAGCTGGTCCACTGCCTCGCAACTTTTGGACCCACATGGTTCCTCAGATGATGCACCATGAAACGGCAATCATGCATGCGACTATAGCAATATCCTCCTTATTCAAAAATTCCCAAGGTCTGCTGACCGACATGTCGAAAGGAACATCTGCCATTTCCCATTACAATACTGCCATCCAACAAGTCATTTTATCGCGGCATGAAAGCCTTGATACAGTAGTCATAACATGCATTCTCTTTATAAGTATTGAGCTGCTCCGCGGAAATCTGAAAGGAGCATGGATGCATTACCGTCACGGTAGGGAGGTCCTAGCGTCATACAATGCCCCTCAACAATTATTAGGTATTTTTCGTCAACTTAATACTTTCGCGCTCTTTTTCTTCGATACTTTTGGTCTATCGCCCATACATAAGGCTGGATTTCCACCTCCAAGTGGCCCATTTACCAACATCACACAGGCCCAAGAATCACTTGATTTTTTATTATACAGATCCATGAAAATTGCCTTCGATCTTGGCAAGGGAGCTTCGACAGGATACGTTCGTCGAGGGGTTTCGCGCAGGAGGAAATTACGTGATGACCTGAAAACTTGGTCCTCTACAGTTTCTTCACTGAAGCGAGACTCCACTCAAAATGAAGCCCTCTACCAAGCTCTGGAAGCCCGATCGCTTGTATGCGGAATATGGACAGACCCGGCTCTTTATGACTATCAAGAGCACTATTCAAAACCGGGGGAATCAAACGTCGGGAATATCGGAGACTTTTTTTCCAGTACACAGGTTCCTACAGTTTTGAATTTTATGCTCAAGGAAAGCCAAAATTTGAAACTTCAACTTGCGGCATTAGCTTTGCTGAGAGCCAAATGCTATGCATCCAAGATGGCGGGGGATTGCAAAACATTCTACGATACTGCTAAAAAAGCTATCGAAGACGACTATGACATTGCATTAAGCTCAGGATGGAACGAGGCAAATGAACTGGATAATTTGATGGGGATCAGGAAAGAAGCGCCCCAGACTAACTTCAAAGGCGCCCAATTTCGCTGCCCTTGGGTTTTTGTGGTACTTGATGTCTGTGATAGAGTGGGTCAGTCTATCGCTCAATGAGACTCTGGCGAAATGTTTCGTCAGTGTAAACACATGTAAGATAAGAAATATAGCGTTGTAATAAATGCGGGTTGAGATTAGTTCAATTCATTTTGGTCTCCAGCCTATCAGTAGAGCAACTCGCCCGTCGGGTGAGTCTACCCAGAGAGTGGAATGTAGCACTTTTCACCCAAGCGAGGCCCTAACCGAGCCATTAAGATGAAACGTTTAGTTCTTGCATAAAGCACCATTAATAGAGCCTATTAATGACAGGAACCACGTAAATGTGGATTCGTATTACCTTGCATTTCATTGGTGCTGAGCGACCTTGCCGTTAGGTGACTAGCAGGAAAGCGGGTCGGGACGGCAGGATCCTGAGGACTAAATTATGGAACCCCTCTCGAAGAGGCGACCTATACTGAAAAAGGGAAAGATGCCAAAAGCCGGCATAAATATTGAGGCCTAGATATGCCGATCAACTATGAATATGTGTACCTTATTGGTCGCTAGCCCTTCGGTTCTTTGCTCATATATTCCAAGGTTGCTATATGCTCACTAGTGGGCAAATCAGTGGCGACTCATAATAGATACCTAGGTCCGTGTCCCGTCCTTGAGAAAAGTACATGAAAGATATCATACGTATAAGTGGGCCGTGAGGCCCCGGACACCCCACTAATACATTCGAACTCAATTTCAAAGCCCAGCTCCGTGGTTACGGATTGATTTCGATCAAGATGGATTACAAAATGATGCCTCTTGCTCTATGCGGTCTATTCATGACCTACATCGTGTATATGATCGTGTACCGCCTCTACTTCCATCCACTGGCCAGATTTCCGGGTCCCAAGATGGCTGCCATGACAAAGTACTACGAAGGATTTTATGATCTAATCAAAAGCCCGGGGGGTCAATTTATGTATGAGCTAAACAGAATGCACAAGCAATATGGTATGAGGAGTTCCATCCCTGAGATTCAGAGACTTCCTTTTCTCATCCTTCTCCAGGTCCTATTGTGAGAATTAATCCGGACGAGCTACATATCCAGGACTCTGGATACATTGATACGCTTTACTGTGCGCCACTAAAAGTGAGTGATCGATCGCGATGTGTAACAAAAAAGAACTTTTCTCACGTCAATAGGGGAAGCGTGATAAGTATCCACCAACTGCAAATATGGTAGGGACACCGAAGGGAGGTACGTTGGAACTATCTAGATTCGCTGAAATGGTGACAAAGTAGACCAAATGAAACGAAGTGACATAGAAAATTGCTGACAGTATAGTTTTTGGCACGATCGATCACGACTTGCATCGGAAGAGAAAGGCGGCAATAAGTCCTTTCTTTTCAAAAGCAACAGTCATGAATGCCGAGGCTTTAATCAATCAAAACGCGAGACTTCTATGCAACACCATTAGGTCCCAGATAACTCGCCGGGGCTTTGCTGAAATAAGGCCCAACTTTCTTGCATATGCCACCGATAACCTTTGCGAACATGCCTTCTCAAACATTCGCCTCGATTTGTTAAAATCGGAGGAACGGGCCAGACTATGGATGGATTCTATACATGCAGTTGCGGTAGTAACTCCCTTAGCAAAGCAGTTTCCATGGACGCTTCCAGCCTCCATGAAGTTGCCGTTAGCTGCGTTAAATCTGATAACACCTATCATGGCACGGATCGCGGCATTGAGAAAAGTAAGATATCCCATGCTATTGAAGGTTGGTTGGAGCTCTTGCTGATCTCCATCAACCACTGAAAGAGAATGGATGAACAAGCCGAGCTCGCTACCGAACGGTTCTCAACATCGAGCGACGAAAAGAAGATACCCGATCTCTTTGATAAAATTCTGTTAAGCAAAAGCTTACCAGATGATCAAAAATCGGCAGAGTTTATTGCGCAGAGTGGGTTTGAGGTCATAGCAGCGGGAGGGGAGACATCAGCCCGGATACTTTCAACAGCGACTTTTCATATGTTGTCCAATAAAGATACAGTTCTTGCGCGGCTCGTGGAAGAGCTCAAAGACGCTGCCTTGGACCAGAACACTGCTCTAGAATTGAGGACTCTAGACAATCTTCCATGGCTAGTCCGTCAAGCCACAATCCCATTTTTCCTTTGCAGAACGCCAAACTGACTAGCAGTAAACAGACAGCTATTGTGAAAGAATCCCTTCGCATCTCTTCAGTCGTCACATCTCGATCACCTCTTATATCCTCGAGTCAGGCCTTGCAATACCAAGAATGGACGATCCCAGCGGGTGTAAGTTATGAATATCAATAAATCACGAACATGGAAGCTAACTCGGCTGCTGTAGACGCCTGTTAGCATGTGTTTTCGTGACCTTTTGCTAGATCCAAGCATTTTCCCCGATCCTCATGACTTCCGTCCTGAGCGCTGGCTCGATCCAACACCAGAAATGGAGCGCGCATATGTCCCGTTTGGCCGGGGATCGCGCATGTGTGTGGGGATGAAGTAAGCTTCTTATTATTATTATGCAGATACCTATGAAAATGGAAGACTAATATACGTGATAGTTTCGCACTCGCAGAAATCTATATATGCCTTGCGCATTTGGTCCGTGATTTGGATTTGGACCTTTATGACACTGTGAAGGAAAGAGATTTCGATATAGTTCGTGACTGTTTCGTCGGGGAGGTTTCTCCAGCTAGTAAGGGCGTCCGAGTCACATTTGCCCCTGTTAATGGATCTCTGTGATGTTGCAGTGACGGATAGGGAGAATTCTGCTTTTTACGGAACAGCTTGTCTAACAGAGTTTCAAGGGAATGTTAAGCTGGGATCTATGTAATCGAAATTATATATCTGATCGTCCGCCATCTCGCGATGGACTTTTCGACGAGATGTTGGAAGCCGGTGAGAAATTCGTCGGCGAGGCGAATCTGATTTAGGCATAGTGGGTTCCTTGATTCGACAAATGAGGATAATGAAAGTATGACTAATTTGAAACAAAAAAAGAAGCTCGCGTTCTCATTCCCTTTCACCGCTACCCCTATTTTCAGTAAAGTAACCGTTCGAAAGAAAGTTTGTGGACGTGTCGTTCACCAGTTTGTTCATGGACGCACTTTCAGGGATTAGTAAAGATTGATGGTTTTCATCCCTATCCCACGCACCGCAGATATTTGAAGGGAGTCGAATATCAAAGAGAATCAAGGCAATTATCATAGTCCTGTCCTTACAGTGGACTAGAAACAACACAAAAAGAACCCCAGGAAGCTGCCCGCCTTGTGAACGTACGGCACCGAGTGTATGACTCTTTCGCCGCCTATTGCGACGCTTTTGTCGCCACCCACAGAACGAAGCCCGAGGAACACGCTATTGCCGTAGAAATTGCTGAAGGATACATGAAACACATCAGTGTTTCAACCTACGTGAACACCAATGGCGTCGATTACCATTCCATCAGCCTACTCAAGAATCCACCCCCAGATAGAGCAAGCCACATCAACAACCCAAGGTATCAAAACCAAAATCAGAGCCAGAATCAAATGAAAACTGCCTGTGGCACACATACACTGTCTCGGGCGTTCCAGTCAAATTGCCATCTGCATCAAAAAAGGGGGGCATTGTTGAGGCTAGCGTCCTTGTCGAACGCGAAGTCGAGCTCCAAACAATGGCGAAGCCAGATTACTGCCGTCCAAGTAAAAAAGGACCAGATCCTGGGTGTCAGGGCTAGTGTCGGCCCTCAAAGTGCACCAGACTGCCAAGATGTAGTAATTGTGGGCAGCCGATGATCAAACATATTGGGCCTATTGGGAATAAATGCGGAAAAACGTCTCACTGTGTCAATTGTCACTACCCACACCCTGCAGATGATCCAGAGTGTTTGGTGGCTTCGTCAAATCTTCAAGTTAAGATTTCGAAGGAAGGGCTTCAGAGAATTCGGGCAGTTGGAAACGCGTTATATTGGGCAAAGAAAATCAAAGCTGACAGGAATCTTTTAAGGTTACCTCAAGAGCGAGATTTTGAAGAGGTTACATTAAATTGTAATAAAATTAGCACACGCGGACAGTTTTACAACCTCCAATGATCTCGGCTACACCATGGGGGAAGACAGTTGATAGTTTGGACAAATGAGGTCGTATTAATTTCAGATGCTAAATCTCACAGATACATTTATGAATACATAATAGATCAGCAATCGCCGCGCGGCGGTTGGCAATCAACTTGAAATCTACAATTATAATCTCAAGTTATGGCTCGAGAGGTAGTATTAGCTTCACTGAGTTCAACTTAAATTTTGGAAATAGCCTGATTTAAAAGCCATTGGGCATCGATCAGAGCCAAGGCCTTTTATGTAAATTTCTCAAACTTGAAAACTTGAAAATTTGATATACTAGAGGGGCATCTTCAATAATATTGTAACACACTGGCAAGATATTCAAAGTTTGAAGAAGAACAAAATATAGACTCGGAGTAGAGCAGCACGACCTCAGAAGACATGGAGTCAGGCGTGTTAACCAAAATTTGAATTTATGAAAAAGATCAATATCAATTGGCGTTATTTATCTGTCCATATATCCACTTACAGAAGCAGGCTTAGGCAAAGCCAGTGCTGATCAGCCAGCTCACATCGTCGGTAAAAGATGCCGTGGCATCAAATGCTTGAACCCCACCATTACTTGCAGCGTAAAGCACGTTTTCGTAGTGGCGGAAGTAGCGAGTAGGATAGCTCCAGGATCGAAGTGAGTTAGTGGTACTTTCACCATCCAACCCACTCAGTGGACAGAAGGTAGCATCCTCGTAGAACTGCTTTGTACCATCGTTGGCATTGAGCAGTAATGCAAAGTTATAGTGTCTGATGTAGCTTCCAGGTGTATCAACAGACTCAAATGAGAAACAAGCGCTGTTAGCAAGACCTGTTGTAACAGTCCAACTAGCCTGCTGCTTGAGGGTGGTTGAGCTGGACGAAGAAACGACTTGAGTATTAACGGTCGTCCCGGTGTGGGCAATGTAGCGATCAGTGTAGCCGGAGGTAGTGGCCTGGAGCGAGATTGATTTTCCGGCAGTGAGAGACGGGCCACTGGTAAGTGATGTGATCGCATACTTGGCAGCGACAATATTAGCTTGTACCGAGGCTTCAGTAGAATCGGATGGGTAACCTGAGGTCATCACACCCTCGTAGAATGTGCCTTGGGCACCGTTGCTGTTATCGCCGCCAATACCAAGGATGATGGCACCCTCTTTCTTCATTGGGTTATAACCGCTTGGTCGCACTCCACTGTAGTATGTGGAAAGGGAGCCAGATGCGGCATTTCCACCCCGAATTGCCCACTCGTTTGACTCACCCTTGACCATGGCGGTAAGGAATCGAGAAGAAATGGATGGATCAGCAGTATTGCTGGTGGCGCTTACGCCGGAGAATAGACCATTCTCAAGATCAGCCATAACCCAAGGCCCATTCCCAGCGCCGTATCCCCACACAGTGCTGTCACCGAAGTAGATAGCTTCCATGTGTGCGTCACCTGTATCCGTACTGCTAGTCTCAGCATTGCCGTAGTCAAAGCAGCATGCACTGTTGTAGTGGGTGCCGTCGAGAACTGCATACATTCCCTCCGCTTCATCCCCGGTAGCCGTGGCGCTCGCGTCATTGTTGCGGTACCCAGTGCCAGGGGACACGAAAACACCATATGCCTTTTGTCCGTTCAGAGTCACGGGTGCGCCGATGGCGCCAGCTAGATTGTCATATCCATTGGACTCTGGTCCAGAAAAGCCTCCGGGTGGTGCTTGGGTGAGATGATTGCCTTGGCCAGATTGATCATAAATGATGGTAATGAGACAGGTTGTGTTCTCACAGAAGGTGTCTTGGGCTGCGGCATTTGCAACACCGCCGGCGGAAAGCGGTGCAATGTTCAGAGTGGTAGAGTCGGAGGCACGCTCAACTTGGTAAAGGGAGCCTTTGTAGGCACTGTATAAAGCCCGAGTAGTACTGTGAGCTGCAACACAGGGGGTATCTCCGGAAGCATAAAGGTCGCAAGGCCCAGCAATGGCAAGGGAGGCTGAGGCAACAAGGCCTATAGCAACCATGCGAGCATGTCGCGAGCTTAATCTTGAAGTCATATTTGGAATGGCTCTTCGGGGTAAAAAGAAACCCGCGATTTAAAACCAATGGTGAGACACTGAGTAGTCACTGCAAAACAGCCCATATACGTGGGATCAAGTCGATCTTTTATAGTTGTCCGTCCTGTACCTCCAAAGTAGCCATTCCAAAAGCAGGAGTGGCGTACGGTTTTCATGCAGCGGGGATTTTCCTCCAATAATTGAATCCGAAGTATTCAAATACACACAAATATTGACTCGGTTGATAATAAAGAAGTTTAGGCTTCTGAAAATCAGTAAACAGTGGGTCTAAAATGAATCTTGAACCTAGCTAACACTTCTTCACAACAAGAAAGTGCGTAGATCAAGTCCTTATTCCAGCATGTAAACAGATCCACCCAAATAAAATGATCGCCTACGTGCTTTGATATATCTTATGAAAGAGCTTCACGGCCACTGTGAGGTCCATTTGAGTGTGAAAAGTAACATTCTAGAATCAACGGGTATATTTCCGCCATTCCAAAGCAGGTACCCCACCTAATGCGCAGGTGATGAGTGTCATCAGAGCAACAAGGGTCTCAAAAGACTCACCCCACCGGGGTTTTGCCCATTACTCCCGTCGAGGTATTTAACCGATGTGAACTAATGTAGTTAAAACCAAGAAATGAATCAGGGGAGAAATAAACATCGTCAGAGTAGGATTGTGGCGCCGAGCAACTCATGTGTGAGGTGGAGGGAAAGGTACCCGCGCCTCCCGGGGCGTTGGCCTAGTATTCATTGGGGCGCGGGGCCCCGGATGAGGGATGAGGGGTACATACATCGGTATATTGCACCCTCGGCAAAGAAGGTCTTCAGGGTCCTTCACGATTCATTTACCAGCCACGCTACAACAGTGTTAATTTTAAAATTACAACACGCCCTGCATATATGATTTGATAATTATCGCCCACTTTAACCTGCTAGATTTATGTGTTACTGCAGTCAATGTTTTGGTATGGTATGATCCAATCCTAATTAAATCACAGCTACATCGCAACGTTTAAATAGAAGTTTATCTGCCATAGAGATAAGTGTCTCATTATTCGTCAAATTGAACTGAATTTCGTTCCCGATTACAAGATATTAAATGTTATGGAAAGTAATAGGAGAAAGCAGAATGTAGAAATGCCTTTTCAAGCTCCCGAAAAGAATACTATCTACTGCCTCGTCACACTCTCCTACTCTCCGTGCATACCGTTATTTGCATGACAAACCCTCTCAAACTAGTAGCTGAGATCACTTTCTCAATTTTCCTGTCTGGAAGGTGAAAAGCCCGACTTTGCCAAAGTATAATTTTGGTAAATACTAAAGTTTCCATGGAGGTGATTGTCCACTACGAAGCGAGTGAGATGGGCAGGTACCATGTCTTCATATATTAGTTTCTGAATGATGTTTTAGTTGTTGACGACTGGACTAAAAAAACAATGTTATACATCAAAGATCTTCAGAGGAGATATCCGACTCATGAACCTCATAGAAATGTAGAACTGAAAGCAAAACAAAGGTATTATGGGACTGGCGTCAGATTTCCGGTAGTTTGCGGGGTAAACTAATCGGCTTCCAATTCCCGGTCGCACTGGGGAATGCATTCTGGACTACGGCCAACAACGCCGATCTCCCAATTCCCTACAGATAAATGCCTATACTGTCGGGTTGCGATACCCCCTATTCTGACCGTCGCACTACGATATGAAGTTATAAAGCTACACCCAACTTGAATAAACATCCATCCGAACTCTACTTCCAACCACTCCCCTCACCTTCTCATTAACATTCCCACCTGCAAATGGCGACGAAAATAATTTCTTATGATGTTAAACCAACCAAATTGATTCCAAACTCGCCGAAGCCCCTTTTGCTTTACAAGGGTTGTTTTCTCCGGGATGGGAAAGTCGATGCTGCCCTTGCTTTCGACACTTTCCATAAAAATGGATGGGATACGCAGTGGTTCGTGACATATGGTCACTATCAACGCTCACGCTACCACCCCGCTACTCATGAAGCGATGGTGGTCATGTCTGGCCCTGGAAAAATTCGTTGGGGTACTGCAGATTTTGGTGATGATCCTGAAAAGCATACATACGGCACTGCATCTGAGGATGGTGCATTATATACCGATGTCGAAGTTGGGCACGTTTTTTGTTATTCCAGCTGGTGTAACGCACAAATCCTACGATCTTAACGCGCCTAATTCTGCCCCTATACAATTGGCTAGCAGAAGTGGGCATGCAATTTAGTCGGACGACCCCGCGATATTTGTCAGAGAAGTCAAGATTTCAGGCTTTACTATGATGGGCATCTACCCTGCGGTATGACTTGGGAATGATCAGAAGGGGGTGATCATGATGGAAAAAATGAATCTGTCTGGATTGTCCCAAATCCTGAATTGGACCCTGTTCTAGGCGGGGATGGAGGTATCAACAAATATTGGAAAAACCGACACGCAGTTTTGTAATTGTGTTTTGTTGAATTTTCCCAGAAATGAGTTGCTACGAATGATGGTTGTTTTGCTTTATTCTCAAATTTTGATACGTATCTAGAAAGAAGGTCAACTAGAATGATACAATTGCTTCAATCATGTTGTCTTCCAAAGTCAAGGTTCAATTATTAGATCTGGGCTACAAAGAAGCTATTGTACTGGTTCAATATTCTTTGACCATACTTTGTGTTTCTCACGTGTTCGCCATTCTAGCCTACAGATGTCTTTGTTCAAATATAACACTCCGATACCTGGCTATCAAGCGCGTCCGATCCGACCATCGCGGACTCGGATGTAATACCGAGTGCTCCACTGCCCGGTTCCACTGTAGTTCGGCGAAACAAGCCGTAGTGTGAAAAGCATCACTTATTTCACGTAACCTAGAAATGCCTCTCTCAGACTTCAGACATTGTAGAAATTGTGACATATGTCATGTTTGATCTGTTGTGGCAGGTAGTCCGGTATGATAACAAAGTTCCTTTCCATGAGTTTTCCAATCATGAGTGATAGAAAGAATGGAAATGGATTGAAGAATATCTAAGTGCTTGTATGATTGTTGGGAGAATATCTAGGACCAGTCAGCCATTATAAATGAATTCTTCAATCGCCTTGGGGTTTTTAAATTTTTGTATGTATTACTAGGATTTGGCATCCGTTTATGATATCGTTTTTATTTAGTTTATCGGTTTGCTTTTTTCCTCCTTTCCCCTTTCCCCTTTCCGATCCCCTTTCCTGATTAATGCTCTCTTCGAAGTTCTTTCAATGATAGTTGAAAGCACTGCCTAGCATATGAATTTATTTGATTATTCAAGACTTGCCTCGTTGGATAGACTAAATTGTCTGGTATTCCACTTTCCAGAATTTCAATTCCCTGGTATATACCTCTTCGGTTACTCTATCAGTATCAATGAACCTGCTTCAGCTAGCACTCAAAATTGTCCCCGGGTTCTATGATTTTGGGCTGTTAAGAAAAATCAGCATCGCACCTGGGCAACAGCATACATTCAAGCTGTTTCCGGCAAGCCATAGAGTCCCAAAAGCCAAGCGAATTATTACGATGTTTTCAAATTTGAACGCTATCCAGTAATATTCCAAATCATTAAAAGAAAATTTCGAAGTATTGCAGTATTGCAGTGCAATTGATTTGAACTTACTTTCTTCGGGGGGAATTCACGTACTCCGTATCGCGGAAAACAACAAACCTGAAGCCTCTCCCGGTCGATCTCGGGAATCTCGCTCGTGCCGCCCACGCGTAGGTGGTTCATGCGTGTTCTTCGATCGATTGGTCCAGGGCTCGGGACGAAACAGTCACAAGCCCCACTTTGTGCCACTAGTCACAACACGCTCGCGATGATGGTTTTGATTGACTAGAGAGTATTCTTAGCGGGGGCAGACCATTCTTGAGGTGGAGAAAAGACAAAGGGACTTGACAAGATCTAGCATAGAATTGCGTTCACTTTGTGTCTAAGCGCATATTTATGCAGGGGATAAACCTGCATCATCCACTAGTACTCTGTACAGAGCGATGTAGCGAGAGAACTTTGAATTTAACCTCGGGCCCATAAGTCCCCTTTCCAATGTAAACGACATTGCCTTGTAAGAAGAACATATGATTATTTCTGCTTTCCTCCTGATTATGCCTCGCCTAGAATAAGCGGTGGCATAGATAGGTGTTTCTCTTTCCTAGACCGAAGTTGACCGAAACTCCGATCGTGTTTTCACAGGTGGGTCATTTAGGTGGTTCTCATGGCCATGAGACTACTCATGCACGGGCGAGGGGCGAAGGAAAATGAACATCTTTGCTGTCCGCTCAACGAGTTTAGTCGAAGTGGATTCTTTCAGCTCGTTCAGTCGAACCTATTGCTCATTAATCCTAGCTAGCTTGCAAAGTGCGAACCATAGAGTTGTTAGTCTCTTTCAAGTTCCACCCAGTAGCGCACACCCAGTAGCGCACATCTGGTTTTGTCTTCCCCCGTACTTCCCTCCACATTTATTTTTTAAGAGGCTGAAAATCCCTTACGAGACTCCGCAAGAATACATGCGCTCCTCAAAGAAATACAAAATTCATACGTGTTGTCGTTGTTGTGGGAACTGAAGCTACGTGTCCCGGCTGAGACTCCGACCCGGTCGGCCATTTCTTCGGCTTGATGGAGGTCAACAATCCTCATCCAGCCAATGAATGGAGTGGCGCTTTAGACGGAATTCGAATGTACCTTGGAGCAACAGGGTGTGTAAACTCATAAATCACGGTCATCCAACCAGAACAAAAGTGCCCTCGCTAATCTTTTCAAGCTTGGCCTTGGCGCTATTTCTTACTTGCCTTGAAGCAACGATTGTTAGCACATCGCTTGTCACCATCACCAATGATCTTCATGATTCCGATCAAAGTAGCTGGATAATCACATCTTATCTACTCACTTATACAGGTGCTATGGCTCTATTCAATTTCTTTTCATCGTGACCACGGTTAACGCCTCTTACAGGGTTTCTCATTATTTGGTCTAACCTCAGTACTATTATAGGGACAAGGCAGGCGACTCTTGCCTCTCTGTTCATTTTCGTTGTATTTTCAGGTGGTTGTGCTGCCGCCAATACTCTTACCCAGCTGTATGCCTTAACCCTGCGTTCTTCTTCCGCAAAAACTAACAAATGTGTATCGTCTCAAGGATTATCTGTCGAGCCTTTCAAGGTCTCGGCGGAGCAGGCGTATATTCCTTGACGCTATACGCCTTAGTCAGAGTATTTCCATACAGACATTTTGACAAAGCTAGCTCATTCGCTGGCGGGATTTCATCGTTGGGTTTAGTTCTGGGCCCTTTGCTTGGCGGTGTCATTTCGAACAACGGGAGCTGGCGCTGGATATTTCTATACAAGTATGTGTTTCTTCCGATAATGCGTGAACTTCAATTTATCTCATATCTACAAAAGCGTTCCTATCGGGATCATAGCTGGGGGTTTAATATTCACCGCAATTCCCGTGAACTTTCCAGAACCAGCCTCGAGTTTAAAAAAGTCAATATGGACAAGATCCACTGTCAGATTAATTTCCCAAGTGGATGTGATTGGAGCAACCCTCATGTTAACTTCATGTTCTTTCATAATTTCAGCTTTACAAGAAGGGAATTCCGATTACGCTTGGAGTTCGGGACTTGTCATTGCTTTTTTTGTTATATCAGCGATATCTTGGATTGCCTTTTTCTGGTGGGAGTGGCTTATCTGTGATAAACACCTCGCAATCACACCGGTGCTTCCATGGTGGCTAGTAAAAAATCGTGTTTTTATGGGCGACGTGCTGTACGTTTTTTAAAATCCCCAAAATATTTTGGCCTGACTAATGATAGTGATAGTGGCTTCTTCACATCGGGTCTTCCGCTATTTGTCTGCATAATTGAAATTCCACAACGATTCCAAGTTGTCAATGGAAGTTCACCACTCGGAGCAGGGGTTAAGCTGCTATCTTTCTCAGTGAGCTGCCCTGTTGGCATAATAGCCTGTTCGATTTTGGCTGGTCGCTTTACCGTTCCTTTCTGTTACATCATGTTAGCAGGTCTAGCTTGCCAGGTCAGTGGGCTGTATCTTTTTTCTGAAATTGCATCAACGACGCATATTTGGCCAGGCCAGTTTGGATATCTGGTATTGGCCGGTATCGGGGTTGGCTTGAGCATAGCTGCATTCTATATGATCGCGCCACTGGTGGTAGAAGAACAAGATCAGGCAGCTTGCATCGGAATTGGAATTCAATCTCGAACGCTCGGCGGTGTCCTAGGTATCTCGGCTGCGACAACTATTCTGAACTATTATCTACGGAGCAGATTGACTGGAATTTTGCAGCCGGAAGAGCTTGTCGCTATTTTGAAAACAAGCGAATCGATAAAATATTTGACAGTAGAGGCTCAAGATCACGTCCGGGATGTTTACGCTATGGCCTATAGCATGCAGATGAAACTAGCTGGCGCCTTCTCGGCAGCGCAGCTGTTAGCAATTGGGATGTTATGGAAACGAAAAAATATCCGATTTTCGAAGCCCGCACCTTCAACATGAGCCTTTCATATGTGGGCATTTCCCTATTTGATATTGAAACTACACGTCTAACAATAATCTTATTTACTGGGCCATTGAGAATCTGTCTGTCTTCCAGCCTTCCATGTTCCAGTCAGTGATGAAATTTTTGGCTTATTACTCAAATAATAAATACTCTTCAAGTCGAAGTGCATACTGAAGTTCCAGTCTTGAGTGCCTGTCAAATTAGTCAATCGAGGGACTGGCTCATATTCATTTCGTATCTCTAGAATTTAGCTTAGAGGAAAAAGTCTTAAGTTGCAATAAGTATATTATGATGACTCGGATATTGCCAGAATCTAATTGAAATGCGTACATAGTGCTCACCCAGCATGTTCAACGATAGTAACCCTAGATAGCCTAAACCCTTCCCTTATCAGCCGCTCTCATCACTACCAAATTTATCATTATCTATGTGAACAGAAACACTATTTTGTCGGATACTCTCTCGGCGCATAACCTCTTCGAGGTACTCAGGTTTGAGCTGGCCATGCTCATCATACCGGTATGGCTCTTTGACGGATATAGTCACCGCATTGAAGACGTTTGTAGACTTCTTGAAAATTGCATCCATCTCTTCCAAAGACCGCCTGCGTGTCTCGGGGAAGAAAAAGTAAACAACGGGGAACATGAAGGCGTTTCTGTAAATGTTAGTTTCAAACAGTATTGATTGGTCGTTTAAAGCTCTTGGGCGTAGACAAATGCAACTTACATGACAGCAAAAATGATGTACGTTTTATATCCAATGCTATCAAATGCGACTGGAGTAATCATTACGACCATGAAGTTGAAAATCCAGTTCGCGCTGGTGAAAGATTGTCAGTTTAGGTTGTCAGCAGTGTATGAATCGTAGAGCCGATAATACCTGGTAGATAGCGCATTGGTCGGGGCACGAATACGAAGAGGGACAATCTCTGCAGGGTATAGCCAAGTCATTCCGAGCCAGCCAATGGCAAAGAAGGTATTAAAAACAAAAAGGAAGACAGCCTGCCCAATGCCAGCTTGACTATCACCTAAATGGGTTAAACGGTAGTTGGTGCCTGCGAGGACAGCCATTGAAATTGACATGCCAGCAGCCTAAATTTCACCCATTGATTAGTCAATGTTCTTCAACCACATGGAGGTAATCAATTCACATACTCCGAACAACATGAGAGGACGACGTCCCACTTTTTCAATAATGTAGATCGGAATAAACGCAGCCATCAGATACTCTGTCCCGTTGCAGGCTGCTAGAAGCTTCGGAGTATTTCCTTTACCGAGGCCAATCTCTGCATAAAGCGATGGCGCCTATTATTGTATCAGTGGTGATCGACGGTTTAGCTTTCAAGTGGAAGTGCCTCACGTAGTATGTGATTAAGTTAATACCCGAGATTTGTTGAAACATCTGATTGACATACGCGAGAGCAACGCGATGAAACTCTCTGTATTCACTCATGTCAAATAAACTTCTGTAAGACCCTTTAGACATTTCCTGAACGGTCTCCTTGATGGCGATGAGCTCATTCTTAATGAACGGGTCTTCACGGGACTTTTCATTAAGTGCTTCAAGGATTTCCAACGCCTCGTCGTCTCTTCCTTGCATCACGAGCCATCGTGGCGACTCGGGCAAGTTTAGAATGGTACAGAAAATGGTTATCGCAAATAATATTTGGAAGGCGAGCGGGAATCGCCAGGCAACCTCGGACTCTCCGATAAATGCCATTCCTAATTCGAATCAATAAATCCGTCTTCTAACAATGAGTGAGAGCAACAACTTGAACTTACCGTAGTTAATCCAATAGCTAAGTGTGATGCCCGCAGTGATCAGCATACCCTCGATCATCACCATTTTGCCACGATCGTGGGCCTTCGATGACTCTGATTGCCATGTTGGAACAGTACTTGTGTTCATTCCATTGCCAATACCGGTAACTATTCTACCAACAATGAAATGTGGCAAGTGAAAGGCAGTGCATTGCAAAAGAGCTCCGGTGGCCATAATAATACAGCCACAAAAGATAGTTCGTCGTCGACCGAGGGGGTTACCAATAAAGATAGTCAAGATGGCACCCACGAAACAGCCCAAGTTGTAGGCTGCAACTGAGATACCTTGGTTTAAGCTGCGCTGTGACTTAAGAGACTTGCTGATGCCATCTTCCTTCGGGTTGATCTCTGGGAAGTATTTGATAAAAGATGGCAAGTCCAAAAGACCACCAGTAATACCTTGATCATATCCAAAAAGTCTAATTTCATGAACAGTCAGTTACAAGGGAGTTCGCTGGGACTGCGATTTGATTACACCGCTGAACATACAAGAAATCAAGACTGCCAAGTGAGCTGATGGCTAAATTGAGAGACCTGCCTCTCCAGCCAAAGAACTTTGGAAAACCAAACATGATGCTGAAACGCCAATACAGGACGATTTAGCAACAAGTGAAATCAAACCAAGTGCTAAGATGGGTCAAACGTGGGAAACGTGGAGTAAATGCGAACTTACAGCATATATAGTGCCAATTATCCTCCTGACACCCCGGGTTCACAAATCCGGTAATCCGAGCTCTCCAGGTTTCCCCATGGTATGGGGTAGGCCAAGATACGGGGCAGACATCAGGCGTAACGGGGGGAGGCCCCCGGAATTGGACCAGCTGGAGGTGAGTGACCCTGGGGCCAATTTGTCTGATTGGTCTGGATCCACTTCTCGCTTCCTATGGTTTGATTATGTCTTTTTTAGCCAAGAATTAGATCCTTGGCAATCGTGAGGGCTTGCTATAGCATCACTTGGCGAATGTCCCGGGCATCTTGGCGCTTACCACGAGGCACATTATGTGGTATCTTGCTCGATGAGCCCACATCTGTTTGTTCCGTTCGAAGCCGAACTTTGCGTCTGTTCTCAAGGAATAAATTGACCTTATTTGTCCTGCTACTGCTACCATTGAAATTGTCCGGCGAACCGGATATTAAATGAACGGCTATTCTCATCTAGCCTCAAAATCGATTCGGTTATAAAATTCGCATATGTTTATGATTCAGCGATCCAATTTCTTTTCTTACAATAAACATGCAATTTTACATCGTACTCATCCAACACCAGCTAGTTTGGAAATTGGATTTGAGAGACTTGAAAGCTGTATGATGCACCCCGAAAGGCAGATATATCACAACACAGTACACAACGTAACTGTTCCTATGGAAGTTGGCATCTGACTACGCCCGGGCCCGGGGGTTTTATCTACTCAGCCCAAGAAGGTGACCCGGAGTCGGACACAAGTACTTTCCAGAGTCTATACGTAAGTGCGATTCCGCCAAGACATGGGACAACCCCGTCTTGGCGGGGGCGGAGAGTGGCCTATCCTCGGGAGGCTCAAGACTTGGCGCCCAGCCAGCCACTAGGAAATCAATGGCCAATGCGCAGGTGCAAAATTAACTTTCAATGGAAGATTATCGACCAAGGTACCAAATTAGAGGAAGAAACTTGAAAGTGCCGCTTTTGTCAAACTTACATTCACCGATGAGATGCGCCAAAAAGCGCCGGCTACGCCACGTGTGAAGCCCCCCGACAGACTTGGACAGCCACCCCGTCACGCCAGGAGATGGCAATTGGCTGAACATCTCAAATACTTCGAATCTATTCAAATACAGATATGCCATATTATCAGTGGTAAAATCGATACAACAATGTCAACCTCAATTTCCCCATGTCAACTTTGCTGCCTTGCTCCAATGGATCCATGTTGGTTTCCGTTTCCGGGCAAAGAAATAAGTCCGTGCGCAAAAATACAACCAAAGCCCAGGTGCCAACTACACCAAGTTACCACCATAAACATGCCGTAGATCGCATGTGGTCTCAAACTAGTGTTTTGAATGCCCCTTCCCCTTCTCAGGTAATGAAAGTCACCAGATAGCGAATTGCGTATTCAAACTCCCTATTTAGGTTCTCCTCCAGGGCTCGGGATGGCTTTTATATATGTCTTGCGACTCTCAGCTTACAAATTTGTCTCCAGGGGTCCATCGTCATGATGATCATATTGTTCTTTTCTTTTTCGCGCCCTGACAATATCTCAAGGTTTAGCTTTTCGATCAGTCTTAATCACCTGGACAGCATGATCAAGCAAACTTTTGCCAGTAAATATAACGAAAAAATGAAGTTTATTGTGTGCCAGTGGACAACTGATTCAAAAATCCCCGCTCAGCTCACACATCCGCCAAGTGGTATTTGTTTCTTGTTCGATCTGGTTAGACCATAAGCAATTCAGGGGACTCTCTTCAAGTTCGCTCCGAGTCGTTGTACTAGTATTCACTAGTTCGTAGCATCTTTCTATACAATCATCGACTTTTTCCTCGACTTTGATATCGTTGAAACAAATTACTCTGGCCTATTAAGCCCTTCATGTCCTAAAACAATTATGTATGCCTTCCTTCGCGAAATGCGGAGCTTATATTGCACATTTGGTCTTTATTAGATATCAAAAGCCGGCGTGCGTTAGAAATTTTGAATCCGACTCCCAGTCTCCGCGTTTTGACAAGCCCCAAAGGACTCGTACCTTTGCTAGACTCGATATGATCATAATCAGTATATGCAATACCCCATTCAGCCATCTGAACGGCTATTTAAGTTAGTGGTCTGCCGAAATAGAGTTGAATAAGTACAAAGTGTTGAAAATCGAGATTTGGCGAAATCTCATACTGAATGCGGTGGGAATCAGTTGAAATGTGAATTGGCTCTAGCATCTAAAGTTCCGATCATGAAGATAAAGCGAATAGCCCATAACGGAGATATGCCGGTTTACTCTCAAACCCAGTTTTGATTTTCCACTTGAGTGAAGTCAATGATGACATCCAAGAATGCTCATGATGTGGCAAGAATATCGGTTGGGTCTTCATCGTCGGCATTCAAAACCTCCATATTCTTCCCCCCTCCTCGTTAGTAGAGCGAACACTCATTCATGTTAGCCAAAATAAGGGGGAAAGGCGCAAGAGAAAGACTAAGAAAGAACGGAAAACAGAAAGAAGAAAGATGCAGAGGATAAGAAATTGAAAGGAGATGGAAAGGCGCGAGTCACTATTCGTCACTCGTTGCTTTGCGAATGATCGTGAACCCTTTCCTCAGCCTCTCTTTGAGGTGGCTGGAATAGGCTCCAACTTAATAGTCATGTCTAAAAGGCTTGTTGATGGGAAACTAGAGCATACGATTCTGGGACATCACGTCAGCACAAGGCAAATCAGCGTCGCTGCCCATTGGCCGATGCCTGAAGAAACTTTGTCGCATAAGCACTAGCTGAAAAGCCGCAATCGAGCATTTGAAGCAATCTTTATATAAGTCAAGAATAAGTTTCGTAGATATCATCCAGAATATAATTGTTATCTATTTTTTATAATGTTATTGACGAATCGCATTTTCAAGCTGTTTTTGCTTCTCAATTTAAACATACTATCCCATGCCTCCGACGTCACTTTCACCCACTCAGCAATAGGCTTAGAAGCTTCTTCCTTACCTACTTTAGGCCCTACCAAACATATTCAGACATCCATACTCTCCATTGAGTACTATGATTCCGATCCACACGACGTTTCCACAAATCAAACCGTAATCCTTGCTCATGGGTTTCCGTATTCCATCGACACTTATGTCGATGTCGCACCAAAGCTCACTGTTCAAAGTTATCGCGTTGTTGTTCCATCCCTTCGGGGCTTCGGAGGCACCTCATTTCTTTCCCCAAAAACGCCGAGAAGTGCTGAACGAGCCGCTCCAGGCAAAGACATGAGTATTATTGATCTATGTTGAGTCAAGCTATATCAACTCCTAAATGGGTACGAGATGGTATGCAGACAAGGAGCCATTGTTGAATGTAGAATTCTAAGATAGAACGGGTGGTAGCACTGTGGCGTGAGAAGGGTGATAGGGTGCCTACGTCTCTACCTATATGGAGAAAGGGTATAACAACATTGAAGAAGGGGAAGGAGAGAGGGAAGCTCTGCTACGTACATATAGGCGGATGCCCACTCTCAGACCAATTATCTGATTGGTCTGTACCCGAGAGTAGGTCAAACCGTACAAACATCCAAACATGCAAACATGCCCGTCCAGAACCTCCTCCATGTAGCTATACTACAAAACTAGCGGGAAGTCCATACAGTATCACCAACGTAGAACCATGGGAAGAATTCATCAATAAGCTCAAGGTAGTAAGGCTAGATTGGAACTAGCATATGGTTCCAAAAGACTTCACAATTTAGAAATACTTCTCACCTTTAATTTGTCAATGTTTGGCACTTAATCTCTTTTCGAGTACAAGTCATAAGGATTGAAAGCCCGCACAGCTTTAAGCATCTTCTTGTCGTGCTCATTCATGAGTTCATGATAGGTATTCTAACGATGCCATGATAAAATGAATGGTAATTAATCATAGCCAACCCTTCGTCGGGGATAGTTGACTGATCCTTAACGATATGATATAGATACTCATCATGCCCCCAGGAGAGCATGACATTCTCTAGCCCACATCCAGGCGAATAGATTCCGAACTTGGTGCTGTAGATTGAGTTCTTGAAATCTTCATTTTTACTGAATGATTCAGTACCAAAAATGATTCTCTCATCAAACGCGCAGCCGACTGGGAAAGTATCTCCCACAATATCCCATTGACCCTGAGCACTGAAGAAAAAAAGGAGTTTGCCAAGACCATAGATCAGTCCAACAAGCTGCATCCATGTGGTTTGCCCTAATTACGGATAGCTTCCGCAGACTGAAGTAGGTGGGTTACCTGAGACTCCTGGGTATCAGGGTCACATTCGTCAATAAAAGTGTTCAATTTCTCCATCGCTTCCCAGACGGTCATATTCGCGCGAGTCTTATTGTGAAAATCATGCCGAGCCTTCAAGTTGAAGGCCACCGTTTGTAGAGTGTGTTGTTGAGCATAGAAATTTTTCTTCACGCAAGCTTCGTCAAACTGGCGAACATTTGACTTGTCCTTTGATTTGTCGAATTCGGACTCATCGTACAGTCCCATTGAAGCGATTTGACATTGACGGCATCGATGTTGTCCGACATGGCCTCAATACTGGTGGAGTCTGAAGTTATAGCAACGGGTGCCATCTTGGGATATTTGGTTATGAAACGGATTAGATGAATGAGTATGACTGAAGGACTTGCCTCGATCCTTGATCCCAATTTATAGAATCGATCATGGTTAAACTATAGTAGTAGGCGGAAAGCGCTTTCCAGAGAGAGTTTCATCCCTGCATGGTTCGGTAAATCGTGTCCGAATGATGGGTAGAATGATGATCAATCCTTGACTCATGATTGGGTATTTGAAGCCTACTTCAATGGTTAGTATTTTTCAAGATTTCCAGTGTTGTTTCGTGGACTCCTATATTTGACGGAGAATGAAGACCGGATTCCCGAACAGATCTGCAGAAACTTCTTGAAACTACCGTGACGATACTATTTCCAGGTAGTATCAAGGTAATAAAGTAACACGGTGACCCAGCTGCCTTCCAGGGATGTAGACCCCGGATACTGGTATGTACCTACTATCGGGGCTTTCTTGAGATATATCTTTAACATATATTACTATTATTTTTCGGTTTGAAACAAGCTTATGAGCACTAGTATAACATGGCGTATTTACTATTTAGGATATATGTCTCTCTGTTTACTAAATATCCAAATTTATTTTCCCCAAATAATTGAGATTATGCTAATAAGTTCATCCAAAAAGAAACATTACACCTCGAAGAGACATCTTAAGATAGCAGGATTGAAGCTTCAAATGTTGAACCTCCATAGTTCGGCGATTTTCCACGAACCTTAATAGAAGTCTTTGTACTACAGAATTTGTGATTGAAACTAGGCAAAAATGGTGGGTTCGCCGATGATCGCTATGAGCCCCCGTATAATGTAGCTGCCCCTCGATAATGGGCCATTTAGGAGGCTGCCGAGAATTGATCCGTTCCGGCAACACGCCCGTCATAGGTGTTTCTCGCGTTCCCGACTTTTTTTTATACTTCTCATGCCTCATTCGTCATACCAGTCTCCAAATTGTCAGTGGACGCGTCGAAGCAAAAGTCTCTTCCCATTGATAGAGCCGAGGCTGAGGAGTGGAATCGCGATCTGATGGAAGCCTTCCGTCAGGCATTGGAGAAAGACCCCGCAGCAGATCTTTCCGTTCCAGGTACCAGGTATCTCTCGGCACATCGTGTCGGTCAATACGCGGGTCTATCTGAGGCCAGTCGCCTCAACTTCACACCCGTTTTTCGTCTTGAAAACGACGTACGGTCCCATCCCGAAGTTAACTTGCGCGATGCTTTCCCTGCGGAATACGATCGCCTATACAAATGGGCCATCAAGCGAAAAGTGCGAATCCTTAGAAAAGTCCCCACCAACTCAGCAGCCAGAACAGCCCCCTGACTGGCTTCACGAGAATTTTGAGCCTATCGAAACTGCTAGAATAATATACCCCCTATCCTCCCAGGCGTCTGTGCTGTTCAATCAGCACGTGGAAACTGATGGTTCTTCTGAGAGCGCGCCTCTTGCCACCCCTTTGAAAGACCTAATATTGAATTCCGAAAGAATTTTCGAACTTAGTCTTAAAATGGTGCTGTCGTAAGGTGTAGTGACGAGCTTGTGATCAAGACCTTTCCCGTCAGTCGAGATTTCACTGGATACCACAATCTCCAATATCTCGCTGAAAATGTCCCCGACTTGCCAGTCCCCAAGCCTTATGGTCTTATTGTGCTCGGTAGTGTAGGTGTTATGTTTATGTCATATGTCCCAGGAACTGCCTTGAACCAGGTGTGGTCACTATTATCCCATGAAGGAAAACTATCAATACAGAAACAGCTGGACAACATATTCTCTCGCCTCAGAAGCCTCCGCAAGGACGACGGAATTGAACTTGGTGGTTCACGTGGCGAAGGAGTCAGAGACTATCGCATCATGGAAACCCTTGCTTACAAAGGCATAACCACGGCCAGGGGATTTGACGAGCTGCAGTTCTCAGCAAAACATCGCGCTAGCCTTTGCTACGTTAAGTTACTACGGTCTTTCTTGGATGAGGAGAACAGATCCCTCCAAGGATCCGTATTTACGCACGGCGCTTTGAAGAAATGCAATATCATGGTGGAAGAAGATCCAGAGAAGGCCGATTTCTACGTGGTCAGTGGGGTCATTGACTGGGAAGATAGCGGCTTCTACCCTGAGTACTACGAATCCACAACATTGTCCAATGGACAGAGTATTATGTCTGACGAAGATTGGTATCTCTATACACCACATTGCATCTCGCCTTTACGGTTCCCTGTACGCTGGCTAGTTGGCCGACTCTGGGGCAATCTGTTATGGAACTGGAGGACAGACATTGTCCGATAAAATTGTGTAGCTCTGTCTCGATTTATCGAAAAGGGAAACCCCTGTCAGGATAAATTTCTACCATCCAAACGACTATCCCTCACTTTATTCCTCTTTCTCTTGTCGACTTTCAGTAACAAGAGTTTGCCACAGCCCAACCATTACGGCCACGACTCGGTTTCGCAGCAACCGCCCTCTTGTTCGCGGTATAAACCCTGTTTCTCCATCGATGATCAATGCCTCCTCGAGCTTGTCCAAGACATTGAGACCGAAATCCTGACAGCTCCAATCTGCCAAGTCATTGCGGATGGGGGTAGCGTAAACGACGTTGTTGAGAGTCTGAATCTTGCTCGCATTGATTCGACAAAGCGGTAGAATCGCAATAAGGGAAGCTGAAGTACGTGCGTCCGACGGCGTTCTCACATCCAGGAAATACCGCTGACGCGCACCGAGGACATGGATGATTGTCTTGTCGGACAAGTTGTTGGTTTTGATGAAGAGACTCCAGTGCATGATGCTAGGGTTGTCATAGATGGCGACTGAAAGAGGAACAGTGGAAGCCATCTTAACTGGACTCGAACGAATTGTCTAGAAATGCGGAGCCGAAGGCAAATTGGGGTGTTTAATGTAGATTGTAATACCCGGACCTGTGAATTACTGTATATAGTTAGTTTTGCCGCTGTTAGTTTAGACCCTCAATACCTCGTTCCATAAGCTCCACCTTCTGCTTCTGCGGTATAAAAAATCGAAGGATTTAAAGCGTGTACTGAAGTAATCCCAGAGAGTTCAGGCAGTCGTGGCTGCAAAGCTACCAGACAGTTGACAGACTAGAAGCCCTGTAGACATCTGACTGTAGACTTCTGATTGACTGGACGAAGAGAAGGATTCGGTCCAAGATCATCTGCTTCTCCAAGACTTGGTCCCCTACATCCCTTCCAAACATTAGACACGCTACTGGAGTTAAGGTCCATGGACTTCAATCATCGGAACTTAAGTTAGCCTGAATTGTCTGCCGCGCCTTTGAGCTTTTGTCGGAGTAAGCTGCGACAGTATAGGCTAGCAATCCCTATAGCCGAGCAAGATAGAGGGTCCTCAAGCGGAACCAATCTTGAATGCAAAGGTTGATTGATTGAAGAAGGAACAAATATCATCAGCCATACAGAGTAGACGGCTTAGATATCCGGTGGTACGATTATCGTAATATTAAGGATATCAAAATTACTGTACGGAGTACAAAACACGAAGGGAAGTGGGTCACTCAGCATAGCCCCCTGTTGAGGTGGAAATTTATAACTCCATATCTTGGAAGCTTCCAGCCAGTGACCGCGTTCAGCTGTATCCGCAGTAAGCCCCGCGTATTTTCTCATGTTGGCTGCCCATACGAGCCGGCTAATGGAAAAGACCGGCTTCCGCTATAGTCATCCCAAAATACGTAAGGCGGGAGTGAGACCAAAAATACCGTACCCTTTATGCTAGTTTTCTCAGACGCACTGTTGATCTACTCCGTAACAGGGCATATATAAGCTTCGTGCAATTTTGAACTTTTTCTTGCAGGTGAAGCCCAGCCCTATCAGATGCTGCTTATCATTGGAAACCCAGGGCCATGGACCCTGAGTTTACGTGGGATCCATACATTGGCCCGTGGGAGTCAGATATTGCGCTCAGACGCATTAATGTAAAGTGTTTCGCAGTGTGGAGGCACTTCTGTTAATTCCTAGTACTACTACTAATCCATATCGTTCCTATTATTGAATGAGTGATACGCCCGTATACAGCGCATCAGAGTTGCATGTGGTCTGTCTAATCACGATCTTCGCTGGAGCCGAACCTGCCTCGCCTGTGAAAACAATGACCAGCCATTCCAAAGCGGCGGTCCAACGCTGGTGCCTCCTCATCACCACAGGTAAATTCTGGATTAGAATTAATTAGTCCTACTGCGTGCCGCGGAGTGTGGACCCGGATATCCAAATGGAGATTTAATACGGAGAAGGATCCAGCTTCCAGCCCAGCCGAAACTATCCAGCTAGAAGATTTTTAATCACAAGTACAAAGGGGACTGACTGGTCTGAACCAATTGCAAAAAAAAAAAAAAAAAAAAAAAAACTTACGGCCAAAGTGAGCCCCCATCTCCAGATTAAGCTTCGATCGACAACTCCACTAACTCTTTAGATCTACCGAAAAGGCTCAGCTACCAGCGACCGTGATAAGCCACTGAACCTTAAAAGAGAATTACATCGGAGAACTGTCCACATACAGTACTCCGTACGGAGGACTGGTTCATTAATTCTACTACGTTTGCTTTTTTCTAAATTACTACGGCCCCCCATAAAACTTCCTAGAGAAGTTTAGCCTGTAAAGATAGTACACACCCTCCTTGGAACGCCAGATACTGAGAGCCCCAAGGCCACAGGAGTCGACCCGTCGCGTTAGGAAAGAAATGTACAGAGTAGTTTTTTCTCATCCTGTCTGGGGGATCGAATTCATCCAAGTCAATCCCTGGTCAAGATAGTCGCATTGGACGACTAACCGCACCTATTTACTCTGTACGGAGGAACATGTTCTATGTATGTAGATCCGTCGGGTGCAGCCGATGATCATTGGCGAATGAAGGATCTTCCTTCTACCATTCTTGCAGTATTTGATCCTACCACTCCCCCCAGACGCTTCCTCTCTTCAGACTAAGTATGCACTAGTAAGCCGCCTGGTTGTATATGTTTGGCCTTGGATAAAGAGCCAAGACTTATAAAACAGACAGCCCCAGCACGTTTACAGAACGCTAAAGTATTCTCCATTTATTCCTTTCTTGGCCTGGTCCGATGACTTTCCTCCGCATGGTGGCCGCGGCGGCCTTGATGATGCCAATTGTCGCGGGCACAACAACGGCGGAATCAACTAAGAACATGGACATTCTCTTTCCAGCCCTGTATGGGATGAACTTGGACAACCTGGAAGGAAGTGTTGTGACTGGTGATGCCTCGTCCACCACTATTCAGATTGACTGTCGCTCCAGCGCAACCGCCGAATGTACCTCTTCAGGCTATGTCCTACCCCAGACCCTCACGAAGGGCCCGTCATTTCAGGATAATTATTACGATGTCACCAGCTTGTTCAACAGCACCATCTTTGTTATCACTGGGAGACTGGATTGCAATATGACCTCGTCCACCTTGGGCGCCTCTTGCTTTGCTTCGACGAGCACATGGGATTCTCGTGGAACAAACGCAAGCTCGTCGGCGTGGTCCACAAGTGTCACCATCTCTTCTTTCAACTTAAAGTACAATACTTTAACATTGTCATCGGGGTTGGAGAACCTTCAGCCCGGCACTACCGCTACACCCAATGCATCACCTATCCAGACTGCGACTTCAACATCCATACCAACGACAACGACAGTCCAAGCATCCTCGGCAGGTCACTCATCTTCAAAGGCCTGGATAGCAGGTGTGGTAGTCGGGGTTGTGGCTGGATTGGCTTTGGTTGTGGGCACGGCAATCTGGTGTCTTCGACGCAGCCATAAGAGGAATACAAAACCGTTAGGTTGGGAGCCAACGAACGAAATGCCAGAGAAGTCGGAGCCTCAAGTACAGAATGCTGAGTTAAGGGAGCTACCAGCCGGTTCTCAGAAGGCAGAGTTATCAACTCAAAATGATCGTCATGAACTGCAATGAGAGGAAGTCGCTCTTCGTAGTGAGGACTAGGATAAACATCCTCATTTGCCGCAATGCATCTGCTGCCTGTCTTGTTAAATTCCTATTACACGGCAGATGAAATCGTCTCCCAGGAGGGAGAATTGTGGAAGAGCAGAGGCGGGTCGGTCACAGCGAATTCCAAGTATTCGTCAGGCTTTCCACAAGGCCTTGCAGGGCTCAAATATAGACATACAATCATTGGCGTGAGTGAGGGCCGAGACCTTCCGGCCATGGTCATATTCCAAATGCTTCTCAAGCTGGATAGGCCCATCTTTGTTACTGCTCTTACAGTATTTCAGCCAGCCGCCTAGCCTTTCTTCAATCAATCAAGTGAGGGACCATTCTTTTCTCCTAAAGTTTTAACAATATGTGACCCGATACTGCCTCATCAAGTCCTGTAGCCCGTGATCTATCTTGGACTACCAAAGATACAGGTGGGAAGGCGGCCGTTTCTGGCGTCAAAAGCCGTTCATCTTCGGTGTCGATTTCACAGGCCCTCATATTCTAGATGTAATATCTCTTTGTTTGGACTGAAAATGAAGAGGCTCAAGACGGTGCTGCGGTCTAATTTATACCTAAGTCGCACGGATAACTCCTTCCTCTTTCCAGCTCAACCCAACTACAAGCTGCCGTTGGAACGCCCTCAAATCTCACTAGCCAGTCAATACTGTGCCAGCTGGTGAGACCCCGTGTTATGCATTCTCCCTCCAAGTTGTTTCCGAACTCCCGAATGGGAGACAGTGCTGGATTTCGGCAACCGGTAGCTATGTCAGGAGCAACCAACAGTCTGAATGCTGTTTAGTTATAGGTAAACACCTAAATATAACTTTCCAGGGGGTTCGCCAGGCACCTGTGGTTGCCCAGCTAGCTTGCGCAAATGCGCAGAGAAATAATAATTGGCCCCCCGATTGCTGTTTCATTCTAAATGGCACTGGGCACTGCTTCCAAGGTTTTACTTCCAAGCCCTTCACGTTATTCATCTTACCCCTCGTATTAATCGTCTCATTTTCGCCCTGCCTAACATGACCCCTCTCAAGCGCCATATTGGGGAGGATGAGTCGGATAAAGAGCTGCGTCGCAGACGCATAGCGGCGGTGTTGCCCTCACTACTGGAAACGATATGTTCGTGGCCAAGATGCCGACCAAGGCCGGGGACCTTGCCAAGGATGTTCTCCTGGCACAGTCTGTCGACCTCTACCACAAATTTTGGTTTCGTTCTCACACTATGTGGACTCCAAGCTCCTCTTACATGCCACCCGCCACCGGTGATATTCCTCGCTAGGACTGGGAAGCTTTCCCTCTTTTCGCTGGGAAGACCTTCGACGTCAACACTGGAGCGGACGACCCCGATGCGACGATATCATCTGAAGTGTTCAGATAATATCTTATACTATATTATATTACTCTATCTCATGAGCATTGAATCGTCAAATCTTCTTCTTATAGGGAGATGAGCCAGTATGTTAATACCCAGTAGCTATTCTCTCAGGATGTGAGGGTCGGAACGTGTTATTTATCCAATATCACTATTCAACCAGGCGTCATCCGTGAGAAAGGCCTTTGATCGCGGTTTCGAGATACCCGCTGGCATGCAAGTCTATTACCAACCCGGGTGCTTAGTTGGCCGAGCCAATAGCTGGAGAGGCCGAAGTGGGATCGCGCCTCAATCGCGCCCAAAGCCTCTGTCAAAATATGCTGACTTTTTCAAGAAGGGTACATTAAGAAGGGTATCCAACAAGGGTCATTGCCCGAGTTCGCCGTCTTCTGTGGGATGCACAAAGATGATCCTCGCTGTTTCGATGAGCCATGTCTATCGAAGAAGACTGGTTTGATACATCTGCGCCTGAAATAATCACTTACTTTACAACTTCATTCCGGTAAAGCGTGGAATGATGATCATGGCCAAAGACTAGATCATGAAGGAGGGAATATAGATAGAGCAAAGGCGAGGGTTGGTAGTTTAGATGTTGAGCAACTATGCGAGCGAGCTTTCAAGAATGAGCGTGTGAAGCGAGGGTTTCACTATTTTATTCTACTTTATGGCCACGCCTTCCAAGAGTCTTCCTGCTTCTTCTTCGAAAGTGAAGACTAGCGATCTAGCAATAACTTCAATATTACATTAGATTTTAGCGGTTTAGAAGGGAGACAGATTAAATAGTAATTCTTTTTAACAATCGAATTCCTTCTCTATTTATCATAAAGCATGTTTGAAGGAAAGCAGAAGAAGATCAAGTATCAAGACTCAATGAGCCGAGCTGGGCAAATTGAGGCCCGAGAATTGCAGCTAACATCGCCTCCTATCAAATCATGCGGTTTTGATCTCGTACTTACCCGTCAATGGCACATCGACATGGAGTACGAGCTTCTTATTCTTCACATCATAGTCCGCATTCTTAATCCCCCTAGGCTTCGACTCGACACCAAGAATAGTGATAGCCTCAATATTGACACCAGGCTTATACTCGAACGAGCCACTCATGCGAAGCTTGTGATTCGCATATGAAAAATCAATTTCAGATACGGCATCCTGGATAATCGACTCGCCATCATCGAGATAGAGAGATCCCTCTGCACGACCATCTAAGCCAGGTGCAACAACGATGTTGAATCCCTTCTTGCGGAGAGCAGTCGTTGTGTTGGCACTCTCGATGCGCTGTGGGTAAATCACGCCACCCTTATAGTGGAGTGTGATGTCTGTGTAGCCCACTTCGGTGGAGACATATTCTCCACGGCCACGAACTGGCTTGCCGGTACTCCACTCGTAGAAGATATCGTTGGGCAGATAGTAGTTCACACTTGTGCTGTTTTCTTCAGTGACGGGGCTGACCAAGATACCATCGCCGTAGAAGAACTGCAAGTCGATGGGATAAGTGTTGGGGTCATTCGGGTAATTGAAGAAGAGGGGGTTAAGCGTGGGGGAACCAGTCTGGTTTTGCTTGTAGATGGCGGTGTAAATATAATCAACTAAATAATGACTGTCAGTAAATCTGCTAACGGAAGGAATAGTATTGCATGCAAAACTTACGAAGCTGGTATCTGATAGAGATTCCATTTCGGGCAGCTTCGGCAACCTTTGGCCAGCGGTAGAATTCTTGGCCGATCGACGTAATCTCGGCGTGGTTGCGGAAGAATGTATAGAAAGACCCAAGTGTTGCCCATCTATATGTTTGTATTAGCCATGGCTAGCATCTATTATCTGGGTGATAAGCTTCTTACCTAGCACAAAGATTCTCTGTCGTGTTTCCACCGAAACCGCAAACATCAGCGCCTACGACTGGAATCTGGTACAAGGCTGCGAATTGCATGATCTGGCTGATTGAGTAACGGTACCAGTCCCATCCAGAGATATTATCTGCAGAGTCATTAGAATTCTATTCCTGTAGTCATTTAATTCGATGTAATTTTTCTCACCTCCAAGCCAATGGGACACATCTTTGCCTGAGCCGGCAAACGTGCTTCTCGTAATAACCAAAGCACGGTCATCTGGACGACGAGCACGCATGGCATTATGAGAATGCGAAGACATCATAGCACCATAAATATTGTGAGTGTCATACTGGACGTATTCCCCACTTTGCACCACATCGGTATCCGCTGTGCTATCAGCAAGTGTTGGTCCTGCACCATTTTGAATCATATACGGAGGGCGAATAAGCTCCCGGTTGGGAAGCCCTTTGCATTCATTTGGCCCACAGCCAGAACCTGTTTTCTTGCCGTTCTGCCAGCCAGCACCAGAATGGCTAGAATCATCATGGTGCTTGTTGGAACGCCAATGACCTGCACCGCGGTTGCGACGCGAGTGGGAGTGAGTGCGAGAGGTTTCGATTACAGCTGTGGAGCGCTTTTCGGATTCATGGGTTGAAGAATCCTTTGGCTGAAGACTCTCGGGAAATCCAGGGATTGGAGCATCTGGACCATCTCTCACTGGTGGGGCGGCTGGGGGGTCACCATCCACCTTAGCAAAGTTCTCAGGTGTGGTATTATTTCCTGGATAAGGCCGATTGAAGAAATTGGCGGGTTCATTCATATCGATCCATAGTGCATCAATGTCTGGGCCATTGGTTCCATCGAAAAAGTCCACGAAACGTTCCGACCAGTATTTCTGGGACTCAGGGTGGAACCAGTCAGGGAAATGACTAGGTCCAGCCCAAACAACACCATCATATAACGATCCGTTGCTTTCCTTCATGAAGATGTCATATTTGAGACCTGCATCGAGCGCCGGGTTTGACTCTTCATAGAAGACGGCAGGGTCAACCATAACTATGTATCGCTGGTCTCGTGCGTGAACTGTGTCAACGAGATCCTTGTATAGGTTTGCTGGGAATCTTTCTGGGTCAATGGTAAAGATGCGACGGCGGTCCATGTAATCAATGTCGGTCCAGATTGTCTCAAGAGGAATGTTGTTAGATGAGTAGTTGGCAGTAACCGCGGCAACCTCATATACATCCTGGTATCCATACTTGCATTGATGGAAGCCGAGTCCCCAGTAGGGGGTCATCAACGGTAACTGTGTAATCTCGGCATACTGGGTGGCGACCTCTCGTGGAGATGGACCAGCGACGAAGTAGAAATCGAGGACACCACCGATAATGTTGTACTCGAGATACTGGCCACCCTCATTGTCGATGAAAATATCCATGCCATTTGAATTAAGCAAGAACACTCCATGGGTACCACTCTTCCTGTGGTCGAAGTAGACTGGGTGAGCACCGTATAGATTCTCCCCCTGAGGAGTTCCATACGCATCGCGGGTGTATATCGTCCTCGTATAGTTCGTCGTGTTAAGCATAAACGAGTCGCTGTGCTCACCCAGACCGTACAGGTGTGGATTCTGCGGCAGGTGGGATTTCAGGTAGACATATTGGCTCTCAAATACAAGCTTGGTGCCAGTGGTATCAAAAAGGACCTCGTCGTTATCGGTACGGGAGACAGTGAATGAGAAGGGGTCAGCCTTGAAGTCGAACTTGAGGTTGCTGTCCCCGGATGAACACCATTGGCCAAATCCAGGCCGTGGGAAAACCTCGTCTGGAACCTGATAAACCGTATTGTTGGTATCAGAGATCTTGACGTGAAGTCGGTTGCTAGTCTGATACTCGACCTCCAATTTCAAGTCTGGAAGGTCGATTCCGAAGACATTGCAAGCCTTCCCTGCGAGTGACAAGTCTGCATAGAAGCCGGACTTGGTACTGCGGTGACTTGTGGCCTTATAACCAGGGCATGAAGAAAGATCTTTCTCATAAAGGTCTCGGCCGGGGCCATCGAGATCATCGACACCACCTTTGCTCTGAGCGAGAGCAGAGTGGCTCAAAGAAGCGGCTAAAGCGAGCAGCTTCCTGAGATGCATATCGAGGAGTAGTAAACAAGAATGCTAGATCTGTTCGAAATATCTGCAAGGGAATTCTTCTGCCCTTATATACCCCTCATTCCGTTTGCCAAGATATATAGCCTGGATCGTCACTGCGGAGATTGCAATATTTGCTATGACGGCGGTCTCCACACCTAGAGACAACAGGCTACATCTGCCTTCAACAAAGAACATCTGTGGTGTTTGTCAATTTTGGAGATATTGCAACAATCTTGATTTCCTGGGCTTCTCTGATGAAAACCCATGATACCGCCATTTTTTGCCTCACAAAATAGAAAGCACATGGCTCTTGTGTCCAATATCTAGTTCGAATTAGAATAGTGAGCATAATCAGCTTTGGCTGAATCAGCTGAATATAGGGAAGATCGTCGGTCCCCGCGTTCTGATCAGTCCTCCGATAAAAGCCCGCGATGGCCTCTTCTTGGCCCATTGGCTGGCTAGTGCTGCAGGGATCCCGAGCTGCGGCACATTGGTACCGATCCCGCGGTGGCTATACTTCTATAGTTCATCTTATATCGGGTTCGGAAGCTGAAAACAATGCCCCAAATTAAGGGACTTGCTGTGTCGGATGGCCTGCGATTGCATATTTCCGGACTCATAACCGACTCAGGGAATGTTGTAATCCCATGTCCACATCCAGGAGGCCAAAAAAATTGGATACTCCTGACGCGAACATCAACTCATTGTTTGTTGACTTCAAAGTTGCAACCATGCGAATTCCGAGTGGAGATGGTGAAGGAAACTGGTGCTTTCCTTCACGTCATCTCGGTCAATTATCGGAGGCCAAGCACGCGCCAAGACCATTTTCTCACTCCAACTCAACAGGCCCGAGAGTCGGGTTTTGCCGACTAGCATTCAGGGTCGTATAGGGGTCTCTTCTTAACGCTCAATTTTGTTAGTTACATCCGAGCTCTTGTGGGTCGATGCGCTCGGCACGGATGGTCTAGATGGAATAAATTTGCCAACTCCAGCTAATTCTTCAAAATGTGCACGGATTGCGGGGAGCCCGTGCACAAGCGGTAAATTTCTACTGTAGTCGAGAGAATTACCAAGGTTTTGCCACTCAACAGCTCTCCTATAGTGGCAAATTTATTTTTTCGGACGATGTCAAGCTATGAAAACCTGGTTGATCGATCAGGACAGTCATCTTCCGCTACATCAAAGCCTTTCTTTTCTACGAATTTCTGAAGTATAGTATGGAGAACCAGTGTTGTTCCTAGAATCGCAAGCGAAAGCTTTCTACTGCCTCCCTATCAATCAAATAGCAATAAAATAACATAGCTTAGATCAGATCTCAGGAGTGAAAGCACCCCAAGAAAGGATATTAAATAGAAATCACGCCAAGGTACGCTAATAAGAGCATTGTCTCTAAATTGCGATTCCATCCCACAAACTCGCAAATTGTAATTCTGTCGGGCCAGTGTGGCTTGCTTGCAGGGCACCAGCACCGCTGGCGGGAATGTCATCCTCTGCGAAGAATCGCATGCCAAAAGTTTCCTCGGCGGCGTAAAGACGGGTCGATATCGCGGTCCGGCCATTTACAAATACCTCAAGAACGGAGTTGTCCCGCCATGCGCGGATATCCAAAGTCTCCGTACACTCCAATCCATTACTTAGATCTCTCATGGTGAACAAAGTGTGCGGCGCTACTTCAGGTGCACTGTTGATCAGCATGGATGTGTCGGGGATGGAGAAAGAAGGTCGATAAATTGTGAAGGTTTCAGATTGTGGCTCGAATGTCATCAGTGTTGTATTTTCATGGTCTGCAAGATTAATCAGTATATACCCTAGCATGTGCCTGTTTCTAATATGTTCTCACCTCTTGAGTGACTGATTGACAGACCGACCCTAGAACAAGTTTTCGAAATTTTGAACGAGCACTCCAGTTCCCATTGCTTAGTTCGCAAATTCTCTGGTGGAAATTCGGCCATGGTTGAGCTAGTATCAGCAGACGATCTTCCCAAGTTTGAGACCTGAACTTCTGAAGAACCTCTGAGATGTTGAACCAAAGGTTGATAGGGCTCACTGGCAAGAGTCTGAATAGCGAAGGTCCCGTCACCCTCAGGTTGAAGTTTGACGGAAGTGATAGATGACAAGTCAGACACTAATGAGTCTACTACATTGTGTAGAGTCTTTAAGTAGATCTGTCGAGGCATTGACAGCAATCCACTCCATCCTTGCTGGTGACGAAGCTCATCGCACAGGTCTTCCTCTGTGATCCAACCCCAGATGATGTGTTTCTGGCTTCGTGGGTCAAAGAAAGAGTTGGCAGCATACAGGCAGCCATGGTCAAGGTGCCCTCCCGAAACATATGATATGTTTGCAGAGTCTGTCTCCTCGTCTTTCCAAAGGTTGCCAGACATCCAAAGCTGACCACGACTTGGACGCGATGGACCAAGATTTCTATGAGGCTCTCTGATATTTGCGACAAGGCATCCTTCAGTTCCCATGATGAGAAGTTCAGATTTTGAACGAGGATCATCTTCATCGCACAGTGACAGGAAGTTCGTAACCTCCCAGTTCTTGCCCAGGTCGCCAGACCACCTTGAGGGTCTGAAGTTTAGGCCAAAATTTGCGACAGGTCCGATATACTCCCAGTCACTTAAGTTCTTTGAATTGACTTTGTATAAAAAGCTTGTGGGTGTGATATCTCGGATGCCTCCTGATATAATACCGAACAAATAATCTTTCGGGTCGAGCCCCAATATTTCGCTCATTTTGGGCCACGGAGCACAGAAAGGATCTCTCCAGCCAGTGACATCGATGCCAGAAGGTGCCCCTGGTAGGATTGGATTTTTGTCGCTTTTATACCAAATCCTTCCTCGGTCTGAAGATGTTGCAATGCTCAATGTCTCACAGCCATTTCGATATGCGATTGTATGGTGAATTGGAAGAGAGCTGACTGAGGTGTAGATGTAGTTGAGAGTTTCATTATGTCCTTGGACAAAACATCCAGTGAAAACACCCTTGGAGTCATAGGCATTATCTGGAGAGAGAATAGGCTGATCTTCAATTTGCCAAACGATCATATCGGACGAAGTTGCTGTTCCCCAAGAAATATCACCCCAGTCAGGGTTGTTTGGGTTCCACTGAAAGGAGACATAGTACAATCCAGTTAATGGATCATATCCAGGTGCACATGGATCATTCATCCATCCTGATGAAGGCATCAGGTGAAAAGATGGGCGCCACCTCGCGGATATTTTGGCAAAGCTGTTTGTGTCGATCTTGAAGCCCTCGGGTGTAGTGATCCCAGTCGAGCCACATGATGCTGGGCTACGCGAGGTTTCTCTCGAGCGCGAACAGCTGATCATCTTGAGAAAAATGAATATTGTCTCTAGACATATTCAGATTGGCTGGCTACCTTTCAATGTTTAAAGACGTTCATTTTGATAATCATCAGAATGGCCATATCCCGGGATCCCATTCAAGTTTCTCCGGAATTCCCCCGAAAGCAACTTCGCACCCGTAGGCCTCAAACTCTCCAGCCTACCCCACAACCCTGGGACCTGAGCGCTCCCATGGGGACAACATCGCCATTTCAATCGGAGATACCATGGAACCTACTGATCAAGAGTTTCTCCGAAGATATTCCACAGAACGTACTCCAGCTTCATCCTTAATTCCTGTCACTTGAATTTCCCCGTGGGGTTTCGATCAATGGTGAAGGCATAAAATGTGAAGATGTTCTACCAAAGAGCAGACATTCCTTGACAAGCAACTTTTAAATTATTACCCGTGCTTCATCCTCGGGTCTCACACATCATGAATCAGTCTACCAAACCGATTGAAGATGAGAAAGCGGACATTAGTCATGTCGAGGCCCTCGCTGAAGAACCATTGTCTGCAACTTTCAAAGACCACCAAGCCCAGGACATGACCACCAAGGAACAATGGCGCAAATTTTGGGCTGCCATTCAAGCTGATAAGCGATTCTGCTTGTGGACTCTCTACACTATGCTTCTTGTGTTCAGCTGGGGCTACGATGCTGGTCTATCTGGCGTCGCCATTGCATTTCCTGATTTTCGAAAGACCTATGGCAACTACTATGCGGTGAGCGATGAATATGTTATTCCTGCTCTATGGCAGTCACTATGGAATGCCGCTTCAACAATTGGTCAGGTTTTCGGTGGCTATGCTGCTGGGCAGTTTGCCGACTGCTGGGGACGGAAAGTTCTGCTTTACGCAGCAGTTTTTATATCTTTGGGATCCTCGTTCTCCTTGGTGTTTGCCCCCAACCTACCTGTCCTCTTCATCTCCAAACTTCTGCTCGGCCTCTCCGTTGGTCTCGCGACCGTGATTCCACCTCTATACGTCACAGAGAATGCACCCACACACCTTCGCAGCATAGCTTCATCTCTTACCAACGTCGTCATCGTCTTCGGCCAGTTCTGCGCTTCAATCACTGGATATGGTGCGTCGGGTATTGAAGGTGTTTGGTCTTTCAAACTTGCCTTTGTCATGACCTTCGTGATGCCGGGAATTTACCTCTGCGGTCTCCCTTTCCTTCCCGAGAGTCCGGTATACTACATGAAAAAGGGCCGCGAAGATGATGCTAGAAATGCTATTGTCCAACTCTATGGCGCTGGTGCTGATATTGAGGGCTATATTGGAACTATCAAAACGGAACTCAAACAGACTGAAGACCAGGAAACTGCTGCCAATCAGACAACTTGGAAGAGCATATTTACTAAAGAGCATCGCTCCCGGACTCTTGTTGCTGTACTAGGTCTCCAATCCCAAAATTTCTCGGGTGGCTACTTTGCCAATACCTACCAGACTTACTACTTCCAGTTAATTGGTCAAGCTGACTCGTTCCAACTGACCGCGATATCTTCGTCGCTGCAACTCTTATCCAACTTTGTTGCTGTTTGTCTTTCCGACATCATTCCACGCAGAATGGGTCTCATCGGTGGAGGCACTATACTCATGTTCTGGTCGGTCATCATCGCCGGTCTGTCCATGGCATCAACTAGCAACAACTCCGCCAACATTGCTCTGCTTGCTTTCATGATCACTTGGTCGATGATGTACACAGCAAGCGTAGGCTGTTACGGATGGGCCGTGGCTCAAGAAACTGCAGCTCAAGTTACAAGACCCAAAACTATTTCGTTTGTCTTGATCTGCCAGCAGTTGACTGCACTTTTGCTATCATCTGTCTTTCCGTACTTTATCAACCCGGATGAGCTCGACTGGGGTGGCAGAGTCATGTTTCTATTTGTCGGGGCTGAGCTATTTATCTTGACTGGCCTCTACTTCTTCCAACCGGAGACAAAAAATAGATCAAATGCGGAAATCGATGCTTTGTATGCCAATGGTGTATCTCCGCGGAAGTTTAACGACTTTGTTGTTGTAGAGGGCCAGGTTGTTGAGAAGACGAAAAAGACAGGCTTCTTTTGCCGACTTTCTGGTAAGGCTAAGCATGTGGCAAGAAGTGTATGTTGAACTTCAAGGAGATTTTGGACAATCTAACTTCGTCTTTCTATCTATGATGCATAATTTGATCATCGTGATCTTCAAGATTATCCTCCTCTTTTTCTCGAACCTGCCATTCTATAAGCACTTCATAACCATCTCATAAATTGCAAATTTACAATCCATTAAGTCCACATTTCAGATCTACGCCTTATTCAATCTCTCATTATGTGATAATTACAATTTGATCTTCATGACCGCCCAATTTGCAATTAAACATAAGACGGTTTCAATTTAACGTACTAGTAGATAGTATAGTATTACAAGCATCATGATATGCACTGAGAACTGGTGAACAACAACTTAGCAACAACAATAATCATAGGAGATTTTTGGATTAGACCTAAATACAGATCATTGGCCATTCATAATTCAGTGCTAGCTATCGTACCGAATATTGCGACCTTGGAAGTGGGCACTTAGTCTTGGAATGCTCTTGCGTCAGATGTTCGAGCGCCGCTGTTACATCGAGTGGAACTTCGGGCATTATTCGGATGAAGATCCTTTGAGTTTTGCCGTACGATTATATGTCAATAAACAGCATCCGTTCTCTTTCATTGTTAGACTTATCATTGCGTACTGCACCGTAAATAATGCGTCAAGCTTGAATTCGAGTTGCGGTCGGAGCAACTTCGGAAAAACTAGACGAGGTCAATTCACCCCGGAGGATCGGCAACACCATCCCCACGAATCTCCCTACAAGTTTCTCCGAGTTGTCCCCAGATTCTCTCCAGACACAACCGAGCCGAGAGTGCTCGGTGGCTTGATAGAGAAATAATAAGAGCCCCGTGCTGTCATCATGGGCTACTTATCCCTCAGCTACGGAGGTGACATCGATTCACTTACTATGCACAAAATCAGGCCTCTTCTTCGAAACCCATTATTCGCTATCTGAAGAGCCGAATTACCTAGTGGACAAAATACATTTTCTCAATCGTCATGTCTATCGAAAAGACCTGGTGGAAGGAAGCAGTTGTCTACCAGATCTATCCTGCTAGCTTCCTCGACAGCAATGGTGATGGCCTGGGCGATGTTCCTGGCATCATCAGCAAGGTGCCTTACATCAAGTCTCTGGGAGTAGACACAGTATGGCTCTCGCCAATATACGCTTCGCCCCAAAAGGATATGGGCTATGATGTCGCAGATTATCGCTCCATCCATGCGCCCTATGGCACCGTCGAGGATGTCCAAGATTTGATCGACCAGCTTCATTCGCATAACATGCGTATCCTGATGGATCTCGTCGTCAACCACACGAGTGATCAACATGCCTGGTTCAGGGAGTCTCGGAATTCCAAAACAAATCCTAAACGGGACTGGTACATATGGCGCGATCCCAGATACGATGCCGAGGGCAATCGCAAGGAGCCCAACAATTGGAAATCGATATTTGGCGGCAGCGCATGGGCTTTTGATGAGCTCACAGGTCAATACTATCTGGCTCTGTTTTTGCCTGGTCAGCCTGATCTCAACTGGGAAAATTCAGATATGCGCAAAGCCACTCATGACGACATGCGCTTCTGGCTTGATCGAGGCGTGGACGGATTCCGCATCGACAGCATGAATCTTATGTCTAAGCACCCGGATCTTCCGGATGGGAGGGTTGTCACTGACGAGCCGTATCAATCTGGTGCCGAATTCTTTGCCTCTGGTCCGAAAATGCATGATTATATTCGTGAGATCAGGTCCGAGGTCTTGGACAAATATGATGTGATGACTGTTGGAGAGCTTGGATTTACTAAGGACGAGAAATCTGTCAGCGAATATGTTGCCAAGGACCGACATGAACTTAACATGCTTTTTACTGGTGACATTGTGGATATGGACTTTGGACCCAACGCAAAGTACGAGCGAGATGACTTTCATCCTCGGAAGATCCGAAAGCTTACCAATCTTTGGCAAAATGCGATGCCCAAGTTCGACGGGTGGAACACCATCTATCTCGACAATCATGACAGTGGTCGCTCATTATCTCGATATGCTTCTGATGCCCCGGAGTATCGGTCGACTGCAGCAAAGATGTTGGCGACATATTTGATGACTTTGAGTGGCACTCCATTTTTGCTTGCGGGCCAGGAGATCGGCATGGCAAACCTTGGAAAAGACTATGGTGCGGATGCATACATTGATGTGGAAGGCAAGAACTATTACAACGAAGTCTTGAAGGCCAGAGGTGGCGATGTTTCCAGGATGGAAGATGTTCTCCGCGAGTTGCAGCTCAAATCGAGAGATCACGGGCGGCTGCCCATGCAATGGGATAGCTCTCCTAACGCTGGCTTTACCACCGAGAGTGCCAATCCATGGATGACTATAAACAAAGACTATACCGAGTGGAACGTTGCTAGCCAACTCGATAATCCTGATAGCATCATGGCATACTGGAAGAATATGCTTGCACTGCGAAAGGAGCATTCCGATCTTTTTGTATATGGGTCTTACAATGCCCTGGAGGAGTCACAAACGGGCGAAATGATTCTCGGGTACGAACGTGACTGCAATCAAACGAATCAAAAAGCCGTTATTCTACTAAATTTCTCTGATGAGATTCAGACGGTATCTCTGGGGATTTATGAGGGATTCTCAGTTTTAATTTCAAACAATGGTGGGATTTGTCGTATGGAGAATCAAGCTGAGCTACAACCATACGGTGCCGTGGTTCTTCTGCAAGGATAGATAGTTAGAAGTTATAATTTCAATGTGTTTGAATTTTTACAACATTAGAAAAAGAAGCGTATAGAAAATCAATATTTCTTATAACCGTGTTAGATAATGATATTCTTTCACCTCCCCGGCATCTATATCACCTAGATATTAGTCGGTGACCTCGTCATTGTGTGGTTGAAGGCTATTTACCTGTTTTCAATTCCCAGGATTACTCTGATCTTTGTGTTCTCCTCGAGCATCACAACTACCCCTTCACTGATATCCCTCGACAGCCCCCAGCATTTGGCGTAATGACTCTTCATGGGATTGGATTAATTCTCCTCCCTCCTCCAGTGTGCTTCATCTTGGTTCGTGTAGAACCTTCAAGTCGAGAAATGGAGCCCGCAAAGTGCCATGATCAGCGCAAAAGACTCCCTCTCTCCATTCACATCCCCACAGTATACCAGATGACCCAGTCCGATCTTCGCTCCCAAAACCGCGGCTTGCGTTTCATCAACAGGCTCAGGGATGTCAACGCGACTTTCCGTCAAAGCACCGGGAACAGGAACAAACATCTTCTCATAGAGCCTTGTATTCTTAACATGGAGAGAGCCTTCATGCTGTATGGCTCAGGCAACCAAGCTAGCTCAGCGCTCGGGGGCAACTTGGTAGACGGAGAAAACTGGAAGGCTGTCCGGTGATAGGCACCACTCTTCCAAGGAAGATCAAATGCATAGAAGAAGCTCTCGAAAATCTTGGGTGTGGTGAAAGATGGAAAGTGCAGACCAATGATTGCAAGTCCGCCCTCTTCAATGTAACGTTTGACCTTGGGCAGGACTTCTTTCTTTGTCGGATCAGGGTGAGTGAGGCCCTGGTCTGTGATGATTATGGCTTTGAAGCTGACGCTGGAGATGGCCCGGGGCGCAGCGTCTATGGTCTTTGCACGACTCAAGTCGGATACTTCGGAAAGTCGATCGAGGAACTGGGCGTAAGAAGCCTCGAAGTAGTCTTCGTATGAAAGTGAAAGAAGTAAGATCCGGGGCTTATCGGCTGAGGCCATTGTCGCGATATAAAGTGTGCCGGGTGGCAGTAGCTAGCTAATCGTTAGCTGGGCTATCTAGAGATGGTGGGTAAACTCGTCGAAAAATCCTCTGTGAAAAGATATTTTTCGGTCGGTTGACTGTCCGACGAGCCATACTAGGTAACCGTGATCAGGTACGATCACTTATGTAGCAACCTTGGAATGCGATAGGGGATCTTCACCGGAACATGTGACGCACTCCTCACCATATATAGCCTGTGTCTCTTCCTCCTGTCTCCCTCTCTTCAATTTAATATTATCTTCACGCTCCACTACATCTCTACATCTCTACCCCTTCGCGACTTCCATAATATGGACTACATTCAATATTTCATGGACGTATATCAAGAGATTAGTTCATGATGACAACAAATTTTGCTAAGATATCACTAAGGAGATATGGATAAATAAATTAAAAATGACAAAAATGAAAAAAAAAAAAAAAAAACTTAGTATAATATGTAGTCAAGTTTCATGGTCACCATACATACTAGCACTAACAGACTGGCGTATAGGCTTCTCGCTTTCGGGATTAGTATCACCCGTTCCGAGATTACATAACACTTCCCTTCTTTCAGATGTCCAGATGTCCCCACATGTGCACTGCAATATCCATGGATGTAGCCGTGAAGCCGACCGGAAAACTTAGTTATCTATATGTGTGGAAGTCCGACAAAGGTTTATTTCGCATGGCTATCTAATCTCGGGTCTCTGTGACAGTATCTCTTCGCTTAACAGTTACACCATTATGAGCTCAGAAGGGACAGTTAGGTAAGCCTCTTGAAATTTTATCAAAAATCAAGGAACCCACTGGTGTAAAATAAACTAGCGTCTGCACATGTGGGCACGAGTGTAATTGAGGGGCTCGCCCCACTTCGCCTCCCCTTTTCCATGAAAACAGCGAACGACAGGGTTTTCTGTAAAGCCCCAAGGCACCCACCACCGTCGATTCAAGGTACATTCTCGAGGGTTCAGGGCCAGTATAGTGTGTACAAAACAGCTGGAGTGTGCGCGTCAATTTGATGTTGGTGGAGCTGGTCTGGGCGTTTTTCCCAGGTGCTCCCACCATTTCGGGTCTTCCTTTTTCACCGTTGGTCGATGTCACTCCACTGCCGATCAACTTCTTTCGCTTCATACCCAATCATCGGTCTGGTCTGGAGCAAGATGTCGTCAGCCACCCGCTAGCTCACAAACTACTCGGAGCCACTTTGATCATCTCGAGGGGGAGCTCCATTTATCTATCCTCTAGCGTCCGAGGTTGAATTTCTTTTGAAATTCTCTTGAACTTCGATTTTTTGCGGTTGGCGAATGCTGGCCCTATCACCGAGTCATCATGGGCAATGCTCTGATCGATGCCCTAGAGCAAGCTAGTAGTAAATCCTCTGGCGAGGAAGGCGAGTCGCTATCATCTTTTCTAGCCTCGCTAGCGACCAGTATTGTCATCTTTGCCGTTGAATTCTTTGTCTTCTTGGCGCTTAAAGACAAATTGACCCGCATCTAGTACGTGATGGCGCCAACTTAAAGATGAAGATGAAAGCAACATCCTGGCTAATGAAAATATCTGAACAGTCAACCGCGAACTTACTTGGTTTCGGATAGGGAACGGACAGCCCCATCGCCGCCGGGTATTTTCCGCTGGATTGCGCCGGTGTTCCAAACATCCGACGCCGAACTCATTCAGCGAAGTGGCCTCGACGCATATTTCTTCTTGCGGTATCTACGGATGCTGTTGAAGATCTTTGTCCCGTTGGCGCTTTTATTAATTCCGGTCTTGATCCCGGTTAATTATGCGGGTGGAAAGGGGACTACATTGATCGATGTCAGTACCAATAGTACAGCCCGGTATACTGTGACTGGCCTAGACAAGCTGGCATGGGGGAACATTAAACCCACACAAACACACCGGTACTGGGCCCATCTAATATTGGCGATAATCGCTATCATTTATATCTGCTTCACTTTTTTCTACGAGTTACGAGTTTATATTCGCATGCGACAGGCGTATATGACCTCACCGCAACACCGACTACGTGCTTCCGCTACCACCTTATTAGTCACGGCCATTCCACAAGAATGGCTTAGTTATGACGCGTTGAATGGCCTGTTTGATGTGTTTCCGGGTGGAGTGAGGAATATATGGGTGAATCGGAACTTCGACGAACTGAACGACAAGGTAAAAAGACGTCGCAAGGTGGCTTTGAAGTTAGAGGCCGCAGAGACCTCCTTAGTCCGCAAATGCAAGGAAGCCCAAGTCAAAAAACTCGAGACGGAGAGGAAAAAGGAGAAAAAGCAGACCAAGGGAAACGCCAGTGCCCAGGACCAAGAACAGCAAACAGTTCCTGAGAAGAGCTCTCCGCAAACACTCATGGGCCCTGGTGTGAGTTCGGGAAATCCTCATCAGGCCCATACACTTGCGGAAGTTCTCCATCGACAGCCTGAAGAGAACCAGCGCCATGGAACTTTAAATCGTGTCCCGCATAAGGTGTTCGACCCGGCGAAAGCAGCCGCTGGGGCTGTTACTCAGGGTGTCGGAGCTGTTACTCAGGGTGTTGGGAAGCTAGGAAAAAGCGTTCTGGGTGGTCTGAGGAAGGTTGAGGACGTTATTGAGCATAAGCCTACCCAGACTGGTGGAAATGTTGACAATCCTGCCAGCGAACGAACAAATGACCAGACAATTCCCACGTATTGCGGTCCTGATGAGCAATCCCATCTCCCTAGGAGCTCAGATCAAGGAAGCATTCTTCAGGACAAACTTGAAGAGGAAGGAGAAAAGAACCAACAGCAAAGCCACCCAGATGAGCTAATAAATACGGAAAGCGATGGGCCGTATCCGATTGCTTATAATGAAGGCTATGAGGATACAGAGCAGGGAGAGCCTCTGTGGAAGAAATATATCGAGCCTAAAGACCGGGATACATGGCGACTTCCTTGGTTCAAATGGAACCCATGGCCAACAATCTGGCTCATCGGAAAAAAGGTTGATACCATCGACTACTGCCGAAAAGAGCTTGCCCGTCTTAATATGGAGATTGAAACTGATCAAGAACATCCTGAACGATTTCCCTTAATGAACTCGGCTTTTATTCAATTCAATCACCAAGTTGCTGCGCATATGGCTTGCCAGTCCGTCACTCATTATTTGCCGAAGCACATGGCACCACGAATCGTCGAAATTTCGCCTGATGATGTTATCTGGGATAATATGTCCTTAAAATGGTGGGAGCGATACTTGAGAACCTTTGCTGTCGTTACTGTGATCTGCGCTATGATTGTTACATGGGCAATCCCAGTTGCTTTCACAGGTCTCTTATCACAGCTCTCCTATCTTGAAGATACCTTTTACTGGCTGGCATGGCTCGGCAAGCTACCGAGTTGGCTAATATCCGCGATTCAAGGTAAGTATTTCCTCCCGAGTCCAGTCTAGATCTAGATAATAAACTGATATCCGCTGTTCAAGGTATTCTACCCACAGCATTCCTAGCCATCTTGATGGCGATCCTTCCTGCTATTCTTCGATTTTTGAGCAAACAACAAGGTGTCTTTAATGGAATGGGAGTTGAGATGACTGTCCAAAGCTATTTTTTTGCCTTCTTGTTTGTACAAATCTTTGTTGTTGTCACCATCTCCTCAAGTCTTGCGTCGATTCTCCAGGGCGCTGGAGACGTGTCCAGCTGGCCAAAACTATTGGCCAGTGATGTTCCCAAGGCTAGCAACTATTTCTTCTCCTATATGTTGCTACGGGCTATGTCCGTGAGTGCGGGTGCATTGATGCAAGTCGTTAGCCTTATAAAGTGGTTTATTCTTGGTCCAATTCTGGATAATACCGCTAGGTCCAAGTGGAATAGGACGACGAACTTGATACATGTGAAATGGGGGTCCTTTTTCCCTATCTATACGACACTGGCTGCAGTTGGTAAGAAAACCGATTATATTCATTTTTTCTGATTGTTATACCATTGCAAGATACTGACTGGTTTTTCTAGGGATGATCTATTGTATTGTTGCTCCATTGATCCTGATCTTCAATATTATCACCTTTAGCGCCTTCTGGTTTACATATCGCTATCGCACCCTTTACGTCGCCAAATTTCGGTTTGATACTGGAGGCCTGCTCTTTCCCCGGGCTATTAATCAGCTGTTTACTGGTCTCTACGTTATGGAGATTGCATTGATTGTATTATTCTTCCTCGTTCGAGATGCCGATGATAAGGTTTCATGCAAGGGCCAGGCTATCATTATGATCTTTGTTTTGGTAATGACTATTGGCTATCAATTCCTCCTCAGTGAGGCTTTCGGTCCTTTAATTAGGTATCTACCGGTCGCACTGGAGAATGAGGCCATTAAACAGGACGAAGAATTCCATCGTGCCCAGGCTGCTCGGTTAACGGCCGCTATTGACGAGAGTGATGATGAGAATGACGATGATCATACGGACGATGATTTCGCCCATAATGACATCAACAAGCCTCACCAAGAGAAAGATATTGAACTCGAAGATCTCGGAACAGGTGACGAAACTCATAACGACCCATCCAAGACATTGGGCATCAGGCCCCGCGGCTGGACAGCAGCATGGCATCCAAATCCCATTCGGGTGAACTCAGCAACCCCTTCATCCGTCGTGAGCTCCTTGCGCGGAAGGATGGCCCAGGATACCGAGAGCCAAGAACATTTCCCACACAACATGGGCAATCTCTTCTCGGGTGTCAATGATGAATTGGAAGATCTGACACCGAAGGAACGCGATGAATTGGTACAACGCGCCTTCCAGCACGAGGCTCTTCGCGCTAAACGCCCAGTCGTTTGGATACCGCGCGATGATCTCGGAGTCAGTGATGACGAAATCTACCGAACGCAGCAATTCAGCAAGCATATTTGGGTTAGTAACGAATATCAAACTCTGGATGAGAAGGGCAAAACTATTTTCAGTCGGCGACCGCCAGATTTTTCTGATCTTGAACTGATTCAACTTTGAGACATTCATGATCGTCTTCATACTTTTCATCAATGTATATAATATTTTTGTGCCAAGCACCAATCCACAATCTAGCGAACTTTTCTTCTTTAGATGCGCAGGAGTTTTGATGGTTTTCGCAAGGGTTGGATTGTTTGATTCATCCTCTCTGGGCCTTTGAACGATTCATTCAAAAGTAATCGAGAGAGGATATATATTCCAATTTGAACAAGTCACATTGTATTCTCAGGTTTATAAAGACCTTGCCTCCTGGCACATATGGGCAAGATTATAAAATAAAAATCAAAAACATACAATAGTCAGGATTTGTATATAGTAGTCACCCACTGTCTGACCGGCATATAGTAGCTTAAGTGCAGCTAAGCATATGGGAAGCCCTGCTCTACTATGGCACACCCTGTGGTCGTACTATACGCTTAACACTTGAAGAAAATGAACTAAATGGCGCAGACTTTTGATGATTTGTCGCAAAGGTTGAACGCCAGTGGGAGGCTCTTTGCGGCAGTTGCCATCGGCAAAAAGTACAGTTCTTCAAATTTGATGGGAGAGCAAGTGCGCAGAATGGCTGTATGTATGTCTCAGCTGCATCGGGATGTTATTGACATGGACGATCCAAGCGGTATGATTGATGTTGAGCGGATTCTGAGCCATGTCAAGGCCGATGGATGGCAGTGTGCCTCCTAATTAGCCCTAGGGCCTGCCAGGAAATATTTTTTAGCCGCTTATGCTCTCCTTGGCTTTCTCCCTGCCTACCCATCTTAAGTTCCAGCAGTACATGTGCATAAGAATCTCTAGTGTGCAATTCTGATTTGAGCCCGTGTATTCTGAAGCGGGGTCTTCCAAGGCTTCATTCTTTTAATCCCGATTTCTTTTATGTTTGACCTGATGAATCCCAACTTGATGTTGCGTCTGTATATCATAGGGTTCCAAAGCGAAGTTTAATCAGTGCTCTGAGCTTGAATATCTAGCTATAATTTCGAGACATTCCGGCCCTCCATTTCTCTATGCCATTTTTCGTCGAAGTAGACGAGAGAACGAATGTATCCACATCTGATTAATGAAATCCTGGCGCGATCCTCGAAGTGAATTTATCTAAATTTGTCTATCGCCTAGTCGAATACAAAGTATACAAGTTCGGGGACTAAACAAGGAAGATAATGGTGTCGAAGACCCCTGGGGCGGGGTTCGTCTTCGACGGGGGCACCTTCTTTCGCATTTTGGATGGTCAGATCGATCATGTAGTATTTGACCCCCATAACGGAATCTTATATCGACGATTACCCGTACGAGGCTTTTATCCAGTATGATCCATTGGCCGAGTGGCTTGGGCTTAAGAGATCTTGGAATATCTCAATAATTTCATCATGAGGTTTCTGCGAGGTGAAATCGGCTGATACTCCTATTACATCGACTTCACGGTCAAAACGCCTTATAGATCCGAGCGTTACGCACAGTATCTTTTTGTCACCTTGATCGTGTTCGAACAGAACCGTCCCAGAAAGCCCTTTGGGAGACTTGAGAATTGGGAAGCTGCGACGATAGCTGGTATGCACCCATTTTCTGACTTCCTCGTTTGCTGATTGGACGAAGTTAGGCGTTGGCAATTTATCTGTAGCAATCTGGGCAAACTGTTCGTTATTGGCAAGGGATTTGGGGAAATTTCTCAGAAGACGATACCCATCCAATGGTAGCGGGCCCTTCCGAAGATGGAGTGTATGGCTAGGTAGTAAAGCTTGATGCATGCTCGGTTCACTGTGAACGAACTGTCGGATGAAAATAGTCTGCAGATCTCTTTTGGTTCAATCGATCCGATGAAACATTTTGGTCGGACGCAAGCGTATTGCTCAGAACCTGAGGAAAGCTTTCTGAGGTAGATGCCTTGATATGCGCGGGTCTAATCTGTGGCTCTGTAGTTTATCGCAATGAAGGAATCCACAGTTAAATGAACCAGCTAATAGACCGAAAATATTTATTTTTAGAGGGGAAAATCTAAACATAATTACAAAGCGATGTACCAACCTTGGAAGTTGGTGGTCTTGCGTAAGAATCAGATCACCAGCTAACCCCCAATCAAATCTTGTGGTCATTCAAATGCCGGATATTCCTTAATGCCGCTAGTCTAATCCGAAATGCTATGATTGTCAAGGACACTTTAAATCAGAAAGGCCTTCAAAGGCTTAGTCGCGAAAACTCATGGGATAGGATATCACTTCCAGCAGAGAATCTGCCCGTTTAAAAATCCGAGCCACCCATCCTCATTCTCCACCCAGGCCCTCCACGCTGCTGCCATATGCTGCAATTCTTTTTCGCTGGCAAGTCCTTCACGAACCGCAGTCGCTGCGAGACCAGAGGAGCGGATTCTTCCCTCCATTGCACCGCCCCAGTACTCTCGTTCAGTGGGGCTACTGAAGCACCATGACCCAGTACTCTTCTTGATTTTCTCTAAGGGAAAGCCAGCCCCCTTTGCCCAGACATGCAGTTGAGTACCTGCCTTCATAAAATTGCCCTTAGCCTGTCGCATTTGGTCCTGGAGATCACTCCAAGCTGCTATGCCCTCTGATTCAGGGTATAATGTCGAGGTGCTAGTCTCTTGTACTGCCACGATGCCTCCCTCCTTCACAACGCGTCGCATCTCCTTGAATGCCTGCACTGGATCTTCAATATGTTGTAGAACCTGGTGTGCATGAACAACATCAAAAGTGTTTTCAGGAAACGGGAGGTTGTGTATATCACCGACTTCAAACGAGACGTTCGTCACTCCTTCGGAGCTAGCAAGAGACCGTGCACCATCTAGCGGATCGGATACATATTCCACGCCAACCACATGGCCCTGTGGAACTTTCCGTGCCAGATCGATTGTGATTGAACCTGGACCGCAGCCAACATCAAGAATGCTCATATGTGGCTGTAGATATGAAAGAAGATACGCGGCCGAGTTATTAGCATCGCGCCAAGTGTATGTTTGCAGGACCGATGGAGAATGATCATTCGTATAAGTTTGCGGCATCTTTTCAATGTTGTCTGAGACAGATAAACTTCAAGTTTGTAGTGGTGATAATGACAGTGAACCTTCCGAGCCGAGGACGCGAAGTAAAAAGGTAAATAACTCCCAAGCTACATATTCAGGTACGCCCGACCTTTCGCTTCGGTCCAGGAGCAAAGCGTAAGGTGGGGGTGGGGTCCGTTGGCAAGGTTCAAGTTTATCGCGGCCAGATACGGAGGGACAAAAGTACCCATGTTCTCCACTCATGCATGCCCCACATGGCTAAACAGGTGGGGCATGCACAAGCAGTGTATGTACTGCAGTGGACAGTATGTACCCACGGGCCACACCGCCAGTTTTTGAGTTTGTGATCAATAGATCGTCATATGAATCGTCATATATTTCAGCTGGAGATTTCTTTTTCTAGATTCCTGCAGGTACTAAATCTCAGGATCTACCCTTTCTGGCCTGCATCGAGCGTAGTATCCATAATTGAGCCTAACTGTGTCTGTTTCAGGGTGGTGTATTCAGTTGACATGTAAAATAAACCCCCTTATATTGGTTAAGAGTCGAAAAACAACTTGAATTTATGACGCGCCACTGTATCACTGTTTATCTTTGTATTAATAACATCTATTGATATCTGCAGAAGTGGATACCACGCTCAATGCACGCCACAGGGGTACAATGCCAATCTCTTCCCTCCGAATAATGAGGGCCCAAAAAGACTCAAAAATAAGGCAGACAACAATAACAACAGGATCTGGATTCACGCCACACTAGTAATTTATATAAAAAAGTTTCGATTAGCTAGATCGCCAAGACTCGGACGTGTAAGCGACATCGGAGTGAGCTAATAATCTGGCTACCTAGCTCGTACGTAGTATTACAGACCCGCCAGTAACTCGACAGCAGCAAGACCTTCAGCCGCGCTTTGCTGGATCACATTATGTACATCGAACCGTCGACTACCAGTGGCAAAGCCAGGTGGGCGGATTAAAGTATCCGTGTCAATAACTTGGAAGTTATTTGGCCTCTTATAAGTCACGTGGAAATTTCGAAATTAAAAAGTGTGATCGCCGTACAAGCCAGTCCAACTCGCTTATTCCATCACACCAAAATGTCGGCAATCATTGGAGAACCCCTGGCTTCGGCCAGCGAAAACATAGTGCCAGCATCAATTGCGCACGACGTTAAGGCAGCACAATGTTTAGACACGCTCAGCACAACCGCAGCCCTTGGAACCTCCATGTTGACCATTAGGCGACGAGCGCACTTCGAGACATCCAAGCGGGTGATTGCTGCTGCAGTTAACGAGCGTCTGGCCATCGGAACTCTTGACACATCTGCAGGCCACACTTTGTTGTTGCGTGCACCTAACCCCGAAGCCATAACTGGGGATAATGACACTTGGATTAAGTGTGGTATCAGTGCTGACGCCTACGTTGAAAAGGACGGCTCCAGATTGATTGGATTTTTGCGGGCTGAAGACCTACTCCAACCCGTTCTAACCGGAAGCACAACGAGCGAGGCACATGAGGAGCTCGACCCGACAGTGTTGGCCCGTATCATTTGCCGTTGGCGACCTGACCTGGTGCAAAGTGACGGCGGAGAAAAACTCATTAATGAATTGCAGAATGCTACTAACAATCAGGGTAAGTTCAACAATTTCTGCTATGTTGGGCTTGACTGAATCGAGGTAGTTAAATGGCTGGAAATTGCCACCACTCAACCAAGACTGAATCTGCTGTCTCCACTTCCTGATTGGGAGCAATCAGTCGTAACTGGGCATCCCACTCATCCGGTATGCTTCTTCGTTTCTCTTGGTGTGCTTTACAATGGAATTAACCGTACTTAGCTTCACAAAACATGCTTTTCTCAAGCCCCACTGAAGCCCATTGTGCCTGATGACATCCCAGAACTTTTATCACCTGAATTGACGTTCCTCTCCGTCCCAAGGTCGGAATTAAAAGTCACTGGAGCCTTTGAGCAGCTTATAGAGCCGCTTCTAAAATCGGTTGGGGTTCCAACAGAGCCCGAGCAGCTTGATCATGTTATTGTACCGTGCTTCACTCGCCAGCTGCCAAGCATCATGCCCTTGTACCCTCAAGCGCGTCGCATTAAAAGTGTCCCAGACGCCTGTCGAGCACAGATATCAATGCGCAGTGTATCATTCAAACCTCACGTTGCCTTTCCTCATCATTTAAAGATGTCGCTATATGTTCAAATTACTTCTGGTTTGAGGAACGTCAAACCCTCGGGCGCAATTCTGGGTCCTACGATTCTCAAACTACTACCAAACCTGCTTCCACCAGACCTCAATCTATGGTGGTTCCCAGAGCCTGCATCCGTCACAGGTGGGCAGGATGACTTCCTAGACGCGAGCCAAATAACATGCCTTATCCGAAAGCTCCCAGAGCAGCTGGCCGAAAACCCTGATGAAGTACTTATCCCCGGTGCTGGGATAATGCAGAAGCCTTGGAACGAGGATCAATCATACATGGAGATCGTATTTGGTCTTGATGATTTAAAGAAAAAGCAAGATTGGTTTAGAAAGTAAGTTTTGCCAAGGTTTCCTGGCTTGGCTTCATGGTCAACAGACGTGACTAACCCTCGAATAGGTACTGTGTGCTATTGTTCTCCTCTATTCTGCCTCCCTTGGTTCAATACGGACTTGGATTCGAAAGTCACCTTCAAAACGTCGCCATCCGTGTCAATGTTAAAACAAACGAGGTAACAGGTTTTGCTATCCGAGATTTCGAAGGAACTAGGATCCATTACCCTACATTCCTCCGATCTGGATATGACCTTAGTGAGCTCCCTCCAGGTTCGCCCAATCTTGCCGATGACCTCCGTTCCCCTTGGAATAAGGTGCATCATTCTCTCATTCAGGATCATGTGGGCCCTATCTTGCACATATTAGGAATCGAGTCTCATGGGGGTTGGACGATTGTTCGTGAAGAGCTGGAAAGAGCGCTGAACCCCTCTGAAGACCCCGAGGGCAAAGCTTTGTATGATTTCCTTGCGAAAGAAACAATGCCCATCCCGGGTTTCATGGGGATGCGGATGATTGGGCGTTATATTGAGGTAAGTCTGGTGATCTCTGCAAAAGAGAATAATCCCCGTATAAGTGAAATGCAGCTGACACTGAACAGAGTCACGAGGTAGAGATGCCAAATTTTGTTCTCCGGGCATGATAATGGGAGGTATAGCAATCGGCCGTTTGTAGGCTTTAGGCCTTCATTAGCCGTAAGCCCGCATCCTAGCTTAGCAGGTAGCTTCTATCTTTTAATTTCATATCATCAAGTCTTGCGTATTTTTCATTCCTTGCTGGTAGCGTAGTCACCTCTCAGTAATAGCAGTAGGGAACATTGTCCAGAAGAGAAATCTTGGCGCTAGAAAAGCTCCCAGGTATTTGGAAAGTTTACAAGCAGCTCTATGGGCTGTACGATAGGGCCCTGAGAACATTGAAGTCAACCTTGTTAATATAGTGACTTGAATATCAGGTAAGGTTCTCGAACATTTTAGATCTAGTAACTATCTTAATATTCCCCAGGCAAGGGATCCGGTATTACTTGAGGTGTGGTAAGTGACAAAAAGGATAACTGATCAACGGCGTAGTAATCGATATATTTTCTTTATGTACATTTACTGCGCTAGCACAGCTGCAAGAGATTCATCTAGAATCCGGATAGCCTCGTCGATTTCCTTGGCTGATACAGTAATAGGTGGGACCAGGCGAACAACAGATCCCTGAGCAGGAGACGGAACAACACTACATGAGAGTCCACCAGCCAGGGCTTTATCTACTACTTGAGCCCCCACTTCCTTCGCAGTAAGCTTAGCCCCAGGAACTGAGTTCAATTCCAAACCCTGAAGAAGTCCCCGGCCACGGGTATCTCCAATCCAATCCCCATACTTCTCCCGAAGCCGAAGTAAGCCATCGGCCAGCTGGACACCCCGCTCGGCTGAATTTTGACAGAGCCCATCACGTTCAACAATCTCAAGGGTTTTGCTCCCAACGGCTGCAGTTAAAGGATCATTCTGGTGCGTTGTGTTCCAGTAGAAAACTGACCGTCGAGTACCTTTCTCAATTTCGGCACTTGTGACGAGAGCCGCAAGAGGAACTCCACAGCCTAGTGTCTTGGACAAGAGAAGAATGTCCGGAACAAATCCCTCCTCCTCTTGAAAGGCGAACATCTTACCTGTCCGCCCAATACCCGTCTGTGCCTCGTCAACGATCAGCACTATTCCCCGTTTCTTACATTCAGCACTCAATCGCGTCAAATAACCCTTGGGAAGTTCTAGAATTCCACCACCAGAAAGAATCGGCTCGATCACAAAGGCTGCCAGTGACCCAACGGTCTGGCGATCGATCAATGACCATCCATATTCGAATTCAGCCTCCCAGTCGTAAACCCCATTCTTCTGGAATGGCGATCCGTATGCATATGGTGCAGGCAAAGCCAGCTGGCCAGGCATGCATGGGAGTCCTGTGTTACGATACTTGGAGAAAGTGGCGGACATGGCAGAGCTTGTCTGGCCATGGTAGCTGGCAGTCAGAGCAATGACCTCAAATTTTCCAGTGTAGGCTTTAGCCAGCTTGATTGCTGCCTCCACGCTCTCGGATCCCGTATTCAATAAAAGGGTTTTCTCAAGAGGCGGGGGAAGCAAGCGAGCCAATCGTAGGACTAGATCCACCACGGGCTCTGCGATCATGGTGCTGTGTAGGTGATCGACCGTCTCAATCTGCTTTTTGACCACATCCACGATTTCGGGATGAGAATGACCGAGCAGAGAACTCCGTTGTCCAGAGGTGAAGTCGAGAATTTGACGTCCATCGCTATCTGTAAGATAGGTACCCAGTGCCTTGACAACTTTCACTGGCGAGATAATTATGCCAGTGTATAGGAGGTGCTTCTTAGCAGCTTCAAGGTCGTATGTCGTCATGCTTGCGAAATATGGTCAATTTTGGTTTAGAGCTGGAACTTGAAGAAAGTCCTTCAAGTCAAAGCAGACATGTATAATAAGACTAGAATTGAGAGGACGGTAAATTCCCTCTTTTCTTTTTTTTCCTTTGTCAAATTATAGGCAACCCATTTGCGAACAATGTTCTTACTGCCGGTGTGCGACCAGGACGCATACCGGGACATTGCATAGGACGGCAAGTGCCCCACGGCCGATCGGCTGAAGGGAGTCCGAGTAAGGCCGTGATCGTGCATAGTGGGCCCGAGGAAATGGTGCATAATAGTGGACCGATCAAGTCGCCTTACCACTCACCGCTGCTTGGATTCAGCTCAGCCCTGTTTAAGTTCAGCTGTACCTTCACCCAAGCGAGCACCCAGGTAGGTAGGGATAGTCGCACCCATGGTTCATTTTGCGGGACTGGACCGTGCCGTGTTGACTGGGGCCTAGATCGTCCCGAAGTACTATCTGGAAGCTCGGGCCTTATTGCATCACCCCTGCTCCACACTGGCAAATATCGTTTTGAAATACACTTCTGTACACCCCGCCCGGCCATCGTGTCTTCAGGGCAACAGGCGGGGCGTGCACAATGGAAGTACCCACCCGCTCCCGCGGTCTTTGTACAGCTTTAGTTGCAGACAATGCAGCCCTGTAGACATCATTCAACAAACTATGCATCCTAGTATATCTTCAAGTTGATCATAAAAAAAAAGATTGCGAGGGATTTTGATTCATCCCTCAATACCCACGAATGCTTCAAATTGCTATTCGCCCGGGTTTACTATGCAGGCACTGATTAATTACGTAGCTTGATCCACAGTAGAGATACAGGGAATGCCCAGATGGTGATAGATCCAGGACCCACAGAGATTGCCCATCTGGTGTTTGTACATACATACAAGATCCACGATTCACAGGAAAAACACAAGGAAAGATGATACATCCATCAACATCCATAAATGTCAGTGCTCGGTCTTCGCATACGCATACAGTACAGTAGTTTCATTTGTAGACACTAAATGAATCACGAACCTTGATCAACAGTAAAAATATGGGTCCTTGTCACGAATGCCCGATCTTCGCACAGTTTTAGTGGCAAACAATAAATGAATTACGCCTTGATCAACAACCAAAATTTGGGTAACAGTAATATGTAGGTATCCATGAACACATGCCGATGAATGTCCGCTCTCCGCACGGTTTTAGTTGTAGAAAGTAAATGAATTACGTATCTTGATCAACAGTTAAAATACGGGTAATGGTGGTACATCCATGAACACCCATGAATGCCCGCTTGCAGACACTACATGAAAGATAGTTTGGACATTCCGCACTCCCCACAATCTGACACCAGCCGAACATGATCGGCAAGCAGAGCTCCTGGTATAACAGTAACCGAGGTATAAAGCTGATTTCTCCCCCGAGTCTGTTTTATGGTCTGAATTGGCCTGAACCTTCTATTGATCATTTTTCCTGTCCAGAGTACTTCAAGTTCGCGATGAAATACCAATCACCCCCGCCTCTTGGTCATGCTGTTCCTGTATCAAAGGAGCACGCTATATCCGTGCAATTCCCTGTCTGGGCTGATGTAGCGGGTTATGGAGCAGGAAAGCCAGAAGTTTCAGAGGCTCTACAAAATGGATATCCCAGAACATTTCTGCACACAAAAGTTCGAGAAGTATGCATCTATACTCCCAGTGAACTGAAACTTGACTTAGCCTCGAGACTAATGTACGAAAAAATAGTTTTCCGACCTATGTATCCGAAATCTTCCAACCCCCGCGGAAAGCATTGCTGTGTTTCCTGATTACGACAGCGCAGCAGATTGCCGATCTTTTCTTCTTGATAAGGAGGTCAACCCAGATGGTGCCGTTGAAGAGAAGGATACTTCGCTCTTCGCTGTGAAACTCATCCAGGGACCTTCTCAATCCGATGTCAACTTTTCCTACATCCCTCAGCTCTATGCTGTTACGCATCCAAAGAGCGCGGAAGCAACAAAAATGACTTTCTGGCGGTTGAATGGCCGCGGAATATCTTCGAGGCTAGCAAAGCAATGCCTCCAATGTACCCAATGCCAACTAACGCCTACCAAAGGCGCGCTGCAAGGGTCACCATCTACCCGCGACTTTCCCCTCTATGACACACTTCGCAAGCGGGTAGCTGATCTGCTTGTGCGCGCTCCCATTAATTCCAAGAAAACCCTGCCAACCAGCGATGATGTGTATCTCAGCGCGTCGGGCATGGCTGCGCTCTACCACGTGAATCAGTCACTTCTACGATGGCGAAGCGATGACATTGTTATGCTCGGCTTTCCTTATGAGCTAACAGTGAAGATGATTGAGACGATTGGCATACCATGTCACATGTATAGCTACGGCCTCGATAAAGACATCGATAATCTAGAAAAACTCTTGATCTCGCGAGCTAAGGAGGGCCGAAAAATTCAATCTGTATGGTGCGAGTGTCCCAATAACCCGGTCTTGCGAACACCGGACTTGCGCAGAGTGCGCGATCTGGCCGACAAATACGATTTCCTCTTTGTGATCGACGACACAATAGGAAGTGCGGCCAATATTGATGTGTCAGATGTCGCTGATGTTATTGTCACATCCTTGACTAAGAATTTCAGTGGCTATGCTGATGTTCTTGGAGGGTGGTAAGTCCCCAGATCCGTCCTCGCGCGTTTTATTACACAATCAGCAGACTAATGAACCAAAATTGACAGTGTTACTTTGAATCCACACTTCTCTCATTACCAGGAGCTCAGTAAAATATTTGCTGCAACTCATGTAAATAATCTCTATGCAGAGGATGCCATCCAGCTGGAGTTGAACAGTCGCAATTACCTCGAGCGTTTTACGCAGCAAAACAGCACTGCTGCCTATCTGATTGACTATCTTACTCCCTACATCGCTGATTCCAACAGTGCTCTGGCTGATATTTACTCGCCTCGTGTCTGCTGGAGCCGCAAGAACTATGAAAGCTTCTTGCGCCCCGCCACTGACGAGTTCGAGCCGGGATTTGGCTCTGTATTTGGAGTTGATTTTGAAAACACCGAGCAGGCCTCGGCATTCTTCGACAACTTCCCAGTATGCAAAGGGCCTTCCTTTGGCGCGAATGTTACGATTGCGCTACCCTATGTCCAATTGGTTATGCAGAAGCAAAAGGATTGGGCAAGAGGACATGGGTTGAATGAGACCTTGATTCGGATTTCTATCGGTCTCGAAGACCCAGAGGTGCTTCTTGAGCACATTAAAGGGGCGCTGCAGGCGGCGGATGAGGCTAAAAAGCAGAGTTTGAATGGCACTGCAAATGGCACTGCGAATGGCACTGCGAATGGCACTGTAAATGGCACTGCAAATGGTCTTCATTAGGTGGACTTGTGGGTAAAATTGAGCCCTTTCAAGCACCCGCGCGATAATGGACCGGGTGTGATCATGTACAACAATGTTAGAGGGCGCTTGAAGATTGTTTTCGGTATAATTTTTAGTTCAACTTGCAGTATTTACTCTGGATCTCGATTCCCTGCTAAGCATTTTGTAGAAGAGCTTTTAGTCTTAATTATTCCTTTGTGTATACCACTTTTGCGCCGGTCTTTTATAGTAAATAAAGTAGTACATTCTGTCCTCAACATGCGCTTGAGTTGGAGGGCTAGGCTCAGTGCTCCACCTAGTCTATTTCCCTACTGTCAGCATCTTCAAATTACCCGAGACACCCGTGCGTATCGGAAGCTTGGGTTCTTAGATTCCGAACTTGGGCGTGTTATGCTAGACAGCTATTCTATGGATAAGTAGAGCGCAGAAAACTAATAAAATTTGCTATAGAAGTGAAGGTCTGCCCGGGACCCGGGCAACTGGTACAGAGATTCAAATTTAGAATCATTTCTTTATTTGTAATGAATTTCTTCAGATTCAGCTGAAATCCATAATTTAGTAAAGCAGATCTGATTTTTTTTTGATTTTTTTGATCGGGTGTGCCACCCGGTAACACTTCATTCAAAGTGGACCCTTTTTGCCCCTTTTCTTTCTTCCCCATTTTTCTTCCGAATATGTCTCTCCCTACTCCGTATTGATATATTTAATATTATAAAGATATCTACATTACTGTATATAGAGAGTAATACAATATATACTATTTATACTTGGCACAAGCGGGCCAAATACTGTGGAACATCGTAGGGCACTCCATGGTACAACCCGCATCACGGGCCGCCCGGGACAGTGGGTTCCAAGGTTTGGGACATGGGAGAACATCCAGATGTCTTGTCCGACAACCCCACTCAGTGAACAAGTCTCATATCGCCAGCTCTGAAGTTGAGGGCTCGCAGCTTGTTCATTTTGTTGTGAGCCTTTACCTGTAGAAAGCCATTGAAATTCTATGATCTAAAGTGATTTTATCTTCTTCCAAGGTTGCCGATCACATCAAGTGTCTGATCGTGATGCAGAGATCGTCATGGCAATCCTGTTCGTGGCAAATTCGGCCCCACTCGAGGTTCACTATTGATTTGCATCCAAGCAAGGGTCAGGCTGCTTTTTCCCCCTAAATGCCGTCACTTCAGCTTCCGGTCCATATAACTTTCCGCTCCCCGCATTAAGTTGAAAAGTCTCCAAGTTTCCCATCTCAACGTGTGCGATGGAAAACTCAGCGACTACGCCCGTATGGGGCTTGAAATGGCGGTCCTCAACGTGGTTCATCGTGGCAGCGATGTGTGCCGCGTTCTTCACCGGTACCGTGCCCGTCCCCTTTTCTTTCCGCGGAGAAAACATGAGAAAAATGAAACTAACCTCTCTTCCTGATTGGTGAATGAATAGACACGTATTTGGCCAGTTTTATTGACCCTATTCTTCCGTTCATGCTCGAAGACCGCTTGCATTTGGACAAATCCTACACGCAAACCATGACCTCATGGATCCTAGCTGAGCAGGCGGCTATCGGTGTGCTTATTCGTGTTCCATTGGCGCACTTTGCGGATAAGTACGAGTCGAAGCGTAGCTGGTTTCTTTGGGGTCTGGGCATGTCTTTCGTTAGTAACTTCGCGACAGCATTTGGTTCATCCGGTATGTACGGATCCGTCAGCCTTTTTCAAAGGGAACATCTGAATAGCTGACCACACATCAAGTTCCTCTACTGTTTATCAGTCGATCTATGCTGGCATTATCTAGCAGCATTATGTGGGTGGTGGGAATCTCGACCGTGGCTAATGTCGTCTCCGTCGAAAACACTGGCAAAGCCTATGCAGCGGTATCAGTCGCAGTCTCGTCGGGTTCGTCATGTGGGCCCATGATAGCAGGAATCTTGCTTGACACGACGGGCTATTGGCCAACATGGGCAAGTACCTTGGTACTGCTCTTCATCGACACAACATTTCGACTCCTGATGGTGGAAAAGAAGTCTCCTGAGAAGACCGGTAGGTTGCTTTTATACGCTCCTAAGTGTTATTGATTGGTTTGCTAAAACTTGATTTCTAGATGCTACCGACGCTTCGCATACTAAACAAGACTCGGTTTCGGAGAGATCTCCCCTTCTCGCCACAGAGCCTCAACAAGTTCAGGAGGAAGTAGCAAATGAGGTTGAACCAAACTTCTACTGGTGCGTCTTCAGGAAAAAGAACTTTGTTGCTGGTGTATTCTGCGCTTTCATGTTCGGCTTAATGACGGCAACATTCGCCGCCACTGTCCCATTGCACACCCGCGACACATTCCACTGGGGTGGCTCTCAATCTGGTCTTGTCCTTGGTCTCCTTCAGGCTCCTCGCCTTGTCATGTCTCCATTCGTGGGTTGGCTCAAAGATCGCGTCGGGACGCGGGCGCCAAGTGTATTCGGCTTTCTTCTCATGGCTCCATTCATTTGGGTTCTGGGTGTCCCCGGGAACGATACCTTCGCTACAGTCGTCGGAGATTCGGGGCCTTCTATCTATGTGTTTACGACTGCTTGCATCGGAGTTCAACGGTCGTTTCTCAATGGATTAGGACCAATTGAAGCCACAGGTAAGTGCTACAATTTTGCAGAGACAAAAAGGAAAGAAATACTGAATGCTTTACTAACACGTCGAAAGTGGCTGTCAATGAGTTGCAAACAGAGTACCCCGGCAAGTTTGGTCCCAATGGGGGCAAATCTCGCGCCCTTGCAATTAGCGGCGTTGCTACCATCCTGGGATCATGCGTGGGTCCAATTTTTGGAGGTCTCCTTAACGAGCAATTTGGATACTATGTTATGAATTGTGTTTTGGGTAAGTTTTCATTCCTTATTGCTGGAGCTTCAGTGCTTACCCCTCGTAAAATAGCCGGTTCGTGTATTTTATGCGCAATTGTTGCACATTGTTGCTTCACCTCGCGATTGGGGGTAAAAAAGTGAGCTATGTGGACAATAATATACTAATATTCCTATCATTAAATGTCAATACAATCAATGTGAAAAGCAAGCGTCAGTCAAGCGGGGAATTCGATGCATGGCATTGGAAAAATAAGAAGCTTCAACAAAATGGTTCTGGCCTTGGAATTTAATTTCTATGTATATATACTTTAAATAATTCCAATATAAACTGTACTCGAAAAAGAAAGAAATCTTCATCGGTCATCTTTCTCATCCACCGATTTCTCGGCCTGTTCTATCCCTTTACCTGCGTGGATTGAAGTTGATTTCAGCCCTTCGCAAATTTGAAGTAGTTGCACCGTGGTGATCTCTGGTCCGAGTTTATGGCACAGGCATCCTGTCTCCCTCTCCGCTTAAGATCAACAGATTATCTTCACGCTTCACTACATCTCTACGTCCTACACTTTTGAGGCTTTCATTAAGGGTTTTTTCCCCAGTAGTTCAAGGACGTATATCAATACATGTAAATCCATTGGTGATGACAAGACACGACTGCTTTGTTATATTCATCACTAAAGGAGCATCGAAATACAAGAACTAACATACAACAGTCAGACTTCGGGGTGGGAGCGGGTGAGAAATCACCCTCCATCGCGTGAAGGCCGATTTTGACCCCCAAGCTGAGCAAAAGTACATACTAAGCATCTGCACATAGCCTTCATATGTTCATTATGATGGAAAAACATGACAGTTATCCGATCGACGAGCTCGTACATTGTGTTGAAATCGGACTCCGGTCGAGCCAGCGTCTTAGCATCTGCGCATAGCCTCCTTAGTGGTTGGTCCATAAAATCATACCGCAGTTTCAGAGTCCGCTGGTATTCCCTTGAAAGAAGCCCATCACAATGTTTCATTGCTCACATGTCGGAATTAACCGCACGGTCACGCACAGAGCGGAATAAAGCATATCTCAATGCCGGCCGTGGATCAATGAAAAGTTGTTGGACATATAGAATGCTTCCCTTGATTAAGTCGATCACCGTTATCCCTTTATCATACGTTTTCAGTGAAGTTGTCGGTTTGTTCGACATCAGAATAAGCCCCTCGAGGGATTATGGTGATAGTCAGTAAGAGAGTGTATATGCCGCTATGGAAATCATCACTGCAGTCTTGGCATTCCTCTACATACCACGGATTCAGTAATTTGAACAAGGACGATAGTATATACCAGACGGTCGCCAAAATGGAAAGGTCTACAAAGAAGGCACACATTCAACTACGATTCTCCCATCAGAATGCGCGTTGGATGTTGGAATAGACACCGGCTAAGGCTTAAATTTCATTCAATAGTTCGTCTACTTTTGCCTCGAAAAGAACTTCTAGTGATCTAAACCTGTCCCTAGCTTCTTGGTAACCCGATGGTCTGGTACTCAGTATGTCATGAACGAGTCTTATTGTAGTCCATCAAGTGAGCTTCTGATCAAGTAGCTACATATTACTGCCATAAACTATGAAGCTTTTCCGCCTTCAGGACCGTCGTCCCAGTTATACAGAAAACCACATACAAGCAGCCAGACTGAGTGTGTTCGTCACGGCAAGGATCAAGAAACACAATTGGAAAAGGCTATAAACGCATTCAAATTATCTATTGGAATTAGAAAAGTCTCACAGAAGAAAATAATAAGAAAAGCAAGCTTTACAAGCGGTGGGACTTAGGTTTAAAATTGAGAAAGCTTCTTCCCAAGATTATCGTTGGGATTAATATTGCAATGGGCGTCGACAGGTCCCAAAATCGAATTTGCTTCAGTACGGCACTCCGAAACATGCCTCCGCTGAGTAAAACCAACATCAGGGCCCACAAATGACACAAAAATATCTTTGGTTGCTCCCTCGTCATTTCTTCGGCGAATCAATGCAAACTGAACCTTGGATTGATCAAGGTATTCAGTGATTTCGTTGATATCTCCCTGCCCGGATGCGGCGAAAAATAAAGATCTTGCATCTTTGACATAACTCATCAGAACCCAAGAATCGGCCTCATTGGCATTTCTGAGGTTTCCCAAAGCCTTGCTGACCTGAGGGTCTATTTCCGACATTGTTGAGAGTTGGGTTTGGTAATTTGTAGATGGTAGAGAGGAAGAGAGAAATAACGTAGCTGGGACCCTAGGAAGTGTCAAATAAATCCCGAGTTATAAAGGGGTGGAAAGGTATCGCAATAATTGGAGTAACTCGAATTTTCTTCGGCTAATCATGGAGTCTTCATGCCCCTGTTTAGATACCCTTCAGCTGAATCGTGATGGCCTCGCCTTGTGAGGGGCACCCAGTTGTGTATGTCTGATTTAGTTTCCCATATGTGTGGAACTGGCTAAACATATTTCCTGATCAGACATACTACGCACAACTGGAACGCCCTGTAAGTATAATCCATGTACTTAATGCACGTTTGTGTGACCATATTCGTTCCCGAACGATGATTTTATTATTTTATATAGTCGAAATAGCTTCATTCTTTCTACAGAGACCAAGCCCATCCACAAATAATACAAAATTATTTGATTTTTTGTTGTTTGCTGTAAGATGTAAGACGAGGCTCCAAGGTTCCAAGGTTATAGTATCCGCGGAAGGTTTTTGATGAGATACACTTCTTTAAATCTCTTTCTTCAACTGAGTCAATTCAATATTTCATGTGGAGGCCGCATTGACAAGTGTTCATGGGGCCTAAACATCCCACAGTCGAGCACCTAGTGGCTTGTTACCCATTAAGGTTACTATGAGGGCAGGACGGGGTCGGCCAGGATACCAATCCCAAGGCTGAATTAGGGTGAGCGCGGGTATAACCCCACGGTCCGAAAAGCCGCCATAGATCATGGCAAAAAGTAGATCCTCTAAGCCATTTAAAGGCATTGAACATGATAATTTTCCGCTGATTCAACGCCAAGCTCGGGTAGATGTCACAGGGGTCCTTAGTATAAACTCCAGATCCAAACCTGAAACTTTTTTCTCTCTATTTTGACCAAATTCTCCGTCCAGGACATATCTTCCAACAGGCTCAAGCTTTACAAAATAATTCTACCATCCACCATGCACCATGCACCACCTTACTTCTCTCCCCCCTGTAGCCCAGCCCATCAATTTATTCGGCGACTTTGTCTCCGATGTACCGCAGACCATCGTCTTGAAAGAAAAGATTATCTCCTTCTCCGGGGACAGCTTTGAAATCAAGCTGCACAACGATCAACCAATTTTGAAAGTCAAAGGCTCCTGGGCACCGTTTCAAGGTCGCAAGAAGGTCGAAGACATGAACCGTCAACGCCTGTTCGACATTACCAAAGAGCATATTCACCTCCATACAACCTATGTGATTGAGGACCCTGAGCGCGCCAATATTGTCGAGATCAGAAGCAATCTCAAATGTAAGTGCGATCTTTTTCAATAACGTTTCAAGGTAAAGTACCCGATTATTGACTTCAGTAGTTATCGGCTCTAATGCCATTATGACTTTCAATGATCGCAACGGCAAGCCAGTGACTCTTGGTATGAGTGGAAAGTTCTTCAAGCACAATGCCGATATTGTTGATTAGAAAAACGGTTGAGTAGCAGCTCATATTTGTCATCTGCGACTTAGTCCTGTAAAAAGATGTTTGGTCAGGACACCTATTTTGTCACTGTAGTGCCTGGTGTTGATATGGCATTGATCGCTGCCTTGTGTATATGCTTTGACGAGAAGAACCATGGTTGAGGGAAACTAGTTAGTAGGATCATGTGTGCCTGGTGGACAGGGATGGGGCTTCAAGTTGGGTAGACTTTAGTCGCATCATTGTGGGAAAAAAATATTCAAAAGCCATTGACTTATCGGATTCCTAAGCGCGTGTTGAACTTGTTGGGCTTTCAAAACATAACAATTACACATAATCTGCAGATTATGCGTACTGTAACACGCATGTCTAGTCTCTATGCAAGGAGAGATGAAGCTGCAACTTGAATAACAAGATGATGGGTGGATCATTTCAGGGGTGACGATTGGGAGAAAATGCAGGGAGAAGACCTGCGAAGAATTCCCATAAAGCCACGTGTTAGTACTGCCTGCATATGACTATATATACAGTTGAACGAATGGTGAACTTAATATCCATAGTATAACAATTGCCGGGGCATCAATACCATGTAGTTTCTAATATTAAGTCTTTTCAACCTCGGAAAAACTCCGGGCATGTAAGATCAAGTTTAAGCCTCAAGAATTAAACCCATTCAATTTCAAGAAACTACACCGCGTGAATCAGACCCTGAAAAAAACGTCGTCCAAGATTGTTGTGCTCCTGTAGATGCATTACCTCTACGCTAGGCCCACAACGCTTCGCAGTCGATTTCCACAAACTTACTAGCGGCGTGAGATCAATGATCCCCAATCTAAATCCAGTAACGATCGACTGAGCCCCCAATCATCTATACAGCACTTTCCACCTTAGTTCCCCGGAGATAGTCTCCAAGATCAACTCTAAACTGTCAGCTCGCATTCGTTTTCCTGAATATGGCATATATCATGAACTGGGGTGTTGCATAGTATGACTTTCCATGCCAGGGCCCTCCAAACCCATTCACCATTGGATAACTGGTGATTTTAATTCATTTGGCATTTCCTTCTTTCAGGCAAGATCGAAGCAATTCGAAGCCATTGACGTGAAATGAGGTTCCAAATAATTCCCTAGATGGATCTACAGGGTCTTTGACCTGCTTGGCATGAACCTCTCTGCTCTACTTAAATGAGATGAGAGCCTCTCGAGATACCTCAGAACAACAAGCCTTCAAGTTTCTGAAAATCCATTCACCTCTACCTAATAAGCCTCCATCGTTAAAAATGCCTTCCGTGAAGGACCTCCTCATACCAGCTGTCCTGGCACTTGCTATGGTTTCAAATGCCGAAACAATAGTAAGTCTCCCATGCATACTTGGAAGAATTCTTTTACATACCAGAATCCTTTCACAAACACTTGCTGGCACTTGAACACCATCTAACAAACCCAGACCGGTGGCCTCAACGGCAACAGCTGCCCCAGCGATTGGCAAAACAGCATAGTCAACAACGATGCCAGATGCTGCTACGGATCTACTACTGTTGAAGATCACGAGGGATACTGCTGTGTCCACGACTTTTCCGTCCATCTAGGTAATATGTACCAGGCACGCGATGATAGCAGCGACTGCTTTCCCTTCTGTTCTATCACTACCGATGGATTCCTCTCAATGACTACACAGAGTTGTGTTACAAAGGTTCCATTTACTGCTAGTGATTACTCGAGCGTTGTATCGGTTGTTTCTTCTTCGCTTGCCTCCTCGAGCCCTGCTACCAATTCTGCTAGCCAGACTACGACGGATGCTGCGGGGTCTACGGGTCGTGTTACCTTTACTGTGGATTCGTCTACGGGTACATCTACTAATGGTGCCATGCCTCTTGCTACTGCTGAAGGTGTGGTTCTTGGAGCTGCGGCTGCTATGCTTTTTGCTTTATAGGATGCGCTTGGTTTCATGTGTTTGATTATCTGAGGATGTGCCTAGACAGGCAGTGAATGATGAAGTTTTCTAAATTGATACGGGCTATTTTGGTACACTGAATGAATGACTTCGATTTCTTACTAGGGTGCTCATTTAGCAATTCTAGACATGTCTAATAAAAATGGAAAACGGAGGTCATTGAGTCTCGCATCTCTGCTGTTAAGAAAAAAAAAGCATGCACCCTGAGTAAGGTTTACCAGAGAGGTTGGGATTAACTTGAAAATAAATAAATAAACAAACCCAGACCCACTTGAAAATAATAAGAATAGTGCATATTGATCTCCGGTGGAGAGCAAAACTACATCACTGGCCTATTACTCAGTTCGCAGGCATCTACATTGCCGGGTTTACAACTTTCATTATTATTAGGATGATGATTATAGTGGCTGTGTTCGGGCTAGACTAACTATAGCTTATCAGTTGCAAAATCAATAGGAGGTCTTCTTTGTATGTATGTGCATGACTAGGAATAAACTTGAAAGAGTATGATGAGTATGCGCGTGGCCACTGAACATCAAATCTTGGCAGCAACGTGCGTCGTCACCTATGGCTGGTGCATGCACCCCTCCAACCATCCCTTATTGACCGCCAGGCATCGGCACATAGACACTGCATTGTCGGTAGAGTATTCTGGACACCTCACTAAAAAAAGTCAGTGGAGAGAGATAACTAAGCCCCAGAAAACTTTATTCGAAGATCAAACAAATTTAGAAACAAGGGAGAAGGAAAAATCAATATTGGTTCGGACGGAGACTGCCGAGAATACAGGCCACAGAGTTATTTCGCGGTAGGTCAGTTGGCAAGTCAGTAAACGTATACTTTGTAGGCGCAGCAAAATGTAGAATGCGGCAGATGCGACCAGGTGCGGAAATTGCAGCGCTGCCAAGCGCAAAATGAAGAAGCCTGGCTGCTTAGATTATGTATCTCGGGCATGGGAAAATTTGAACAACTCCACAGGGCTAGGAGGATGACGAAGCTCAGACAAGTGCGTTGCTCGATCGGGTCGGGTGGCATGGCGATCCTTGTGCTGGACCATGGAATCTGGATTTCGGGAGAAAATTGAAAGGGTTCAGGGGGGAAATGCTTAGGGGAGATTCTGGATGTTAATATCTGTTGAGAACAATTAATCTAGTAGTTACGTTGTCATGGCGTATTCCGTGTAGGGTTTCCACGTCACTCGTCAATCCTGCTTAATCTACCTGATGCTTCGTTGATTCTTCTTGATTATCCTTGATGCCCTGGTGACGCTGATCAGCCACGGCCCATTTGGGTTTAGCGCGTACACGAATAGAAACAAGCGTGGCGTGGCTGGGGCAAGTGGGCCACATCACCAGCCTCGTTTATTGGCTCAGCCCTGAGTACCGAAGTTGTACACCACCACTTTCCAAATGCCGTCCATGCAAGGATAAAATCACTGACCTCACCCCGTTTTTTCGACATTTAAACTTATCCATCCTTCTCTGTTTATCCTTCCTCCTCCTCCATCTGTCCCAATCAATACCCATCTGCATCAATCCATCATGGGGAAAGCCGGTCGCGTTGCGTGTATCTTCACGCCCTATGTACTTACTATCGCCTCTTTGATCTGCATCATCTTCGTGGGTCTGGGCTGCACCAAAGCCAGCTCAAATGCATTGAATAATCTTTATTTCTTGCGGGTAAGTTTCGCAATCACCAATCACCACTGATTCAAGAGCATCTCACTAATATTGCAATGTTTATAGATCAACCTCGAAAACATGACCAGCGAAGGCTCAAAAACAACAACAAAGATAGAAAATATTCTCAGCGAAAACGGTATCACCGATGTCAGCTCCTCGGACGTCTCCGACGTCATCGACCAACTCAAGAGCGACAGCACATTAGCCGACTTCTACCAAATCGGTCTCTGGGGCTACTGCGACGGCGACATCACCAACAACAAGAAAGACGTCTCCACCTGCTCAAACCCCAAGGCCGAATTCTACTTCGACCCATTCTCCGTCTGGGGACTCGATGATTCATCCGTGGAAGACGAGCTCCCAAGCGACTACAACAAGCTCATGAAGATCTACAAGGCCGTCTCCAAATGGATGTTCATCGCCTACCTGATCGCCTTCATCGCCACAATCGTCGAGATCGTCGTTGGTTTCTTCGCTATCTGCAGCCGCTGGGGAAGCTGCGTCACTACACTCGTCGCTGTCTTCGCCTTCATCTTCACTGCTGCCGGATCAATCACCTCAACTGTCCTCTTCTCAATCTTCAGATCGACTCTCAAGGGTACTCTCGAAGCCTACGGAATCACTCTGTCGATGGGTAAGAACATCTACATCGCTACCTGGTTGGCTACTGCCTTCTCTCTCGCTGCTGTGATCTTCTGGACCTTCAGCGTCTGCTGCTGTTCCGGTCGCTCCCCCTACGGAAACCGCAACAACAACCGAAACATGCGCAGCATCCCCGCGGAGAAGGCTCCTTATAACTACGAGCCTCTTGGTGCAGGCCAGGCTCCCTATGGTCAACAGCAAAACACCTCTTACCCGGCTCCTGTTGCTCATGGTGACTACCCAGCACCCAACACCCACCAGCAATCCAACGCTTACGAGCCCTTCCGCCATACCTAAGCTAGGACGAAGGCCTGTTGGTTTGTCTTAATGTTTCGTCTATATTTCACACCATTTACCGCAAGCGTTTTTTAAAATGGGATTCCCTGGCGTTGGACTCTTGAATTATATGGCGGGTTCTGATTTATGTTTTCAATTAACGACCACTTTCCTTTTTTCTGTCGCATCTGATGATTTACGCCATGACTTTAATGCTCATAGACCTGCATTGTATATCATAATTTTGAATCTCAATGCACATCAATTCATGAAATATTTAAAATGTCCTCACCCAATAAACGTAGGATCCTTTTCAAATTCGAGTAATTGTTCTCTTCTTTCTTCCTTTGTTCGAACTTCTCGAGCATATAAAGCCTAGATACAATGCACCAGGTGATCATGATCTACATCTTACAACGCCATTATGTTAATAAACACTCCACTAAAAATAGGGACAAGCCCAACTGCAAGATGCCAAATTTATTCAAATGCTCCTCTCCTCGTAACTCTTTAAGCCCCTCGAAATTACACTGTTATCCACGCATCAAAGCACAAAACAAAACCTTGGATATCACTAGAAGCCCACTCATTCACACCACTCTTCAAGCCCGGCAAATAATAGTCGCATGATCAATATTAACAGGCGAATGACGAGGACCCTGTTCATGTAACCACGCAAAAGAATGTTCAGTGCTCAAAGTTGCAATTTTCTTTCCATCAAATGAAATCACACAGGTTGTTCCTTGTGACAGCGAGCTAGTAAGTTGAGCAGAGGTTGCGAAGAGAGGAACCCCTTGATGAATTCCATGGAAGAGATTATGAACATTATATGTCCGTTGGTCGGCAGGGATGTTCACGGGGAAGTTGCGGCCACTTTTCTCCTCTGCAAATAGGATTGTGACTATGTGGGGTGAATTATGTTCTTTGTTTGGGATGAATGTTGCGGCTGCGAGAGCGCAGAAGGCGAGGAGGAGCTTCATTTGGACTGTTGTGTATTGATTTGTATAAATATCGTTGGTTTAATGATCTTAGGCTTAGACTTGGTTTTGAATGGTTCACGGTCAGGGCATAGGTACTCTTATATCTTGGTACAGGGTATGCTGTAAGAGGGAGTTTGGCCCGCTCTTTCCTGAGATTTTTGTTTGTCAAAATTCTCGTTCAAGAAATATAGCTGCGTTCTGTGCTCATGCGTGAAACATTAGTCTCGAGATTTTATGAGAGGAGGATGTCTCACTTCGACTCACCTCGCCCTACATCAACACCTAATCACCTGAGCACTCAGCACTAGTAAGCTTCGTCAACTTTGGAAAACTCATTGAATCGGAATATTTGGAGCCATGTCTCAAAAAGTATAAATATCAACAGAAATATCCCCAGGTGAATGTGGCAGGGATCATCTGGTTAGATTTTTGACGCAATGGTTGATATTCGAATGATAATCAACTCGTGCTGACTTAAGAGTGGGGCAAATTGCTAAATTCTCCTCGGAATATCGATCAACTTGAAGAACTTGATTAGCTATAATATTATTTTGAACTTGTCTTGTATTGTACGACATTTCTATAAGAACTCATGCTGCTAACTACTCCGGGCGCCGGTAATCGCGGGTTTAAACCCACGAGTGTGATTGGAGGCGAGCCAATCTTCTTTTCGCGGAATACCAAGATTGCGAAGCTATTGTTGAGTTTGACATTCTTCCGGGTTTATTCAAGGTCGTACTACTTCTGGTAAAGGTGATCCGCATGCCAGTGTATTCTTGGTTGCTCATGTGGTACTACATTTTGGTTCTAGCAGCGCAGGGGATATCACAACTACTACATATTATACAAATATCCTCCTGGGAAATAGTGGTGTATTCAGTAATTTCCATGTACTAGTACCTAGAGACAATTCATTTCTTGCTATATCAATAAGCCCGTGATCATTTCATTTGGGAAATTCACGAGCCCAAAATTCATGTGTCACAACATTTCTTGAATGTTGGAATTGAGCCCACGGTATGTTTAATATAACGCATATGTTTTCTTATCATACCCAAACATTTGAGACTCTTCCTACTTGGATTGATATCTGTTTTGAGGCATAACCAGAAGTATAAAGATTCAAGCTCCAATGTTGACAATAAATCATCATAGTACCTAGTGTCTCATACCCCGACGTAGTATATATTGGGGAGTCAAGAAGACAAAAAATCCTTGAATTACAATCATTAATCATAGGCAGAAAAACATTTTGATTCAAATTCATGTTTATAGGTCTAGTCTCAATGTACACTTCAGGTATTATTTATAACCTTGCATTCTAGGTTCCAAAACTGGGCGTTGGCCCACGCTTCGCTGTATGATATTCGTTGTTCACTTATCCGTTAGCAACTTCCACTGAATTAATAAAGAAGGCCATTTGATATCTGTATCAACCAAATACTATTCTCCAAGATTGCTGTAGTTTGCATTACAATATGCGCAGCCTCCGCATATAGCAAGGACTCGCGTGCAGTCAGCATTTACATGCTTCAGCCCCCATTTCATCCCGCCCCATCTAGATGGTATATTAGCGAAAAGAACTAACCAAAATGCGCACTAAACCATTCAATATCAAACGAAAGGGCCCAAGAAATGGCACAATATGCTTCAACCCCAACAAGCTCGTGACCTCGGTTAACCGACCTAGATCAGGCGGAAACGATGCCCAAAATCGGGACGATTCATCATGCGAGGAAGACGTTGATATTGACTCTGACGACTGGGACTTCAAATATCAGTTGGGACATAACAAAGACAGACACAGAAGCCGGCTTCTGGAAACGACTTCTCTTGCTGGAGGCTGGATTGTATATTTGTCAAGAGAGAAATAGCCCAGTCAATATTACAGACGAAATCGATAAAATGCTTCAGAAGATGAAACTTGAGGAATCTCCCAGGAACACAATTATGTGAATCTTCGGGTGAGAGTCCTCTAGTTGCTGCGAATCCGACTCTATATCTCGATCTTCTTTCTATTGAGTTATACCATGGTCTGGGGCTGGACAAACTTGAAGCGTCTTGGCGCGAGATGGTGATGAGAGCTGTTAGTGTATGAATAGCACCAACAGGAGAACAATCAGCTAAGCATCATAAGTGGGCCGACTACAGTTCAAGGTTCATATGAAGAATATTCGAAAGATTAAAGATGAGGCAGTTCATCCCCTTCTTGCTAGGAAGTTAATACTGTTAAGGACCAATATACTCCAAAGAATACTAAGTTCTTCAAGTTCTGAGATGGGAGTTTTAAACCAGGTACTACTCTGAATATATACTACTACCCCCACTGTGCCTAATCGACGACTCGGACATGTGGTAGCATGATTTTTATCACTTCTAGTATTTCCTTTTTTCTTCACTTGTGCGAGACTGCGAGGTGTCAGCATGTCTTAAGCTTCTATTAAGTATCTGATACGGACTGATGCAACTCGCCAAAGATGAGATAGGTGCCTCTATAAACATTCTATCATATGTAGGACATAAATATCGAGACCAAATTATGCCAGACAATGATCCATTTGACCAATACGCCGTTGAATGAAAGAATTACTTACTACCATAGGCTTTTTTGATACTTTGACATAGGTACATATACTAACAGATAAACAAGCAACATTTATACTATTCTTTTAAAGAGTTTCTCGATCAACAAATATAGATTACCCTCGGATATCCGCATCAGGAATGCAACGCGAATGGTACAGCACAGTAAACAACCACTACGTATCAGACGCCAAAAAGTCAACACGAAACGCGTCTCAAAATCTTAATTCAACTCAACCTACAGATTCAACTACAAAGCCAGCCACAGACATAGACAGACGCGAGGACGACCCATCTGCATCTCGCGACAGAAACTTCCCACCCACAGGCAGTATACCGACCAGATAACCATGCAGGTCCCCGTGGAATGGATACGCTCCCGATCCACGCCGATCCTATTGGAACGGATGTCTATGGAGTGGCCCCTGGTTCCTGGATCCTGGATCGACAAGCCTCCGCCCCAGCGTACGGTTGGCCACTGGTCGATCGCAGCCCCCCATTCCGATGGCATTACATACATGCAGATCGGTCTCCCTTACATACGAGTCTTGAATCATATGTTGGAGGTTGGGAGCTGGGTTTTCTCGTGGATGGACATGATGTAGGTGGTAGAGGCTGGGACGCAGGGACTAATTCTGCGCTGCATGTGGTGCAGATGGTGATTTTGTTTGTCTTTATGCTTCTGTACTGTAGATAATGTACAGTACTCACGGGATGCAGGTGTGTCTATCAGTGCCATCTTGGAAATATGGAATTAAAATTTACGAAGGAATCCGAGTACCTCGGTTTTTACATCATTATACATAATGGGCCACGCCAGCCTCGTTTGAATATGTCGATATTGAGAAAATGTGAGTTGCCTGGTCGCTGTCCTTCCACGATATCACATACTGTTCTGTACTGTGCGAAGATGTACTCCGAATATAGTACTCCATACGAAGAACATGAACGACTATACAGTAATTTGACAATTGGCAGAGTCCCAAGCGCAGTCCTTGGAAAAAAGCGATTGGCTCTCAATCACGTTATACCCACCAGTAAGGTGGAGAGGCGGCCCATAGAACACAGCCCCGATTACCCAAGCACAAATGCAAGTTCAAGTTCAAATTACTCCGTACGGGATACGGGGGAAAGAAAATCCCCACCTGGAGGAATTCTGATCAGCTCGTGTCAACGATTATCAGATATCACAGTGGCAAATCCGAGTCAGGGCTGACGAAGATCCAGGGATATCAGTTGCAGTGCGTTAAGCCATGTTCTACATTCAGGGGTTCGAGCTCAAACCCGGAAACAAAAATCCGACCAAACCGAAATGACCAGGTGGCGCCTTTGAACGGCTGTGGCATTTGAATTTCACAGTCAACCCATTCACCCTAACTGCAAGTGAAATTGTTGAAATGATTGAAATAAAATTAATTAATTAATCAAATTACAAAATCTTGGAAGAAGACCTTCGAGAAGTGAGAACTAGCCATAGTTAAGCCGGAAGAAGTCAAGGGGGATCGAGAGTGGCCAGTAAATGAAAAGGAGGCGGGGCATTGGCAATAAACTTGCAACGCTAGGCGAGTCCACTGATGAGCGATCGTTGACTAGACCCTTTGCCTATCACTTGGACAGGTTATTTTTGGCATGGTGGACAGGTGAGTCAGCCGAAAAATGAGAATCGCGACTCGACTAGACTCCGTTCTCCGACTATGGAGATTGGAAAGCCGGAGTCCCCATAAACTACTGTACAAGTCCACGTAAAATTAAGAACTAGGAACGCCGCGGAAGTTTCCAGGGGCAAGTCACAAATAATCAGGCTGGTGATGGGAAGGAAGTGGATGCCCGGTCCCGTGGTGCATTGGATGTATCGTTCCTGCGCAATCCTGCATCGTGGAAGATACAATACATAGACTCTGTCACTTTTCCGACCGGCGAAGATGATTGATTGATTGATTGCACAGGTACCTGAGTAGAGGGTACTTTTGCATCGTACGTGTACGTGGATCTGTACACGTATCGGATAATGTTTACTGCCCAGGTGGACAGCCTGAGGAAGTCCGAGTCGGCCATACATATACATGCACTTGGAGCTTCATGCATCAAACGAGCTTGAGGTCTGTTGGGGTTTCATGCAGAGTATTCGCATGCTGTTGCGTACACACCCCAGTGGCCTCGAACTCCGGCTAGACCGGGGTGGCTCCGAGGCTCCAAGTCAAGAAAATAAAAGCATCTCGATCCACTTGGTAGTGGAACAGGATACACTAGACTGGGACTAACGGTGGAGATCGTCTGCGCCGCTTCCAAGGTTTGATACGAGGGCGTTACTGTACATTAGGAGGAGTGAGTACGGTGTTTCAAATGTACCGTTGTAAGCCGTATGTATGCTGTACTCGTCAATACATGTCAATCCACCTGCAGTATGTGAAATTGGATTGATTGCATTGGAGTTGTTACAGGTGTAAGATATTAGGGAGACGGTCCATGGAACCTCCCGAACATTCATTGAGTTTGAAGGAACTGTAGCTGGTTCAAGTTTTGAGATGGATATATAGTATCTGAGAATTTGGTTAAAATTTGAACCCTGACGCACACTGATTGTGGGTGTTGAATTTTTACAATTTCAAGTTGTTAGAAATGAATGCAGAGAACTTGCTTCGGTGGAAAGAAGGTACTAGTAGTAGTACTAGAATTACTATATGAATTGCAAATATATAATTCGTATCTATAATGTGCTTTTACTACTACTACTACTACTACTACTACTACTACTATCCATGAGGTTTACGGGTACATTCAAGACTCGGAATATATATCAATGGATGCCCAACGCATTCCCGAATACAAAATTAGCAGTTCATGCCAGCGCTAGCAGCAGCCTATTAAAGCACACTACAGGAGCGCATGAGTACTTATACATATGATCAGTTGCCTTCAAAAGCAAAAAAAGCATCTACTATGATAGCTCTCAAAGTCTCGATGCGGTGTTCTAGTCAAACCGGTTTCGATTGACTAAATGCCGGCGTAGTGGGGAGTCGTGTACGTATGAGGGCTTATAATAGGATCGCACTGGACTAGGTACGGACTAGCGCAACGGGGATGAAAAAGTTAAACGGTACAAATCTGTACATTTTGAGACGCGTGTGTGTATTAGAGTGGCAAATGGAAGCACATTGAGTTTCTAGCGTGTTTACATCCAGCTCTTGACGAGAGCCGCGATCAATTGGACCAGATAGGTAGACCGGCGACGATCAATGGAGTTTTTTTTTCGTTTCTTTTCTGAGTTCTGATTGCGATGTGTAAATTAGTACCGAGTTTATTTTCTACTAATTATGGAAGCGCACACAAAAAAATTAAGATAAAAATGGAGAATTGTAGAGGGGATGTGGATTCTATCGCTTGGGAGCCATGGAACGTCCGGATGAACGCGCTGGAGTCTTTGTCAGCGGGGATAAGACATCAATCCAACCACCCCCCAAAAAATACTGTGATAAATGATAATGGGCTTGAAAAATTAGAATAAAATTATGCAGCACTCTCTCTCTCTCTCTACTTGCCAGAGATACCAGTGGGACATAGAAACGGGAAGAATGAAAAACAAAGACTTGCGCGTGCAACAGTATCCCTGCATGCCGGGTGGTAACAATAACAAGGCACCGACAAATCACGGGCGATAGAGAGGACTGTAGCCAGGATCCAGTGCTCGGTATTCCCCATTGGAAATACCCACTGAAACCACATTATTTGTTACCGGTTTTACATGCTAAGAGGATACAAGTGGAGACAGTCTCAGGGGCCGCTGCACTTCCCTTGGAATCCGATGGACTGATGATTGATATGATTGGATCAAGTGTAGAGAGTCGCATGTCATTATTGGCCTGTAATATAACTCCAGCAGTGGGGCTCCATGTATTTGTGCTTTTGTGTATGGTAAAATAAAGATGGGTTTAATGTTGGTTAACAACGGTGTATTATGAACAGAACTAGAACCCCTGAGAAGAAGTGATAGGGCCTAGGAAGTAGTGGGTACACTGCCCACATAGGAAACCCGCATAGTTGGCAGAAGTACCTGGAACCTGGTTGAGCCACTTGTGGCCAGACATACGTGTACGGTGACCGTAAATTAGCCTTCCCCCTCTGCTTCTCTCTCCAAGCCCCAAAAATAACACCGGATATTTTCGTTTCCCTCTCTCTCTTTCTCCAAACGCCCCTTCCCTTCGTTCCATCAACCATCTCTACTTTCCCACTTTCCTTTCCTTGTGACTCTCGTTCTGAAGGAAGGTTCGGAGCAGAGATTTTTATTTGGGGTTTCTGCTTGTTTAGAGGCTTTGCTCCTTCTTGTTTGGGGATTTCCCTTTTTTCCCATTCTTCTTGATTATCTGGCTCTTGTTCCAGTCCATTCGTTACCTTCAAAAAAAAAGCCCCGAATTTGACATTCGGTTTTCTTCGAGCTCGACATCCCTTTCGCTCAACGCCGTTACGCTCGAAAAAACCCATTCATTCCCGTGTCCATGCAGCAATAATCGCAACTGCAAGCCAACCAATCAATTATTAATACTGTGCATGGGTCGTTGAGGTGAGAATACTCCGCTGCCTCCCCCGAGATCGTATTGCAAGGTGGTCTCCGTGCGAGGAGAAACAATACTAACACGGAATCAGTGTTATCAACAAGCGACCGATTGCGACTCTCCCGTCATGTCTGGCTACGCAGGAGGTGGCCATTATGACGATGGCTACGGCCATAACGCCGCCCACGGGGACTCCTACTACCAGGACGAACATGAACATGCCCAGGGCGGCTACTACGACAACAACAACAACCCAGAGTATGGCGATGGCTACTACGACCGAAGGTAAATTGCGATTGAACCCGGAGGAGACAATTCGACAAACGGAAAGATCTGGCAGGCTAACAGGACAAATAGTGGTAGTGGATACTACGAAGGTGGTGCTCAACCACAACATGGCTACACCGATGGTGCATACTACGAAGGCGAAGGCCAAGCCCAAGCCCAAGGTCACCACGACAACCAGTACTACGATCAGTATTACGACCAAGGCCAGGACCAGGGCCACCCTGGGTATGGCGGTCGCGGACGCGGTGATTCCGAGGAGGACTCAGAGACATTCAGCGACTTTACCATGAGGTCGGAGACTGCCCGTGCCGCGGACATGGATTACTATGGCCGTGGTGACGAGCGCTACAACAGCTATGCTGATAGCCAGTATGGTCGTGGCTATGGTGGCTACCGCCCTCCTTCCTCCCAGGTTTCCTACGGTGGAAACCGATCATCCGGTGCATCTACCCCTGTATACGGCATGGAGTACGGAAACGCGTTGCCGGCTGGCCAGCGTTCGCGAGAGCCCTATCCAGCCTGGACGTCTGACGCCCAGATTCCCCTCTCCAAGGAGGAGCTTGAAGATATCTTCATCGACCTGGTAAACAAATTCGGTTTCCAGCGTGACAGCATGCGCAACATGTACGACCATATGATGACCCTCCTCGACTCGCGTGCCTCACGTATGACGCCCAACCAAGCTCTTCTGTCATTGCACGCCGACTACATCGGTGGTCACAATGCCAACTACCGCCGTTGGTACTTCGCGGCTCACCTGGATCTTGATGATGCTGTTGGTTTCAGCAACATGAAGCTGGGTAAAGCTGATCGTAAGACCCGTAAGGCTCGCAAGGCCGCCAAGAAGGCCGCCGAGCAGAACCCAGAAAACGAGGCGGAGACCCTTGAAGCTTTGGAGGGTGACAACAGTTTGGAAGCTGCTGAGTACCGCTGGAAGTCTCGCATGAATCGCATGTCCCAGCACGACCGTGCCCGCCAAATAGCTCTATATCTCTTGGTTTGGGGTGAAGCCAATCAGGTGCGATTCTTGCCTGAATGTATTTGTTTCATCTTCAAGTGTGCCGATGACCACTACTCCTCTCCCGAATGCCAGGCTCGTGTGGAACCCGTCGAGGAGTTCACTTACTTGAACGATATCATCACGCCCTTATATCAATTCTGTCGCGACCAAGGATACGAAATTCTGGATGGCAAGTACGTCCGCCGCGAGCGTGACCACAATCAAATCATTGGTTACGATGATATGAACCAGCTGTTCTGGTATCCGGAGGGAATCGAGCGCATTGGGTTTGAGGATAAGACTCGCTTGGTGGACTGTCCCCCTGCCGAGCGATGGCCGAAGCTGAAAGACGTCGTCTGGAAAAATGCCTTCTTCAAGACATACAAGGAGACCCGTTCATGGTTCCATTTGATCACCAATTTCAACCGTATCTGGGTCATTCACTTGTGCTCTTTCTGGTTCTTCACTGCCTACAACTCGCCCACTCTATACACTGACCACTATACTCAACAAGCCGACAACAAGCCTCCTGCGATGAGGTATTTGGCCGCTGTTGGATTTGGTGGTGCGCTTGCTGCTTTTATCCAGGTATTCGCCACTATCTGTGAATGGCTGTACGTCCCTCGACGCTGGGCCGGTGCCCAGCACCTGCGTAAGCGTTTTTTCTTCCTCCTAGCTGTCTTGGTTGCCAACCTTGTTCCTGGTGTCATCATATTTGGATTTGTCGAAAGATTCGGAGCCGCCTCAAAAGCCGTCGGCCTGATTCTCGGAATCGTTCACTTTGTGCTGGCCATTTTCACTACTGCATTCTTTGCTATCCAACCCCTGGGTGGTCTCTTCGGTAGTTACTTGAACAAGAAGGGTCGCCAGTATGTGGCCAGTCAAACTTTCACGGCCAGCTTCCCCAAGTTGCACGGAAACGATATGTGGATGTCTTACGGCCTCTGGGTCTGCGTTTTTGGAGCAAAGCTTGCTGAGTCTTACTTCTTCTTGACTCTGTCGTTCAAGGATCCTATCCGTATTCTCTCTCCGATGACCATTCGTCAATGTACTGGTGTGGTATGGGCCACCAACATTCTCTGCCACAAGCAACCGCAGATTTTGCTTGGTCTCATGTTCTTCATGGACCTGACCCTCTTCTTCTTGGACAGCTACCTGTGGTACATTATCTGCAACACGATTTTCTCAGTGGCCCGGTCGTTCTACTTGGGTGTCTCCATCTGGTCTCCATGGCGAAACATTTTCTCTCGTCTGCCCAAGCGTATCTACTCAAAGGTCCTCGCCACCACGGACATGGAGATCAAGTACAAGCCTAAGGTCCTCATCTCGCAGGTGTGGAATGCCATTATCATTTCCATGTACCGTGAACATCTCCTGGCCATCGACCACGTACAGAAGCTTCTATATCACCAGGTTCCCTCGGAGCAGGAGGGCAAGCGTACTCTTCGTGCCCCAACCTTCTTCGTATCCCAAGAGGACCAGTCTTTCAAGACCGAGTTCTTCCCTGGTGGCAGCGAAGCCGAACGTCGAATCTCGTTCTTCGCTCAGTCTCTGTCTACTCCCATGCCCGAGCCTCTTCCTGTTGACAACATGCCTACCTTCAGTGTCCTCATTCCCCACTATGGTGAAAAGATCCTGCTCTCCCTGCGCGAAATCATCCGTGAGGATGAGCCATACTCTCGTGTTACGCTTCTTGAGTATCTCAAGCAGCTGCACCCTCACGAATGGGACTGTTTTGTCAAGGACACTAAGATTCTGGCTGATGAGACATCTCAATTCAATGGCGAATACGGTGAAAAGGGAGAAAAAGATGCTGCTAAGAGCAAAATCGATGATCTGCCTTTCTACTGCATTGGATTCAAGTCTGCCGCTCCTGAGTATACTCTGCGAACCCGTATCTGGGCTTCTCTCCGCTCTCAGACCCTGTACAGAACTGTCTCCGGTTTCATGAACTACAGCCGTGCGATCAAACTTCTTTACCGTGTTGAAAACCCCGAGGTCGTTCAGATGTTCGGTGGTAACTCCGAGAAGCTCGAGCGTGAATTAGAGCGGATGGCTCGTCGCAAGTTCCGCATCTGTGTCTCCATGCAACGTTATGCCAAGTTCAACAAGGATGAACGCGAGAATACCGAGTTCCTCCTCCGTGCCTACCCCGATCTGCAAATTGCTTACCTCGATGAGGAGGCCCCAGCCACCGAGGAAGAGGAACCCCGTCTCTACTCTTCTCTGATTGACGGTCACTGTGAACTGCTTGAAAATGGCATGCGTAAGCCCAAGTTCCGCATTCAACTTTCCGGTAACCCCATTCTCGGTGACGGAAAGTCTGACAACCAGAACCATGCAATCATCTTCTACCGCGGTGAATACATCCAATTGATCGATGCTAACCAGGATAACTACCTGGAAGAGTGTCTCAAGATTCGCAGCGTTTTGGCTGAGTTCGAGGAATTGACCACTGACAACGTTTCGCCCTACACACCCGGCATCCCCTCTCCTGACACCAACCCGGTCGCTATTCTTGGAGCTCGTGAATACATTTTCTCCGAGAACATTGGTGTGCTTGGTGATTTGGCTGCTTCTAAGGAACAGACATTCGGTACCCTTTTCGCACGTACTTTGGCTCAGATTGGTGGTAAGCTTCATTATGGTCACCCTGATTTCCTCAACGCTACATTCATGACAACTCGTGGTGGTGTTTCCAAGGCCCAGAAGGGTCTGCACCTTAACGAGGATATCTACGCCGGTATGAACGCCATCCTTCGTGGTGGTCGCATTAAGCACTGCGAGTACTTCCAGTGCGGTAAGGGTCGTGATTTGGGTTTCGGTTCCGTCTTGAACTTCACAACGAAGATTGGTACTGGTATGGGTGAACAGATGCTGTCCCGAGAGTATTATTACCTCGGAACTCAACTTCCCCTTGACCGCTTCCTCTCGTTCTACTATGCCCACCCCGGTTTCCACATCAACAACATGTTCATTATGTTGTCTGTGCAGATGTTCATGATTGTGCTCATTAACCTTGGCGCCTTGAAGCACGAGACGATCACCTGTCGTTTCAACTCCGATTTGCCTATCACTGATCCTCTACTCCCAACGTACTGTGCCGATCTTACTCCCATTCTGAACTGGGTGAACCGTTGTGTTATCTCCATTTTCATTGTGTTCTTCATCTCGTTTGTTCCCCTTGGTGTTCAGGAACTGACCGAGCGTGGTGTTTGGCGCATGGCTACTCGTCTGGCCAAGCATTTCGGTTCTTTCTCCTTCATGTTCGAGGTGTTCGTTTGCCAGATTTACGCTCATTCCGTTCACCAAAACTTGTCGTTCGGTGGTGCTCGATACATTGGTACCGGTCGTGGTTTCGCGACTGCCCGCATTCCTTTCGGCGTGTTGTACTCCCGTTTTGCTGGTCCCTCTATCTACGCCGGTGCACGTCTACTCATGATGTTGCTTTTCTCCACTTCGACCTACTGGACCCCTGCCCTCATCTGGTTCTGGGTTTCATTGCTGGCCCTCATTGTGTCGCCCTTCCTGTTCAACCCCCACCAGTTCGCATGGAATGACTTCTTCATCGACTACCGCGACTACCTTCGCTGGCTCTCGCGTGGTAACTCTCGTTCGCATGCTTCCTCCTGGATTGGTTTCTGCCGTCTTTCTCGGACTAGAATCACTGGTTACAAGCGCAAGCTTCTCGGAGTTCCATCTGAGAAGGCCTCAGGGGATGTTCCTCGTGCTCGCATCACGAACATCTTCTTCAGCGAAATCATCGCACCCTTGGTTGTTGTTGGAGTGACAGTTATTCCGTACCTCTTCATCAACTCTCGAACAATGTACAGCGACAACTCGGACTACGCACCCAACGCCATCCTTCGTATCGTTCTTGTGTCCCTGGCACCTGTTGCGATCAATGCGGGCGTGGCGGGCATGTTTTTTGCCATGGCATGCTGTATGGGTCCCCTCTTCAGCATCTGTTGTAAGAAATTCGGTGCCGTCTTGGCAGCTATTGCCCATGCCATTGCTGTCATTGCTCTCATCATCTTCTACCTTGTGCTGTTTGTCCTTGAAGCTTTCAACTGGCCTAGAACTTGTTCTGGTCTCATTGCGATGATGGCTATTCAGCGTTTTGTTTACAAGTTGATCGTCGCACTCTGTCTCACCCGTGAGTTCAAGCATGATCAATCGAACGTTGCTTGGTGGACTGGTAAATGGTACAACATGGGCTGGCACTCCCTGTCCCAGCCAGGTCGTGAGTTCTTGTGTAAGATCACAGAACTTGGTTACTTCGCCGCCGACTTCGTTCTCGGCCATATCATTCTCTTCTTCATGCTGCCCGTTCTTGCCGTTCCTTACGCCGACAAGTTCCACTCTGTTATCTTGTTCTGGCTGCGTCCTAGGTATGTCCCCTCGCTTTCCCTATATCTTAACTCTGTCATCTAACTTCTAATAGCCGTCAAATTCGTCCCCCTATCTACTCCTTGAAGCAATCGAAACTCCGTAAGAGACGCGTGATTCGATTTGCCATTCTGTACTTCACCATGCTCGTCCTCTTTATTGTTCTCATCGCAGCCCCGGTCATTGTTCACAACAAGGGTTTTGCGAAGGACGTGGTCGATCAACTTTGGAGTAGCATTGGTGTCAACGGCAACAATAATATGATGTATCTCCTCCAGCCCATGGACAAGGGCTTGAACGATACAGCGACCTACAAAACAGGTAGCAACCTCCCTCAAGGGGAGTCAGGCCAGTCCGGTTTCGCGGAAACCACTGGTACTTTCGCCAAGAACGCAAAGAGGTTGTATACTGGTATCTAGACCTCGCATTGTATGAAAATGAGCTGTACAAAGTTTTGTATTGTTTCTTCCTGTTATTCCTTGCCTGTCATTCGATGCATTCATTTGAAATAACCGGCGTACCTGTTGATCTTGATGGCTTCTTTTGCGGGATGACCTGTATTTTGAGTGGTTTTGTCATTGCCCGGGGGGGGGGTTACCTTCGTTCTTAACTACTCTCATAGCTTGTTTTTTCTAAATTTCTTTTTTCTGTCACCAAACTTAACGGAATACAATCTGCATTGCTTCAATTAAGACACAACTACTCGTGGCCTTTTAATCTAATAGTGACCTAAACTTGAATGGCATCTACTAATATTTTCCACTCGCCCTTCAAAAAGTTTGAACATAACATTCGTCAGTAGGCTAAAACTAACTAAAACTAACCTGTCTTCCGACGGTCTAAACCCAGGTAACGTCCCCTATTCACGAGTACTGTAGGTGATGAAACACAATTGACAAATGTTCGATCACGTGACCCGTTTCATCAAACTGCGCAGCAGCGTGCCGTAGCCCCCCGGATGATCCTCGTAATCTACATGCTTTGGATTCGCCGGCGTTTTTTTCGTTCCTCCCTTACTCTACTTGATACAAATACTGGAACTGCCCCCTCCTAGCGCACGAGCGCCGTTGAGACCACAGCCATGGATCTCGCGGAGACGCAACGTCTCGTAACCGAGTACCTACACGAACTCGCGAACCTTTTCCACAGAGTACCTGGTTCAGCGATCTTCTTACGATATGTGAAATCCAGCTACCAAGATGACCCAATTCGATCCGCTGTGGAACTATTCCTTTTCCTCTTCGCCGTGCGATACCTCCTTGCCCCTAAATATTCAACCAAGCCAGGCGTGGTACCATTGACAGAGGATGAGATCGATGACCTTGTCGATGAATGGGTCCCTGAGCCCCTCGTCGGCCAGCCAACTCCTTTAGAAGAGCTGGAAGTTGATAAGCGGACCGTCATTGTTGGGTGAGCTCACCTCTTCTATTCTCCCAATGTCAATGCTGTTTTGGTGCACTGGGCCCATTGCTAACTGTCCCCTGTTTCAAATGCTAGTCCCGTCGGACCGAAATCGAAGCTTGTGAATGGTCGCACCGTGACGAATCTTAGCTCCTTCAATTACTACAACTTCAATACGAACGAGGCTCTCAAGGAAAAGGCTATCCAGACCCTTCGCAACTATGGTGTTGGACCTTGTGGTCCTCGTGGATTTTACGGTACTCAGGACGTTCATCTTAAGACTGAAGCCGACATTGCGTCGTTCCTGGGCACCGCGGCTTGTATCATGTACTCGCAGGCGTTCTCGACTATCTCAAGTGTTATCCCCGCTTTCTCGAAGCGTGGTGACATTATCGTGGCGGATAAGGGCGTTAGCTTTGCTATTCGCAAGGGTATCCAGATTTCTCGCAGCATTGTTCGATGGTATGAGCACAATGATATGGAGGATTTGGAGCGGGTTCTTGCGAAGGTTACGAAGGAGCAGGCTCGGAAACCATTGACTCGGCGATTTATCATTACCGAGGGAATGTTTGAGTCCTATGGTGACATCGTCAATTTGCCTAAGATTGTAAGTGAAGCGCATCTCATCTGACCCATTAACGGGACTTTTGATGTTCTAACTGTTTTCCTAGATTGAGTTGCGACTCAAGTACAAGTTCCGCCTTATCCTCGACGAGACATGGTCTTTCGGTGTTTTGGGCCGGACCGGTCGTGGTGTTACCGAGCACCAGAACGTGGATGCTGCGGAGGTTGATATGATTGTTGGATCGTTGGCTGGGTGTCTTGTTGGTGGAGGTGGTTTTTGTGCTGGATCTGAGGAGATCGTTCACCACCAGCGTATCTCTGCCTCGGCCTATACTTTCTCTGCGGCTCTTCCGGCTCTTCTCTCTACGACTGCGAGCGAGACTATCAATGTTCTTCAGAATAACCCTGATACGGTATCGAAGCTTCGCGAGTACACTACGGCCATGCGAGCTCAGCTCGACCCACGCAGTGATTGGGTCTACTGCTCCAGCTCACCTGAGAATCCCGTTCTCATCTTGGTGATCAAGCCTGATGTTGTTACTTCCAAGAAGCTCTCGTACAACGACCAGCAATTCTTACTCCAAGATGTCGTTGATGAGGTATGTTGACGTTTATCCAGTTCGAAATTTGACACGAATGAATTTACTAACTCTGCCACAGTGCCTTGCAAATGGTGTTCTCATCAGTCGCCTCAAGACCCTTGAGGATAACTTCGAACCGAAACAAGTTGTCCCCGCCGGCCTTAAGGTCTGCGTCACAATCGGTCTTACCAAGAAAGAGATCGAAAAAGCTGGCACAATAATTCGACACGCTATTACAAAGGTGATGAGCAAGAAGAAATAGGGGCTTCATCTCCTAATGACTGCTCATGCCCGAATGACCTCCGGCAATCCCTAGCATTCCCTACAGCTTCTCCATCCTACGCCCTAATGTCTCCCATATTCGTCCTTGTATTGTTAAGCTGCTTGTTCATATGCATCTTGCTCTTGCAACCCTGTACAGCACTACCCCTCCGCCCTCGTTTTTCTCTTTTTTTTTAAGGGGCGGTATGTCACTTTGCCGGTGCATAGTTTAAATTGTTTAATACTATTCTTCTATAATGGCCGCGCCTTAAGCGCTGTGCCGAATTACATCGAAAAGAAAGATCTTGCATGACTTCCAACATCTATAATCTACAAACTCTGTTCAATCAAATACGTACTCAAGAATTCTATCCTCCTGCGATGCACTGAATCTGCCACGTAACCACCCATTGGCTTTTCGTTAAGTGCCAAGTTCTTAATATGATTCTGTTCAGTAATACAACCCCAGACTGTCCGAGCGACCGAGCGGAATGAGTGTAGCATTCCACAACTCTACTAGTTGCTAGGGACATTCCTCATCTCTCCCTAGCAAGACAGAACTCAACCTTCCGATGTCAAACCCTGCAATCGTCCTTGCAAGGCTAGATCGTATTCGCCCTTTCGCCTCCCCTCCAAGGGGCACCTTCACAAAACCAAAACCCGGCCTTGATCCCATTCCACATTTCACCTCACATTGAGTAGCCCTGCCAAGTATCCCTGTTTTTACGTACGCCAACGATGAATATAATCCGTCAGATCTGCACAAATACCTTCTTTCCTCGTGCGCGACGGAGAATATCTTGAGGTCATTCCCATTGTTATGCTTGTGATCTACTAACCCTAGGATCCAGTGTGAGGGTTCGGGCAGTTCCGACCCAAGGTTTTGGTAGTGCAATGAAGCAATTTTCTTCTGCTATTTTCGCATGGCTTCTTGCATCTGGTGTTCGAGCAGCGTCTCAAGGTAAGATCAGATCGGTATTTGGGGACTTGGACGCAATTTTTTCTTCTTTTTTCATGTTTGTACTGACTGTGCCGTAGATCCAAAGAAATGTGCTGGAAATCTCCATGATGCTTTCGATGCTCGTGTTGTCTCCGAGGTAGTCGTCTGGGTCAATGAAAATGGGGACCCCATTCACACAGAGACAAATCATGGCTCAGCTAGCACACTTGCGCAAGGAAATGTTAGTCGACCTCATTAGCTCTCGAGAGCAATAGATAGAAGGTCTATAAAGCCTTACTAATACGTTCCAAAGCCTCCTGAGACCCTATCAACTAGTCTATATACCCCGACCACGAAACACGATGCCACTCATACCATCTTGCCTCAAACAAGTGTCCAAGATGAACCTCTTCCGACAACTCTTTCGGGCTCCGGTTCAATGAACAGGATACAAGTCAAGTCACCTCACCATGATGCTCCACCTTCACCTCCGCATCCCCATCCCCATCCGGGTCTACCAAAACATCTAAACCCATCAAAAGGCCCGCATCGCCAATTCGGTATCTCCTACTCACCATATAATGCCGACAGAGCCTGCAAGACCCAAGAACAAGTAAACAAAGATCTAGACGCCCTACCCGAATACAAATTTATCCGCATCTACGGCACAGACTGCGACCAAACGAAGCTCGTAGCAACAGCAGCCCGTCAGCATAACATGCAAGTCTTCGGCGGAATCTACGACCTAACAGGATTCCCAGACAGCCTCAACGTCTTCAAAGAAGCCGCGACAGATGAGCACGGAAAGACCGACTGGTCAGTCTTCCATACTATCGCCGTCGGCAACGAGCTCGTCAACGGCGGCCGCAGCTCCCCAGGCGAAGTGACTGGGGCTGTTGTGAAGGCTCGTTCGTATCTCCGAGCACAGGGTTACCAAGGTCCCGTCGTGACTGTCGATACCTTCTCTGTTCTACTAAAACATCCGGAACTATGCCATGTTTCAGATTACTGTGCTGCAAATTGTCATGCTTTTTTCGATGCGACGCAGCAACCGCATAATGCTGGTCCTTACGCACTTGAGCAAATGCATAGTGTATCCGCTGCTGCTGGGGGGAAACATACTGTTATTACTGAGTCTGGATGGCCTCATGCTGGGGGATCGAATGGTGCGGCTGTTCCTTCTCCGGAAAACCAGCGTGTTGCTATTGAGAGTTTGCGGCGCAGCTTTGGGCACCAAGGAGATGATTTGGTGCTTTTTACGGCCTTTGATGATTTGTGGAAAGATGATAATCGGTACACGTTTAACGCAGAGCGGTTTTGGGGAATTCATAAATAGTTCTCATGTTACGTATAAATATTTGTCTTCTTTCTGCTTGTTCCTTGGCTCCGTGAAATCTAGTTGATCCATGTTGAACTGTACCTGCGTACAAGTCCCAGTCTTTCGGGCATGTCTTGCCCGCTGAGAGATAGACTCCACGTACTCCGTACTTCGATCATCTTTTTATTTGACTTTGAGAAATGCCTAAATCTATTGTTTTTTCCATTAGGAGGATTTCCCTGCCTGGGGCGATTATACCTTTCAAGAAAGTAGTAAGTTGCGCAGTGTTTTCCGCTCTTGGTATCTTTAGCGCGCATCCTTCTCTAATCCTCTAGAATAACCTACGACTCAAGTTTCTCTCACTAGTCTTCGCCAAGGTTCTTAATATAAAGAGTTTGCGACGTAGTATTTCGTACTCCACACTGCGCCTTTGTAGCTTTTCAACCCCTTCTCGACTAAATGCCGCCTGTCAACAAAACCCATGTGATGCGAGTGCGATGATGGGAAGGACACGGGATCGACATGACCCATAAAGCCTTAGAAGCCAATGGGATCAATCGCAGATATGAAAAGTCAATCATGCCATTGTAAAATGCTCCAAAAATATCAACATTTTGCAATTGTGGGTCAGTGGAGAGTCCGCCGCAACGATAAACTCTTTACTGGCCCCCGTCTCGCATTTGTCTTGCCCCCTTAACGCACTCTTATATGCGCCCTGCATGGCCTAAAAACAGAGAAATGGGGGGAAACAATATACCAAATCAAGTCGCAACAGTATCTCCACCAACTTCCATCATTGAAGCTAAATTCGACGCTAATGCGCCAAGTATCGCGTCTTCCCGCGTAGCCTCGTACCCTCTGGCCCACCGCAACAGGGCCCGTAAACCTTCGAAGTTACAAGGATCGGAAAAGATAGGGCCACGAGATGCAAGAACTTCCAGGGGAAACCTTGACCAAGAAAAAAAGTTTTTTTCTTCATTTTCTCTCGCATCCTTTGAGTTTATCTCTTGACCAATTCGTATACTTACATCAATTGGTCCCAGTCCGAAACACTAACTTTACGCAGCTACAGCATCTAGTCATGCCATCTTTCATAATTCAAGAAGTTCTCGTCGAGAACATCCCAGCCTTGTCTCAGCTGTGGTACACAGCGTTTAGCATTCCCGTTAATTTGCGCATGTTCCCAGATACCCCGGCCATCAGAGAATGGTGGGACAAGGCTAATCGCCACGACCTTCTCCACAACCCATACAGGACGTATCTCAAAATTGTCGATCCCGGGCAGCCCGATGCTCTGGTTGCATATGCGAAATGGGACCTAGATCCATTGGCGAGTGGCGAGAAATTTCCACCTTGGCATGATGAGTCGGATCAAGAGACTTGCGAGCATCTGTATACCGTTGGATCTGAGAATCGCGAAGCGTTTTTCGGTGATCGAAAACACTACTGTATGTCGTGTTCTCGAGAACTGATCCCTGTATTTTAATGACTGATTGGTACTTTTGTGCGTAGATTTGGATATGCTCGTTGTGCATCCTGAGTGTCGTAGGCAAGGTGCTGCGTCAATGTTGATACAATGGGGATGTGATCTTGCGGATCAGAATGCTAAGCCGGCTTATTTAGATGCTCATGAGGATGCAGCGCCTTTGTATCGGAAGTTCGGCTTCAAGGATCGTACAGATCTGGGGGTTAGTTCTGAGGGGTCGATCGCGATGATCAGGGAGGCTCAATGTTGATCGAGTTCAAGAGGGAGATCACAATAAAAATCTTACATGCATGTTGAGATACTTGACTCTAGGGCTCTTTTTCAATTTTAGAATAGGGTACTATTGAAAAATCGCATTAAATGTGATTATTAGCGTGCCTCTGTATCGTACAATCATAAGAGGAGACATAGGTCTCGCTCATTAAATCAACAACTGCTTTACCCCGTATTTTATATCTGAATTCGATCCTTCATCGGATGCATCTCATACTCCTCTTCCACCGTCCACTCTCTTGTCTCGTGTATAATCAGCTTTCGGGAGTTATGACTATCCTGTGATGAGCGAGGCGCAGTCAGATCGACCTCACCATTGTCGACTCGGCCCGTATAGACTCGAGATTGATTGGTTGATCCGGTTTGACCAGTAGGCGTGAAGTATGAAGGTTCGCCATTACTGTTTGTTACACCTTGTCCCCAACCTGTGTTGAAAGAAATAAGGAAGGGTTTGAGACATGGCACAGTAGCGACCATAATGCTGGTGTGGAAGAGGACGGCGGTAGTTATTACGGCGCTGGATATGTTCAAAGACGTGTCTGGGTGGTAGAGCGATCTGTTGAGATAGGTTTGTCGGAGGATAATCAGGATGATCATGCTAAATAGTGATCAAAGAGAGTGTGTTAGCCAATGTGCTTCATGAATGCCCAATGGTTTTGAATTCAAGCCGAACATACGGGGTCCTAGTTCCAAATGCAAAAACAACCATTCCTTTTTCCTTCCACCTCATTTGAATACCCCAGACTAGTATGATACTCAGCCCAAAAGTGAGTACTTCTGTAATGACATCAAACGCTGTGATGACCTTCCAAGTGGTGCCCTAAATCTGAATGTTAGCAGAATAAAATGTAGAGTTGGCGAGTGTTGACGCACGAGGTTACTGCAATGCTGAGATATGTCCGATGATTTCAATGAGTATTGTGGATGACAACTGAGAGCGACGGCCAAAAATGATGTTACTGTCCAAAGTGCGACCACGCCCACCAGGAGCTTGGAGTACCACAAGTACCATGTCTGTCGACCCAGCCGCTTCAGAAGCAGGCATACAGAGAGTTTAGCAGCGCCGTACCCAGCAATAAATACAAGACTTGCTGCATGAAAACCCTATGACCATGGATTGTCAGTTTCCAGATTTGATGAAGTCGTCGGCTTTGCTCGAATTGATCCTCATACTGAAAGTAGCGGTGGGAAGTTCTTACCTCTCCAGCATGCTTCAGTCTCGAAGGCGAGTTTCGTTCATGCGTTTGACCAAGACCATGATCGACTGCATCCATGATAACACCTACATGGACAACAGCCAATGCCTAACACAGAGAACCGATTAGAATCCATATCATTCTACACGGACTGAAGAGCGAGCTTTGGTGGGCTGATAGGATACTCACACTTCCGATAAACACCATCAGATCATCAAGCTGCACTGGCCCGTTGATGGCCAAGCGCATATACAGGCGGATCAAGCTCACTATAATCATCCATGACATGAAGAGCGTCTCGACAATAACAATCAACCCAGTTCGGTCCACTGGAGAGATGGCATAAGGGGGTTCATAGTCCATGATGTCGGTGATTGGGATGGAAGAATTGCTACAGAGGCAAGAAAATATCAAGTCCGTGATAGTTCATGGTTATAATATTTGAGTCTATTCCTCCCTGCGGTAGTATCAAAGCGAGATTTTGAAATTGTGGGATCAAAGGATCCAAGAACCGCAGGGAATCATATTAGGCCGAACTATATTGATGCGCAGCCTGTCCCGGGCCCCGAAGTCTGGAATCCACCCGAATATTTACGCCGTATTCTCTGCCGCATCTTATTTGTTAACAAAGTACGTTGGCCAAATGTCCTTGGTACCAGGCTCTACTGTCGATCGGCCGCCCGATGATGAGTCTCAATATCGCCCGTCCAATAAAAGAGAGTGATCTGCATAAAAGAGGGTCTCAGGGTCGCGATCCCTGTCGGCGCAGGATGCGCTGGAAAAAGTTAGCTGCACTATACACGAATCGTTAACCCAATCAGCTTTGACGTCCAATATCAAAGGAGCCGACCACCAGGAACTCCAAACTAACCCGAACTTACCATGGGGGCCCGCCGAGATTAATACCTCAAGCCAAGTGTAACGCGGCTACCGGAGACGGACTCGACTTTAAGCTAATGCATTGAAGATGGATCTCGGTCCGCGATAAACAACCACAACCCCTGACCATTAACAGGGGTTCGTCCTCTAGTGTAGATGCAGTGAAACGAGCCATCTCCACCTCTTAGCTCTGTTCCAGGTCCAGGTCGCGCCCCCTCCAGCGCCACCCGTTTTCTAGTGTCCTATTGTTCTGGTTTCTACTGCTCCACTCTGAATGTAAGGAATGTTCTACCCCAAGAGTGTGCACGGCGTGCATTCCGACTGTGGTTGCACTATATCTTAGTTCATACCACCGTTAGTTGCCTTACAGTATCCCTCGAGTTTCTTTTCTTCTTCCAACTCCTCAACTTGTCGCTCTTTCCAACCCATACTCTCTTTTCTCTTCGGATTCTGGAAATCGAATTGTTAAATCTTCAACATGGGACAAGAGGAAGGAGTCACGCTGAGCGTGCAAGGTACTCTACATGAGGATGTCTCCTCCAGGAGGGATGGTACCATACGCGACAAGCAAGACATGCAACGTGTTGGGCGTTCTCAAGAATTGAACGTATGTGAACTTTATTCTTCCAAAAGTTATTCCTAATCTTTCTGCGCCCGAAATATCCAGCCCCAGAAATTTCTCCCAATGTTTGGGGGAATAGAACAGGGAAAAGAAAAAGCAAGTGGGAAAAAGCAAATTAACATTAACATGCATTCAGAGAAACTTCCGCTTCCTTTCCATTCTTGGCTTCACGGCGGTGCTTATGTGCACATGGGAGGCCGTACTCTTGTAAGTCTTTGCCCTATTCGGCCCACTGAGGCTGCTGGCCACAATACGCACAGCACAACTAAATCCTATTATGCTGCATACTAATTGATTGTACTAGCGGTTCCTCCACTGGTTTGACTGATGGCGGTAAAGGAGGAATGATCTATTCCTACATTGGTACATTGGTAGGCTTCAGCTTTGTGATCCTCTCCATGGCCGAGATGGCCTCTATGTATGTCCCCAAGTTCAAATTCCCCATACAGTTAGTATGTGACCAACTACTGACAACTTGTTCCAAGGGCCCCCACTTCTGGTGGTCAATACCATTGGGTCTCCGAATTTGCGCCTCCCCATGCCCAGGGCTTGCTAAGCTATATGACCGGCTGGCTTTGTGTACTGGGATGGCACACTGGTATTGCAGGATGTTGTTACACGGTCGCTAACATGATGGTCGGCATTGCTGCCATTAACTATCCTGACACTTACACTGCCGAGCCATACCATGTTACACTCATCATTATCGCTACAGCATTGGCTGCTATGTCGTTCAATACGTTTTTGGCTCAGAAGCTTCCCTTCATTGAGGGAATCATTCTATTCGTCCATATCTTTGGTTTCTTTGGCATCTTGATCCCCCTCTGGGTGCTATCTCCCAAGGTTCCAGCCTCTGAAGTCTTCGGTTCGATCGAAGATCGAGGTGGCTGGGGAAACAGTGGATTGTCATGCTTGGTTGGACTTATAGGTCCTACTTACGCGCTCATAGGTATGTCATTTGTCTTAATTTTGATATACATATTATTAAATGATAACTAACGAACTAAAAGGCCCCGACTCCGCGGTCCACATGGCTGAGGAAATTAGAGATGCATCCCGAGTTCTGCCCATGGGAATGGTCTCAACTCTGCTTCTCAACGGTTCCACTGGACTTGTCATGATCATCACTTTTGCATTCTGCGTCGGCGATGTCAGCAAGGCCCTAGAGTCCGACACAGGCTTCCCCTTCATTCACGTCTTCCTGAACTCCACAGGCTCCGTCAGCGCCGCGACAGGAATGACAATCGTGATCATGGTCATGCAGTTCTGTTCAGCCATTAGCAATGTTGCAACTACATCTCGCCAAGTCTACTCCTTCGCCCGAGACCGTGGTCTTCCCTTCTCCGATTTCTTCTCCAAGGTAAGCTTCACTTCATATAATCTCCCCACCCAATAATCACATATTCTAATCATATTCAAAATAGATCAACTCCACATTCACTGTCCCCGTCAACGCTCTCTGCATTAGCTTCATCATAGTTTCTCTCCTATCCCTCATCAACATCGGATCATCGGTTGCTTTCAGCGCCATCATGTCCCTTGGCTGTGGTGCATTGCTCACATCCTATACTATCTCCACCAGCTGTGTTGCCCTTCGACGCTGGCGCAATCAGCCCCTTCCTCCTGCACGCTGGACTATGGGCAAGTTCACACCATACTGTGATGTGATCTCAGTTTTTGTTCTTTGCTTCCTCACATTCTTCACTTTCTGGCCTTTGAGCAAGAACCCAGCTCCCGCTGATATGAACTGGGCTGTGGTTATTTATGGAAGCGTTGTGATTCTTGCCGGAGGGTACTATATCATTAGAGCTCGCAAGACCTATAAGGGTCCAGTGACTCGTGTGAAAATGATGTAACTGACATGATGACGGTATGATATAGAAGTTGAAAGAGAATGGTTGGTTGCGTGTGAATGATCTACTAGTATCTCATCTGATGCGAAGGGCTACTTGATCCCCTGGATACGCCTTTTAATGAGAAAAGTACATAGTTGTTTAATTTCTCTTTCCCTTAATGCTTGTTCTGTCAATAATGATCATCAATCAAGACATTTCCAAACTTGTAGTATTCATAACACGACATCAAGTTCCAAGGTTTATACTCAGCCTGACATTGACGATCTCGGGATATTGTCTCACATATGCGAGGTATTCTATAGTAGGAGGTTAGGAACTACAGCTGTTAAACCAAAAGTCAAGAGTCCAATCCGTCTATTCGGGAACATATCAAATGTATTTACATGCTGGTCCAGAGACCATTTAACAAAAAAAAAAAAAAGGAAACGAGCCATCCCAAAACAATGAACCTCGACCCAGCTTAATCTCAAGACAAGATCGTATGCTTTTGTATAACCGAGGGCCCAAACACCCAATCCTGTATAGCTTTTGTCTCTTTTTGCTTAGGCCCTTTTGTTTTTGCCATTGCAAGAGCTGGGTCGAGGTGCCTCCGGGTACAAGGGAGGACTTGGCCTGGAAATTAAACATAAAAAAACATCCAAAGGAGAGGGAAGGGTATCAACACCATGAGTCATGCTGGGGTGACATGGAAAAGGGAAAGAGAAAGGGGGGTAATTGGAATAATTCGAGAACACAATAAGGAAGAGCGTGGACTTCATGAGCACATAAACCAGAGGAATGGAATGGAAATATCAAAGTAGTGGTGGTCAGGGTCAGCGTAGTTCGTCAATCAAATTTCGTTCCGGAGGTCCTCGTGCGAGTGGTTGCCGGACTGATCACGCTCTTTGGCCTTGCGACGAGAGGGCGCAGGGACGAAATCGAAAAAGCGATATTTGCTCGAGCTCTCCTTGGTCACACTGGATCTGCGAGCTTTGGAGTTCTCGGAGTAATCGAGGGAATATGTGGAGGAGTTCTTGGAGCTACCAGTACTATCGCGGGGATCGGACCAGCGGGGTATCGTGAAAGGCATGCGTGATTGATCCCACGTTGCTGAAGATGAGCTGGGCGGAGTGTCGTCATCTTCTGGCCCGTGATCAGTTGATCGACGAGGAATGGCAGGTCGAGGAGCGAAGAATCCGATTGAGCCACGATGGCCTGGAGTGTTTGAGGCAGATGAGCCCGGGGCAATGGCAGCAGTGGCAGCGGTGACCGCAGCGGACTCTTGAGCTAGAGCTGGAGCAGTTGGCTTGCTTGAACTTTCTTCATGGAGAGTTACAGCCCGCTCCATGGAGTCAACTAATTCTTCCCATTTAACTTCAAGTGTGCCGTTGGGACGCTCTGCTTGTTCTGCCTCGTCGAGACAATCCTCAGTACGCTCTTGGAGATGGAGCGCAAGTTCGTGAAATTTGGAGAGAGATGGGTCGATCTCTTCCAGTTCGGAGAGCCTTTCTGGGACAACCTCAAGCCAAATATGAATCAAGTTTGCGAAGCATCGAGATTGGTCAATCAGAAATGGAAGACTGGGGAACCCTTCGCGCGAGGTAAGAGGCAAGCGTCCAAGAATTTGCAGTGGAGTGGTGTAGGAGGGAGTGGGGATTGGTGCTGTCGCATTGGATGGGATATCACAAATGAGGTCGACAAATTGCTTGAATTCTGCGCGGTTACCGGCGAGAAACTTGTTCATTGGCTCCATCCACGGCTCCTTATTGCCAAATGTTGTCATATTAGCCAATCCTTGAAGAGCCTTTGCGATCAGTGTCAAAGTGCGCTGCGCACGGGATCGAGGATGATCTGGAAATTAAGTCAGCATGTTGTTGAACTTCGAGAAAAAAACACCACTTAATTGACGTACCCTTTAAGAGCCCAAACAGCTTGGGATTCAGGATGGCTGGGCAAAAGAACCGGAGAAACAGGAAGCCGGATACACTGCTATAGGTCACAGTGCGTAGGAAGTCGCCATATCGATCCTCAGCGCATGCCCTAACATGTCTGAAGATGCGCCTGAGCTCGGCTGGGCACCGAGACCATGAAATTGCAATAGACTTCCACACCGTGGTAGTTAGGTTGATCAAGTTTCGCCAGTTGCGGTCAAGGTCTTCGGCGCGTGGGACTCGGGCTGGGTCAACCTCACACTCAGGGTCGCTCTCGTCAATTTCGCGAAGTCGCTCTCCGATTGTCTCTTCCAAATACTCTTTGCCCAATCGACGCATGTGTTGGTCAAGGGCTTTTGTCAATAGTGAGTTTCCTCGGAAAAGAAGATTCGCTTCCACAGTAGCAGTCCTTCCCATGTCTCTTACAAGAACATTACGTTCGTGACCGGATGAGTCTTGGGAGTTATTTGAATGAATCCTCGTCGTGTATCGTAGGTGACTGGCAGTGGACTCTTTGTGAAGGCCGTCGATCTCATCTTCCACCAGCGCTGAGATCCAATCCACCGTAGCACCCGACACCTGGTAGATATTCAGGAGCATTTCAGAAAGCTGGTTCAATTCAGATGACATAACTTGTCCCATATTGACGGTGAGACCGTTTGTGAATTTGTGGAGGAGCTCTTTCATTGGTGCATATTCCTCAGACATCAAGACCACCGTTTCCTCCATTCGAGCTCTCATGAACATCTCGCCAACTGCTTGGTCTTGATCGTCAAGAACGGGCCACCACTTTTCACAGTCTACGCCTGGCTCCAATTCGTCCAGTCGCAAGTCCACCCTTCCAAAAATCGCATCTTTGGTGGAGATTTCAATTTCATCCAGCATGTTGACTGCGTTGACTTCTTGATTGGACGGGTATGTCCCTTGGGCAATAAGAGTCCAATCCCGCTGTGCGTTGAGGGTTTTGACCAATATCGAAGCTTGTGAGAGGACAGGTGGTAGATCATTGAAGGTGAATTCTTCTCGCCAAAATGGATTTGTTGTACGATATTTTACAGCAGTCTTGGCGCGTATTTCTCCATCTAGAAGGACCTCGGTGTAAAAATCGCTGATCTTGGGTGTGGGCGGAGCAGGGTGCGCATGAGCTCTAGATGCCTTTCGACTTCGCGGGGTTTCTTCCTCCTTGGCACGAAATAGCTTGGCTTCGGTGACTCGCAAATGGAGTATTCTTTCGATTCGGAACATACCCTTAGTGGGCGATGGGTCGGCCTCGGGTGTCTTATTGGAATCTTCTTCTTCAGTGGTGATTTCAGGACCATACAGTTCAGGAATGGTAAACGCGCGCAGTAGCACGAACCAGACTTCAAAGAGGACGCGGGTTTCAAGGGCGAGATAGATAGGACGCATTGCTACGTCGGGGACGGGCTGTGCCGTATATTGCGGGTAAATAGCAATGCAAAACTCATCATCAAGTACCGAGGAGTCTAATTGTTGAATCGCACAGCGTGATAACTGAGAAAGGTTGATGAACGCTACCAAGGTAACATCCGACTCGGTAAAAAGCTTGAAAGCGCCGTTCTCCTGTAATGTACAGCTTACTCGTTGCCAAGAGGAAGAGAGAGCTCTGGACTGTCTGTAAGTAGATACGCGCCGCGCGGATTCCGGTCTTATTCCAGCTGCCGATGGCTCGTCCCAAAGAAGCATCTTACCAACCTTGATGATCGCAGCATCTTTTTGATTTGCGCTTTCCGAATTTCTTCTTCGCTCCGGAATACGGCGGTCCCCAATTACAACCGATTGAGGTTTGGTCATTTTGTTTTGAACGCCCTTGGGGCGTATGGGTTGCCAACAGAGTAGAGCCGCGAGCCACGAATCGAAGGTTTCGTTGACATGAGGACGTAGCTGAATTCCAAGGCCCGAGGTGAATGTTTGAACACTTAGGTATGTCATTGAAAGCTCTGAATCAAACAGGGTTCGAACGCGGCAGCCACGTAGATCTGGGATCAAAGTCTTTGCCAATGCCGGTTCACCCTTTGCTTGGTATATAAGACTTCCAGTGGCGACATTGATTGCGCAGTACCCGGATGTCCAAGAGCTTGCGGATCGAGTGTTGGTGGATGTTGTTCTGAATGAAAGAATCCCGTGCATCCTTCCGCAGGTTGTTTTCATCAATTGAAGAATCTTGGCTGAATCCGTGTTTGAGAGAGGTGATGAGAATGAATTTTGAGCGATTGCGATGGACCGGCCACTTCCAGGAGATTTATTGAGTCGTTGGCGCGTTACCGCCTGTCCGATATAATTGGGGGTTTGTATTGAAGGAAAGCCGATCGAGGATGAAGAATCCTCCACTGTCTTGTTTTCTGCCATCTTGGTTTGGGATGAACTGGTAGCATTGACCGATCCGATTCGGGTCCGCGCCTTGAAGGTATTGGATGGCATGTCGCTCCGTTGCTCCTCCAATGTCGCGGTTCGCGATCGCGTACGCACGGTCCTTCCCTCAGTCGGTGTTCCCTCCTCGCTTCGTTCGATGGTTCGCGATCGCATAGTGGTCCGAGGTGAAGGCGCACTCTGGGTCAAGTATTCGGATTCGGATAAAGGGGAGTGTGATTCCGGTGTCACTGTGCGAATGCCGGTATCTCGAAAATTGTCTGGATATACCATGCCGTGTCGATCCCGGGATGAGGATTTCTTACTAGCTCGTCGCTCCACGGGACGGCTATATAACGCCTGGTGCATAGAACCTCTCTTACTGTACCCATTGGGATTGTCTGGGTCCATTCTGCACGGCTGTCACACACCCTCTTGAGCGGAGACGAGGCGTGGTGGTGAGGAAGTCCGCACCGGGGGGGGGGAGCGCTCGGGGAGTATGACCTCTAGCCCAATTATCTCGTAGTCGTCGTATATATGCCTGGGCACACGGGAATAAATGAAAGTCGGGGAATTTGGCGAAGTGTCGTTATGAGAACACATGGAGTCCAAGCGGAGGAAGGAGGCCGGAGACGGACATTCGGTCGAGACAGGGACAAAGGGGAAAGGCGCCGGTCACCGTCGTTTGTCTGAGAGATGCAGAATCTACCAATCGGGTAAGCTTTTAAATTTCCCAGCTAAATTTATTGCGGTAGCAGCGCTATCATGCAGTGGGGGAAGCGGCGGACACCATGAGTGTCCGTTTCAAGGCCCGAGGAAGGCCGAAGCAGTGGTAGTCCGGGGGGGGGCGGGCGTGATATCATTATTATTGAGGGGAAGGGAGGGGAAACCAAAGGCACCGTAGGGAAACATGGAGGGTCAAGATTATACACAAACACATACCTTCATCAGTCCCCTTTGAAATTGGGAGGTCTTGGATATGCCGGGTGGCCGCCTCAGAGGGAGGTGGAGGGGGCTTCTTTCGTTTGGAGTGGGTTTGTGTGTGTGCGTCCGTGTTTTGCAAGGTTGCAGATCCCCCAGCGCAGGGAAAAAGAAAAGTCGTAGATTGACAAGCCTAAGGCGATGGGCTAGATCTTAATCCCCCAGATAGTCGTATATATTGAAATTGAATCTCTTTTGGGGCTCGGAGGAGAAGAAGGGAAGAGAGGGGCGGAGAGATGGAAAAAGAGAGGGGGGGGGGGAGGTGGATAACGGAAGCTGAGGTCTGTCTCTGTCTCTCTGTCTCTCCCCTATAGAAAATCTACCGCGAACAACAACTATAACTGCCTGGATCATAAGAAGATTTCTCGCATTGACCGCAAGTCCTAAAGGCGTTGATGACCAAAGTCTTAGATGCGTCTAGGCGAGTTGGTTTTTCCCCCCTGATTTCTTTAAATTTTTTTTTTATTTTTTTTGGGTACAAAATATAAGACTATTCCAATGGAAATCCACGCTCGTGTTCCTCCTCGTCCTGCATAATGGCCAGGTACCACCAAATCCTGAGCCTACAACCCTTTTTAAAGCCTTCAAAATGAGCTTTAGCCGAGAATGCTAAGACTCAATGACGCCAATCGGAATTCCAGCGCACTCAGACTAGCCCTGCACGGTACTAGGATGGCTGATTTTCCCTTCCCCTAGTCCTGAGATGCTTAGTTCCCTCCGGCGCTCGGGAGCATTTGGTTGACGTCGGATGGCAAACTCTTGTCTTATCCGAATGTCTAATAGACCAACGAGAAGACGACAATACCGCGGGAAGTATTCTCCATGGTCAACTTCGTGAGCATGTAGAAGCCGTGACCAGGAATTGCGTGTCTCCCATTTTGAGGAAGGCACTTTAGTGTAATGGGCCTGGGGCGAATCATGCCTGAATCATGCGCGACCACATTGGATATTAGGATCCAGGTTGTCGATCGGACCCTCTTTCTGGAGCTCAAGTGCTATTTAGCCCCAATATCACGGTGAGAATCTTGGACTCCTATCTGTACAGAGATATCTATTTCCATATCCATTGGTGCGTGGGTAGTTATGCAAACTTGAACCAAGTTGGTGGGTAGCTCCTTATGAAATATTATAATAATAGGTATTCCTCATATGCTACACTATGGGATGTCCAGGTGGATGTTCCCCCTGTTCTAAGCAGAAGGTCGCTAGCTACAGAATTAGGTGCAGCTAGAGCCACACCGGGAACTTTGGGATCTGATGGGTCCTGAGAACATATATTCTGATCCGAGAGCCTCTATGAGCATTCTATGCAGACTAAATGGATCTATATATCATCATTTTAAGATCCAATTTGCAAATATCAGCCACACTATCCGACAGCTAGATTCCGTAGCACCGGGTTTATTGACCCTCAAATTGAACGAGAAACGGGAAAATCTGGGAAGGTTGCGGGTACTAACTTCAAAGTGGGTGCGCCGGACGAGGGGACCGTGTCATCATAAAATCCCCAGTTGCCCCCCCCCTAACCCGATACTCCGACTATGTATGCTAGCGATGGAAAATCTCCGAGGCGGATCCCGTTCACATTGTATACTATAGAATGGACTTGATGGATTTAAATGGCTCAATGCCTTTCAATTTCACCAGATTGTACTATTCATGGTCCCGAAGGATGGAGTAAATTCCAAGTCACCGCCAATTGTTCTAGAAAAAGCCACCAGGTGCAGTCATGCATACCTAGTCTCACTAGGAAAGACTCCGTAGGGACGGGACCACTCACAGCAGAGGAAGAATAGGTTCTTCCTTCCCGATCCCCGCACTGATCCCAGTACCACATGACTCGTGTCGGAACAGGCAAATATTGATGCCTGATAAACTTAACAGGATTATCAGGCCACTGTATTATGTCATTCCCGTCAATCACCTGCTCGTGCTCAGGTGGGCTAGCCAAACGGATAACATACCAAAGCTAAGTCTAAGCTAACAGGCTCCCGCGGACATGATCAGATGCATTGGGTCATCCTCCCTGATTTCGTATAACTGATCCCTTCCTTCCTCAGCAAACAAATAAAGGGGAACTACCTGAATCATATTATCCTCAGCCTATGTTGCGCATCTTTTTGACCTGAGAGAAGCTGCTGTGGAGAGGGACGTATCTCCACAGCTCCAGGTCCTTATCGGAGCCACCCCGAACTTTCGCAAACCCATGGCGATAAAGATCGAAGACTCGAGAGTATCAGCGTCAGTCTGAAAGTCGAAACCAAGATGATGTCCTCAAATATACTCTCGCGTTTCTTGCCACCTACAGATTCCCCGTCCGTTTATGAAGCCATCCGCGATAACGATGCCGGCTCCGATTCCTCCGATCTCGAAGAACGTGCAGGGCTGGCCCCGATAGATGATCAGGATAACTTCAGTGAGGGGGAGCTAGCAGATGCGTTGGCAAATGCAAGAGATAGCGATTTCTCCAGTCCAACAGCAGCTTTGCTGACCCGGCCCTCACAAAAGAATGCCTCTCGGGGCTCCCCATCAGTCTCCCGTCGTCGCAAACCGTCCAGACCCCGATGGATGAGACAGGCATCAGTCCAAGGGTATGAGCTTGATGATGCAGATGGGGATGTTCCACAGTCACTTTTGGTAGAAGGACATGACGATGAAGACTTGAAGTCACGATTGCCTCCCCCTCCTCAGATGATGCCTAGTCGCTCTAGGACCCCCAGCCCTCAACCATCACCACATCTTCCACAACAACCACCACGCTGGGCCTCATCACGGAATCGGCAAACATCCGACGCTGATAATCGTCACCCGTGGACTAGGTGGCTATCTGGACATCATATAACCCTTGCCAATATTGACCCCAAGAAGAAAGCAATGTGGCGCTGGGCGAATGTGGAGGATCTAGATAACTTTTTGAAAGATGTCTACATTTATTTTCTGGGTAACGGGCTTTGGTCGATTCTTTTGAGTCGTACTTTAAACCTGTTGACGTCCGCTTTTGTCGTTGGATTCTCTACTTTCCTCACCAACTGCGTTGATTATCACAAAGTTCGCGGGAGTAAGTCACTTGATGAGATTTTGGTTCCCAAATGCACATCGCGAATGTCTGGATCGACGCTATTCTTGCTATGGCTGTTTAGCTTTTTCTGGATTGGGAAGCTTTTTCAATACCTGCTAGATATTCGCAGGCTTCAGCATATGCATGACTTCTATTACTATCTACTTGGAGTCTCTGACGCCGAAGTCCAAACTATCTCGTGGCAAGAAGTAGTCAGTCGGCTGATGTCGCTACGAGATTCTAATCCATCTACGGCTGCAGCTGTATCTGCGAGACACCGACGGTTTCTGGGCAGTCAATCAAAACAGCGGATGGATGCTCACGACATTGCGAATCGCCTTATGCGCAAAGAGAACTTTATGATTGCTCTTGTCAATAAGGACATTTTGGATCTCACACTACCGATTCCATTCCTTAGGAATCGACAGCTTTTCTCCCGGACATTGGAATGGAATCTCAACTTGTGTATCATGGACTATGTTTTCAATGAACAAGGCCAGTTGCGGACGTTATTCCTCAAAGATACGCATCGGAGAGCACTGAGTGATGGCTTACGACGTCGTTTTATATTCGCGGGCATTATGAACATTTTTGTTGCTCCATTTATCGTTGTCTACTTCCTGATGCATTACTTTTTTCGCTATTTCAATGAGTTCAAGAAGAACCCAGACCAGATTGGATCTCGTCAATACACGCCGCTGGCGGAGTGGAAATTTCGAGAATTCAACGAGCTTTGGCATATGTATGAGCGGCGAACCAACATGTCCTATCCATTCGCCAGTCGCTACATTGATCAGTTCCCCAAGGATAAGACTGTCCAAGTGGCTCGGTTTGTTGCGTTCGTTTCCGGCGCATTAGCCTCCGTGCTGGCTCTTGCTTCTGTGGTGGACCCAGAACTATTCCTAGGATTCGAGATCACCCCCGACCGCACTGTGCTTTTCTATTTGGGTATTTTTGGTACCGTTTGGGCATTTGCACGCGGACTGGCTCCCGAAGAAACCGACGTTTTCGATCCTGAATACGCCCTCCTGGAGTTGATCGACTTCACTCACTATTTCCCTTCAACCTGGAAAGGGCGATTACACAGCGACGATGTTCGCAAAGAATTTGCCATTCTCTACCAGCTGAAGATAGTCATCTTCCTAGAAGAGATTCTCAGTATGATTTTCACACCGTTTGTTCTCTGGTTCAGCCTACCAAAATGCAGTGACCGGTTGATCGACTTCTTCCGCGAATTCACTGTCCATGTGGATGGTATGGGCTACCTCTGTTCCTTTGCCGTCTTTGATTTCAAAAAGGGCACGAATGTCATGTCTCAAGACCGCCGAGACACCGGTAAACAAGACCTGCGTGCCGATTACTTTTCAACTAAAGATGGCAAGATGCTCGCTTCATACTACGGGTTCTTGGATCATTATGGTGCTCACAACCAACCGGCAGGCCGACGGCCATTCCATCCTCCACCCAATTTACCCACAGTTGGCACTCACGAACTAGGAGGTCTTCACGATCGCATGGAGCCCCATCAGTCTCGAACGGGACCTGTCGGTATGCCATACGGTCAGTCGCTCGCTGCATCCAGGTTTCGCCATGGGACGACCGGCGAAAATCGCTCTCCCGCTCCTTCAATGCTCTTAGACCCGCATAATCAGCCATCTGCGACGGGGTTCCGTCCCGCAGCCCGGACTGGTCAATATCAACGCTCTCGCCTGGCTCGCTCGCAGCATCCTATCGAAGAGCCCATTGAAGATGAAGAAGAATTGCCCTCTCAAACTGGTGCTTCCCCTCGACCGCCAGATCCCACTGGTACCTCCAGTGGCGGTGTTGGTACAAGCGGTGGAGATCTTGGCGATTCATGGCGCATGAACTCATTAGGGAAAGACGACGATGAAACGGCTGAGGACAACGAAGGCGAGAATCTGGATGATATCGCCGGCGGTGCAGGTGTGCTGGGTCTTATTCAGCAATTCCAGAAGGCCAACACGGACGGACGACGAAATACGGTCGGAATATAGAATTTCATTTTTGCATTTGAGGAACTTATCAGCCATAAATCTCCTTTTACTCTCATGATCAAGCTTCTGGCGTTTTGGCCTAACCTTTTTTTTCTCTCCTAGCGACCCGGTAGAAATAATATCTATGTTGCTTATATTGACTGCTTGTGGAAACCTTCCCTTGTAGGTACCTTGCATGTGTCTTTAGCCCTCGGAGATTACCTAAATGCACTCGCACTGACCTCCAGGATATAATGCGTTGGTAATTTAGTCTTCAGCCCTCCCGAGGTCCACACAGAGAGGTCTACCTGTTTTGCATACAAGCCATGAAAAAGCAAGTGTACGGCAAAGCCAATCAGATATTGCCAACAGATAAGTCTATATGTCCACAGACCTATAGCCCCTGGCAGGCGCCTCTCTATTTCTTACATAGTGTATTCCCAAATCCCTATCCAATCCAGGGTTATGCAGCCATCAAGCCTCAGGCAAGTTGACAGAACCAGCAATTCGGCTGGGCCGGAACCACAAAACGCCATGCGTTCAAACGTTGGTCTGAGCCAAAACCCCACACTATGATAGGTCGATCCTCCGGACCCTTGCTGATCCCCCAATACTCGAACCCAGGGGGAAAGAGAAAAACAAACGGAGCAAAAACTTGAAAATGAACAGCCTAACAGAGCTAGTAGTGCTGGGGTTATGATTGGGTTTCGTATGAAGAATCAAGTATCAAGAATCCTTGGCTTGCTTCGTCCCCCTCTTTCCTTTCCTTGTGGCCCCCGAAAGTGAGTAAGTGGACATCTGGAGGTTGACCATTGGGACTTCGCTACTTGGCAAAGGGTCGAGAACAGAGTTGGGGGCTTAAATAGGCGATTCCCCCTCCCAAGGTTCTGTCGGTAAGTTAGAACCTCGGGAGGTACATTATTTAGTGGCTTGGGATATATGTAAAGCTATGTACACTATTTAAACTTGATTTGAACACTTCAACACGTCAATATTATTTCCTTCCCCTCTCCCTACTATAGTCTGAGGACATTTAACCCCCCCCCCCCCCCTAAACCTGCATAGACACAAGTCTATGAGTCGTATAAATAGAACGAATTAATCTCCCAGTCGGCCCTAGCTACTAGTTCGGGCATGGTTTTTCTGATCTCCCCAATAATATCCATGATTCATCCTCCGCCTATGGGTTCTTGACCCATCACATGTGGATCGCTCTGCGCATTGTTTAGTGGAGTCACGAGACAAGGGTCTCGATTCTTCCAAACTTCAATTCAGAATTCCTCCCCTTCTTCTATTCTTTATCTTGGGGTTTTTTTTTCTCTTTTTCTTCTTCCCTCCCCCCACTTACCCTCCAGTCCCTCCTTTTCTTCAAGTACACCCCGGCTATACCGTGAGGGGGTGACGACCCACTATGTTTCGCGCGCGCCGCTACAGAGTCCTCCTCGTTTTCGCCGCGGCGTTTGTCCTTGCTTTTCTGCATTTCGCCCGATCGCGCGAATGGTCCGACGCAACAGTTGTTAAACCTTCCACACAAGCTCCTAAGCCTAATTCCGGGTCACCGGAGTATCCGAGGCCAGACCCTCAAGCCGGCACGAATCAGCCGCCTACGAAACCCGTGTTGGAAGATGGTGCGAGTAGATTTGCGCCTGCGAAGCCGGATCTTGAATCGTATGGCTCAAGGCCAGCGGCGGATAATAAGGCACCCGGTATCTCAATAACGCCGTCGAAGGGGAATGAGAAGGAGTCTTCTGGCTCGGGTTCTGATTCGGGCTCGAGCTCGTACAATTATAACAACAATAATGGCAAGACCAACGATGATGGATATAGCTCTAGTAAGAGCACCATTGGTGAGGATAAGAGCTCCAAATATACTAGTCCTGGGTCTGGTGGGAATCAGGACCAGACATTGAGCTCGGATAAGGGGTCTTCAGTCATTGACGAGACGAACCCAGCTTATCTCGCTGAGGAGCTAGATACCGGGGGCGCTGGTAGATCGTCGGCTAAGCTCACTGAACCCGGAACCACACCTGCCCATTGGAAGAAGTTCCCAGAGCGATTCCCAGTACCAGCGGCTCAGTTAATCAAGCTACCGAAGGATCGGGCCACATCCATAAGCAAACTGCAGGCTAAGTTCAAGGATGAGTCGTCTGTCGATAAGCAGGAGCGCATGCAGCAACTCAGCACCATTCGAGCGGAGTTTAAGCGTGCTTGGCTTGCGTATAAAAAGGCTGCGATGGGCCACGATGAGCTCAAGCCTTTGACTGGGGGCTTTGAGGATCCTTTCAATGGATGGGGTGCGACATTAGTGGATGCGCTCGACACCTTGTATATTATGGATTTGAAGGAGGAGTTCGCTGAAGCGGTGGATGCTGTGAAGAAGATCGATTTCAAAACTTCTGCTCGTGAAGATATCCCCGTTTTTGAGACAGTTATTCGATACCTGGGCGGTTTACTGGGCGCCTATGATATTTCTGGACAACGATATCCTGAACTATTGGAGAAGGCTCAGGAGCTTGCTGAGGTCTTGATTGGTGCTTTTGATACACCCAATCGCATGCCGGTGCTTTACTACCGCTGGACTCCGTAAGTTACACTTATCCTTTACAAGTGGTGATTCTCGATGATGAACTGACAATATTTCCCCAGGGACCATGCTGTCCGACGTCACAGAGCCTCAGGAAAGGCTGCACTTGCCGAACTTGGATCTTTATCTCTGGAATTCACTCGATTGGCTCAATTGACCCAAGAAGACAAGTATTATGATGCCATTGCACGTATCACAAACGAGCTGGAGCAGCTTCAAGACGAGACCACCATTCCAGGCTTGTGGCCTATGCGCGTCAATGCACAGGGCTGTGCTAAATACAAGCCTACTCAACAGGTAAACCGTGGGGTCGGTAGCCCTTCAAAGGAGGAGGCTCGCTCCGAGCCGGACACTTACTTGAACACACCAAGTGAAACGAAAAACAGTACCGAAAGCAAGACTGTGCCACGCAAGCACTATAGTGCGCCTACGGATGTGAATAGTTACATGAACTTGATGTCTCGAGATGTCTCTGATGACTTCTCACAGTCCGAGCCCGCCAACTACCACTCGGGCCCTACAACATTAGATACCGAAGCCCAGCTGGAACAAGATTACAACTGTAACAGCGGCTTGCTAATGCCAACTTCATACCGTGAAAACAAGTATACCATGGGAGGAATGGCCGATTCAACATATGAGTACTTGCCAAAGGAGTATCTCCTGCTGGGTGGTGCGAACGATCAGTATAAATCAATGTACAAGAAGGCCATTGACGCTGCCCGCAAGAACCTTCTCTTCAGACCCATGATCAAGGGTGAGCGCGATATCCGTTTCATGGCATCGACTTCCACTCTGGAGCTGGGAAGGAAGAACCTGGATATTTCGACCAGCTTAATCCATGAGAGCCACCATCTGACCTGCTTTGTTGGAGGTATGGTCGCTGTTGGAGCCAAGGCCTTCGGTATCCCCGGAGACATGGAACTTGCAGCCAAACTCACTGATGGTTGCGTGTGGGCATACGAGTCCACTACCACAGGCATCATGCCAGAACGATTCCGTGTACTACCTTGTACCAAGGACAAGACCTGCGAATGGGATCAAGCACGATATGACGCTGAGATTACCCAGTTTGGTCATGTCCGCGACTCCGCAGCTGCAGCCCAATATCGCAGTGGCGAGAGCACATATGGACAGCGTGTCAAGATGAACAGTGATTGGAAACCACAAGATATCGCTGATAGCGGCATGGCTGTTCCTTTCCCCATGCCCGGTTCATTGAATCCCCACGACAAAGACCCTCTTAACAAGCGAGACTCATTCGCTGTTGGCCGTGTTGCAGTAAGCTCTACCATTCCGAGACCAGCATCGCCCACAGGTGGATCTGGAGATCTGGAAGACCGAGACGCGCCTCGTGTCTCTTCACCGGGCCCCTTGTCACAGACTGACCGCGACTACCACCTGCCAACTGGGATGGTTAGCATTCCTTCATCGGAATACTTACTCAGACCTGAAGCGATCGAGTCGGTTTTCATCATGTACCGATTAACAGGCGACGAGATCTGGCGTCGTAAGGGCTGGAAGATGTTCGAAGCTATCACGAAGCATAGCCGAACCGAACTAGCCAACGCCGCTATCTCGGACGTCATGTCCCTCAAGCCAGCACAGAAGGATAGCATGGAATCATTCTGGTTGGCAGAGACATTGAAGTACTTCTACCTGCTCTTCAGCGATCCAACTGTAGTGGATCTTGATAAATATGTTTTGTAAGTGTTCATCTACGTTACAATTTATACGACAACAGCTAACCAATACTCAACAGGAACACCGAAGCACACCCATTCCAACGTCCGAATTGATTTTTTGTTTAATTAATGTTTCGTTTTGCATCATGATACCAGCCCCAAAAATGCATATATTGTTTTTGTCTGTAAAAGGCTTCCTCCTAAATACCCAATTAAAATACCAAAAACCCGTGTAGCCACCTGTACAGTATTGTTGCATTGCTAGTGTAGACCTTCTCTATAAATTGCTTAGTGGGTGGATTCATTACGTATCTCGCCTTGGAAATGTAGTGGGTTAGCTTAACTTAGCCCCGGCCACTCGCCCCGCCTCTAACACACCAACATTCCGCATCTCCAATCTCCCAGGGAAACCGGGATGAGTGCTCTCGACAACGCGCGAAGAAGCAGATCTCGCTCGGGAAATGGAGCACGAGGTCTCGGAGCCCGAGCAGTTCTGGAATGGTAAGTTCCAATCAATCTGCATGGCATGTGCTTGATGCGCGATCCCTTCCACTCGGACTTGTTGACGATCGTCACGGAACGAAGACCGCAATTAACACGATACAGAACTCGAAGCGATCGTCTCCAAACCTGCCGACTCCGAAGACCTTATCGATGATGCGCTGAGGGAATATCTGGGCTTCACAACGCAGTACAAAGGTGATTATTCCCTTTCTTTCCCTTTTCTTTCCTCCTCCGATCGGTTCGCCCTCCACACTCCCCGCCTTCATCGCGTTGCGCCACTGTCTGTCGCCCTATAAGAACTATGACTGATTGTTTTGTGATACGGTTTAGATGAGTTCCTTCGGTCGGAGTGGGATGTCTCGCAGTGCTCGTATAAGCTCTTTGCGTCGAGCATCTTCTCCGCACACGGTGATTATGTTCGTCGACAGATCATCTACGGTCTCTTGCAGGTAGGGAAAATAGGGCGCCTGCAATTCAATCTCTTGGGTATATTCTTGGATTTGTGCTGATGCGGCAATATGCTATTTAGGAAGATGAGCCGAATACATTACATCTTATCGCATCGTTCTTGCTCTTCGACGGTCGGCAGAATGAAGTAGCGCTGCAGATGATGAATGAGGAGGGTGTCTTTGCTAAGCTACTTGAGTTGATTCAGGCTTTGAGGAAGGGGGAAATGGATGGCAGTGCGGATCTACATCGGATCTTAATGGATTTGCTGTATGAAATGTCTAGGATTCAACGAGTCAAGATTGAAGACTTAGGTACGTCTTTTGGAGGATCTGTTATGTCGGACTGATAATTGATAATTGAGATTGCAGTGCTTGTTGATGACGACTTTATTCGATGTTTATTTGATATCATCGAGGATCTAGCGTATGATGTTACGGATCCGTATCATTATCCTGTTATTCGTGTCCTAGTGAGTTGCCATTTGCGTTTCTATTAGTGTTTTGGATAAAATCTGACGCGCTGCAATAGCTGGTATTGAATGAGCAATTTATGATCTCGGCTCATGATCCTGTAGATGGTCCGGTCACTTCAAGCAAGCTGACCAACAAAGTCATCAAGGTTTTGTCTGTACATGGCGGTTTATACAAGACTTTTGGAGAGAATATAATTCTGCTTATTAACCGAGAAGGTATGTTGCCTAACTCAACCGTCGTTGATCAAATGCATTGACTGATAATGAAATAGCGGAAACATCACTGCAGCTACTCACCTTGAAGTTGCTCTACTTGATATTTACAACCCCAAGTACTTATGAGTACTTCTTCACCAATGATCTGCATGTCCTGGTAGACATTTTGATCCGCAACTTGTTCGATCTACCGGAGGAAGCAACCGCACTTCGGCATACTTATTTGCGAGTTTTATATCCACTCCTAGCACATACTCAGCTAAGACTTCCCCCACATTACAAGCGAGAGGAATTGCGGAGACTGCTCAACATTCTCGTGCGTGGTCAAGTCTCGTATGGCAATGAGACTGAACAGGAGAAGATCCTTCATTTTGAGGACGTTGATGAAACTACTCGACGACTTGTCGCTCGATGTGCCACTGTGGATTGGCTTCGCGATGTAGAAACCGAGGCAGCTCCTGCACAAGAGGCACCTACCCAGCCAGTAACGGCCAGTATTGATACAGTGCTTGAGGAGACTGTTCAACAAGAGTCACCGATTGACATTGAAGAGCCAATCGACCTGACTCGATCACTATCCCGTGCAAGCACCATTCCAGACTCACCAGGTGCAGCATCACCAACAAGAATGGACTCGCGTGGCTCCTCAGAGGCTCCAGAATCTCGCCGTAAACTCAGCACAATCTCGCGTCTCGGCATGAACCTTGAGCCTGCCACCTCATCTTCGCTAAGTGTCCAGGCTGTTGCAACCCAGCATGAAAAACCAGGTATTATTACACCCAGCCGCAAAGATGGACCGACCATTCGACCACCAAAGATCAGGCCTGAGCCACCCAAGGCCCGCCGATGGCGTGGTCGCCGTCTTGCCATGGATGAAGATGAACAGCAGCACTCCGCCGGTACAAGCAGTGACCGTAATAGCGCAACCATTCCGGAAGGCGTGGAGGTTGGAGTTAGTCCCACATCAACACATACTGCTCCAACGCCTACATCCACCACCCCAGTTTCAGGTGTATCTACCTCTGCGCCCCAGACGGATGATCCTGAACGCCGCAACTCCACAACAACGTCCCACCTCATTCCCCCAATCCCCACTCATGCCCGCCGCTCCGCATCAAACCCTCCACCCGCTCTACCCCCACCTCGTCGCTCCGTTTCTGCCAATATACCCTCCAGCCACCATCGCCCTGTTCCCCCACCTTCAACAGCCACAATCCCCCTCCCACCAGGAATACCAATTGGGAAGCATGGCGCGAAGCCTCTCCCGCCAAAAACGCGCCGTTCGGGCCGTGGCAAGGCGCATACCGCTACCGACTCTCTAGAGAGTAGGACTAGTAACGGGAGTACACAGAGAGAAGACGATGCCGAAATGGCCATCGTTACAGAAACTGTCATTCCTCCGATCTCAAAGACAATACCAGAGTCGCAGGACGGCTATCCTGTGTTGGCTGATGGGAACAGCAACGGCGAACATCCTGACCGAGATCCCTTTTCACCCACCTCTCCCACATCTCCCACTCTTCTTGTGTCGCCCGCCTCTCCCCCGAATGAACTTGATTCTAAAGTGGGAGATGGAGAAGAGAAAAATGCATACTCTGCTCCTGTGAGTGTAGAGAAGGCGTTACAGGATGTTTCTTTGCATTAGGCGTTACAAGCCTCCCATTATACATATATTGTCTATAGTCCAACCATAATCCCCTTTTTTGCTGGAACCATAGATCTTTTCATTCAAACTTTGATTCTATCGCTTGTATTATTGGGAGTGACGACTTATGTCACATCTACATATAGTCTACGCCTCTTTCCGCCTTTTAACCAACTACTATGTTATGGTAAAGCTAAATCTGTTCATTGAAATGGAACCTGTCCAAATCCTGAACAAGGGAGATTAGACCTCACGACTATTTATCAGCAACATATGGCTCCTCCTCCTGATAAACATCATAGTTATACCGAGTACCAATATGATCACTCCTTAGTTCCTTCTGTCCCTTCCCAAAGATCTTCTCCCGGGCCGTAAGAGGCTCGTCGTCCTCAGACGGAAGCTCAGGATAAAGACCCCTCCGCCTCAGCTCAGGAATAAGGAGATCAATCAGATCCTCAAAAGTCCCCGGCGTAGTAACATACCCAATATTAAACCCATCGAGATCCGCCTCTCGAATCCACCTCTCCATCTCATCAGCAACGGTCTCAGGACTCCCAATTGACAAAGGCCCCAACCCCCCAATAGCAGCCTTCTCAGCAACAACCCGCGGCGTCCATTTCGGCACATCCTTACTAGTCTTCACCAATGAATCAAGCAAACTAGTCACCTTCCCTGCCTCCAAGGAGTCCGCAGCTGTAATCTCCTGATCCAACGGGATCTTCGAAATATCAATACCCGTCCACCCACTGAACAGAACTAATCCCCCGATAACAGAAGCATGTTTCTTTACCTCCTCGTACTTTTCCTGGGCCTCCTCATCTGTGCGTCCTACTATGGGCGTGAACGTTCCAAAGAATTTAATGGAGCTCGGATCTCGACCATTCTCCGCGGCTAGCTTGCGGATGTTTTGGATCTTGGGTTTCAGGATTTCGGGGGAGTGGGAGGAGACAAAGATTGCTTCGGCGTGCGTTGAGGCGAATGCTGAGCCGGCGGGGGAGGTGCCGGCTTGGAAGAGGAAGGGTGTTCTTTGGGGTGAGGGGTCGACTATGTGGCGTGTGCTTAGGGAGAAGAACTCTCCTTTGTGGTTGATTTCCCTGACTTTATCGGGGTTGATGTAGGAGTCCTTCTCTGGGTCTGGGGAGAGGGCATCTGAGGCCCAGGAACCATTCCATAGTCTGGAAGCGGTTAGTTTCTAAGTTACTAATTTCTTTGATATAGGGGGAACATACTTATAGAGTACCCGGAGATATTCATCTGCCTGGGCATATCGCTGATCGTGCTCAATGGGGGTATCAATTCCGATAGCTTTGAAAGCTGCCTTCTTGTATGAGGTGACGATGTTCCATCCCAAACGACCATTGGTCAAATGATCAAGTGTAGAGAAACGCTTTGCTAAGAGGAATGGTTGTTCAAAGGAGGTCGAAGCCGTGATACCAAAGGCCAGATTCTTAGTGACGGCAGCCATTGCGGAGATGGGCTTCGAAGGAAATGATATTAGCTATTGTATTATTTCATGCGCTGGTGATCACTTACAATGGTTGGATCGGTAACTGGCCATTGTGCAGCTCGTCGAATACATTCGTCAAGCTTTCCCTCATAGGTATCATGCCCACCTGTGGTATCTGCTAGAAACAAAGCATTGATACCTCCTCTCTCAAGTAGCTTTGCTAGCTCGATCCAATACTCGAGGTTGCGTTTTGTTGCAGACTTGTCCTTTGGGTTCTGTGTCTGTTAGCATTATTTACCTGTAGGATGAATCTCAAAAGCTTACCTTCCACTGGCCCGGAGACAAATGTCCCACGGTCGACATGTCAAATGCATTGATCAAAATGTGTTTCCTGCCATTGCCATTTGTTTGACCCTCAGGTCCCTTTGAAACATTTGCGTCTCCCATGGCTATGAGCTTGTGATTGAAGACTTTGAATTAAATTTTTGAGTCTCTACGCAAGTTAAAAAAAGCTGGTAATTCAATGCAATGTTTTATCTGATTGTTCCCTTTAAGAGCTCTGAGAGAATTTATCTATGATCGCACGTCATTGTAGATATCTGCCTATCGGATGTATTTCTCACGCCATAATAATGCCCGTTTGACAAAGTCATCGGATCAACACCGAATGAATTTACTCCACAGACGGAGCTTAAACTTGAAGAAGAATATTAAGTAGATTACAAAGATTACATAGATTGGGCTCTGCATATATACGCAATCGTCCCCACATAGAGCGCGACTCGAAGCTGGCTGTACCCCCTCTCCAAAACCCGCATTATCGACCATCACACCCCTGCCATGCATTAAACTATCCGGTGCTATGATTGCCAGTACTATTATGACTGGGGACGAATAAGGTTGAAAGTGAGGGGCAATAAATTGGTGTCATCATCGGAGTTGCGATGGCGTGACTCTTCTCCCGTTCGACGGCACGATTGGGTTAAACGGCTGTAAAATAAACTACCAACAGTAATATCAACAATTGTCATCTTTGTGTACATAGATTCTTAGCTTTTATCTATGGGGGTATGGATAGAAACTTGATGGTCTATTATTCCTTACCTAGACTCTGGAGTAGTTGATACTACTAATATTTTCCAAATCATTGCCGCAGCTATATTTTCCAATCTTATATGCATTGGAGAAATCAACTTAGTATCACAGAGTGAAATAGACAACATGGTAGTATACGTCCCAGTCAACTCGATCAATCTTTCGCGGTCACTTTATTCTCTTCAACCCCAGATTCAAGATGACTCGATTCATCACCACTCTCATTCCCAACACTCCCACGAGCATTCAACCTCCTAGTAAACCTCCAAGTCAGCATTATTCCAAAAAGTAACTCCTCAAGAAATAAAGAAAACTTACTCTTTCCTCGAAACAATAAACTGATAAACATGTGCAAGCACAATCAAGCAGATCGCATTCCCAAGAACAAAAGAATACCCCTTCGTAAACCTCGGCCCCTCAACAGTCTTAAAAACCAACAACGGCGTCCAAGCCGTCGTAGACTGTGCAACAAGATTAACAATAACAAGCGTAACAGCCCTTTCAACCGGCGAAGTCCTCAATGAACTATTAATCCATCCATAAAGCACACTAGACATCGCAACAGCAGAGTAAGTAGTCAAAAACGCAAACCAAAGCGCCCCCTCCGGCACATCCCAAACAACAAGTATAACCAACCCAATAATATTCCACACATGTGCAAGCGTAATAGCCCACGCCGGACCGAGAAGTAAATCAGACGCAAAGCACACAAATAACGTATAGAATATACCCAGTCCCGGCGATATAGCCGCAAGCTCGTTAAGACGACTGGTAGAATACTTGTTTAGACTCTTTAGCCAGAGCTGATACCCGCCTGTTGTTGTGTTTATGCTTCCATTCCAGAAGAATATGTTTAGCCAGAGGAGGGCGTAGAATTTCCAGTTTCGAGATACATTGAGCAGGGTGCGCCAGGATACGTTTTCTTCTTTTATGCTGTGAGATGCTTGTTCGAGGCGGGATTTTGCGAGAGTTATGTCCTCTTCTTTTAAGATATATTTGTTGGGTTTGTCGGGTGTGCCCGGGAGAATGAAGTAGCCGAGTATTGCGACGGGTATTGTGATTATTGCGCAGATAATGTACATCCAGCGCCAACCTGCGAGGCCGTTGACTCCGTCTAGTCGGCTTGAGGTGCCAGCTTGGATTAGACTTGCTGTTAAAGTGCCTAGTGTGAGGCCAACGTAGAAGCAGCCTCCGCGACGGGCGATTTCGTCACCTCGATACCATGAGCCTTCAAATGATTTGTTAGTGAACTTTTTTGTTCCAGTTGTAGAGTTCTTTTTTTAGGTTCATACCGAATATATAGTGCATCCCAGGGTAGTAAGCCGCCTATCCAATTTCAGGGTTAGGAACATAAGTCGTAGCTTTATTTATTCAAGAACGAAAACACTTACCTCAAACCAGCCAACTAAAAACCGATACGCAGCTAACTCAGCATATGAATTTGCTCGATACTGCACCAAGGTAAATATACCCCATGCTACATCCATGAATGGAATAATCCACGACATAGGAAGCTTAGTGAACAAGTAGGCGAATGGGAGCTGACCCAGAACAGCACCAATAGTATACATGGTCTGCAACTGAACCAGATCATTGCCCTGGAGATTTAAGTCTTCCTTGAGACCGGAGACATAAGCATTGTCTAATAACTTTTTAGCTCTATTTATACAGGACTGTATGTTTAACCTTCAACTTGAAGTTCCATGACTACTCACTGATATTCGCCTGATCAATATATTTTGTCCAATAGGCCAAAAAAGCATACGGAACAATCAACAAGTCCAGCTTTAAAATGAGTTTTCTCTCTTCCTTGGTATCTGTATCCGCAAACCATTTGATGTGATACCATTTCCTTCGTTGTTGAGGGACTGTCATTGTGACCGCACGTGTATCAATGTCACCTGCAGTTTATACCAAGTTCTCGTAAAAAGAGAAAAGAAGTCAAGTGAGTAAGCTTTAAAGAAATGCAGCCTTATCTATCAAGACTAAATAAAGCTAAGTTTTAATACAAGGTTTAAGTTACCTTCCCGTCTCAGCTTGCGCAAGATGCCACCATGTATACCAATTGCGTGACTGCGAAAGGGGAGACGGCCAAGAACCGAAACACGAGCCCACCACAAACAAGGAATAAAACACATGTACAAAGTCACGCAAAGAAACCCTCCGAAGTGGAATTAAGCCAAGCCAAGATAATCTGTGAATCTTTCCGTATAATGCAAGCAAAAGTACTATCTACCTATACACACTAACCTAAAAATACAACTAGAAAGACCTCGGGAATCTCCAGTAATTCGTCCAGACTTAGACTAGACTGGATTCATTCCAACCTAAACCTTCAACCCATAACTCCTCCCAACACCAAGCACAGTATTTCCCCAGAAAGAAAAACACTGTCCAATAACCTCTACCTTCTTCGATAGAATATCCCGATCCTCAAATCTCCTCTCCACAAACTCCGCCGTCTCACTCATATCTCCCGTCGGGTCGCGAGTCATAACAACCTCCGCACTAGCATATATGGCACCAACGGCCGCGCGCCGCGTGTACCAGCTCGCATCCACGGACTCATCACCAGCCAGATTAAGAATATCGTTCGAAAGGGCGTGTAGCTCTGCTAGCGAGAGAGGGATATTACCGAGTAAAGACATCTGGGCAAGAGCCTAGTAATAAATTAACGAGGTTAGATGGGAACAATAAATAGCATCCAACATAGCGGGGTAGAAGGATAGAAAGGTATGTAGAAGTATAAATAGTAAGGAAACACTCACATCTTGCCATTGATCACGGATATCCTCGTTCATGCGCAAACGCTCCAGAATCAACATTTTAATCTTAGTGTCTACCTTGTCCTTGCCCTCTAGAGAAGACGCATCAAGACCATTCTTCGTGGCGAATTCGCGGAAGAAGTCGCTGCTTTCTATCTTTGCGCGGAGAAGTCCGCGACGACTGGCGAGGTAGAAGAGGATGAGGTCGAATTCGCCGCGCGGGAAGAGCTGGACGCTTACGTCGAGGAAGCCTGCGTCGCGGGCGCCGAGGGTGAGGGATGCATGAGTGAAACCGTGTGTTGGGACGTGGGTGAGAGATGCTTCTAGGATGGCGATTTGGCTGTTTGTGTAGGCATGTGGCGGGAGGGAAGGGTGAAGAGAGGAGTGGTAAGATCTTGTTTGGAGGGTTGAGATCGGTGTCGGTGTTGGTGTTCGGGGTGAACGGAGTGGTTGCGTTTTTATTTGGCGGGTAGGTCGGATTGAGGATGCGGCGATGCAGCGGGTTGGAGGGGTTGGTTTTAGAGATGCGAGTTGTTTCCTCGGGAGGAGACGAGTAATTGGTGACATTTTGAAGTTTATTTTAGAGATCGGTGGAGAGGTTGAGAAGAGAGAAATTTATGGTGGACTATGGAGTACGGGGAAGAAGTCAAGAAGTTCAAGTAAAGTTGCTTATTTGGTGGATCGGGGATCTGCACGTGCTTGAGCACAGACATTTTTCAACGCAGAATCCGAAGCTTGAATAATTTAATAACGAACATGATGGGAATAGGGAATCATCGGAGAAGCAAGAAACGAAAGATGAGCAGAGAACAAGATGAACACAAAGTTGTGAAAAAAGTAAAATCTCCAATCTCCCTTAAGAACGCAGATCTTCCAAAGTGTTGTTACAGGAACAAAATTGGATTACATGATCTGGTCTTGAGTGAGGCCTTCTGGGTGCTCTGCACTCTCCATCATGTCAGGGCCAGGCCCTGCGTGCCCTGCGTCTCCTGCGTTTCCTGCATTTCCTGCAATTCCTGCGTTTCCTGCGTTCAGGTACTTGACGAAGGTGATGCCCAAGGGGCGACCACCATATTGGTAACCGGTGAACTTAGCTGCAGGAAGATATCAGTACATGAATCTTCACGAGGGGTCTCATTCGAAATAGGTAGTAACCACTTACCAATGGAAGTCTCAGCAGTGTCAGGAGTATCAAACTCGACGACACCAGTACCGCGGGAGCGGCCGTTAGGCTCGTACTGGATTTCAGCCTTCTCAACCTTACCGATGGTGGAGAAGAGGTCAATCAGATCCTCATTGCAGGTAGACCAGGGAAGCTAAAACCTCTGTTAGTCAAAGATTCACTTCGTATCATAGGCGCCTTCTGGATGACTCACGTTGCGCACGTAAATGACGCCGCTCTTGTCTCCGCCAGAAGTGGCATAGTCAGTGAAGGGGTTGGGGGGTCCCGATGGGGTAGGGACATGGTCGTAACCACCACCAGCTCCACCAGCTCCACCAGCTCCGAAGCCAGGACCACCACCACCGAAGCCACCACCACGGCCGCCAAATCCACCACCAAAGCCACCGCGACCACCACCGAAGCCACCACGGCCACCGAAACCGCCACGACCGCCAAAACCACCGGGGCCACCGGGACCACCGAAGCCGCCGCGGCCACCACCACCACCGTAACCAGCGTTACCGCCAGCAAAACGATCTTCGCGAACTTCGAGGGGTCTGCCTTGCCACTCATATCCGTTGAACTGAGCAATGGCATTGCGAGCATCGTCGGGGTGCTCAAAAGCAACAATACCGGATCCCTTAGGACGACCGGTAGGATCGGTGTGCACATCGGCGCGGATAACATTTCCTTGCTGAGCTAAATGATAAGGGTTCAAGTCAATTCACCAAAGCGTTCATCAAAAGAATAGAAAGGAAATATTTAGTTGCAAAGCTCAAAAGCCAGCTCGGCACTTACCCGCTTGGCGGAAAAGATCCTTCAAATCTTGCCAGCCCACGTTGAAAGGAAGCTATACAATGATTTGTTAACGACCTGGTTTACCAAAATTAGTATAACAGGAATCCGAGGACAACAAACGTTGGACACATATAGCTGACGACCAGGAGCACCGCCACCTGGGGCGCCGCCGAAACCTCCACCGAAGCCACCGCGGCCACCACCCCCGCCTTGAAAGTCGCCGCGAGGAGGTCCACCAACGAATCGAGGCTCGGCTTCACGGTCCTTTTGGTTCGAAGAGAAAAGAGGGAAATAATTAGTCGAAGGTCCTTGATAACAACGGCTTTGTTCTGTAGGAGATGGGAGCCATACTTCGCGAACGTAAACGAGACGACCCATGAGGTTTTGGTTACTGAGACTGTTGACCGCATTTTGTGCTTGGTCCCTCGTAGCGTACTCCACAATCCTATTGCGCGTTAGCCCATTATGTCCCATTCCGCGATTCAAGGAAAACCATTCTTGAGTCATAACTTACCCGCATCCCTACAATATCCGGACAACCAGGCCCAGCCCGTCAACCCAACAGTCCATGCAAGGAAACCAGAAACAAAAAAAACCACAAAAAATCAGGGAGTAGAAAAGGAACCAGCCACTCTACGCATTGGCGCCCACCTTCGACATTCCATTCGGAAGAAGTAATACATCGGCAAAGAGAACTTCTCCAGCTGTACGACAAACCAAGAACCACCAGTCAGTCTTCCAAATTTCTTCATCGCATCACCAGATACACCTCTCGCATCAGATCCTTGCTCACCCTGTCTCATAAAGTCTTTGAGATGATGCCACTTGACATCGTACGATAGATTGCCCACATAGACCCGGCGGTCTTGCTGGGATGAGTCGCGCACTGATTGCATCATATTTTCTTTGTTGACGGAGCGATCCTCGAATGGTCTGTTCGGCGCGTATCCACTGCGTCCACCGTAGGGAGAGCCCGAGCCAGCAGCACCAGATGCACTCAAAGGAGATCGCGAACGGCGATCACTGCGACGGTACTCGTCACGACTGCGAGAGCGACTGCGCGGGGTGTACGAGCGACGACTACGACGAGGACTGCGAGAAGAACGACGACGGGGCGAACGAGACCTCTCACGCTGCATGCGGTCAGAATCGGGGTATCCAGACATTGGGAAGAAAAAAGATAAGGTGCTTTCGCGATATAGCGCGTAGGATAGAAGGATGGATGGAAGGAAGGAGGTCGGGAGGGTGGGGTAATAGAAGTTCACGAAAAGGGAAAGGAATGTGGAAACAAAAGGTAAGAGAGAGAGGAACGGGAAGCAGATTGCAGGTTGCAGGTTACAGGGTGGAGAAGGGAGTTTCGGGGCGATCGGAGGTGGGTCAGGTGACTGGCTGAGACAGCACGAATCGAGGACCCCCCGGGGGACACGGGAGAGGCTTGCACGGTGTCCCCATGGGCTGCGCACACACTTTTGCGCCAGTCAAGCTATTTTTGACCAAATTGAAAGAGGTGGCTTTGATGCTTTCTCTCCCATTCTTTGTGGTTGCTCACAGGCCCCCTTTCCCTTGTTCCTGAAAGATATTCTCTCCTTGTTCCTGTTCCTATCTCAAGCTCCATGAATGACGGGTGCTTCGATAGGAGCTTCCGCCCCCGCACTGACCATCCCCCCCGACACAATAGTCCATGGAGGATTAGATGGCAAGATGGATAGAATGTAGAGGATAAAGAGATTTACATAGAATAGATAGAAAGAACACGGAAGATATCATGCAAAGGAAACCAAAAGGAAAGCGTAGAAATAGGCCACTTACTTGGGAAGGTCGGTATATGTCGGCTAACCAGGTCAGCGAACAAGAAAACGATGAGGGGGAGGAAATAAGAGAGAAAAGATGAGAAGGAGAAAGCGGGGGGAAGAGAAAGGGAAGAAAGAAGGATCAGGCGTCAAGGTTCACACTCTGGGGGTCGAGCAGGACGATGATTGGGTAATAGGCCTGGAATGGCCGAGGGGAGCTGAGAATGTACCAAGGGGATGTGAGAGTAAGAAGTATCGAGTATTACAAGATACGCAGGGGGGCAAGTTGGGGGGGGGGGGGGGGGGGGGGGGAAGAGAGGAGGGGGTGGTTGTAAGTGTATTCATCATAGCAAAAAATAACAACAACAGCATCACGGTTTAATAACACGGCCAGTGCAAGAAAGAAATGAACCCACCCATGATTGGAACAATATCGCGTGGTGGGGAGCGTTTCACGTAGTACGAGAAATGTGGTCGGGGAGAGGAAGTGGAAGAAAGAAAGAAGAGAAAGATTTGACATGCCCAGATGGTTGTTTTGGCTGCGTGTTGGGGATGCTCAAAACACATCGGCCCCACCGCCCTCGCGGAGAGAGTGTGAACTGTGAACTGGTCTAAATAGTGAGGAAGTGGACAAGTTATGTACTTCCATAGTATACTGAAGTATAGGAGATGGCAGAATCAAACAGTAGGACTCAAGTTGTGAAAATTGGATTATTACCATAGAATCATGATCATATACACACCAATTCATGAAGCAAAGGATCAGTATAAAAAGAGGAATTGGTACGAAAAACACACAATCACAATCACAATCACATACTATCTCCACTATCTACGTATGTCGAAGGATCCCTTCATTGTAAACCTGACTATCTATCATGTTCCAGCCTACGTAGTGTCACCCACCTGCATGACTGGTGTATTTCCATTACTGCGTTCAATTGCCACGCCCTTTACTTCCTGGGCGGACTCGTGCCGAGGCTAACAAGCTTACAGACTAAGCAGGCTTACGGGACACTCGGAAGGTATAGTTCATAACCTTGGAAGATATACCAGATACTAGAAATGGATCTTAAAACTAGATCTTCATTCACAATTCTATTCCATATTCTCCAACGAAAGCACGAGTGCTCCACACTCCGGATATCAAAAAAGAAAGAAAGATAGGACCAAAAGGAGAAATAGAACAAGTCACATAGAAAGTGTAAAGGGACGGAAACGAGAGAGGAAACACAAAATCCACAATGCGCCTCGCCCAGAACGAACGCCGGCCAATGTGTGGGCCAGTGGAACGAGAGGAACCAAAACGCCTAAAAGCAAGCTAGGACGTGCTGTTTAAAGGGAGATGAAGGATGTCTGTACATGTATCATAGACAAGATCGGGGTGTAATAGATCGAACCATAGATCAGAGTAAAAAAGAAAGAAAATAATAAAATGAAAGGAATCAAGGGTAAGAAAGAAAAAGATTCAAAGAAGAGGAAGCCTTGAAAATGTCAAAGATAAGAAAATTGAGTGAAAGTGTGAAAGGTTTAGAACGAAAATTCTAAAATGTCGAATATGAAAAGAAAAGTAAGAAAAAAAGAAGGGGGAAGTGGCTAACTCATGCAGCCACATTGGTCGGTGGGTAACGACCAGGAATCTTCATATCAATGGCTACCACACTATCCAGTCTCTCCTGCCTGGAGCGGGACATGTCAGGTCCAGTTTTGGCTGTGCCACCTGCGCTTCCATTAAAGAATCCATCTTCAACAGGAACGGAGCTCACAATGCCGTCATCGACGGAGGTAGCCAGAGTATTGTTTGTGTAATCTGTTTGATTGGTGTTGGTTGGCGCCGTAGACACACTCTCACGGCGAGCAACATTGGGCGGAGCGGAGTTCTCTCGGCGGTCTGCGACACCGATAACTCCGGACATCGCCGCTACCGAAGCCTGGTCCCCATCGGATCGGATCTCTCGATCATCGACTGGGGTGGGCTCGGGCTGATGCTGCTGCTGCTCATTCTCCTTAGCAACAACCGCTGCAGGTCCAATCCATTGGCCATAATAACTGTCATGTCGACTCATGCGATTCCGAGACTGGTTGGCGGGACTCTCGCTGTTAATACGCTGAGATTGGCTATCGTCTTGGGCCTGGTTGTAGAATCGAGAGTTGCTCGCAGCAGTGTCACCGTCTGGGTATGCTGATGCAGCTGCAATTATATCCCGGCCACCGGAGCTAGCTCCACTGGAGGGTGATAAGGGTTCCTGCAAGTTTCGGTCGATCTGGACGTCGCTTGGGAAAGCACCGCCGGGTTGACGGGTCGCGGACATTGGACGCTCCTGTTGTCCTTGAGTATAAATGACTGACTCGGCAGAGTACGGTGTCTGATCGGCTTCATCATCTTCCAGAACTTCGCTGTTGGTTGACATGCCGCTCACGCTACGCACGTGTCTTCGGACGGAAGCATGTCGTACAAAAGCATTTCGCGCTTCGCCGGTCTTGTTGCTCAGGTTCTCGATATCTTCATACCAAGACATCATGGTCTCGTGGGATTCAGCGCGGAAGACCCAAGAATGGCCTCGGTGCATGGCACCAGTTTGACGACCCTTGAGCATAAACTTGTGAGAGCTCGAGTCCTCGTTTGAGTGAGATCCCAGCTTTTGCTCGGGCAAATACAGAGACATGACTGGTGTCTGCCAGGCGACCCTGTCTGCCGACTTGAACTCGTGTAGATGAGTCGGCGACAACACATACCATCCTGGAGTATAACTCTTGAGATACTTGCTCTTGCGCTCTAGCATACCAGCGCGAACTTCGGCCGCGGCAGGATGATCTTTACCAGAGTAGGTGATGCTCTCCACGTTCCGCAGAGGAATCCGGGGATCAACTAGCTCTTCCGTCTCGGCTACGAATGAGTTCCACTCATGGTCTTGGGGCATTGAAATGGGACCCACGCGAAGCTTCTCAACAGTGTCATATGCCTCATCAGCCTCGCGCTTCAGGATGCTAGCGTACGCATTGTAAGCCTTCTGAATTTCGCTAACAACAATCGACTCAAGCTCGCGACCAGAGTTCTCCAAGTTCAAGAAAGCTCGGTGTAGGTAGTTCTCCTCCTCAATCTGCTTTTCGACTTGTCGCTCAACGTTCAGACGCATCAAGAAAGGATCTCCCTTGCCTGATGTCGCGGAGGGGTCGGTATCAACCAGGCCCAGGGACTCATGTAAATTGCGCACAGCCTTGCGCGTGCCATCAATTTCCTTCTCAACAGTATTCTTGAAGTCGCCCGAGAGACTCTTGATTTCCTTCGTCTTCTTCTGCAGATCACTACGAAGGCCAGTCAATTGGCTAATGACTTCCGTCTCCACCTCCACAGCCTTATTGGCTTCAGTATAACCCTGTCGATGGAAATCGCGCAGAATACCCGTCGCATCGGCAAGCCCACCAGACTGCAAGAGGCCAGCGGGGGTTGACTGGTTGTTGATCACATTTGAAGCGGACAAAAAGAGTTTCGAACGAGCCTCGTAGGATTTCTGTACCTCCTTAAAAAAGACAATCAAGTCTTTCAAGATCTTACGCCAAGCTAGCAAAGCAAACCGCAAATTAGCTGTAGTCCCATGTGTTCAATGTTATATATTTTCCCTCTTTAACTCCCCACGTACCTTGAAAGCGGGTAGACAGCACTTCGGTCGGGTTCCCAGTAGTCGGGATAGGAACCATAAAGGCACTATTCATGTCCTCTGAACCGTCGTGATACTTCTCGCGGTCGCCGAGACTCAAGCTCCTCACACTACCCGCGCGCATAGACCGGCGACTCCCATTCCGCCGTAAGCTCGCCTTCTTACTCAAAGAGGCCTTTTTGCGCAAGGTCCCCTGTCGCGAAGGGGTGGTGGAACGGGCCTGAGAAGCCTGAGAGACCGATCGTTGCAGGCTTGAAGCGGGGTTTTCCAGCGCGATCGAGCTGCGGTGACTAGCTGTATCGAGCTCCTCTCTGAATCGGCCGATATAAGGAGGTTGCGATTGTTCGAGTGCGCCGTGACTGTGGAAGGCGGAGGAACTGTTGCCTGCGTAGGAGTTTGGTCGGGAGGAGGTGCGCAGGGAACCATATCCGCGACTCAAGACGGATGGGTCATGAGCATTCGAAACCGAATATGCATCCTGCACGGGCGTCTGTGGCCGCGCGGCCATCGCCATGACGGGAACGTGGAAAAGGTGGGAGGGCGGAGGTGAAAGAACGTAAGGGGGGTTGAAGTTCGAGGGGGAAAGAAAGGAATGATTGCTCGGAAGTCAAAGTCAAAAGCTCAAAAAGAAAAAGATAAAAATGATTGGAGGTAATAGTAACAAAGTCCCGAGAGGGAATGGGAGAAAAACACTATGGATCTTCAGGTAGAAGTGGCGTGGGATGGTTACCAGGCGAACGGGACTTGCTTAGACTAGTATACTCTAGTATACTAGTACGGAGTCAGTCTTGGTTCTGGCCCCCGTCAAAGATATGCGGGGAGATTTTCAAGGTGAATTGTGAAGAATCGTGTTAAAATCGGCAGTCAGAGATTAGAGATCAGGAGGTGGAAATCACGACTATGATTTTCGTGATTTTCAGTGACTATTTCCCAAATGGATTCAAGCCTAAGAGCAGGAGGCGAAGTACGTAAATATGAAGCTTGGGATTTAAATGACGTCTACGAGGTTGAGAGGGGTGCGATCGGGTACGATGACGAGCCACAAAACCAGTTCACTCCGGGAACCCCGGCAGCTGGGTAGTTACAGAAGACTAGAAAAGAGGGGGAATACCATCTTTGGGGGGAAACTCATGAAAAACCTAATTCTTCCAAGGTTACAAGCTCGATCGCGATGGTTGACGTCGAGGACTTTTCGGAAGTTCCGGCCGGTACGATATAGGTTCCTGGAGTTCACGAGTACATACTAGATGTACTATTAGTAGAGGTACATAAAGTACAAATTATAGACATAATACTGTACTATACAAATCACAAATAAGGGGTTCGATAAAAGGGGGGTAAATTGTCTAGTATACTATGGATCCATATTATGGAGAACGATAATCTGCAAATCTCCCCAAGCCCACATGTGCAGCAGAGATAATCATGGCTGCCTGTCGTGGCTGGAGCTAGTGATGTACATCTGTGTGGCTGAGAGTTGAAAAGGGGGTTCTCAAGCCTAATTTCCCCCTGATCACTGATGAACACTTCATGACGTCGGAGGAAAATCAAATATTTCAATTTAAAGAGGGGAATGTCAAAGTTGAATAAAGGAGAAGTAGAAGCTCTATTGAAAAAAAAAAAAAAAAAAAAAAAACCAAGAATCCTGTACAGAGTAGCTAAAAATGATATCAAAAGTACCTTGATAGTCTACTTACACTCTCGTTATAGATCGGGATTTGCCCCCCGATGACTTCCGAGTCTTGCTCGATCACCATGATCTTCACGATCTCTCTGTAACCTCATCGTTGTTCAGCCCTTAGCTTGCCGTTTCGGGCCGACTCTGAAGATATCACAAAACTGGTCTTCCTCTCATTCCATGGTAGAATGCCATGCGCGCCCACAAAAACCAGTCTTCTTATCTCGTGGATATTATCCCCGTAGAACCGAGGCAAGCTGTCTGGGAGGGGGTTTAGTTCCTTGTCCATGGTTATATCGTCAACCCAGTCGCCTGCATTCAGCGGTTGACTATCTACAAGCCAGTGGAAATCCCGCGTGGATTTCATCCGGAATCTATGATCCGAGACCATGTCCGATATTGAGAATCTAAGATCATGGATTGGTGGCGGGAGTCGTATAATTTGCGCCCTACATACGAAGTAATTAAGTGGGTATGTAGTTCTTCAAGGCGATGGAGATGGATTTTGGTCGCAAAGAAGTTGGGGTTGGAGGTTTTGATATACCCGTGCCATCATTGGTCCGTCTTCGGCCACCCCCTCTGCGGGATGTGCAGCAACCTCCACGTCTAACAACATGACATTTGGTATCTTATATCTCCGAAATCACGCCCAATTGAACCAATCTAATGCTATACATTAGCATGGAAAACGTCCGCCGTTCAATAGGTATTCTTGTAGTTCCTAAAATGAATACAGCTGCAGACACTTATATCCTTAGGCGCGTCCGCAAACAATCTACGTCACAAATCTCGTTCAGACACAAGAAAATGGAATTGAATTGATTTGACGTGCCCGGCATGCTAGAGAGGCAACCATGATAAAAGGGGGATAATTTACACAACACGATATGAGAATAAATGATGGCATGAGGAAGGAAAAAGCAAGAGAAACGGTTTTTATGATGCAGGCACCTTGCCTGTGGGGACCTCAATACCGTACGCATCCTTGATGCGCTCAGCACGGCGCTCCTCGTAGTTAGCGCCGTAGATACCTGATATAAATCATTAGCACAGGCTATATCAAGAAACCTCGCAAATCGCCCAAGTATCAGAGATCGACGATCGATCGAGAATTGTAACGTACCACGTCCCTCGCCCAGCTCGGCAAAGGTTTGCTCAGCGGGGGTCTGGAAGTTCTTGCGCAGCCTCTGGCGACGCTCAAATTCATCCTCGGTGCGGTCCTTCTTAGCTCCAAACAGGCTGCCACCGGTGTACTCGAACGCGGACAGGGCAGTGGAGAGCGCGACGCCGTATCCGAGAACAGCGGGGAAGGTGCGGGCTAGAAAAGGCGTAAACATTAGTATATTTCTTCGAGCCCGTATTATTCGATCGTATTTTCATCACTCACCTCGGAAGCCTAAGAGAGTACCGGCGAAGAAACCACCTAAGGCGGTGTTATAGGTGTCCTCGGTTTCGCGGAGGTTGGCGGAGGCGGTTCTGACGAACTCATAGGTACCGCCCATCGCGGCTAAATTCGATAAATGTTAGCATTTAGATCATATCCAATCGATTCCAGGCAATTGGTTCTTACCGAAGATACCAATGGTACCCCCGCTGCGAATGAGGACGCCCAGCGCTCCAACGTTGCGGCGGGCCAGGGTGTTCTGGACGGCAGATCCCATGAGACCAACAGTACCAGTCAGTGCTGTGGCCTTCATGGATGCTGAAATAGCATCCTTCGGGTGGTAGCTATGGTCCTCCTCGTGGTGCGCCATGGTGTGTGTGTGGAGAGGGATGGAGCTGCGGGTTAAGTGAAGTCGAGAAGGGAAGTTTTGAGATTACGTGATTAGGTAATCCATGCCTCCACGCAAATGTTGGCGAATATAGAGACGAATGCAAATAAGAGAAAGATAAATTCAGTTTTCTTAACTCTATCACAGAGAATGAAATAAATAAAAAGTAACCTCGTGCAGACCGTCTCAGATGAATCTTGGGAATAGAGTGTGCTATTCTGTACATTACTATGTACCTGATGCTCTACTAGCACATGGTCAAGATAATAAGTAGAAGTTGGAGACTGCATAGCAAAACCTCTATGGGTTTTTTCTTATACTTAAAACATGAGTGAAAGAATGTTCCTCCTCCGGGGCCTGTATCATGTAAGAGGTGTATATAAATTAGTTCCAAGGTTCCAAGGTTCCAAGGTTGTCTTTGTCTGTGATTAGAACTGGGTGTCGAGTATTGGCTCAGTATTTCAGTGCTGTAGCTAAGTATTAGCAAATCATATATATTTGTATTGTATGTATACCCATTGCGTAGGTGTTATTTTGTAAAATTGCATGCCTCGAGGTATACTTTACTTTAGGTATGCATATGGATTTGAGCATAACTCCATATCCACTGCCCAAAACCATACAGGGCTTCCCTACACCGCCTACGTTATATTCTGCCTGACCCCCCATAGGCGGTGGGGTGACCATTCTGCCGCTATAACACTCAATGCTGGGGCGAAGCTCATTCATGCCACTGATACAAGTGTCCACTGTGTTTTTATTCTTGTTTTCTGCCTGATTTTCTTTGTTCTCTGACATAACAGTTTGCTTTTCGAACAATCCTCATTCAAAGGCTCTTCCGCATACCCTAAACAGCATATCCCAAGCTTGCGGTCCACTGGTGCCCAGTGCGGTGGGCTCCCCGCTGTATCTCCGCCAGCGATAATACGGTCACACTACAGATCGCAGACTACGATCCGCACCGTCTATTCACCAGATCCCATGGGTTATTTGCCCTTGGGGTCTTCCGATCTTCCGACCTTAAGCGCAAAGCACGTGTCAAGTCCATACCGGTTTAGACTGCATTAAGTCAAACAACCGTCCTCATGGCGGAGCTACGACACCGATCAGGTTCGTCACGGAAACAGAAGGAACTCTGTTTTAAACATTTACCACTCTCTAGTGACGGTCAGTTAATTAAGCTTATTATACAGGGAAAACCGCTCCCCGCTTGGCTGAGGATGTCTTCCTCTACGACTCTGCGAATCCTCCATACACAGGCCGCAACCTACTTTCACAAGTTCCCCCAGTGTACGAAGAGAATTACAATGGACCCGCAGAGTACATATCAGGAGTTGCATGCCAGCATGACTATGTGACGAAGTCTGATCAGACCCACCTTTCTCAGTCAGAAGAGCCTGGTAGAGCGGGGACTTCCAAGGTATCTGCAGTATGCTCCAAATGTCGTTATCATCTACAGGTTGTTGTGAACACCTCAAATACCGTGGACCCTACAAAAAATAGAGTTGCATGGCATGTTCATCATTTAGTTTACCAGGGTGGGCGGGAACGAAATGCTTGGGACATACCAGAGACCATGGAAACCGGGCAGATAGCTGAGACTTTCCACTACCGATGCTCACATGATAAATGCGCTGTAACTGTGTCGTTACGAATTATGTCACCGATCATTAATCCCGAATTGGCTTTGTTACTCACAGATGTAGCTGTCATTCAAAGCCGAGCGCAGGAAGCAATCGCATCCCAACCTGAACGACTTGAAGGGGTAGCAATCCCTCTTCCAATTACGGTGTTGGATAACTTGCGGCTCTACCTTACGAATGCACTTCATCACCCTGAACTAAGAAAGTCTATCACTCAAGGTAACAAGCGTTTTATGGTCTCGTTTGGAGTACGAGGTGAAGCTTGTAAGGAATTATTAGAGTTTATGGGTTTCTCTTTTCAAGAGGTAGGTTGTTGGTCATTTCTCCCCAATCCCTTTTACCCAGTCTCTGTGATTCCAATTATTCTCTCTGCTTCTCTATCCATTTTGCACCTCAATCAAATACAAAGGATCTCAAGTAACAAGTCTTCTAGAACGATGGCGCCTGGAAACCACCTCAGCCGGATTCCAAGGCCTCTGTGCCCTACCAAGACACGACATGTATCTTTTTGGACGACGTAATCCACGAACTGATTTGTTTAATCAACCAACGGCCTGCATCAGAGCGCCGAGGAATGCAGCTTCCACCACTCCCATCATCTGCAAAAAACGATATCTATTTTGCTTTAGATGCATCGGACTGTTTGTACCATCGAGTCCTTTTTGGAAGGGTGTAGCTGATTATTGGAACAGATCCCAAATCAAAGCGCGTACACGAGTTCGAGATGGCCCCTGCCCCGTTTGTCTTTCCCTCCCTCACAGCACCCGACTCATTCTAATCCAAAAGCAGCTTCTACGAAGATCTTGGTGCAGTGGAGGACATGTCTGTCTCGATGATTATCGATTGTTATCATCGCCAAGTGGCCGAGGACCCCGGTCGAGCCCCTTTCTACTTAGGTTGCCTCAAAGGGATAAGTATGGTCCGTGGTGGTGAAGATTTTGAAATAATTGACCAGGCTGTCACCCAAGCCTATTCGGAAGGAAGATACACGGCCGATGATGTGCAAGAAGCCTATCGATATTTTGGGCTCAACTACAATAACCCAGAATTAACTGAAGATACCATCATCGGCAATTTCTATGCCTTCCTCAGCTCGACGAATCAGGAAGCAGAGGCTCGGCGTCACCTTTGGATAATCAGTCAAGATTTTAGAAGTGAGCGGATCAGGGCAGCCGCCGAAGACCGTAAGTGCATCCTATTGAGTCATATTAGCATTAGCAAGTACCGCAGCACTAACTACCAGAAAGGCGTGTCTACTGTCGAGCAAGCAAGGGTATTTCTAGGAGTTGATGAGAGTACGCCCGACGATTTCATCATCACCATGTACACTGCAAAAGTATGACCCCATTGCCGAAAAAGATTTACTCGTTAATTAGTACTAATATTGAGACAAAGGTCAATGATAATCCTTCCAGCAAGTATTTGGCGGACAAAGCAGTACAACTCATTGCAGAAGCCCGCAATTCCAATGCTCTAGACCATTTTATCAAAACTGGGGAGACTATTACTGGGGAAATGGATGTTGGAGATGCATATCGTATGCTACAGATCCCTGATAGAACTGCAGACGAAGAAGCTGTCATGGCAGCGTACACGATCTGTCTGGATGAAAATCCCAGCCATGCAGAAATTTACAACCGGGCTCTTCTTATACTTGCCAAGGAGATGAATAGCGCGATGTTGTTGAGTATGACTGGTTCTGGTGGGGAATCGGAACGAAACCTGTCTGAATGGCCGGTTGGTTTGCAGAATATTGGCAATACATGTTACCTGAACAGTCTTCTGCAGTTCTACTTCTCCGTCAAGCCATACAGGGATTTGGTTCTGCACGTTGAGAAGCACCAAATGGACATGAGCAATATCACGAGCGTTGTGGAGAAAAAAGTGGGATCTCGCAAGGTGACTGGGAAAGAGATTGAAAGGTCTCTTCGATGTGGGTTATCTGATCCTGCCATCTCATTCAAAGTATGCTGACCCATTTAAATAGTTCTTCAGGAGCTCGGGGTCTTGTTTCGTGATATGATAACATCTCCAAATTCCTCGGTCACGCCTAGCAAAGAGCTCGCTCGATTAACTCTCATAGGTCCAAACAACGAAGCGGCAATTCGTCGACGCTCCACTATCAACGCTTCCAAAGTGCATGGTCTCGGCGATATTAACGGTGCCCCTGTATTAGGTCCTCTTGGGCCTCCTCAACCCATCGCCGAAGAGTCAACAGAGCTCACGCCGACAAATCAGGCCACTAAAACCGTTGGAATGAGCGATGCGGGAAGTGATGCAACGTTGGTTTCTGACACTAACATCATGGATACGCCTGTGCCAAACATGACCTCTGCACCAATTGCTGCTGAAGGAGCAAGTGAACCAGTCGACAGCATTTCACCAACCCAACCTGAACCTCCCAACCGACCTCCACCCGTGCCTCCGCGGCCTAATCCCGAGCCGGACCGTAAAGAACAGCTAATTGAAGAAGTGGAAATTGGTGCGCAGCAGGATGTCACAGAGGTCATCAACAATGTGCTCTTCCAAAGCCAGTGTGCCATTCAACCTCGAGGGGCCGATTCGGATGGTGAACAGCTTGACCAGGTTAAAGAGTAAGTACGTCTCATTTTTTTATGAGATTGGGTCACTAATCGTCGTACAGTTTATTCTACGGCCAAACTCGATCTTACATCTCCACTTCTAAAGGTACACGTTCTAAAGAGGAACGTTGGTGTGACATTAAAGTCGCTGTGGCCGACGGAGGTGGAGACATTTACGATGCCTTGGACGGGGCTTTTGATGTCCAGAAGATCAGTGTGGAGAATACCGAAGCGGAACAGTACGGTGCCATTACCCGTCCTCCTCCAATTCTCCAGGTCCAGGTGCAGCGAGTACAGTTTGACCCTGGTAAGCAGTCGTCATACAAATCAACAAATCATCTTCAGTTGTTTGAGACGATATACTTGGACCGGTACATGGACAATCCGAATCCAGCATTCATGCAAAAGAGACGGCAATGCTGGGAATGGAAGAACAACCTTGCCGGTCTTGAAGCTCGCCGGGCAGAATTACTTGGGACACAGGTATGATATACTTATTGCACTACAATTCCGAGTGTGCTCATGCCTAATCTTACACGTGTATAGGGAAAAGAAAAGAAGGGTATTCCTACTTCAAAGCTCTTCCGTGAAGCAAAGACACAGCTCGAGGAACTCCAGGCTACGTACTCGGATGAGCCTTCTGATATAGAAGCAAATTTAGGGATCAGCTCGGACCTTATACAAGAGCTTCAGGAACTTTCCGACGGCACAGAACAGGAATTACAGTGTATGAATATGCTCTTTCGAGATTGATTTGGTCCATTTGCCTAACGTCGAACTAGTTATTGAGACGGAAATCCAAACTACCAAGACGAACATTTCCCAGCAGTTCGCCGACTCACAAAAGCTTCCATACAGACTCTACGCAGCCTTTATTCACCGTGGATCTGTTTCATTTGGTCACTACTGGATTTACATTTACGACTTCCGAAAGAACATCTGGCGCAAGTATAATGATGAATATGTGACCGAGGTTCAAAATCTGGACGAGATTTTCAACGACCCCAATGACACTACTCCGCCTACTCCTTACTTCCTTGTCTACCTTCACCAGTCCAAGATAGATATTTTGGCTGACCCTGTCAGTCGTGACATCGCGTCCAACCAAACCGAGACGGATGCCCCCACTGCCATGGAGGGTGTTCTCAGCCCCAACCCTCTTGAATATGCTCACATTGATTATGCGGCGGATCAACCAGCACCATTGGAGCCTGCCGTACAGGAGGAATCTCAGGATATTCTAATGAATTAAGATTAGTGTTGCGTGCTGAGTATCGTACTGTGACGGCATCGGCGAGCTCCGATGATTATGACTGATTCCCAATCTCAGATACCTGTCTTTTGTCGTATCCTTCTTTTGTTATGAGGGCATCATTTTTTCAAATCTCATGCATTAGCGAGGTTTGATGTTTTTTCTATTCTTTTTCACGTACTATGTACATAAATGAAGATATCCTGAATCAAGTACCTAGATCTACCTACAACTACATCCTTCATCGTACGCACACGCCGCCCATCAAACCCCGGAGCCACTCGGGTCCACCAAGAATGACTAAGCACATGCGGCCCGCGGATCGGAATCGGATCGGTTGTAGTGTCGGCTGTGACGCTCAACTATCAACACCTTCAGCCTGTATATCCATTAAGAGGTGCAGAAAAAGAGACAATTCGGAGCATAAAAGCTTGTTTCAATGTATATTCTTGTGTCGTCGCAATAGTTCCTTTGTCACTGATTTACTTGCACACCGTCGGATAGACTGAACAGGGTCCCGCACGTCTATCTTCTGCGGGGAAACGTTAAGTATGGGGAACAGAGAAACAGCCGGGGCTGGTTCCGTGCGGATTCTTGCCGCCCGGAACTATAAGATGTCACCCGGACCCGCTGCTCGATCTCTCGCAACGCCTCCCTCTTTTGTTCCTAACCTAACATCCTAACCGACTGCGATTTTCGCTGATTCCAAATTTAATCCAGCCATGCCTTCCCAAGTGGCTACCTGTTTGCGCTTTGCGCGACAGTTCTCCGCTGATCCCGCTAAGGTAAGCTACTCCGCATTGCATTCGAATGGCCAATTTCTCCACATCCCGCCGGTACGAAGGGGGTTCAATTGCTAACGCCTTTCAAAACAGCACCAGCGCTTCCTCGCCCGTACCTTCTCGAGCACTGTCCGCCGTGGCGCAATCAACAAGGTTATCCCCTCCGCGGAGGAAGCTGTCAAGGACCTGAAATCCAACTCGACCCTTCTAGCTGGTGGTTTTGGGTTATGCGGTGTTCCCGATTCTCTGATTAACGCTGTGCGCGCCAACTCCTCCATCTCCGGCCTTACAGTGGTCAGCAACAATGCCGGTGTCGATGGCTCCGGTCTCGGTCTCCTCCTTCAGTCTAAGCAAATTTCGAAAATGATCGCTAGCTACGTCGGCGAGAACAAGACCTTCGAGCGCATGTATTTGACTGGTGAAATTGAGCTGGAGCTTACACCACAGGGAACTCTTGCTGAGCGTTGTCGCTCTGGTGGTGCTGGTGTTCCTGCCTTTTACACGCCCGCTGCTTTCGGAACAGTCGTTCAAACAGGCGACCTGCCATTGAAGCATAATACCGACGGTACAGTTGCGCTTTACAGCCAGCCGCGCGATGTGAAGGTCTTCGATGGAAAGAACTATGTTATGGAGGAGGCTATTAAGGGTGACTATGCTTTTGTTAAGGCGTGGAAGGCCGATAAGCTGGGTAACTGCCAGTTCAGGTATGCGGCGGCGAACTTCAACGGGGCTATGGGTCGAAATGCTAAGATGACCATCGTCGAGGCCGAACATATCGTTGAGCCTGGCGAGATTGATCCCGCTGCTATTCATTTGCCTGGTATCTACGTTAAGCGGGTTGTCCAGAGCACTACAGAGAAAAAGATTGAGAAGTATACTTTTGCGAAGGAGGAGGGCGCTGATACCTCTGCCTTGGGCAAGGGTGATACCGCCAACAAGCGCGAGCGTATTGTTCGTCGTGCGGCGAAGGAGTTCAAGAATGGCATGTATGCTAATCTGGGCATTGGTATGCCTATGCTGGCGCCGAACTTCGTCGATCCCTCCGTTGAGGTGACATTGCAGTCTGAAAATGGTATTCTGGGTCTGGGGCCCTACCCTAAGAAGGGCGAAGAGGACGCCGATCTTATCAATGCTGGCAAGGAAACTGTTACGCTTAACCCCGGTGCTTCGGTATTCGGTAGCGACGAGTCCTTTGGCATGATCCGCTCCGGTCGTATTGATCTGACCATTCTGGGTGCTATGCAGGTTAGCGCAAAGGGTGACCTTGCTAACTGGATGCTGCCTGGTAAGATCAAGGGCTTCGGCGGTGCCATGGATCTCGTTTCGAACCCATCTGCTACCAAGGTCGTGGTGACTATGGAGCACACTGATAAGAAGGGTAACCCTAAGATTGTCAAGCAGTGCGAGTTCCCATTGACTGGCCCAGCTTGTGTCAGCCGCATCATCACTGATCTTTGTGTATTTGATGTTGACTTCACCAATGGTTTGACTCTGATTGAGATCGCTGATGGCGTCACTGTCGAGGAGGTCAAGGCTAAAACCGAGGCCCCATTCAAGGTTTCTGATGACTTGAAGCCTATGCTGTAAACTCAGCCTTTCTTGAATTTTGGTCTCTTATATCCTCGGATTTCCTTTCTATCGAAGCGTTCCATCTTTTGAAGGCATTGTACATAAGCAATTTCCAACCTGTTTTTAGGAGTTAGGCTACATGGTTGATAGCTCAACCTGAATAAAAGTAATCAATGATTAACTAAAGAACTTGCTTCATATCAGGGATTAGTGGCTTCCGCCCATATAAATTGAGTAGTGACACAGCTTGGCCCTGTAAAAAAAAATAGAGGTACAAATACAAGTACATGCAATGCAATGCAATCCCGTAAACACCCAAGCATAAAGATACATCAAATGAAAATAGCCCCCATTTATACATAGCGTAACATCGAAAGAAAAATACCACTCCCAAGGGTATTTAGATTTTTATCCAAGACTTCCAACCCTAGGAAAGGCGGAACAATCCACCCAAGCGCTTGCGGATCCGGCCAACCCAGTCTCGGCTGGGAGCTTCTTCAAACTCGCGTACAACATTATCGTAATGATCAGGGTCACTTGCGGGGAATCGAATGTTCTTTCCCATGGGGTAACGGGTGACGAAGCGGTTTTCAAGGAGTGCTTGCAGGGCGCTGGCGGAGGAGTCGGAGACCACAGGTTGTCTTGGGGGAGGAGCATCGGACTTTTTCTCTTTGGGGTCAACTTCGGGCTTCTGGCCTAGAGCGAAGTTCAAGTAGGATTGCACAGAAACAGAGGCTGGGCGGACATTGTCTACTGGCCAATGTTTGACGAGATGGCTAAGGCGCGATTGGATGGTGCGCTGAGAGTGAAGTTAGCCAAATGAACCTCAAATTAATTTCATAAGAGGCGACCAAAAGAATAATCAGATGCATTCTAATATCCGCGACAATCATACCGGTGAGCTGGCCATAGTGGGTGTTTTGAAGAAATGATTCAAGTCAACAGAAAATCGGCGATCGTCACGAAATTCCCGTATCAAATCAGCCGTCGCGGCTGAGGACCTAGAGTCATTTGTAATCCCTGTCTGCCTCAGGCATCAGGGGCGAATCACTCCCTGTTGCCTTAGCCCGATTACGGTTTCCGGCGCTTCCATCCTCTCGCTTTCCTTCCTGTCCAGATCGACTTCTCATTTCCTTATCCCTATTGTGCTTTCGTTATTGTTTTTATATTCGCCGCCTTTCCATCCTGTTTTCTCCTCTTCCACCCCCGCTCAGCTCGCCATGAGCTCGCAGCGCTATACCCGGGTTCGTCTATCTCTCCCCGCTGATCTCATCGCCCTAGACCTGGAAACCCCGACAGAGGGCCTCGCCCGATATCAACCCTGAACTTTGATCTAATAAGATGTTATAGGTGAACGCCCAAGACGAGGATGATAACCCTCACTCTTATCCTCTGAATCCTACCCGGTCCAATCTTACACCAACTTCTCCGCCGCCATCCTTCCGATCTGGTTCCCGGTCCTCTTCGCCCTCTTCAAGGCGACTATTACATGATGACCCACTCCGACACAATGAAGAACAGACTCTGGCAGATGCATTTGAAAGCGAGGACGATTCTGACGATGATGACGAACCTGATGATCGCCAACGGCTGATGCGTGCCAACCCGGATCCCTATAGACCCTCGGAAACCGGCCAAAGCGCCAGCGCGGCGGCATCTTCATCGGAATATGGAACTGAAAATAATAATAATACGGCACCATCTGCAATGAGTAGACGGCCGACAATATTACCGACTTTTACTTCAACAACGGCGAACAGCCGGTCGGTCGCTCCATCGAATGATGGTGTCTTTGCCAACTTGGCAGCGAAGCCGGAACGGGGCGAGAAAAATGAGGATTTACCTCCTGTAAGTTACATCATCTACAGAGTTCTTTTCTTGACGATTTGCGCCCTGTGGCTTTTTGATAATTTTATACGGTTTGCTAATCATGTACGTTGATATAGTCCTACGAAGAAGCGGCCGCTGATGCAACCCCTCCGTACTGGGAGACCACGATTTTGGCACCTGGCCTCTCATCAGATGAAGTCTACGTTGACGGACTCCCTGTGGGATCTGTATTTTCGTTTGTCTGGAATGCGATGATCTCAATGTCATTCCAACTTGTCGGTTTCCTCTTGACCTATCTTCTCCACACCACCCACGCCGCAAAGAATGGTAGCCGAGCCGGTCTCGGTCTCACTCTGGTTCAATATGGTTTCTATATGCAGGGAGGAAGCGACTCTTCTGGCTCAGACTCGGGAGGTGGTTCCGATTATGCCCCGCCGCCCGACCCCAATAGCCATAACTTCGACCCCAACACAGTGGGGGACGGCTCGAGTGGGGGCGATGGCGGTCCCTTATCTGGCATCAGTTCCAGTGAATGGATTTCATATATTCTCATGATTGTCGGGTGGTTTATTCTTATTCGTGCCGTCAGTGACTTTCTCCGTGCCCGCCGCCACGAACAGCTGGTATTACAGAGCCCAGATCGTGGATTGGGTGTACCTATTATTGCGGAGGGAGAACGGTCGGAAACCGTTGTCTAATGTTTATAGGGATGGGTGTCGGGAACCCTGGAGTGTCGGATATGTCACTACGGCGTTCATAGGCTTGGAGTTCTTTTCTTTCATTTTGCACGGATAACCTCCGAAGAATTCCCCCTCTTTCTTTCCTTTCTTCTTATTTTCTTTCCTGGTTATCACTTTGCCCACAATCGGTTTGCATCATGCATCTCGTTGCTTTTTCTACAGCCCTGTAGCTATGCGGGAGATACCAACTGTCGAATACGTCATCCTATCATATCTTTTCTTATATCAGGAATTGTTGAAGGCACCAAATTTTTGAAAGCTATAACCAGCAAACAAAGTAATCAACAGAAACTTGTAGAAACTAACTAAATAATGCCGATGTAGATCATCAAACGTAATCAAGCAGCCGTTGCCTGCGCAAGCTTGCCGCGTACTGCGCCACGATCAGGCTTGGTATTGGACCATTGTCACACATAACCCTTGCATCTTTTTTATTCAGTTAGGCCAACGTATTACGCTGGCAATAATAGACACACTTTAACTTTTCAAATAAGAGTCACCAGGCCCCAACCATTGTCTAGGGCCCACTACCGAACCCAATCCGAACCCGAACCTGACCCGCTGTTTACCTACACATCTCAGTCTCTCCAAATCTTGACATCTTGACAACCTCTACACTCCGTCCAAAACATAGAACATCGCGCATTATAAACGGCCGGCGCATCGCAGCCGTGCCCCGCCATGTCTATCCCCGCGCCGCCACAAGGCCCTGTCGAGGCTCGCTCCCTCTCATCCGTCACAGCCATCGCATCAAATCCCCCCGCCTACCCGCGCAATCCGACGCATGAAAAACTTGACCCGCTAGTCCTATATATCGTACGAGTTCCTGGGAGTCAAGGTACGTTTCTGTCACACCTACGGCTATACCGAGCTTTCCACCCCTCCCGGACCGTAAATAGGCAGCCAATCCATAGATCTTATCGCTTGAAAGATAAGGTTAAAAGGCTAACAACAACGCACTGAACTAGACATCTTCCTCTCGCCTGTCAAACCACCCACCAAATCCAGTGTCTCTGCCGAAGCTATAAATGCATCCCTGTACTATGTGCACGTCGCAACACCTGAAGATGAAACATTGCTACAGGAAGTCGAGCAGGAGCGTGTGGAGGAGGCGCAACGCCGAAGAGAAGCTCTAGAGGCAGCGGGGCTCGTTGATCCAGCCCAGCGCGATTTTGCCCGCATGAATAATGTCCGAAGGAAGCCTGTTGGTGGTATAGAGACAGGAAAGGATAATGCGCAATCATTGACGCAGGAGAATGCCCCTCCCCCGCTAAATAACGCCCCAGCGTTACCGCCACGCCCAACTCCTATGCCGCGGGTCTCAGCGGAGAATATGTCGTTCTCAGGGACGCCTGTCTCCAATGCGATTCCAGGTGAACCTGCGCCGAAGAGTCCTATCACTCGGCGCCCGTTACCCCCTCTACCGCCTAGTGAAGAGCCCTTCGGGGCTGGTGGGGCAGGCGAAGACCCTCGAAATAGTCGATGGAGCACATTCACGGCACAAGACCAGCCTATTCCAGGATATGATGCAGTACAAGAAAGATATGGATCTTTAGGTGCTGGTCGTCATAGTCTTGATTCGCCTAGGCCGCCATTACCACCTCGTCCCTCACACACAGGAAGAGGATCACCATCAAGAAGTCCCGGACAGTCGCCTTCTGGAAATCGAAGATCGCATCAACCCCCGTCTAGAGATCCAGGCTTCTATATTACACTTATACGGCGTGATCCCGCATCAGGAGGCCAGTGGAACGTCGCGACGATCTCAAGTCCAGGAAAAGACCAAAACACAATTGATATCGAAATATCAACGCCGGGATATAACAGATTTGCCGGCTCCAATGAACCACTATCATTAGGCAGTCTAGCTGCAAATCTTCCTCCAGGTCTAATCCGCACAGCTGGAACCTCTATACCTTCTCAGCCATCAGGACCAATCGATCAGCCAAACGCATCCCGCAAATTTCACCGAGAGGTCTGCGTCTCCAAGCCCTACGATGATCAAAGCGCTAGCTCCGAACTCAACCCCCACGACTACAACTCCAAGCTAAAGAGCGGCTATTACGTCTTCAACTCCCCATGGAACGGCACCTGCACATTCGCCAGCAGTGTCAACGGCCGTAGTCTAAAATGCAAACACATGGTCCAAGGCCCGGCAGGCGGAGCTTTCCCCCCATCCAACGAAGCAGATCCCAATCCAGCAGTTACAGTTGCTGAAATCCGCTTCAACACACCCTTCCAAGCTGCAAATCTACACTATCACGCATTGCAACGAACAAATCCCCATCTCTCCTCGCATACATCAATGACAACCGACCCCTCCAATCCAGACTCGTCATCAAAAAGGGCCTCTCTTTCCCAATTCCTCAACCCGAATAACTATGCCCGACCACGCGCTCACTCCGGTCCCAATACCTCTTCTCCCTCTCCTGGCCCTGGTCAGAGTCCTGCTCAATCCTCTGATCCTTCCCGTCAACCTTTTAACCCCTCTAATTTGTTACGCCGCACCTCGCTCCGTGCGGGTAAATTTGCTCATCAGCAAACTAATCGGTTCGGGCACCAGCATTTCCATCGCAGGAACAGGAGCACGAGTACTAGTAGTGGGGGTTCGGACTTTGGTGAGGATCGATTGGATTTCTCGCTTGCGAGGGAGCCAGCTGGAGGTGGTATGAGGGGGAAGAGTGCTAAGTTGGGGAAGCTGATTATTGAAGATGAAGGTATTAAGATGCTTGATCTTGTTGTTTCGGCTTGTATGGCTGTTTGGTGGAGAGGATACTATCAGTGATTCCTTCCATTCCAGATTGACGTCTGAATATTCCATCATGGGGATGGATTTGAATATTTATGTGTTCATGTCTATTCGAATGTATGTCCTTTGCTTTATGTTTTCTTCGTGCTGATTGATTCCATTTGTTCCTTTCAAGCTGAAATTTAGCTTTGCCTGGGATTTCCTTTGTGGAATTTCGCTTTAGCATATCATATCATACCACACTCTAGCATATAACAGCGTTGTTTTCTTTTCTGTTGTGAATCAAACTAGCTATCTAGATCATTTTAGACATGCATTATGAAGTCTTTACTCAATGCCCCGCTATTTCCAATGTCAATTCAAATCTAACAGGGAAATGCCAATCTATGCTCTTCTCAACTTTAAGCTTATTTAACGTTATACTTTTGAGTGGAGCTCTCATGGTTTTTGTACCGTGCATTGGGACTAACTTGAACTTGAATCAAATAACCAACTAACCAAAATCTGTCTTTGTTGATCAGATGCAAAGAGACAGCCTACATGTCTGAACATTCCAGTTACAACCAAATCTCCTTTTCATATTTCAGCATGTGTGGACCACCGACAAACCATCTATCTATATGATCCAACAAAAATAACAGAAACTGGCATGGGAAAAGAAAGCATAACTTTAAATCATGAGATGAACCGACTCAGCCCAAGAATAGTGCGCATAACCAAGAGATCCACGATCTCGACCCTTTACAAGCAACGCACAGTATAACATCCAAGCAGTACGACAGTGCAAGGGCAGAACCAGAACCAGATACCAGGAGCGCAAAGGGGACACAGTAGAATCAACGCAGAAGCACGAAGAGTCAAACGTTAGTCGAGGACAACATAGCAGGTGGGGTGGGGATCACTAAAGAAAAAGAACAACGGGCAAAATCATGCAATCATCCGGCCTTTCTCTCGGAGGTATCTCTTTGCTAATTCATTATATTGACATGCGTGGATGGGAAAACTGAGGACAATTGGCAGAGCAGAGCAAGCGAATCGAAACAAGCCGAATACAACCAAGAAAAAAACACAATGGAACTTGAATCGGAGAACCTTGGGGATGGACCAAATAAACCAGGGTCTGTAAATGGGGATCAAAAAGGAAATTTCAGGGGATCAGTGGTGCACATCCATGCCGCGCTGCAGCGAGGACTCAAGGTCATTCAGGTGCCCACCGCCAGCGGCAGCCTCCTGGGGCCTGGGGTCCTCGGTCTTCCAGGAGCCCTGCTGGTGATCCGGGATGGGGACGTTAGTTTGCTGGGTCATCTGTTGCTGTTGGGCAGCGTGGGCCTGGGACTGCTGACGGACAGTGGCGCGGAATCGAACAACCTCATCAAGGATCATCTGGCGCATATCCTGGACGTCATCGACGACCTCGAAGTGGAAGTCAAAGGTGGTGGGGCATGTGGGCTCGTCGGAGGCGTCGTGCCAGATGTGCAGGTAGGGGTGCTCGAGAGCTTCCTCGACAGAGATACGGGAGGAGGGGTCAAAGGCCAACATGCGGTCTAGGAGGTCCAGGGCGTCGGGGTTGGCGTTGGGGAAGAGACGCTGGAAGGGAACCTTGGGCATGAAGGGGAGGTTGCGCACGTACTCCTGGGCACGGGGGGAGCCGATACGGGAGAGGGTCTCTTCGTTTGGTGTACCCAGGTAGTGCAGGATCTGGTTCAGCTGGTCGACATAGTCACGGCCCTTGAAGAAGGGACGGCCACCGAGCAGCTCAGCCAGAATACAACCGACGGACCAGACATCGACTGTAGATCATTTTGTTAGTTCCTTCTGGTTGCTTATCGCTTATCTTTGGAGGGGCAAGGAAGGGGTTGGTGTTGGGGTTGGTTGATTTATTACGTACTAGCTTTGGTGTAGCTCTGGAAGCTCAACATGATCTCCGGGGCACGGTACCATCTTGTAGCGACGTACTCGGTCATATAACCGGCGTTCTCTTCTGGGTCAATGGAGAAACCACGGGCCAGACCGAAGTCACAAATCTTCAGCTCGCAATCGGCATTGACGAGAAGATTTCCGGGTTTCAAGTCACGGTGGAGCACATTGGCGGAGTGAATGTACTTCAGACCACACAGGATCTGGTAGATGAAAGATTGGAAATGCGCATCAGTCAAGGGCTGTCCGGAACGGATGATAGCCGCCAGATCACACTCCATCAACTCTATAGCATATGTCAGAACACAACATTCTCATTAATGAGATGCTTATCATAAGACCATCATTCACTGACCCTCATAGAGATATGTTTCGTTGAAGTTGTCCGGGCGGGGGATGTCCATATCGTAAAGGCATGTAATCTAGGGAGGGGTTGCGGGTCAGCGTTCAGCTCGGATCGGTGTTGCGGCGAGGCGAAAAGAGACGGAGGGACATACATTGCGGTGGCCCCGGAAATGCTGGAGCAGCTTGATTTCTCTCAGAGCTCGCTTGGCGAGAATCTTTTTGCTGAAAACGTTGGTGACCTTCTTGACGGCGACGCCCTCGCCGGTCTGGGCGTTGGTCGCAGAACTGGGTATACGACGTTAGTTTCCCCTCCTTTGCTCAGTCGATAATGAAGGAAGAAAGCACAGCGCGTGAGTTGGGGAGCTTGACTGAAGCTTCTAAAAGACATACCAGACAATACCATATGCACCCTGGCCCAGTTCCTTGGTGACAGTGTATTGTTCATTTACGACAAAGTCCTGGTTGAAGACCTTGAAGACCTTGCGACCCTGTAATTCAGCCATGGCGGGGGAGAGGGAAAGATCACCCGATGACAAGAGAAATCAAAGAGAAGATTTGAAAAAAGGTGGAAAGAAGAAAGGGACAATAACGAGAGATCGAGAGGAGGAAGAAAAGAGGACACTGCCACAATTGAAAAGGGGAGGCGACTCGAGACGTGTGATGAGAAACAAGAGCCCCGCAGTCCCCGCGGGTGATCGGGGCGTCGGGTTCGATGAGGCCACGCAAGTTTAGACAAGGAAGAATGAAAGAGATAAATTGGGAATAATTTGGAATAATTTGAATGTAGCTGTGGCTACTTTTCTTTCATATATTTTATTGTAAGAATTATACTCCAACAAGTCCATTTTCCCCTCTATTTAACACTATAAAATACGATGGCCCAAGCCCAGTGGAGACTTTTCCATCACGCTTTTTTCCTCCCGTCGATCCAGCCCTATCGCGTTCCATGGCTCAAACTTGGATCTTAGACCCTGAGATCAAATTGCTCCTCCATCTCGGAGGCCCGTTGGTCGGGTTTACAGAAGATATGGCAATCATCCTTTTCTTTCTGTTAGCAAATATCGATGCCTCATTACGATGAAAGACACTAAAATCAGCAAATCCCAACGATAACTCCTTGTAGCTACGGTCACGGTGGCCGAACACAATAAAATGTCCTGGGCAGTTCATGGGCTTCAGACCCCATTGGCGCTTATTGACGTCCATAGTAAACATGCGGTCCTTGTAGTGCGCCCCTACATATAAGTAAGCAAAGATGCAAGGTTTCTCAAGTCACCAAGGAAGTATGCAGACGAGTTCTGAAACGATGAAATTCATTAGTACCAAGCATTTCCGGCAACAAATTGAAACAACTCATTGCAAGAATCCTTAGGACCTTCACTTTGTTGGCTTGAATATGAGGCTCAGTGCACAAGTTCACAAGAGTAACGCAGCGGTAGACAGTGCTCTTCTCGCCAGTAGCTTGTCGATATAGTGCAGCTTGTACTTGCTGTACGCGAACATTGTCTTAAAATCTTCTTTCGAGCAAACAAGATGATCCAGGCTTTGGTGCTCTTTCAGAATTCCATTCACTCTCTTTTCAAGTGCAGGCCAATCAGCCTGTGTGATTACACGCCTATGGTCACTAGGCACATACTCTCCTGGCATACGCATATCGTAGAAGAATCCCTGCTTAGTTGGGGGTCCGTGAGACAGCAAACATCCATAGCAGGTTCCGCACCTTCTCCAAGGTAGTGAGCACTGCTATGCCACAGTACCATAAGTCCTTCCAGGTCGGAAAATGGAATAAGTTTAACGCTGGAGTCGCCTTCAAAAGGACGGTTGAGATCCCACAGTTCTCCGTTGACCTTAGCAACAACGACATCAGCGCTCACCTCCTTGGGGATATCGCGCAAGAAAGATGCTGGTGTGGTCTCGAAGGGGGGGAGGGATTGCCGTCGCCAATATCGAGTGTAACGTTTATATCGGGGTGAAGGTCATTCTTGATATCCTCCTGTTTCCTGACAAAGCTCTTCGAAGAAGACGTTTCGCTCAGTCATCCAATCGGGGAGATCAGCAGGAACACTCCATTTCGATTTGGCGTCTTTGGGCGGGGCAGTATTCTCAGGATTGCTCTGAGCCTGGGCAGCAGGGCACTAGGAGAGCTCTTTGGGGGCTTTGGATGCCATATTCAGGTTATTCAAAGCCGTAGCAGTGAAATGGACTGAAAAGAAAGGTTGGTGACTCAGAAACAAGTGGTCGTCCAATCCCAAGTAGGAAAACATGACTCTTTTTCGATGAGGGGCAGGCGGTGAGTCATGTGACAGAAAACTGCCCTGCCGCTAGCGACGCTTTACCGTATGAAGTTTCCACCATCCGAAAACTTCTTCGCCCAAGTCCAACCTACCAATCTACAATCAACGCAACAATGTCTTTCCGTGGCCGTGGTTTTGCTGCCACCGGTGCGAACCGTGGTGGTTTTGGTAGCCGTGGTGGTGGTGAGTAATGCCCAATTGACTCTGCGTGAAAGACCGAGTGAAGCTAACGAAATTTTTTCCGGGTATTAGGTCGCGGAGGTTTCCAGCAGTCTTTCGGCCCTCCCGCCCAAGTTCTGGGTAATTTTATCCTTATCGAGTCCGATCAAGCGAATACAATGCTGATATCTAAATAGAGATGGGAACCGTCATGCACGCCTGCGAGGGTGAGATGGTCTGCGAGTCCATCAACCCCAAGATCCCCTACTTCAACGCCCCGATCTACCTGGAGAACAAGGTACGCAACCTCTCCCGCCGCAACCCCGCGATATTACAGGCTACGGAAATTTCATTGAGCTAACAATATTCAACCTAGACTCCCATTGGTAAGGTCGATGAGGTTCTGGGCCCAATCAACCAGGTGTACTTCACCATCAAGCCTCAGGACGGCATTGTCGCAACTTCATTCAAGCCTGGTGACAAGGTCTTCATCGGAGGCGACAAGCTGCTTCCTCTTGAGAAGTATGTCACTCTCACTCGAAAACCCCTAAAGTATTCGGTTATACGTGATACTTACTGTTTATCTCAGGTTCCTTCCCAAGCCTAAGGCTCCCCCCGGTGCCAAGCCTAAGCGCGCTGGTGGTGCCCGCGGTGGTGCCCCCCGTGGCCGCGGCGGCTTCGGTGGTGCTCCCCGTGGACGCGGTGGCTTCGGCGGTGGCCGTGGTGGTAGCTTCGGTGGTCGCGGTGGTAGTCGTGGTGGTAGCTTCGGCGGCCGTGGTGGTGGCCGTGGCAGCTTCGGTGGCTCCGGTGGCTTCTCCCGCGGTGGTGGTCGTGGTGCTCCCCGTGGTGGTGGTGGCTTCCGTGGTAGTCGATAGAGATACTCTCTACCGAATATTGTGTCTTCTTACGGCGTTTGGGGGATTCGGGAGCTTTTTGCAGGAATATTTCCTTTTTTCTTGTGCATCCTGACACAATTGCTGCTTCTCTGGCTGCGGCGACTGTAGAATATATCCAGTCATAAAACAAGTTCAATTTACTGCTCATCTATTCCCATATTTGGTTCTTTCTTACTGTATCTGGCCCCAGATCCTAGTTCGGCAATACCTAAAACCATATAATCTTCAGCATTTCAGATTTAGGTAAGCCGGGCCAGTCAGCATTCACGTGGCTTGAACATGGCGTGGGACACCGCCCCCATCTGCTGACCGCCCCCAACATTTTGCTTGCTAGGGCTATTAAGGAATGACGTTGACCGCTTTACGAATCTGTGCGTCCCGTCAACACTTGTAAGCAGGATTGCCATTCTAACCTCCACATTACTTTTCTTAAATTCCTTTAAGATCCTTGAATCCAAAGATAGTTCTCCCTTGGCATTTCCCGACCTTCACCCAGTCCTATCTTCGAGCATGTCCCGCAGAACATCAACTATGCCATCCAGCGAACCCAACAGTGTCCCGCCTCCAAAAGACGGAGGTCAGTTCGAGATCGACATTGCACCCCTCGCGAGACTATTACTGACAGGTCACAGGCAAGACTAAGCAGGAAACTTTGCTCTATGAAGCCCAAGGCCATTTCAGCATGGTGAGGTGAGCATAAGAAATTCATTTCCTGCTGCCTAGGCTATACAGAACTTCCCCCTGATGTTGATATTGTTTCTAGAGCTCTCCACCTTGCCGATTATGTTACTGAGATGAATGGTAAGCGATCTGCGCAGAGGTTTATACAATTCTGTGAATCACAAATGGCTAACTCGAGTATTTCCTAGGTTTCTGCGGAGGCAAGCGTCAACCCTCGTCTATTTTTTGACTTTCAAGCTAACCCCAGAGCAGTCTCGGCCGTATTCTCAACCATGCGTTATTGTCTCGGAGATCCCACGAACTACCGTCCCATTTGGTACGCCATTGGGCTCATGCAACTCGGTCTTTGGTTTGATTTCGCGGATGGAAAGATCGCACGGTGGCGCAAGAAGTCGTCCCTGATGGGACAAGAGCTCGACTCGCTCGCAGATTTGGTAAGGAAATTGTATCCGTCCCCAACCAAGTCATTTCACAGCAACTGATGCGATTTTACGTGATGTAGATTTCCTTCGGCCTCTCCCCCGCCGTTGTAGCATTTGCGCTTGGTCTCCGTACAGGCGTCGATCATCTCCTCCTGACGTTTTTCGTCCTGTGTGGTCTGACTCGTCTGGCTCGGTTCAACGTTACTGTCGCCAATCTGCCAAAGGACGGTACTGGAAAGTCCAAGTACTTTGAGGGAACACCCATTCCTACCAGTCTGTATGTGGACTACTTCATGGGATACTGGGTTTACAAAGGCTGGACCCACGAGAACCTTCCCCTTGGAGTTGCCTTTGAGGGTACATTCCTCGAGTTCCACCCAATTGCTTTGATGTTTGTCTTGCACGGCTGTCTGATGATCAGCAAGACCCTGCGCATCCCTAAGATCTAAGATCTGGAGAAATCTAGTCAATGATCTACATTTCCATTTTCTTTTTCATTTTTTGGAACTGCCTTGGCTTGTCTCGGCATTATGACAAGTGATTATGAGAATAAAGAACGAGAGAATGTGTTTCTGTTTATAGTCATTCTGAATGGTCTCAATATATCTAATTGGGGTTAATTTCAAGAGACAGAAAAATCCCACAGTGGGATTCAATAAAATCCAATGTAGTCGATGTTTATACCCGATATCCATGATAAATACTAAAAGCTGCACTTCATAGATAGCTGAGCCAAGCGCTATGCAGTCAGCATCTCAGCTACATAATGTGACCCACCTTCCCCAAAAAAAGCGCCCACTGACGTAGACCGATGGACCCTGGATCTGCCCCATGGAGACAATCACGACAATCACTTGACATCATTCCAGCCCCTGCAAAGTCATGATTTGGGGCTTGGTGGGATGCATATGGCTGAACCCTCCTCAAAAAATCTTATAACGCCATTGTGCGACTTCTTGCACGATGTTTGGCTCTGTAATCAACTACATAGTTAACTTCGTGCCTATTGCTTAAAGAGCAAACTTTGGTGAAGTTACCTACTGCTTACGCGGCGGTATTCCTTCAGCAAATGCGGAACCCAGATCTAAATTGTGGCAAAGCTTGTTCAAGGTTTGAACAGGGGCTTTGGACGAAGTCAGACACACCAAAAACCCAACCGGCCCCCAACATGTAGGTTACCATGAAAAGGTATGACTGTAAAAAGTATAAATCTGCAGCAGTGATTCCATATAGGGTATATCCTAATTCTAGAGCACTTGAGCATTCAATAAAAGCTTACATTTTCCTTATTAAAGACTTGTGAGACAGTAAAGATCACAGGGGCTCATAAAGGACGTATGTCGACTTCAACCCAAACAGATGGTGGGACACATGTACAAAGCAGCCCAATGAATACCTAGTTTAGCATTGACCTCAAGCCCCCTCAACCCTTTCGGAAGGCAAACTCAACCTCTGTCGCAGACCGTCATTCTCTTGTTGAAGCCTCTTTATCTCCTCCTCATACTGTTCTAGTGTGTCTTCACCAGCAGAGCTCAGCTCCTCGATGATCTGGAAAACACGCCAAAGACGCAGAACAACAACAAGTGAACCCAGTTCCTCTCCTATGCCACGAACGGAGACCTCAATAGTAAAAGCAACCAGGATTACAATGGAGTCGAAAATATGGAAGTAATCCGAAAAGTACCTTGACAACGTTAGTAAGGCAGTTCAATCAAACAAAGCATAAGATCTTCTTGGATATAGCCAACGTAGAACATAGCCACCAAAAAATAACTTACCCTTTCCCAAAACTAAGCACTGAAACAATTAATTCTACCATAAACAGGCATGCGATTACGAGACCCGCGATACCTAGCGCCTTCTGTGTGGTTTCCCATCCCTTATCGACCCCAAAGCGACTCTGTTTCAACTCGCAAATATGTAGCTGGATTAGGAAATCCGAAAAACTACAGCACACATCGACTGTGACCAGAAAAAGGATAATGTAGTGGCCCCATCGCGAAGTGAGAAAATCACGGGCAGATCTTCTCCATCGAGTAATGCGGGGCTCTCCGTCAGACACAGAAGAGTATTCCCGACGAGAGAACCCGATTCTTCGTTCACCGAGTAGGGGTTGTTGAGCAGATGACATTATGAACGCTTCAGACGTAACTTATTGTATGGGCACAGGGCCGCAGGGAATGTGGTGTAGATGTTTTGCTGGGAAGACCTTGCATTGCAATGACCTGGTCTCGGGGCTGCGCCGCCCGAGTCCTAGAGATCAAGGCGATTTGAGTGCGGCATCACGTGCATTTTGATGTCAAACATACCCAAGATCAAGAGCCGTGGCAGCTTTTACAGCGATTCAATTGATGGAATTACGGTAGTATATACAAATGCTGGTCATTGAATTCTTGGGACTATTCAGATATATGCCAAGAACATTATCGTTGCCAAGATGATCCAGAGTGCCTTGGAATTTTCAAAGGAAGCGTTCTCATTGGCTGACAGATGTCAACACATCTCCTATTCAAAATCGTCTGTAGTTGATGCCAGAACCCATTTGAATAAAAGAACAACGTGCAATTATATCCTCATCGTTGAGCAGCGTGGGATTCAATTCTATCAGCCGCTTTGGAAACTAAAGAGCAACCGTAGAGACTTACTACAACGGGGTGAGCAACATTCGAATATAAATTGATTGAGATTAGCTATACGTATATACAGCAGGTTCACGGTGTATTTCAAGCTCCAAGGCTAATGCGTGTAGGTGGTCAAACCAGCCTGGGGCTCCAGTGGAATAACCTGAGTTCATCTGCAAGTTGAATGATATCTATGGAACCTGAACTTCAAATTCCCGTCATAATGGATGGAGATCGTACGCCCTCGATACATGTCCAGCCGGATCATTCGGCCTGACTTGCCCAAGATATCCGACTTTAACTAATTCGGCTTCACACTTCAATTTTCTTTCTCTCATGTGATGCCTAGAAGCTCGTCCCAAAAATCTAACTCGATAATAGCAATGTGGCGTTAACTCGTAATAATGGACTCATGGCCATCTACCTTGGCGACATAAGTACTGTCCCGTGGACTCCTTACCAAAAAACAATATGTATGAGACTGCTCTCAAGTCCACAACCCGAGTCTTCCAGTCTACGATGTATATAGCCCTCAACATCTCAATACTAACCCTGGAACACCTGCTATATATGGAAGGCCATTGAAAGTAGAAGGAATAGGTTACACAACGAATTCGATCCTAGTTCCAGACCACAGTCGAACATTCAAGCCCCATACTAATTCCATCTTGGCCCGATCCACATCACATCAGGATTTTCTATCCCAGCGCCCGATATTTCCGCTTGTAAATACATATACGGTCAAGTAATGAAAACTGGAAAACCAAATCAAAGTTTTTCTTTCCATACGAAGTACGATGTTTTGTTTTGTTGTGTTCAATTTTGTTCTTGACGGCGCAAGGGGGCCCCCTATGTGGCTCCGACGTTTCTTTTGGCGGGTGGAGATTCGGGCCGGACTAGCGACCGCCACAGACTCGAAATACATGTTGTGGTGAGTCAGGCCCACTGGGAGACGGGCCTAGGCTTCTTGGATACGTATATCATTTATGTGTGTTTTTGACAGAATTGGTCTATGTACTGGTTATATATAGAGTGTTTTTATGCCTTTTGGAGCATGTATAGTATCATGTATGGATGGTTGTAGGGCAGAAGCTTTGTGCAGGATACTACTACATGTCCACGGGTACTCATGCTTCACATTATCAAGCTGATGTTGAACTTGAATTAGATAGATCATGTCTGAATGATATATTTTGAAGGGTATTTTTTTAACTGGGAGGCCACGCTTAATACCTTGTCTCGGTTCTTTGCTTACTGCATTCTCGATATTAGACACATGAAGCCGACCATGTTCGTGCGTGTTCCCTGAATCCTTTGTGATGATATTAACTAAATGGTTGTTATCGACAACGGAGCGTGGCAATGCAAATTCAATTGCTTGAGACAGCCACTGATAGCGATCGGATATGATTTCCGTCTAGCACACCATCATTGTCCATCGAGAAAGAGATTTCAAAGACCAATTTTCGGGGCCAGCGCGATTGAAATTGTCTGTATGTATATACGCTGTAGTCGATCTCGTGGATTTTTAAACTACCAATAGCTAGCTGCATGAAATCCCAATGACCGTGACTCATGTATGTACAGATCTAAAGCATTGAACCAACCATATGGCCAGGGCGATGTATGTCTCCAATCGGCAACATAATATTATCTGCAATGCATGGTCCCTACAGATACATAAGCAGTAGCATGTGGTAATGCGTGTATAAGCCCCTGGGCCACGAATAACCCCTAACTGCAGCAAACAAGAGAACCTTGGGAAGAATTTTGGAAACAAGCATCATAATTTATTTTGTTTATAAAAACTGCGAGATATACGGATCGGTGTCTAGAATCTTGAGACATTGATCGAGACCATATACTTTATCCAGGAACCAGGGCTAATAAAATTTGCGATTGGTAAATAACCGAGGTGGGTGGAGGTTGATGGCTGTGCTGTAAATTGCGCCCTATTGCGATCGGTGCGCGGTAATATGGTGGTAATTCAGGCACCGTAATTAATGGAACAACTAACTCATTGGGTACTGATCCACTCGGGAGCGTCCGCTTGAAAACCGTGGTCGGTAAAAGGGGCAAGGGTCTTGTCGTTGTTGTTTTTTCTTCTCTTCGTCTGGAGGATAGGTCATTGTTTTGAGGAGTCTGCATTAAACAGCCACATGATGATATAGAGTAGCGGCTAGACTGAATTGCACATAGCGCCTTGGTGGCCAAGCCCCCCCGCGGGCAGCTTAGCGTCAACTAGCCCCCCCTCACCCCGGACACGGCAGGGAAATTGGCATAATGCGCTAACGAGTTTCATTTCCTTGGGAAAGAGGGAACGAATAGGCGCGTTTTTTGGTCTTCAGAAATTTTCAATTTCAATTTCATATGGTAACGTTGCCTGGGTGTAGGGCTTTGTTTGTTCTCGAGTCCCTACCCAGTTAGGAAGGCCATTGTGTTTAGAGCGAATTGAAAGTAGACAATTACTGTAGAGCATTCAAATGTTTAGAATGGAGCAATGTATGGATGACAGATTCGGATCCAGCATGGAAAATGTGATTGTGGGTGCATGAACTATCCGCTGGCACCTTTGAGTGGCGACAGAGCCGAGAGACTCGCAAATCGGACTGGTAATTCTCCATACATAGGCCAGTCGCACCAGTGCTCAGGAACGAACCTGAAGGGGGGGTAGATTGGCGCTCAGCGGTTTCCATCATGGATCCATCAGCCCGCGTGTGATTAAAGTGGAAGGCGATCGACGTCTAGTGCCAAGGGACTGGATCCGGTGCCTGATGACATATCCAAAAACTGTATCTGATTGGTGAAGGGCCCTCATTATGGACCCACACATGACGAAAGGTAAAATCTCCCCCCTGTACCATTCATAACCGTACGTGACTATACCAAACCCACACCAGACCAACATGACTGAAATAAACACCCCTTAAGAGACAAACAAACGAGCACAGACATGCACACAGCCCGTAAATGACCCGTATGTTTCCTGTACCTCGAGAACAGGCCCCCTTGACCCTTGACCCTGGGCAATGACCCCATCAGTCTCTGTGACTGAATAATCTCTCCCTCCTTTCCCTCCTTCTCTAAACCCACACGCTCTTTAATCGAAAAACATAGGGATCATTCATTTGAACACCCTACGTATTCGACCTGCTTCCTGTCGACAATCGACCTCGATCAACCGTGACCCTCCAGTTCTCAACTCGACTGGTCCGCCCGATCTCCTCCCGGTCGCTCGAACTCGCTAAACAAAGACGAAGAAGGGGATACAACGCAGCTCCCTTCCTTTCTCGATTCTTTGTGCCTTTGTACAACGTGTACAACTGGGTTATTCGTACCCAATTCCTCTCGCTCACCGATTCTGTGTTTGCGTTTTTGTGATCTTCTTTCCGACCGTCGCTCTCTTATACTTCGATCCCCAATCCCGCTTAGGATCGATCCAATCCAGGATACCACGACTCGACATCCAACCCATTCACGTTGGCTACGGAGATCGTCTCCTGTAAGGAACGACATTATACACCTCATCGATTTATCTACATTCTCGGTTTAAAAGGTTTTGAAGGGTGACGCCGGCCGTTTCCCTCCTTCCCTTTTTTGACCTATCAACCACAACGACTGGATCTGTTGTGGAATTTATCTATTTTCTGCGACTTCAGAAACGTCTTTCCTTCTTCGTTCAATATGCAGTTCACAATGCGGTCCATTCTGTTGGCCTCAAGCCTACTATTTGCGACCAGCTCAGTTGCCAAACCCTTCAATATGCTAGCAGCCCGTGCTGATAGTTCCTTCGTGGGATGCTATAGCAGCTCGGATGGCCTCGGGACCTCGTACTCATATGAATTTCAAAGTTCAGGATGGTGTACAAACAAATGTTCAGGGTCAGCTGCGTTTGGTTTAACTGGTGGTTCCGACTGCCTCTGTGGCAATTTAATACCTCCATCATCAGACAAGGTTGACTCCAGCAAGTGCAATTCAAACTGCGATGGATGGCCCGAGGATAAGTGTATGTTTGACCTCGATCTCTTCAATATAACCCAGTACAGTACTGACAACTACCAGGTGGTGGTAAGGGATACTATTCGGTGTACACATTGAAAGACAATGTTGGAACTTATTCTTCTTCGTCTTCATCGAATAGTTCTAGCAGCGACAATTCAACCGCTACTGCAACCAGTACTGGTGCTGTTGTATCAACCAACTCTGGTGGTGAGACCGTGACTATGACGGCTGCCAGTGACAGTCAAAACATTGATCCTACTCAGACTGCCGAGGAGCAGAAGAAGAAGGACGGTCACAACACTGCCGCAATTGCAGCTGGTGTTGTGGTTGGCGTGGTCGGTGTGGCCGCTCTGGCTGGTGCTGCCTTCTTTTTCTTCCGATCCCGCAAGCAAAAGGCCCAGGGATCTCAACTGGGTGGTGGCAACGGTCGCAACTCAATGCCAGCCATGGGAGATTCGAGATTTGACGGCCAATTTATGGCTCAGCGCCGGCAGAGCAATGGCAGTATCGACGACGATCACGACTTTTCGCGCCGAATCCTGCAGGTTAGTATTTCATCTCCCATGACTCAAAATGGGCAAAGCGGCTAATCCATGTATTCCAGGTAACCAACCCGGACCGTTAAATTGCACGAACTCATATTGTACAACCTTGATCTCCTTTATATATCTCGCATACCCGTCACCTTCCTCCTTTGCTCCTCTTCCTCCCTGGGGTAACGCGATTCTCTCTTCTCTCGTCGCCATCTTTTTCTTGATTTATTAGCGGAGTTACGATATCCGAAAGACATATGGCCCAACACCATTTGGTGTCCATATTCAAGTGGTTTTGATTTCCTTTCTCTCTGGCCACGTTGCTTAACCTGTTGTTTGGTGGGCTATTTGCCTTGCCGATCTTTTCAGCTCCGTTCTCATCTACAGACCACGGTGGGCATGCAAAACACGCATGACGCTCTACCATCCAACTGAACGTGTCAGATATTGAATTATTGTGTATCTGTGGACGGAGAAATATCGATGGGGGGATTTCTGTCTGAAAAGGCGTTTTATTTCGGCTCTATCGATGTTCGCATCCTTATGAGCACATCGTTCATTCCTTCCCTTCTTATTTCTTTTCCTTTTCTCTATATCAACATGACTTCTCCAGAACAGCTTCATTATTCTACCAATCGCCCCCTCGTCATGAGGCTACTTGAATTGTATTGCAAGATTCTATCCTGAGTACGAATATTTCTTGACCTTCCCCCCCCCACATATGGGCGATTGTAAGTAAAACAAATCTATTAGCCTGTATCTAATGAGAAAAGATATGCACAACACGCGATGCTCCCTTGTAGGCTAAAGCGCTGTTTCCATTTCCCTCGATGGGGTTATCCCCTCGCTATCCCCACTTTGCCTCTCGTTAGTGATCGACAAGGCCATATCATCTTGATCCCCTCATCGTATTTCCTCTTAACGAGTGGCGATAATTTGGTCATTTCATTCTAACTCTTTCACCCACATAACTGTCCTTGAATTTCTTTCTATCTCACTCATTCTCTCGATCTTCTTGGAATGCGGAACCCACCATGGCACTTCTGTGGTTGCCGCCAAAGCGTTCCAGGGACCCATTATTCTTAATTCAACGACACCTTTAGTCTTTAATCTCTACTTTCTATTCTCGAAAGACATCCACACTCCCAGCACCGCTTCGCTCTTCCTCTCCGCACTTACCATCTCTTCTACCCTCCAGCGCAGTCGCCCAAAAATCTCCGCTCCCAACCTACCTCGAAGCCAACCCCTCCACACCCACAGACCAGAGATAATGCCTCTAAAACGCAAGGTATCCCTCTCAACCCCTCACAAGCCCTCGCCATCAAAGAACCCACCAAAGGACCACCTCCCAGACTTCACCCCTTACCCCGCTTCAAAAGTCTACCGCCTCATCGAACCAGGACCCATCCTCCTCGTCTCAACGGGCTCCCTCAAAGACAAAACACACAACATAATGACGCTAGGCTTCCACATGATGCTCCAACACGACTCACCCGCCCTCATTAACATGTGCCTCGGACCATGGGATACAAGCTTTGAGTCGCTCTCGGAAACAAAATCCTGTGTTCTCGCCATCCCCGACGTCTCCATCGCCGAATCTGTCGTTGATATTGGAAACTGCAGCGGCGATGAAGTAGATAAGTGGTCTCGCTTCGGACTCGAGGCTTTGTCCGCTGCGCGTGTTGATGCACCGCTTGTTGGTGGTGAGGGTATCATTGCGAATATCGAGTGTGTGGTTCATGATGATAACATGGTTGATAAGTATAACCTTTGGGTACTTAAAGTTGTGCGCGCTTGGGTGCGCGAGGGCTTTGATGGGGATGCGACATCTTCAAGTTCCTCTAGGATGAGGATGTTTCATCATCGAGGAGATGGGACGTTTGTTGTTGATGGGGATGTGCTGGATTTGAAGGCGCGAATGGTTAAGTGGGGGGAGTTTCAGGATTAATTGGTTTGTTGTCGGCGCGCGCCTCACTCAAAGCTTGGATTGAGTGGAATTTCTTAATCTATATGTGAAATTAGTGCGATTGCTTTTCGAATCAATTGAACACTCAGGGAATTGACTTTCTTCGAGTTCCATGGACAGATGGTGTTGTAGTGAACTTGAACCTGCCGCAACATATATCATCCCGACCTTGGAAGTCTACGCCCGAAGCTTACCTGCTACTACTACTAGAGCTCCGCGCATTTTCAACAATTAAGCTATCGCATCAATTTTCCACAGTGAGAATAAATTTGAAAGCCATTGAATGATTTACTTCGCATTGAGCTAAAAAACCAGTTTTGATCCAGATTCGCATTCTATTGTTCTCAATGCAAGTTAACGGCTGAACTACGTGCCAAAGAACTAAGGCATCCCTGCGCCCACCAACGCCCACCAGCACCAGCCAAGGACTTTGGCACTCCTTCCCACCTAAAGACAGGCGGAGAAAGAAAAAAAGCCACCCGGATCCCAAAATGCTTGGGATATCTTGACAACGCCGGTTGACCCTGCCCAGACAAAGAAAAACTATGATCCAACGACCCCAACGACTCCATCAACACGGGAAGCATCCCAACCCCCGAAACAAAGAACCTACACGACACCCCTCCATCCGAATGACATCAGAGCTTATCGAAAACAAACGCATCGCACTTGTCGCAATCCTACCGAGGGAATCCGAGTGAGATAGCACGAGGAGGGGTTACTGCGCCTCTGAGGTCATGTCCTGATAATTGGGACCAACACTAAATAATCCCAGCACTGAACCTTGTGGCTCCCGACAATTGACGGCGTAATCAATGCGTGACCCCGGTTCCCGAAACCTCCTGCCCATCTGGGAGTTTCCTAATGATTTTAGTGTCTCCACTTCATGAAATCGTGGGCTAATGATTTGACCACTGATACACCCCCTCGTCGCAACTAGAGAAAGGCATGATGATCGCCACTGTACCCAACGGCGGTTCCTCGGGAAATGAACTCGATTCATACCCTTGTTGTACAGGGATTATACCAAGATTAGGATCTCAACACGAGCTCTTTATGAGGTCTCTTTTTACTATCTCCCCTTCTGTCCTTTTCTCCGACTAACCCTTGTCGTTCTCATTGTCTAGATTGTTTCTGTGGGGTGTTGGGCTGAGCTGGTTTGAGCGGAGCGGGGTGGCGACTATCACGATCGAAAAGTGACAAGGATACAAGTAGAGTGGAAGGATTGATCGACCACTACGAATTCCCAAAAAGAACCAGCAAAATAATTCAAGATAATTATCAAAACTTACTTGTTAATTTTCTTTTTCATGCTCGGTTATACTCCGGAAGAAAGAAGGAAGACGAAGGATTGATCTAGACATCCATGTCAAAATCCATTTCCTTTTCTGACAGCGTTGGATTCCTTCAAATAACGGGATAGGTATTGCATGCCTCGAAGGATCTGACATTAGCGACAGGAAGCCTTAGAATGACGCAGAAATGATCATGAAGAATGTAGCTAAAATCGAAAGGATGCAGTAAGCTCTCCTCATTGCGGCTGACTACAGAGATACGAGGGGGAGGGGGAGACGGGGAGACGGACACGGGGAGAAAGGAAGGATCCCATGAAGCCTCATTACATCAACCAACAACAACGGGAAGCTCCGTGTGGATAAGATGGATGCAGATGCAGAGATCCAATTTCATTTTTAGAAGAGCGTTGCGTTGTCAACGCTTCGAAGGATCGAATTCAGCATGGAGCATGATCCGCGGAAATTCTCCTTGAGTGGGGCCGAAACGACTAGCAGCGTTCGTGCAGCTTTTCGTTGGAGCGAATAAGCGGTGTCGAGAAAACCAACAGCGGCTGTGGCCTCTAACTCGCGCTCTGTACTGCAAGTGTCAGGGACGTGATGTCACCGTGCAGATGTCGATCGGTGTTAGCTCGCGAATTATGTGTTCTTATTGGTTGATCTGGGGGTTCAACGTCAGGGGCTTGAGCTAAAGATGCATTCAAAGTGAGATCGCGGTGAAATGAGGCGGGTTTTGGGCGGTTCTATTGGTTGAAGACGCGTTCTGTTGGTTTTGTTCATTGAGATGATTGGATCAAGTCGATTGGGCTGTGGACGCTTACAGTGAGTTGTTCATCTCTTTCTGTTTTTGGGTATCTGTTTTGTCTAGACTTATGATCGATTCTCGATTTTCTAATGTTCTAGTATGCTATGCATTAGAAATTGTGATTAATTTGTCGGCGCATGTTTTTGCTGTTCTTGGGATCCTTGCAGAGTACCTAATTTAGTTTTCATTTCGGAGAAAGGATTCTTTGTTCCATTTGTTTTATTTTAGGTGCAAACTTGTGGAATTATCCATGTTCAGTACCTTTCAGCCAGGTCAGTTAAGGCCGGCCACTACGTCAGATATACGGCAAAGAGGGGACAACATGTCTCTTGCTCTTTCTCAACGTGGTTTTCGAGGTCCTTGCAAGATACTTTACATTGCTACCAACATTTGAATAAAGCGCGCATAGATAGCGCGCATCACAAAGCGGAACTTCGCGCTTCTGTGGTACAGCCCCGCTAGAACCATAGTATCTACGAACTTTGAACCGGTACCGGATTGAGCATAAACTGCGCTGAACGTCCAGTATTAGCGGGTGGACCCGCCTACTGATGAGATAATTTTGATGGATTCCCATAGACACCATGTGGTTTTATGGAGAAAAAGAAAATGCCTTTTTGAGTGTGGGGCATTGGGCTGGTCCAGAATGGCGCGAATGATTTCCAATATCTTCCGCTATTCCACGGAACGGACTGTATACTAAGTGGCCCGCTTGTGAGGATCAAATGGCCGGAGTACGGAGTATCCATTACTTAGCAAAAGAGGGCCGAAACTTGATATCAATAAGTGAAGATGATGACCAGACGGGTGATACTATCGTAGAAGGTTCCGCTACAGGTAAAATGGAGACTTCAACGGACGGACACATGGTCTGCATGGTGGATCATCATAGATCAATGTTCGGAGAAATATTTAGAACATCAGAACTCAGTTTCGCCTCGATCCACTACCTAATTAGTTGATGACTGCAACAGGATTGAATGATGATGGCATAAACTAAGGCCAAGCAATGTGCCACCCCATTCCTCTAATGCAAAGCAGCATCATAAGTTAGAGTTGCTGTAGGAATTGACGTCTAGTGGCACACGGGCAGGATCCTTCAGGATTGCAGATATGTTTACAATGCACTACAATGACAAATGTATGATGGATAGTGAATTCTAATTTTCTTCACAATCTTGAATCTAGCCTTGATTAATCACCTGATATAAAAAAAGAAAATGGCCACCACCCACAGTGGCAAATCATCCTGAAACTTGAGGATTTGCATTTTCACGATCGAAACTTAGATCTGGGTCTTCATGGAGAGCCCCCAGAATAGTAACAAGCCTATCACTATGCATGAAAAATGAATGTATGCCATTTGTTAAACATTATCTTGAAACAGCCGATCAACATGTGGCTGATAGGGGCGTTCGTTTCAGCCATTTCGTCCTCGCGTGGTCTGTTGTACATCAGTCTCTCGTCAGTGGTGAGAAGATGAGGGGGTGGGGAAAGCTATGTGATCATATCACGCACGGCCTGCATGAACGTGCATAAACCCACGCTCAGAGGTGATAGTATTGGAGAGATAAAAATACTCCATGATCAGCATCACCAACCCACACCAAGTCCACGTGTAAGCAAAAAAAAAAGATGAAACAGCTGTTCTCCACGATGGGTTACTGCGAAAAAAAGATTACCTAGAGTAGAATAGTCGAAGGATTGCAGCTGCAGTAGTGTGGCTCCTCCCCATACCCACAGACTAAATCCTGACGCTCAGACAGATTTGGGTGATATTACGGTTAATTAACCAAGATTCTAATATAGTATAGTGCAGGATTCAATTAATTCATTTTTTTTCTCCTTTTATTTTTCTCTTCTTATGATTTCTTTTTTCTTTTTTTCGCTTTCGGAATCGGTTTTCTGTTTATTATTATAATTATTGTTTTCTCCTTGAATCCTTCCAAACCCACCACCACATGGCTGAACAGGGATCGACCTCACTAAGACGTTACCACCACACGGGAAATGAGATGAGGATCCAAATAATCAGCATTATTTGCAGTCTTTGTCACGCCAACTGTGTTGGCTTTTCCTTCTTTCTCCCCCCTCGGCCGTCGGCAATTCTAGTACTTGCGTCCCCGGAAATGAGCAGCTTCCAGGTACAATGCAACGCTACAAGGAACTATTGACCTTGGCCTAGATCCCCTTAGACTGAAGCTTCCCCTCCCGCCTTCCCCCTTTAACCCGCATGATAGCCTAGAATTAAATCTACTGCCTAGAAGATAAGGAGTCCAACACAACCAGGTGATGCCAATGTCTCTGAGGATGAGAGGTCCGTGGATGAGAATGTCGTAGCAAATTAAGATATCATGAATCCTTCGAATGGCAGGTAGTCTCGGTTTTCGTCGGCATCCCCTTTCGAATATCTTCTCCATCCTTGAAGACGTCAGTCGTCCGAAGAGACTCCGAGATACATGCCTATGTTTACATGTCTGTGTGCGTGTGTGTGCACAGGACTTCTACTGCCATTGGTACACCGGGGATGAGAAACCTGTGGCGGCCTCGTAGGATCAAACATTTAGCCAGAAGTGGCAATATGATGCAAGGAACCTTTCCGTAGTTTCAAAGCTGAAGTGAAATACAATTCCATTGATCCTTAAGAGGTTTAGACAAAGATGACATGAATCCCTGTAGATGTAATATTCTATTGGAGTTCGAATTTCTCCTATCCCCCCTGTGGCTTTAGATCTACCAGTCAGAAAAAAAGCCACATGGATTGAGCTTCTATTCTGCAGGTATAGACATCTGAAACTGAAACTTCGCCCCCATTCTGCACCTCATGCACACCATCTACGGTCGTCCCGAGGTTCACAAAGTACATGTCTGTACCCTTTCCCAAC